GGGGAAGTCTCAGGGGTCCCACCCTTGGCCTGGAGAAGGTTTGCCTAGCGTTGTTGGTCCAGGGATGAAATTGGACCGATACTCGTAATCGTCGTCTTGAGCGCCGGTCTGTATGAGCTTTTTAATGAAAGAAGAAAAAGCTACGCTATGCACTCAGTAAGAGAAATCAGTCCTCTCAGGTGCACTGTAATTTGATGAAAGAGTCGCAGATTATGGGCGCAGCGAACCCCGTGCACAGCTCTACCCGCGCAATTCTCCAAATGCTGGTGAGTTGGTTTTGGGGTACGGTAAATCGCCCCAAATTCCCCCAAACCAGCTATCCGGGGGAACATATTTACCCTAGCTGCCTGGCAAACATCATTCAGCACAGCAGACATCTCGATTAATGAGTGAGGCTAACTTCAGCTTGCTTGAACTGGACCAAAAGTCCGTCCGCTACGAGAAACACGCTGATGAAACCGAAATCAAACAAAGCTCTCAGTGAATGCCTAAGCAGATCATATAGCTAGTACCACTTAAGTCAATGCTCTGCCCATATTAGTACCGCCTATCCCACGAGTCCTGCTAACCCAACCGAGGGATGGGGTCGTTGCAAGGGCCGAGGCCCATTGGTTCCCAACTATGAAGAAAAGCACCGCCAAGATGATTTTGGGGGAGGCAGTTCGGCTTATTGGAGTAATGGGCGCTACAATATCCCAACGTGGATGACTGCTCGGAAGTCCTTACTGGTTATGTGATAGGCCTCGGCTTACTGCATATTGCGGGATGCTTCTTTGCTTGGGCAAGAAGAACGTTGGCTAGAGCTTGTGCGTCTATTTACCTTGATGCCAGCTGAGATTTCGAGCTCTGCTCTCGAGCAACGCAATTGGCGTCCACTGCAACCTCGGTAGCCCCAAGGCTTACATAGTATGGAAATAGGTTAAATTGCTTACATCTTGCCCCAGAACAATCCGGATCACCCGTCGATTGATTCGAGGATTAGAGTTCATCACGAAGCACTGCCACTATGCCACTGACCATTCGCAACCATGCAGTGTGGAACGCCGGAGTCGGTGCCCATGTTGCTGTCACAAGCCATCCTTGTCTTCCCCAGACTTCACTACAGCCCCTAGCTAGCGCACGAACCGTACTGCGGAACGTGGCCAGGCATGCTACTTTCAGGATGCCGATCGTGCCATCAACGGGCCAGGCGTCACCGGGCCTTGTTCTGGGCTGGCTCTATTGGGCGAAACCGCAATTGAGTTGATCTTGGGACGGCTAACTAGATCTTCGTGGGTTTCACAAAGTACCGTACCATGCTGCAATCCTCGCCAGCCACTTGCTCTGGATGGGAAAACTAGCACACCACCAACACGCCTGAAAATGACGTACCAGAAGCTGGCACTGTGAAGCCTCCCCGGCAAGAGGTTGCCACCATTAAGTTGATACCCTTGCCATTGGATTCACTGACAGATGTCAATAAGCCTCTTACAAATGCAGCTACTGGATAGGGAATTGCTCTTGGCTTGTGCGACTCGATTACGAACACGGCCTCATCGGTCATGGTGCAGCGGACCTTGCGACCGTTGATAGCTTGTGGCCACAGCCAGCGCTCCAGACGCGCAGAGGTCTGACGTATGTTATATAGCAATTGTTGTCTTTCATTCGCTCAAAAGCTCGGAGGAAGCACCGCCAAACCAGGTTGCTCCTGTCGGCCTCTTCATGCAGAAGAGCATGCTTCCAAGGAGCAGATCGGCGGCAAACCACCGATATACAGATGGGATAACTTTTCATCAGAGCGCGTCTGCAAAGAACCGCCGTGCTAATGGAAGTTACTGGGAAGCCGAACCTCTGATGAACCGGCTGGGCCAGCCCTCCAGAAAGATCCCTTTGGCAGCTCGCTCATGCATACTTCCGTTGCATGAGTTGTGCATGAGTGCTAACTACGGCCAGCATACATCTATAGGCAGCCAAGTGCAAAAAAGGCATTTCAAAAATCGGGAGTTTCTTCATAGCGTTGGTGAAACCTAGTTGTCTCTTGGGTAACCTGAACCGACATCCGAATCGCCGCACTCGCCACACACTCGGTCATCGTTTGTCCAAAAGGCGAGACGCCTAAGGGATCCCACGGATCCTAACGCCGTCCTGGAGCACCCGACTTGCAGCTTTCTGCTTCTGGATCCTGAATACCACATCACCAGCCACTTGGCGCGGCCCACCCGCAACCCCTACTACATAGTATGTATGCTACTGCCACTAACTTGACCACTAAGTAAGGGCCTCGGTGCAATGTCCCGAAGCACGAACCAATCGTGGTATTCACTGCACTGTTCTTGAACCGCTTGATTGTCATCTCCCGGGCTCATCTGCCTGTTCCTGCGTTCCTAGAGGGCTATCTCCATGTGAACATCGCATAGCGTCGATTTCTGCCTTCATCCGTCCAAGAGCCGCACGACGCTCTTCTACATAGTAATATATTCTCATGGGCAATCTGCGCCAACGACAATCCCTCAGCCTGCGGCACTAGCCAATTGGTTCCCTGGTCCCTCGAGATCGGCAAACCCAACTGCTGCTCGTTTTCCTACTTCGGTACCCTGCAGCCGGGATCTCAGGCTCCACTCACACGATGCCACACTGCGAACGGTCAAGGGACGTCTTGTCGCTGGTACGACACACGGGATGTGGGCTGGTCCAAATAGCTATACGACAGGAAAAGGGTGTCCAGGCTGGTCCGGCATGAGCTGCACAACGTCATATCGCAGCAAGATTCTATACTCTTGCAAAGAGCAGTACTTGCCGTCCGCACTGCACCGGTCGGAACGTCTGCAGTCTGTCTCCCCCTTGGCCATGCGCGGCGGTTGGGAAAGAGTGCCACAAAGCCCGTCTTTGATATAGTGCCGAACGAGTGGCATTATCGGATTAGTGATAACGCTACTGTGTGTAGCTGGAGGGCTACTGGCTCAGATGTGGTACTGTAGCTCTTCCAGCGTAGCCACGGCCTACTAAATATTGCCGCACCTGCTTGCGTGCGCACACGCAGACCTCGGGCCCCATAGCTGACTGCACGTTACATGGTGCCTGTAGCAGAATTAGCAGATGATCGGCCCGCGTTCGGAATAGGTAGCTGACCTGCTGCTTAGAAAGCAGCGGAAAGTCTGCTAGGAGAAGTGCCCTTACATCCAAGCCGCCTGACTGGTCGCACCATGGAACCTGTACGTAGGGTCGCTAGTGGCGAATCGCCGTTTATTCCCGCCCGACCGACATTGTTCTGGCAGGAAAGAATTGTTCCAGAAAAATAACCCGACGGGCGCTGCCCTGCAAAGTTTTCGCCATGACCAGAGATGCCATGTCGATCAGAACGGCAGTTGCTGACTTGGTTCTGGAGGAGGGCTAGACTATGGCATCACCCTGGAAGCAAGCGTCTCTGGGCGACGGGAATATATTCTAGGTAATTTAGTCACACACACTGTGTGCGTGGCTCGCGATGTCTCGGGAAGCCCAAGCATGCGGCTCTGCTGTTGTGGAGACTTCATCTGCTCCTCGCCGACCCCGAGTCAGATTGTGTCTAGAACCTGGCGTTGAGGGGAAGATATTCACGATGCGGGGAAGCGCCGTTTCCTCCAAATAGGGGTCCTAGGACCCTGGAATCTGGCTGGGTATGTCTTTGCTTCTTGAATGAAATTGGAGTCTGGTAGGAAGCTACGCCAAGACGCCGTACATCGCACCACGATTTATGTCGAGACCCGATGGGTACGGAGTGAAGCGAGACTAGATGGAAACTTGAGGTTCTCAAGATATCATCTGGACGAGCTGGTGTATCCGTTGCAATTCGTCAGATGCTTGTCTCAGACGTCGAAGCGCTGCAATCTACGACCACGATAAGATCACAGAACGTGGGGGCCTCATGGAACTCGAACCACCATGATGGGCTCAACTCATATCGCTTCAAACATTGGTGACTCGTCTTTGTTATGCAACACGGATAGTCGCAACCATGTGGTTACGAAGTTTGAGTCCTGGTCCCGAACCGAATCGCTGCCATAGACCCCAATCAGGTTCTCAACAGCAGCCGAACGACGTATCCTTATATATATACAGAGTTCAGAGCAAAACATATCATGAGACTCAAAATTAGATTCCCTGAGCTACGTACAAGAAGACACGTCAACTGCTATCGGCTCCCAATACGCGCCTCAGTACATTTGGTTATGGGAAAGCTATAGACGTAAACGTGGAGTCAGTGGCTCCACCAAGATTCTGAAGCACATGTCTAGTTGCCATCAGGTCTTAATCCTACTTGTAGCGTTGCATCCGACAACAACTTTTCAGCCTAGGGTTTCCCTTGGGCTTCTAGTTCGGGTTTCCGGTGCAGATATCGACGAGAGTATGGCCGTTGCGAGGACCGTGATTGTTTAGAGCTCATGAAGCAGGCACATCGTGGAAAACTCACATATTCCCGAGCCAGGTAAAGACTGTGAAGCTTATGTTAGCAGTGGTATTTCTATATCTCTCTCGGTGATACTAGAGTGTTTGGCTTTTGGCACACGCCACTATATTCTTCGCCAACTCTATCTAAACAAAACATGGTTCTGATTTATTCGTGAGTAGAACATGCAATGCCGAGACCGAAGCTCAAATGGGGCAGGGTCATGCCGGGACAGTATGGCCGCTTAACTCCCAGAGCAGTGGAGAGCAGGTATGGATTGTTACGAAGCACTGCAACCACGAATATGTGGAATTGGGAAAAACGCATCCGAAGTTCAACATTGCTCTCCACGTGTCAAGTGTCCAAAGGTGTTCCCCCGTTGTATTACTGGCAACTTGATACGTGTCAGAGTTCATTTTCAGACTTTGTACAATAGACTATCAACCATGACTTTCTACAGTGTGAGTTTTCGCCAGCCTCAATAGGCCAAATGCAATCCGGAGAAGAGCAATGTAGAGTCTGATTCTAACGGAAACATCATCTCTTAATAGTTCCGTGCAGCTATCTGTCTTATCTAGTGTACATAGAATATTGCTTAGTCTACCTTGCCCTTCCCCTTGCCATCGCCCTCACTCTCAGTGCCGGCTGCAGTGGTTGTGCCTGTCCTCAGACTCCTCACACTACCCTCAACCCGGAAGCTGAAGTCGACAACGCCGACCAGCTGCCCAACACTCTTGACTAGACCGTCCAAGTCATCACAAACAAGCGAGCTGCACACCTGCAATACGGCGAATTCGGCGAACCCATTCTCGGACATATTCCGAGCGTCGAGGAGCCCGAGGGCCCCTGGCTCGCTGTTGGGCAAGCGAAGGTGCTCGAGCTGCCGGGTGAGTTCATATGGCTTGGGCAGCGGGATATTCGGTGGTAGAGGACGTCCCGATTGTAGAGAGTTGGATAACAATGCCAGGATGCATATGATCGTGTCGCGGGTCGTCGAGATATCAGTCAGGAGGACAGCCAACGCATTAATCCACACCCTATCCTCGGGCGACGGATTCGGAGACCAGGTCACTGTGTGGGATATCAAGGTCAGATATGAGGTGAGCCGAGTAGCGCGCTGGATAATGTCCAGGTATGTTTCACGCGGAAAGCGGCCACCTATTGTGGGCTCGAAGCGTTGAAAGTTGGCGTGTTGGTTCAACGATGGTAGGATCAGGAGAAGTTTGCCAAATAGGCGGCGACGTGTTTTTGCCAACTTGTATGCTGGAGATGATTTGACCTCAGGATCCCCACCTGTATCATGAAGCCGTGAGGTCAGGGTTTCGTTGATAGCAGCCAGGTAGTGCGCAAGGAGATACATTGTAGCGGCAAGATCGCGCCGCAGCCAAGTGCGATCGGTGATTGGTGATGGGAATATGGTCCATATAAAGGCTACGAGGCACCCGCCTGCTACAGTAGCGAGACGATATGGCGCGAACTCGTAAATACTGCAAGAGTTAGTGTACGCCTCAAAAGCTCAGAAAGTTGAGTGTGCTCACGGATAATATGGCTGATTGTTTGATTCGGACACCTTTACGCCAATCTTCAAGACCTGCAATTCGTAGCCGATGATCAAAGTGATTGTAACCATGCAAATCATCGAGGCTGATATCCATTGCGGGTACTTGATGAAGAAGTAGTGTATCAAGACAAGGAAGAGGAAATAAAAGACGATTATTCCAGGGGCATTCTCGTCTACAATGTACCAAGCAATCAAGGCAAGTACCATGGCTGCAAAGGTGCCACCGACTCGGCAGAAGAAGCCGAAGATGGACTGACCGGACGCTGCATGTTGTCAACTGGAGTGCGAGAGGGACTGTCTGGTGAGGTATACTTACTCTCAGTCATTGAGATTGAAATGATAATCATGGCCCAGACGAGCCTCTGCTTCACAAAGAACTCCTGTGTAGGCTCTAGAAAATTGACGATTCCTACAGTCATGGTTGCGCATGCGACGCGGAGTCCGAAAAGGGACTGCTGAGAGCCGAAGAATCTGTTCACCAACCTAAGTCCATTGCCCATGTGTTCGATGAAGTTGGTCGCGGGCAAGTGTTCAGGATCTTTCTTAGCGGAGAATCCGTCTCCAACGTAAACAATGTTGTTCGAGTCGAACAAGTCGGCAGCGTTCTCAGACGAAGAATCTTGCTCCTGAAATATACTCGAAACCCACTTCTTGAGCCTGTTGTACTTCGGCACAATCAAGCGGTTCTTAGACATGCTGCCACTGCTCACTTTCTTGTCCGCATATGTCACGAAACTGTGGACGGCCTCTCCAGCCTCTTGCATCTGTAGAAGTTAGGATGCAATCTACATGGATAGGACAGTGTCTTACGAGTCTCTCAATATAGAGTAGAAGAAAGAGTTGAGACTGGTCTCTTCGATGCTTGATATCATCGCCAGACAAACAGTTTGGGTCGATGGTATCCTGGGATAACTCATCTTTAATCAGGCCGCGTTCCTTTGCCCAGACTTTGAGAACCTTGCCTTTCACGTCCTGAATGCAAATATTAGCCCAGCGGGAGAATGGCATATACTTGCACCTTACCTTGATAAGGTTAACCTTCTGCTCCAACACCTCGGCAAAACCAGGGTCTCCCGGTTGGATCAAGTTTCCTGTGGCCTCTACATCAATCGAGCCGCTCCGCTGGCTGTCTTTCTTCTTCTGGGCCTTCGGCCTCGGCAAGATCTCAAGCAGGATTCCAACGTGCTCGAGCCCTTGATCAATGGCCTCGGATAATGTCTCGAATGGTTCGTGGAGCTGCCTCATGACCTCGTTCCAAATTCTCTTCTCCTCATTCTTTTCAGCTACGACCTCTGCAGGCGTTTGGTTATCTGTGATCCAGTGTCGTTTTTCAGCTACACGCTGGAAAATGTCGATGACAGTGCTCATGCCGATGACTGGGACCATGCATGCGCGCAGCAGCAGGAATATCTGGCTCAGGTCGGCAGCCTCCATCTTGCCCCAGGAGACATCTCGTTTTGCAAACGCTAGGTCGGCTTGTACTTTGCCCCCCAACTCGCGAATAGCAGTAACAGTCGCTTTCAAAGCTTTCGCCTCTGCGGCAGTATTGTGATCTGTGTTCCCAGACTCTTTGGACTTTTTCTTCTTCTTCTGCGTTTTCTCGTCGACTGAAGAGCTGACGTCGTGAGGTATCGCGAACATGTCCTCTCTTTCCAGGCTCTGCATATAGACCTTTTCCTGCTTCACCGCACCACGCAGCAACATGATCAGGCCTTTGATCTGTCCAAAAGAGACCTTCCGACTCGGTACTGGTAGGATGAGCAGAGAGCAAGCGGTGGCAATGGCAAATGCGGCGAGCATTGCCGTCAGCAGCCTCTTCACCAGCGACTCAAAAGCGACATTGCTCGTCATGATGGGACTGTATGTCGCACTGATGTTGGCAAAGATAGAAAACACGATGACCGGCACGTTCAGCGTGGGCTGCTTAGCACGCAATGTGTTGACGAACCAGATCGACACGAAAAGCCACAATGCCGAGACTGCTGACTGACTGGAGTTATATGGTGGAAGTCCAGAGCCTGGATTCAACGGCCGGGATTCAGTGTGTAGTCGTGCTTGTAGACTGGACCACATGATGAGCAGAGCCAGCGCAGCGCCAGCGCATGCGAAGAAGATGTTCAGAACCAATGTCTGCAGAAACTTCCCACGAGGCATAATCGAGACGGAGATAATTGTCAGGATCCCAACAAGGTATCCCAGAGTTGTGAAATATTCGGCCACCGCGGTGGATTGGCTGATAGATATAGCAATAGTTGGTGCAATCGCGCCTCTGTAAAAACAATGAGATTCACATTCGGCATCCAGTGCTGGGAAACATACTTGATCATCATGAGGATTGTTGGCAAATCAAGACCCAGCCTCGCCAGAATGCCTGGTTTTGGAGGCGCCGTCGAGCCAGAGACTGGTTCATCCTGACCGGCCTTTGATGCCGTCCTCTCCTCACTCTCGGCCTGTTCTGGCGGGGCGCCATTGGAGCCATCAGGTTCGTCGCGCGACATTGCGTTTTGCCAGTCAACAGGCTCTCACGGTGTCGCAGTAGGAACTCTGATCACTTTGACAGGAAGTGTAGACTCATGGAACACCGGAACATCCGTCCCAGAAAGGATTGTCTACAACGCTAGTCATTGCTACGAGCATGCTCGGTTGCCAGGCTCGGGATCGGGTTCGGGTTCGCCCATCGAAAGAAGTTTTGTACCGCTTCACCTTGCTTTTAGCGCGGAGGCTAGGGGATGAAGCGCTGAGTGAGCCCCACGTTGGCCGCTACTGGCTCGTTTAGCCAAAGCTTAACGGCTGCCAGCCGACGTCATGCTACTATAACGCGTTCCAGCTGCCGCCAATCTGGCCTACTTGAGTACAAATCAAAGCACATAAGAGGTCATGAGTAGGTACTTTCATAAGCATGCAATAGGGGATAGAATGGAGTGACCAAAGCCAATCAATGAGGAATGGCGATCAACAGGCTTCGCAATCAATGTGGGAAGAGTTGAAAGCAATCAAACCTCGACAAGCTGAACACTTGGCGTACACAGCAGGTTAGAACCTACTCACAGGCCCAGGCAGGTGCCTTGTCGATGAAAGTGAAGCTGTTCTTGGTAGAGTGGCTTTGATACGGAGGAAGAGTGTTTCAATGACTGTGCACGTTACCACACTTCAATCACTGCAGTATTCCATGCCGCAACACATCATCCCGCAACAAGAACCAGGGAGGAATGGTGCTGACCAGCAGATTTCATGTCTCCCATAGCACCACACCTATCGGCAACGATCAGAGCGAGAGAATAGCTGAATATAATAGAGAGAGCAATACCCTATTAGAAAGACTATATTTGGGTGGGGATGGCGCCAAGCCGTCACCAAGGTTCGACGAAAGTTCTTGGAGATGCGACCTCAGGAGCGGCCCGAGGATTGATTCAGACTTTTCATTTCCTCAGATGAAGCTTCTCGTGCCTTCTCAAATCATTCACCCTCGTGAATTTCTTACCGCAGTTTTGGCATCCATACGGGCGCTCCCCAAAGTGACTCCGCGTGTGTCCGGTGAGATTGATTTTCCTGGTGAACCGCTGCCCACAAATCTCGCACGGAAATCGGGCTTCATTGCTCTTCTTCTTGTTGCTCAGCTGCGGAAATGCCGCGGGTTCGTCGCTCACCCCCATGTGATAGTTTTTCTTGTGTCGGTCGAGGTCCTTGTTGGATATGAAACCCGCTCCACCGATTTGACACCCCGGCACGGTACATTCGAAAGGCCGGTCATGCCTGTTGATGTGATGATCGCGCTTGTTTACATCCTCGAAACCTTCGTAGAAGTAGTCGCAGTGTGTGCGGGGGCACTTGAAAACGTTTTTGCCGTAATACTCCGTCAAATCGCTGGCTTCGTCACCTGTGGCGTTGGCTACCAATTCTTCGATCACATTGCGGTTTTCTGATAGCATTTCTTCCATTTCCTCTAGGCTGGGCTTGTTCCTCTCTTCGATGTTCTTCTTCTGGTGCCGCGAGATGTGGATCCAGAGATGGAGCAGTATGGGGTGAAAAGTGGCTTCCTCGACATCTTTACACTCCGCCTTAGCGTGCTCTTCTATTTCTTTCGGGTTGGTCCTGATGGACAAGCTGGACCCTGAGGTATCTTCCTGTGACACCTCATCGTCTTCTATCGACTCATGGAATCTGTGAATGAAGTCGTCTAGTATCTTTGTGAACCTTTCAGCTTTACCTTTGTCAACCGAGAAAACGTCCCGAGACATTCTCACTACTTGGGCAATGTGATAAAACCACTTGGAAACAGCGTAGTCTTGGAAGGCGTAGAAACCTTCTTTGGCAAAATTCTTCCTTGTCGGCCGAGTTATACTCCCCTCGAAACAGGGAAATGTCAGGTACTGCATGCAAAGCAATGCTAAATCGAACTCCACCTCAACTTTACTGACGAATTGACTATCAAGGATATACCTAGATCTGTGAGAATCGTTCGCGTGCAGATCTCGTGAATCAGGAAGTCACTTACTCGCTCGCAGTGTGGTGAATGAGCTCTACCTTGTTGCCGGGTCTTATATGCACCAGAGAGCCACAGAAGTCTTGTACGTCCGGTATAAACTTTTTACGGTTGAACTCGACAGACTGCTCATCTCGCTCAATAGAGACAATCGCCTGGATTTCATGCCATTGGAGGACTCTACCAGCGCAGATGAGCCAACCCATAATGGACTTTGTCTTTTCCCATCTGTACTCATCTTGTTGTTGCCGCAAGTTGTCGATGATTCGGCCGTAGCTAGACACGTATTTTAGTAATGGTCTAATCCGGCTCTGTTGCAGAATGCGATACGGGAATAGATTCTCCATAGTGTTCTGAAATGGAAGAAACCAGGACTTACGCTTCGCGCAGAGTCTTGGGGAACCGGCGGACCTCAAGCTCTCGAGTTAGTGAAATTCTGTCGACAACTTGTTGCAGATTATTGAGAACCAATTCGGCGAAGAGGAACATTCCTTGCTGAAGTTAGCTTCTGAACCCGAGATCAGTCATATCTGAATCACCTTTTGCGCCTTTAGCTTCGTTGCATGTAAGATGCTTGATTTTATCCTTCTCATCCTTGCTCAGCTCAAGTCTCTGGGGAAATTCCCCAACGCGCTGCATGACGTATTTTTCTATTGCTGCTTCGTTATCTTTTGATCGTATTCTCAAAATGTTGGCAGTGCAATTTTCGCCTGATAAGGGCTTTTCAATATGTTGAATATCTCGGCTGAGCACCAGCAACCTAAGACCTCCGGGCTCTATGTTGTCCTGCCTTGAAACGACGTGTGTCAGGAGCGACAGGCATTGTCTGATCTCGGCCTTGTCACATTCATCCAAGCCATCTATGATGATGTACTGGTGTGGGATGACATCGAAAAAAAGATCCAGCAGGGGCCTTGCTGCATCCTCTGTGCTGAGGTTTTGTTGGCCCGATGCATCTTTTTTGTCGTGGAGATAGGCAATAAGGTGTCGAAATCTCGGGTCTTCGCGTATGTGCATGAGCTGCTGGCGGAGTAGGCTTTGAAATACTGCCACGCATGTAGAGGCATTTGGATCTTTCGCTTTGCAGTAAAAGTACATCGTTTTGTATGGCGCCCTGAGTGACGTACAGTCCATGCACGCATCTACTAGAAATGAAGCAAGTGTAGATTTCCCTGCAAAGAGTTAGCTTTCGTGGTCTAGACCAGTGGAAGTATGGCGCACCAGCTCCCATACCGCCTGTCACCCATAAGATAGAATGTGTAGGCGTTTCTACTTCCATCCAGTTGTGAACAGCATCGTGCTTCATGATCCAATTGCATGTCTCCGGGTATTTGTCACGTACAGCACAGCGGTCATGGTGTGTGTCCTCAGACGCTTTGGGCACAGGACAAACCCATCTCAACACTGCTTGAAACTGATTCGCGCGCCTCTTTTCTTCGGCCTTCTGCGCCTCGTCGTGTTTAGTAAAGTTTTCTTTTTCGTAATCTGCCACTTTGCTGCTCAGATTCCAAATGTCTTCAGACGTGAGAATATCGCCTTTTCCGTTCGAAGCAGTATCTCGGCGGTGGTTGAGTAGACGCGACCCATTTTCAATCAAAGTCTTTTGTGTATGCAAACTAGCTTTGAGAGTTGAGACCGTATGATTAAAGTCCTTCCAGGCGGACTTAAAGACCTTCTTCCGACCTTCTGAGATAAGTATAGTAACTTGTCCAACAGCAAGGCTACTCACCTCGCTCCGGAAATTGAGTAAAGCATTGATACGCCCCAGCATGAAAATCAAGTATGTCACTGTATAGCGCGACCAAACATTTGCGCATACCAGTGTGCTTTGTGAACAACGGGTTTAGATTCTTCAAACTGGGCATATTCTTTCCCAGGCCCTCATATGCATCCAACAGGCTGTCGAGACCTTCGTTCAGCGTACTCGATGCTGTCTGTCCAGCTTGGTCAGCTCCCTAGCATAGAATGAATGAGAACCTGCGTGATTCAGACCTGGAGTAGAAAATGCATTGCCCCCCAAACAATTGAAAGATAATGTGCCCCATGAAAAATATCTTGCAAAACGGCACTGAAATCCTCCAGTCTCAGAACGAATTTCTCAACGCGTCGGAGATTCATCATTGCCCTCAGGCGCTCTTGGTCTCTCTGGATCCGAAGGAGATCGATTTTGACCTCTGAGCTTCTCGTAACCTCGAAATGTCGCAGACCTCGCTCCGAACATCTCCTCTTGAAACTCTGTAATGCTTCCGCCAAGGCGGCAGCAGATTCCTGATCGCACTCTTCGCCATTAGTTGCCATTGGTGTCGGCGGTGAAATATGTGCAACACTGAACCTCCTGTGAGACGTATTGATACGAACCGAGACGGTTCACTCTGGAAGTCAAAACAGTATTGAGATTTCCGGTGCGGACCTTGATCAGTAGAGTCAAGCTAATTGAGGCTGAGTGCAGGATATGCTAAGCCTCCCTGCACATTGATCGGGCGTAACTATTCTACTGCACTGCAATTTAAGGCAAAAATGAGGCGCAATTCTGCCTGGCAAACCATAATCTCCAGCGAATCGTGTGATGGGGCACCAGGGGGAGACCCAAGCCTCCCTGCAGCTCTCCAACTAAAATGATATCTGATAGGCCCTCAGCTACGACGACCCCTGCACGCCTCCACCATGACTTGCATCGCAACTGGAAAAACGTGCCTTATTGCTACTATGCTGCTGACGGAATGGTCCGCCTGAGGCAGCGAGGCTGAGTCCGACGACTTTGTGTCACACATCATATTCTGTATTCAGTTCAGGTCTGCAAAGACGGCTTCAACTTCAGAAATTTGAGTGCCTCCAGGATTACAAACAGGCAATCATGGCACTCTCATTGAAACGCCTGCTTAATGACGATGAGCCTGTGTTGGATGAGCCACCTCGGCAGTTGTTCAATGGCCCAGCTAGGTTTGTGATGTGATCAAATTAGTATTCTTTACTAACGTCTCATAGCCAACCGAGACCAAATGCAATGCTTGATGAGTCGTTCAATGAGCTATTCAACCGTACACTTGATAATCGACTGTTTCATGATGAAATGAACCTGGAGCTGGGTGACCTCAATGATGCAGAACACGACCCGTTTGATACAGGAGAGCTGCTGCAAGAGTGGGCCGATGGCCTCCCTGCTGATCAGTTATCGAGAACAGATTCGGAAATGGAGGGAAGTGCGAATTCCTCCCAAGAGGGCATTATTGACGGAGATATGGGCCATTGTTTACAACCTGGCGATCAATGTTATGGAATGGTACGTAACACGCAACGTTGATCTTTGTAAGAGGTCGAAAATTCACTTGCACAAAGTAAACACCAGCAATAATATATCATTTGCAGTCTACACAGAGAACTTAGACAATAAATACAACAACTGATCACATAGCAGATCCACAACGTTGACGTGAAAGTCGTCGGGGAGATGGCTGCACACGATGCAAAATTGCAGCCAATGCAAAATACCGCCCAGAACCAGCGGTTTCGATTGAAAGACAAGACAGACCATATCCAATTGAGCTTTGTCGATGGGACAGAGTTCGGTTATTTGCGTTCAAATATGACCAAAGGCTTATCTGACCTGCTCGCATTGCCATCATTATACTTCGAAGCTGTAGTTGGAACAGATATTCTTCGGGACACCATAGGCAGGGCCTCAAAGCCAAATGAAGCTTTGGTCCGGGTCAATATCAATGTATATGGTCCTCAAGATAAAGCAGACCATGTCGGAGATCACCTAACTTCCCAGAAATTGTGGCTCCAGAAGCCTGATCACCCGCTTCGGCATGTCGATTATAATAATCCACAGGGGTTGTCATTTGAGGGTATAGACCCAAGCATGCTTGACGAGCCCACCGAGATACTGAACAAAGGGCGGTCTAAACCTCGTACAGGGGAGGAACGCCTCCGCCAAACCGTTACCGAGGTATACGGATCAGCAAAGAGACAAGAGGGCCTAAATCAGGTCACTGTTAGTGGACATTTTAAAACAACCATGCTGAAGTATTTTTGGTCTGCTTCACTCTGCTTCTTGTAACGTGAAACTGACGTTTTGCAAGACACCAGAAAGAAGCCCTCGATTTCATGATTCAAAGAGAGACTGGCAAGATTCCTGATCAGTTTCGCCTTTGGAAGAAGGTAGTGGTGGAGGGGCATATTAGGTGAGAAATGTGCCAGACTCTATTTGTCCTTGATTACTGACCGCCACCAGCTATCAGCACTCTATCACGAAAAGTAAATCCAGAATTCAACCGGAAGAGAAAGGTGGTGGTATACTGGCAGATGAAATGGGCATGGGAAAATCTTTGTCCATCCTATCCTTAATAGTTGAAACCCTTGCAAAAGGCCAGGAATGGGCAGAAGAGAGAAAGTCCAAGGGAGAAGACAGTCACCTCAAGGGCCACACACGATCTACACTGATAGTCGTGTCATCGGCGCGTAGGTTACCCGAACTCGCATACTGGGCTGGCTAACTAGACCGAAGTGTTGATCAACAATTGGTGCAAGGAGATTGAGGAGTAAGTGAATGGCTTTAATAGCTGGACTTCCGCTGACGCAAATGCTACTATAGCCACCTGGAAGATTCCCTGACAGTTGTCCGGTACCACGGGCCGAGTAGGCCAAGGAAGGCGGATGAAATTTCCGCCATTCAAAACTCTGACATTGTCATAACTACGTACAATACGCTAGCCAAAGAGTTTAGCGACAGGCCAGGGCCCGCAAGATCAAGCCCGCTTCATGATATTGAATGGTACAGAGTAGTGCTAGACGAAGGTAATGCGTCCAGAATCGACACGCCGGCATACTGACACTAATAATCTCAGCTCACATCATCCGACGACAGGCCACCAGCTTTCACAGAACTTGTGCGGAATTGAAGGCTAACTCTAGATGGTGTCTTACCGGGACACCGATCCAGAACAAGCTAGAAGACATCGGTGCACTATTTTGCTTCATCAGGGCCAAACCATTCGACAGCATGGCTGTTTTCCGTCGCTACATTGTTGTGCCTTTTGATCAAAACGAAGATGAACTAGCCATAGAGAGGCTGGTGCAGCTGAATGACTCACTCTGCCTGCGCCGTACCAAGGAGTTGCTGAAGCTGCCAGATCTGGAACAAGAGGTCAGAGAACTGGAACTCAACGAAGCTGAACGCAAACAATACGAGAAAACGCAGAGTATTCTTTACCGCAAGATCCGGCAGAAGGCAGGCGAGCACGAGCAGACAAGCAAATTCGGCATCTTCCAAGCTAATCTTCAGTTGCGTATCATGTGCAATCATGGGACTTTCCAAAAGCCGTTCTCATGGTCCAGTGAAAAAAGTTTAAGAGATAGAGATATGAAGGAGGCAGTTATGTCTGCCCTTGGAAGTAACGCACAAATCAACTGTAATGGTTGTTCTCAACCCATGCCGGTTCTTGGCTCCAACAAGGTCTACAACGAATTCGCCGAAAAATGCCTGCATGTCTTATGCTCAGAGTGTCTGGAGGAAGCTGCTTCAAGCAAGGACTCCGGTCAATCAGTAAAGCATTGCCCGTTGTGTGTCGCATTCCGCAGGGCAAACGACCGAGATGTGGAAATGGTTGCTGGCAGCCATGAGCTCGGAGAAGATGATGGTGAACTGGATGATGCTCATTACTTCCGGTCAACAGGTTACTCGACGAAGATGAACGCACTGATAAATGACGTCAGGAAGGATCTGGACAAGAAAAAAAGGTATCTTTCCTTCCCAGACACTATAGTTTGAGTGCTGACTGGGTCAAGTATCATCTTCTCATGTTGGACGCGCACATTGAACCTGGTGGCAAAGCACTTGGAAAGGGCTAGTATTCCCTACGATCGCATCGACGGAGAGTGTCCTCTGTCCAAGCGACAGAAGATCCTGGACGACTTTGCGAAGAAGTCGGGGAGTCCAGTCTTGATAATGACCACGGGAACGGGGGCATTTGGGTGCGTGTTTGTGCCTAGCGTTTTACCTGGGTCTATCTGACAAATTACAGACTGAATTTGACATGTGCCAACCGAGTTTTCATCGTAGAACTCCAATGGAATCCAAGTGTAGAGAGCCAAGCGATCGCCAGAGCTATACGTTTGGGACAGGACCAGCAAGTGTCCGTCATAAGATATATCATGAAAAACACTGTTGAGCAGGTGAGACTCACATCGCGAAAGCCGCTATTCGCATTTGCACACGATATATTGGACCAATCGAAACTAACGGCTTGTAGGCTATGCAATCACAACAAGAACGTAAGTTGATGATGGCACAAAAAGGTTTCGATGATGGTATGGATGTAGATCCGTAAACCCAAAGAATCGGGAGTGCCTCAGACGAGGTTGGCCATATTTCAAATCTACGTAGGCTCTAGAGTGTCGAAAATAGATCGCTCGGTCGTGGCAGCTTTATTGTGATCTAAGTATTCTCATGATTATGATAATCGTAGCACTGGCTATTTGAGGACATGATAGAAGTCTGCTGCTATCCCTGGATAGCTTTTAAAACTCTTCTCCAAACGCATTGCCCACCCAGTGCACAGGCCTTGTCCAGCCAGAGAAATCTCTTGGCGACTGATAAGGCGTCGTCCCAGCTACTTAAGCCTAGCTTTCCCCTCAATCGCCGCAGATTGACAATGAGGGGCTGATCCGAAGCTCCTGATGGAGTGCTGGCTATGGCACTCACGAGAGAAGCCTAGAATAGGAATTCGTCGCCTCTGGAGTTTATGAGCTGTTGATGTCGAAGCGCTACTCTCAGTAGTTTGTTGGCCTTAAGAAGCGGGATGGGCGGTGAAACAGGGTATGTGACGCCGAAGGTGAGAACCAGCGCTGCCAAACTGGCAATCTCTTCGTGGCCGCGATTTGCAGGTAGGCTAAGCAACCTGTGTTGAACAACATCTCTGCAACACGCGATGAGGCCCCACGGTCATTGCTTGGCCCCTTCTTGGAATCACACGCGGAGGCGATAAGCTGACATCAGTAGCGTATATCCAGCGAGATAGACTGGAAGTCTTCTTCTAGCTCAAATTGCTCTGCTTCGCTCGACGGGCCACGCTTGACTACCATATGTGTTTCCAAAACCCACCGCAAAGCAGGGCAAAGGCCAAACTGCCTACTAATCAGCCACATATGAGACTTGTTACATACCACACTAGTACTCACTGCCGGTGGATTATAGTTTGAGTTGGCGCTGACTAACTCTGCTTAGTTCATCTAAACGCCTAGCCCTTCTAGCTTCACTGTTTCAACTCCGCCACGTGAAACTAGAAGCATCCCGAGCATATTGTAATGCTCCTCTGCATACTCTATTCGCCCTTCGAGATTAAGTCCTCTGAGACCCTCGATGCCTATGCTGGTGAACTGACCCCGTGAACATCGATCTTGAGGAGACGCCGCCAACCGCCGCACCCCAAGCACTCGTATGGCACTTAGCAAGACATTGGATATGACTCCGTGCGACAGTGATTGCCTAACCTGTCGAGCAACTCGCATCTGGAACCCCCAAAGAGTGTTGGCGTCCTCCGATGATATGCGCCAATCAGACGATAGCATGTGACACCAGTAACAACAGAGTCAAGAAGAGGAGAGTCTGATATACAGTATTGGACCATAGTCGACGCCAGTGATGGCCCCGAAAGCATGTTTGCCTCATAGAGCGGCCATCTAACAGTATATGCTAATGTTACGTAAAGAGATGGTGAATGTAAATTTAGACGTTGAAGGGCAGGCCAGCGTTGACATACCCAAGTGAAATATTTTGCGTGTATGATAATAATCCAAAGAGGGTGAAAGACACTGTAAAGCACTAAGAGATCTTGGGGGCGGTAACTTGTCTGAAAGAACTTCAGTTTCTGAGGGAGTACCACAGCATGACAAACCTCGAGCGTACGTCTGATAACAAGAAGCGCGAGCAGTTTCAGGTAGGGGTTGACAACCCACACCGGCTGAAGGGATAGTTGAGCTGGGATGTTTCGATTGTATGAGTCTCAGCGCGTCACTGCGTCTCCGAATTGACAATTGCTTCCAGTGATTTTGCTCCTAGGCAGTGCGCTGTCTTATGCGTAGGTGAGCCCATGCTCTTGCGTATATGGAGTATCCACGTCATAAATTTACTCTTCTGTCGTTGGTTGAGTCTATTCTGCAGCTTTCTAGGTTGCTGTGCATCACAAAGGCCAGCTTGGTTCTCCTTTGCGTCTTGCGCCTGTAACTGGCATCACGGGCACTCTTGGCCGACTTATGATCCGATGAGGTTTACCCATGCTGAGAGGATGTCTAACGTCGACCCTCAACAGCAATTCTATGGCAATATTGCATAACGTATCGAACAAGCAAGTCAGCCCCGTGTAATGTCAGCAATGTGAAGTATTGGGATCATCTTGCAACTGGAGGTTTACGCGTGGGCTGCTACACGAACTGTTGGATAGTTTACTTCTAGTCGATAGACAACCGCGGAGAATGATTTACTTCTTAAGCCTACTGAGAGGAGAACACATGCATGCAGGGTGCTGACCGCAGCCGCCCAATCAGACTGGTATGCAGTATTGGAGCACTACAGTATTGCGTTGGGGACCACGATTTGAGGACCATTCAAGGTATGGATCTGGACCTCACTCACCGACTCTGCAGTTTAGTAGAAGATAAACCAAATCTCGTGCCTTATTCATGTGGCCACCATATTTTGCAGATCGGACCAGCCTTTATCGCCCCAGACCTGCCCTCCAGGAGCTGTGTACGGATTGGAAGCAGAAATGTCTCTGTACTCCAAGAAAATCTGCTAATCTGTCAGCGGTCGGAGTCTACTCAAACAAGCGGCAATCATACACTCTTCTTGTCATCAGGCTGGTAAGCACCAGGCAGAGCGATCCCTGTTGGTAACTTGGTGGACCCGCTACCTGTTATGGTAATCTGGTTGCAACTGGGGTAAAACTGCGCCAACGAACCATTGTTGTTGGTGCGTTGCAGGCCGAGGATTTCATGGCTTCTCATCGTCAGCTTCTCGACACTATCCTGGGTAATCAATTGCAGATCAACGTACCGCAAGAGATATTCACCGGGCGCAATGGATGAGGGAAGAGTGATTGACCAAGTCTACAGAAAGAAACAGTTTAGCAACTCTCACACAGGAGTATATTCTCACACATTATACTGAAACTTGGTTTCCTGGTTCGAATGACTCACTGCAATAACGTAATTAGTAATTGGACTGAGATGGTTTCACGCAGATTGATGTGTAATCAGCTCAAACTCTACTGGTTTGTGTGGAGCCAAAATATAGTGCATGTTCCTCTATGCTTACCACTGTTTTGGGTAGGGAGACGTTTCGACGCCCATGGAGGATTGAGCGAAGCATCGTACCCAGCTTGATGGATTTTGACCCAGACATTCCCGGTCGAGCCCGAGAACGTTTTACAGGATCCCCCACAACTGGCCAGGTAGGTCATGACTAGGTAGCACCAGTTGATTAGTTTAATACCATGTGAGTATCGGTGTCTATAGTACTGACTTGGACCAGGATGATCTGACTGCCAATCTGTCCAGTAAAACGTAAGTTTGCTTCCCGAAGCAACTGAGGCAGTCATATTGACGGGAACGTTGTTGGGTTCACCATCAATGCCGTAGTTGCAAGTTATTGCGTCGGTCTGAAAGGGTTAGTTCATGATCGGTGCATTGCTGTGCTTCCTGAGGCTGACAGTAAACTTGCCATCTGTCACAGGCCCGTTGTCTGGGAACTTTCGAGTGATTTTGGTGACTTTCTTTTGAGGATCCTTGTAAGGGTTCCAAGTATCGACAAGTTGATTTCCCATCTTGATTTGCTGCACATACCCATGGCCTGCTACGAATGTGACCAACAAGGCCCAACACGCGAACTGAGTTGGGAACATTTTGTCTTCAGCAAGATTCTGCAATAATTTAGAATGCTAGAGGATATGGACGACCTCATCGTAGCCCTCCGCGGCCTGCAGTTCACGAAATGGTTGACCATACTTATAAGCAGGGAGAAACGACTCAACCTTGAGCCGCAATTGGCCACGGATTACCTTGTTGGTGGAAAAAGCAGCTACCTGTCTCCAATAATTCAATGTAATCATTCACGTTTGCGAATCAAACTCAGAGTCCAGGAGACCTCAGCCGATGATCTGCAACAGAGGAATGAACTTCCATGGGGTGACGTGCAGTGAGACACCTATGCAAGCTAGTGCGGTGTTACAAATATAGTTGCGTTGATTCCCATGATTTGCTAGGCGTCGTGCAACAGCGGAGCATTGATTCCCGGATTCAAACTGGCCAGGTACAGATGCATGTCTAATTTCGCGTTTTCTTGTGTGTCGTTGTGGACTTCTCAGAAGCTTTTACTATTGGTGGCATTACCATTCCCGGACCCGCGGTTACCGCTGGGGTTGTGCTGGTACAAGCTTCAGCGGCTATGGGTTGCTTCGATGAACAACAAGGTCGTCGGAAGCAATTGCGAGTATATTGTGCAATGTCGCTGGTCAATTTAGAAAATCCTACAATTTTCAGTATGGGTTTGGGGCCATGGACAATATGTTAGGTGGATTCACTTCATCGATTACCTCAGTGGGGCTTCAAGTTCCAGTACAGATATAAGCGAACGTTGGCGGGGCGTCGTGTTTAGACACACTCGAAGGCCGTATTTATAGTTTTGGTATATTAAATTTGGTATAATAAGCTTTGATGGCATGATACCATGCGCCAGTGGTCCTTTTAATGCTATATATTAAGCTCGGGTTGGTGAGACGTGGTATAGAATTGTGGTTTGAGAAAATGTGGTTATGCTTTTTGCGTTTCGTTTATTTAATTTCCCTCTTTTCCGTAGCTTTTAATATGTTATCGCACTTTCTGCCTTTATTTTACGATTATTCGGTTTGGCGACCGTCGATTTATACGCCTATTTTAATTATATAAATAATATACGTTCGATTCGTCGATATAGACGAGGAGGACTGCGTTGGTTGAGGTTGTGTTATTTAAGGAATATGGCTTAAGAGCACCACTCCAGTTTAATATGACGCAGTATGCTGCCTCCAGCAGAGCTGGTGTGATTGAGATACAGTAACGTCATCTATATATATATACAAACGGGATGCTGTTTTAATCAGTCGTGTTCCTAAGAAGCACTAAGCGTCTGACCGATTTCTGGGCACCACGCAACTCTTAAACTCAGTCGTATTAGTCTTGTAAGATATTGTCTATTTGAAGGCCAGGAGAGCGATGGGGGAAAAAAGCCTTAGTGTACAAACGAAAAACCAAACACGAATCATGGTGGATACGAGTATCAATTCGCATATCAACCGGACAAAAGCGCCCAGGTGTCTTCTAGCCAAGGGCCACCTTGAATGAAGGAGGCCTGCTGGAAGGAGGAGGCACCTGTAGGAAGACTAAACAGGTTCTCCGAAGAGCAGAAGACTGATGCCAACGCACAGGTGTCGATTGGTGTCTAAACGGCGAGAGGTCAAATGGTAGCTTACGAGAAGGAGGGCCGGCTCCGATATAGCATGGGACAAGAGAGAACATGGAATTGTTCGAGTAGTGAGCTGTTGTTTAGGTATATATATATATGACTCGCTAAGCCATTGAAAGAACCTGCGCAAAGCTGGATCCAACAAAATAGGACAGGGAGGACAATATTAAGCTTAGATTGTGGCCCTTAAACTACATAATTAGGTACACTTGTGCACAGGCAGATGTAGGGGCATGGTGGTCCGCATGCGTAGGAGAGCTTTTCTAATTCATACACAGAAGCACGAGTTCTCCAGCCGCTCACATCCTAGGTAATGAACTCGCACTGAGAAACTCTGTACCAATTGTCATGATACCCGCCTCAATCGGCCAAAAAAAAAAAAAAAAAACCAAACTACAGCCGTTGCCGCTCTCTCTTAAGAGGAACAAGATCAACGCTACAATGCTGTCGTCTCTGGCTAGCATTTGGATATGGTGGGTTGTTAGAGCCTACCACAGAAAAGCTTCGCAGCCGTCAGCCACCTGGCAGAGCGAAACCCCTGAGCACACACCCCCAGACTTGAAAAAGCTGGGCATTACATCATAACGCAATTCACGATGAATTCTCACGTTACTAATGGAATCGAACGTCAAGCCAGCTATCTTATCATTGGATCATCCCCGATAGCTGACTCGCGCCCCCGGTCAACCCGTCATCTCATGGCCTGGCCAGCACGACTGGAGACCAGCGGGGACTGTTCCTGAAACGGCGATCCCAGCCGGTGGAGATGGGTCAGCACGCGACGGTTACTCACTCATTCACTGCCGCTCCTCAAGTAATGGCAATTGGTACCTTGCGCTGATAACGGCATCGCGGACACGGCCCTATCGTGGCCTAGCATTGTCGAGTGCTACGCGTCGTATGTAAAGCAACGACTCTCGTCCCAAGGACCTTGGCCCTTCTCCTGACCCGACTTTGGTTTTCTCCACTGCCCATGACCTCTCCTGCCAGACCGACGACCACCGATTGAACGACCGCTTCGCCCAGCATGACCACTGCATCCGTCGCCAGCGGCCACCATGGGCGCAAATCCGTCGACGCGGCCGCGGCAGACGATGCCCTCGCCAAGATGGGCTACAAATCTGAGCTGCCGCGGAGTTTGAGCATGCTCTCGGTCCTCGGCTTGTCCTTTGCCATTATGGCTGTGCCCTACGGTCTCAGTACTACATTCTACATCACGCTTTCCAACGGACAGTCCGTTACTATCATCTGGGGCTGGGTCCTGCTCTCCCTCATCTCAACCGCCATCGCCGCCTCCTTGGCCGAGATCTGCTCCGTCTACCCAACTGCCGGCGGCGTGTACTACTGGGCTGCCCTGCTCTCCACACCGAGGTGGGCGCCGATTGCCAGTTGGATCACGGGATGGCTGACGCTGGTTGGTAACTGGACCGTGACGCTATCAATCAACTTCGGCGGCGCGCAATTGATCCTCAGCGCCATTTCTCTGTGGGACGAAGAGTTTGTGGCCAATGAATGGCAGACTGTTCTCATGTTCTGGGCTGTCATGTTGGTGTGCTATCTCATCAATGTTTTCGGATCGAAGTACCTGGACTTGATCAATACTATTTGCATCTACTGGACCGGAGCGGCGATAGTCATCATCTTGATTGTACTTCTGGTTATGTCTCCAGAAAAACGGAGCGGCGAATTCGTCTTCGCTCACTACGATGCGTCCGCGTCGGGCTGGCCATCGGGGTGGTCCTTCTTTGTAGGATTACTGCAGCCTGCCTACGTCCTCACAGGTTATGGCATGGTTGCTGCCATGTGCGAGGAAGTGCAGACGCCTGAGCGTGAGGTTCCGAAGGCTATTGTTCTTTCTGTTGTTGCCGCGGGTATCACAGGTCTCCTATTTTTGATCCCGATCCTCTTCGTTCTCCCCGACGTGCAGACCCTCCTCGATGTTGCCAACGGCCAGCCAATTGGGTACATCTTCAAGACCGCCACGGGGAGTGCCGGAGGCGGCTTTGGACTGCTGTTTCTCATTCTGGGTATCTGGTTGTTTGCTGGTGTTGGCGCCCTCACAGCCTCCAGTCGATGCACCTATGCCTTTGCACGTGACGGTGCCATTCCTGGCTCTGGCCTCTGGAGCAAAGTTGACAAGCGTTTCGACATCCCCCACTGGGCCCTCATCCTTTCGACCATTGTCGACTGCCTCCTGGGCTTGATCTACTTCGGCTCCACTGCGGCTTTCAGCAGTTTCACCGGTGTTGCCACCATCTGTCTCTGTACTTCTTACGGTCTCCCGATTCTCGTGTCTGTCATGCGCGGGAGAAAGCATGTGGAACATGCCTCATTTTCTCTTGGAAAGATTGGATTTGTTACTAATGTCACAACCCTGCTCTGGATTGTGTTGGCTATCTTCTTGTTCTGTATGCCTACCAACCTCACCGATCTCGATGCCTCGAGTATGAATTATGCGAGTGTTGTGTTCGCCGGCTTTGCATCTATCAGCATGATCTGGTACTTTGTTTGGGGCCGAAAGAACTTTTCAGGGCCACCTATATTGAAGTCCGAGTTGGCAGAACGGGGAGTTGGTGTGGTCAGAGGCCAGTCACTTGACGAGGAGGCCACTGCGGAGGCCAAAACGATGAAGAAAGATGGCATTGAGAAGACAGCATAGTCCACCATTCTTATATAACCTTTATTATACTCATCATTAGCGCTCACCGAGTAGCCATTGAATTCCGTTCAATTCTTAAAAATGTCTCCAATCCTTACTCGCACAGGTCTCCCCAGGGATCAATGACGAAGTTGACTGCTGCTTAACATGTATACGGCAAGTAAGTGACGGGAGAGCCGCGAGAGCTGTTCAGCAGTTTTGGTATCCATGCGGTGAAGAAGTCCGACCGGCCCATTGCCTCTCATCGGTCGTGACGCAAGCCATGGGATGGCCAGATGCCGTTCATAAACGTTCACCGTTATCTCTGAAAGTTGCGCAAGCATTTGGAACCAGAAGTACCATATGTACTGAATGCTTTATTGAAATGAATCACTTCGGAAAGAGACAGACTTTGTTGCACCTCTGAAATCTTTGGGCATCACGAGATTTGAGAGCTCCAGAACCCAATGATGGTGCTGCGCTGGAATGAGATTTGGGGGTCAATACTAGTTGCGTCCCGCATCGTCCTGTTGTGTTTATATCCCCCCCTTCTGACCATTTACTGATTTTCTCCTATGAAACACCAAGCTGTGGAAAGTGGTATTGACGCGGGAAGAAAGGCAACTTTCTGATCTGGAAGTCATAGAAGGAGAACTGTCCCGATCATAGACTGAGCAATCAGTGCAGAGTACCACTGAGATACTGCTGAAACTGGAAAAAAGACGTTATATCTACAAGGAGCAGCAACGTCGGCGAAGTGAAATTACCTAGTCAGTCGGGTTGGGTATGAACCACTGCTAAGGTATGATTCCCAAGGTAAACTTGGAGCCAATGTTACATCCCAGTCTGCAGCTTTCCCAAATTGTTAACTATAGTTATTACGAAAACTGGAATGCACCTGACATTAGTGATGCAATGGAAGTTGAAATGGTATTTCGTACAGGATGAAACGCTGGTGGTGTTCTTTTGAACGTCTCATACAAATGAGTACAACAAAGATTTAGACAGACGTCCTCTGCTTTCTGAGAATGGGCTGCACTACAATTCCTTCCCGTATCGACCCTCGAGATGACCAAACACTCAGGCAATACGGACCAATCTTTGAATGTCACAACTCCTTACAAGTCCATTCATTCAGCTGGCAAGTTTCAACCCCGCAAGACTTCGTCTTGAGCGCTAAGCACCCCGGACCCGCTAAGTTTTGGGGTATGTCTAGTTCCCCGCCACACCTCCGCCGTTATCCCGAGGCTAAGATCTAGCGCCCGCAGACGGTGGGCACCAAGGAATACTGTCCTGTATGAGTCTCCAAGGAACACCCTCGGCAACACTCTCAATTGGCAATGTGGCTATTGCGAGAGACGGCGGAGCCTGGAACCATCGAATGGTAATCTCGTCTGAAGATGGCATGGCGTATCTTATCTGTCGGCCGGCGGGCATTGCTACTACACGGCACCGCCGTCCCCACCCGGAGGCATGTGGCAACCAGCGCGGCCGAGGCCGCCGAGGAACTCACCCACAGCTTCGCGAGCAAGACCAGCACGCGGCGGCAGCTCCTGGACGGCAACCAGCTGCAGAAGCTGAGCTTGACCCTCAGCCGAAGAGAACTGCACCCGGGCCTTGATATCTCGGAGGATGCCCCGCCCGCCGGCACTCCTCTGCCGCGGGGCTACCACCTGGTCTACTTCACCCCGGGAGGGCTGGAGCCCGAGCTGGGGCCCGACGGGACGGACCGCACGTTCAACTCGCCGGCCCCCTTCACGCGGCGGATGTGGGCCGGCGGGCGGATGCGCTGGGATGCGCACAACCAGCTGCGGGTCGGCGAGCTGGCTGAGGAGCGCACGCGGCTGCTGAGCGCGGCGCCGAAGCGGAGTCGTGATGGGTCCGAGATGGTCTTGGTGGATGTCGAGAAGCAGTTCTGGAACGAGAAGGGGCTCGCCTTGGTAGACCAGCGGTGAGTGTGTAGGTTTAGTGGGCGATATCGCTGGGAAGCCTACTTGGAGGCTCGTCTTGCAGTGAATGTAGGTGTAACTGACAGCCACCTGATAGATCGTGGATCTTCCGGCCAGAGCTGAAGGCCGCAACTGAACCGATAGCCGATCCAGTACAGGGCACAGTTATAAGAGGTCCCTCAATCGTTCAAGATGAGAGGATTGACGGGCGAGGTGAGTCCTCCGTGACCCAGCCAAGCAGCTGCAGCCTACATTTCGCGGCGATCTGCCCAGGAAATTTTATGCAGAGGATACCATCACTAACCAAACCACAAAAGACTATCCCCAGCGCAGATTGCGCTGGTCTCCCGTAGGCCTCTTCCGATTCTCGGCGCTGACGTTCAACGGGCACAAGATCCATTACGACGAGAGCTGGACGCAGAGCGTCGAGAACCACCAGGCGCAGGTGGTCCACGGCCCGCTGAACCTCATCAGCATCCTGGACTACTGGCGGGATGTGGGCGGCCGGGGAGACGCGCGTCAGATCCAGTACCGGGCCATGTCGCCCCTTTACGCGGGAGACACATATCACATTCGTACGGCTGATGGCGAGAGAACGGCGCAGGAAGGGAAAACAGAAATTCTGGTTGAGAAGGATGCCACCGTCTGCATGAAAGCAAACATCGAATAAGTATGACGCGATGAACAAAAACCTTAAAAAACTTATAAAAGTGGCAGCAGGCATACTTGTAAACCATACTATCTATGGGGCTGCGGCAGTAGTGTGGTCGCGGTGTAACTTGCCATGTTATATATACCTACCGTATCTAAGAGTTGTCGTACTTACGCGGGGTGAACGAGCAGAGTATGGCACAGCAGTAAGACAAATCAAATATGTAATGTTTCATGTTTGTGATTCTGCTATCTTCGTGATTGTGTGCGAAGAAGTCACACTCAAGACGCTGAAGCGTATACAAACCAAATCAAATCTCATGGGATATCATCGCTTCCGCCAATGCGCCAAAACATTCGCTCCTCTGTCCGTATGGTATTCTTTGCTTTTATAAATCGCCCATACTGCTGTAGCCGCTTATTGCACCACCCGCTGTGGCAACAGAGCTTCCCGTCGTCATCTTGGAGAGGGACATCTGTGTACTACGTCGTCCGATACTCGGTGCAGCGCCAGGCCTTTTCAGCTCCCCGACTTTATCTGGGGAAGTGCTGCCGCTATCATCATATTCATCTGCGTCGTCGGAATGCTCGTCCTCCTCATCGTTTGATGACAGTTCTCCATTCGCAGAGAATGGCTGACCCGGACGATATATTAACCGTCGACTGATCACTGCATCATCGTCGCTTTCGCTGTCAGACTCGGTCGATGAATAAGTCTTGTCTGAGGACCCAAAGAAAAAGGTCGGTGGGGGAAGGGGAGTGGGCGGCAGCCGTTGCACTTTTCCAGTAAGATATTCGATAGCGACCTGCGGCTCGACCGTCTGATAACCCTGCATCTGCTGTGGCGATCCCGTAGACATCAAAGCAAGGCGCCCAGCAATTGATTCGGTAGTGTCTCTGGACAAGGCGGAGTCGTCGCTTCGCCGTTCTACCGGCTTGGGTCGCTGGGGTGGCTCATTCTTCCGGACGCATTTAGGCCTACGGGTGGACACGACAACCACAAAATGATCATCAGGGGTAACACCTCCAAGACCACTGGCCTCGAAATTTGTTAATTTGCAGGTTTGCGTCGAGTCCGACCAGGTAAGCTCCCCATCAATCTCATCAGAAAGATCGCTCTCGTCGGATGGCGTGGAAGCTTCTGGAGGAGCGAAATCGAGATCCATCATGGCCCTGTGGGATACATAGTTGCTGAGTGGCTTGAATGGGATCGACGATCCAGAATCGCTGCGGCGGAACCCAGGACCCTGCATGGCGGGGGGCTCGTTGCCGGATGAGGTCATGTTGTAGGAGTCGGTGGAGACATCCCCCAAATCCCCCGACAGGTCGGTGCAGAACGGAGCACCCGTGTAGTATATGATTGCACCGTCGCGGCGGCGCTTGCGCTGTGAAACCCTGGACACGCCACTCTGGTTCCAACGCGAGTTCATGCCCAGGTTGCTCTCGTCCTGCTGGCCGCACGATGATCCCGTCTCATCTCCCAGGGACGGCTGATCATCCGAGCATGACGTTTGCTGATGGACAAACATTGGCTTGTAATGGAAACTGTCGTCAGAACTGGAGACTTGCTGTGCAAATTTTGAAGGCTCCGACGTGACATCGTTTCCCGTGGCGAGTTGAGTTTTCTGTTTTTTGCGCTGATCATGCGCGTTGGAGCCGTCCGAGTCGGGGCTCGATTGCCCGTGCTGCGAGTTGCTTCCGCTGCTGTCGCTGCTGAACTTGGTGTTCTCCTCACCTCCCCGCCAACGGATCTTGCGACCATCCGGTGACAATTGAAACTGCGTGCTCTTCTCCGCCACGGCGGACCGGATGAATGCAGGTGTAACATTCAAGATGTGTAGCTGTGCCAAATTGCCGAGTAGATTCAAGTAGACCCAGCCATCAGCATCTGGTGAAACATCCTTAGCAGAGTACTGTCGGTGTGTTTCGGGAGCCGTCACGCCCAAATGTCGAATGTAATCCATGTTTTCGGACGGCACTTGGGTACGGTCGGGATCCAAATCTCGGGGACGGGTCGGGCGCTGCTCCGGGAGCTTGTCGTCCGGGGGTGATGTCTCATTTTCGTTGAAACCACTTCCGCTACCGCTTCCGATCTCTCTAGAATCCGCCTGGTCTTCATTGGAGTTTGAGGCAGACCTATTACCCCGGGAATGACTTTCTTTCTGACGAGGACCGGGTAAAATCTGTGCTTCTCGGTTTGGTTCAACTGAAGGCAAGTGAGACGGTACAACCTTTACATCTGAAGTGCCCGACATTTCCACCTCCTCGCCAATGGCTGGTGGAACTGTGGCAGCGGATGGCTGCTTGTTTAATCCCTTGCCCGTGAATAGCTGCTCCAGCCGTCGGACGACAAGCTTCTTCTTGGCCTTCTCCGTGAGTAGGCTGGATTGTGGCCACAGGCCTTCGGGCACATCTTGTAGATATTGCTCAACGGCCATGTCCGACTTTTGTCTGGAGAGGCGGCGGGGGAGGGATGGGTCGGAAGAGCCAGCTCCAGTCGACATGGAGGCGTAAGCTGAATCGGTTATGTTCCGCCGGCTGTTCGATCCTGAAGAAGACCAGGCATGTTTTGACATGCCCTTGGACTTGTCCTTGCGTCGCGATGGTGAAGCCCCCGCACTCGACCCGTCGAGGCTGGTAGTAAAATCCCGAAGGGTAGCTTCGAGTTCCCTGCGCTTCCGGCTAGGCAGCCCGTGTACCTTGACCTCGAACAGTTTTTCCCTGCGGAGCGAGTCGGGTCCCATCTGCTTGTATCTCTTCAACTCTTCCCTTAAACGCTTGTTCTCAATGGTAAGATCGTCGACAATGCTGCGGTAATCGTCGGCGCTGCTGCTGTGCGTAAGACCAGGGCGTAGCAAGCCAGATTGGTTGCGATTCTGGAGCATCCTGTAGGCCGGACTCTGGGAAGGTACCAAGCGGTCGTCTTCGTTGGAGGAATCCGTCTCTTTTTGGAAAAATGGTGGATCGACGTCCATTGCGGCCACCCCCGCGTTCGGGCGTTCATTCGATCTATCGAACCATCGCATAGGGTCGCTGGCAGCTGTTTCGTTGCTCTCGTCGGAGGAGTGGCGCCGGGTGGAGTCGGTAATGGATACCTTGGGTACAACTATGGGCGAGTTCCTCTTGGAGCCCTCGCGGCCGAGACGATGATGTCGGAGAGTTATAGAATTCTCGGGCGACGTCCGTCTCGGGTTACGGTATGTGACATTGGGCGGAGGCTGGGAGCCTGCCGGCTTGGTGCTCGCGTCCGCCATCTCGGAATCATTTGTACTGTTTGATGTGTGGTTCGCCTCGCTTCTTCTCTGTTGGCCTGGGCTGTTCATCAAGCCAGTCGAAGATCAGGCTCGTGAATCTGGTTGATGCAGGTCAGCAACCGTGCATGATGGAGAATGTACAGCCGAGAAACACCGTCCGTGGACCATGCGACTGGCATGGCTTGGTGGTCGAGAGGGTATGACTACAGCTCGGGTGAGGCGTCGGTTACGGGCGTGGGGAGCTGTCAAGGATCACGATATACCAGTAGAGGGCGTACGTACATATAACGTGGTCCGCAGCAGCTGACAGGAAGTGTGCGTACGGTTATATTATAGCACCTGGTGTCGGCGTGGGAGAAAAGCGTGGGTTTGCAGTGTGCCGATTGCCGACGACAGGGTCGATGTGGATTATATCGGGGTGTGGAAGCTTGAGCAATGGGCTGGAGTGGGGGGTGGTGGGTGATATGTCATTCAGGTCAATCAGGGAGATCGTGAATAGCTTCATGCGGGCATGCGTGGTGGTGGCAGCAGCAATGGAGGACTGCAGGGTGCAACGGGCTGGGGCATGCAGATGGATAAAGGTGCAACGGGAGGTCAAGGGCGGGATGACATCGCAAACCCAGTATCGTGCGATTGCATCGAGATGGCTGAATTTGCGATGCCTGTCGTCGACAGAGATCCGACACCATGCTCTCCAAGCGTTGTTTGGCTCTGGCTGCCACTTTCGTTTTGACTGTGCAGCACCCAAGTCCTCGATCTCTACCAAGCGGCAAGTTTGTAGAGATCGAGAGAATCGTCCGCCGATCAGGGTCTGGTCCCCGGTTTCCAGCCAGGGCGGGTGTGCCGTTAGGAGGAGCGGGTCGGCAGCGGCCAAGCCTGCGCCAATGACAGCCTGGATGGCATGCCGTGGGCGACGTCAGCCCAGTTCCAGCACCCCGCCGGCGACCAGCGGACTGCACCACCGGGCGTTGGGCTATCGAGAGGTCCAGGTACCGCCATGGGCGAGCATCGCCACCACCTGCGCCGGCTGCCCCAAGTAGCGGTACCCAGCTCTGCCGGCTTCCCAGTAGGGCATGGAAGCCCACAGTCTCAGGTCATCGTCGATTCCTCCATTCAGAGCCTCGGGCTCGCGGCCGAAGCGGCAGTTGATTGGCTCTGTGGTCGTCAGCCAGACAACTTGGCACTCAGGGTCCTCGTCTCAATGCGGACACGACGGCTTTAGTGAGGCCCAGACGCTTCGACGCAGGGTCGTCCACCTGTGCGTTCACGTGAGCTGTCGATGGGCCGTCTGCAACCAGATCGCAAGGACAGTGATGGATGATGATGTTCAAACGCAAAGCAATATCACCGCAACCCTTTCCAAAGGCACGACTTGTCCGCATGCGCGTGCCGGTGTTTCAATGTGACGCTCCCACTATTTACAATAGATCGCCGTAGGTTTGACATGGCTCTCGTGGCCAGATTGCTACGACATACAAATGTACATTGCAGTAGAGAGCCAGCTCGGCCAGAGGTTGCTACACACGGGGCCCATACGGTGCCGCGAAATAATAGTTGGACGGCAGTGGCCAATCAGAGCGCGGTCCTACTCGGGGCCAAGTCCGTGTGCTCCAGGCGAATGAGACACCCGCTCCCCCTTCAGCTATGGGACCTTTCGGCACCAAACGACGATCAATCACGATGGACATCGGATCGCTCGTCACTTTGGCCTAAGACAAGCAAACAAGGCTTGCAAGGGACCTGCACCGTAGAATTAGATGTAGATAGGGGGCATTTCGCAGGGGAGTAGTAGTCCAAATCCGCCCAATCCCGCATCTCTAAGGAGCCCCGGAACACAAGGCAAGAAAGGGTCTTCCGCCCCACAGCCTGAGTTTTGTATGGCTCGATCGCCGGTTAGCTCCAATGTTTTGGGGATCGAGACAGAAGGTACGTACCTTGTAACAACCCTTACCCACGAGACTCTGGTGCCTCGGGGGCCACCGACTTGACATCGAGAGTTTGCTGGTTGGCTGGCTGGCTGGCGGACCCTAATCAGACAGGTAAGAACGTCGTGCTTCTGGCAGGCGCCCAACATCCTGATCTTCGCATTGTTCTCTCGGTAGTGTTTGCATTGATCACATTCTGTAGCTTCTTACTGGGTAGAATTTGGTATGAACCTGAGGAACTAGTATGCATGAGAGTCGCAGCTCATTCATGTGGACCCAATACGGCAAGCGTTCATCTTCTTATACGTTTTCCTGTAGGTCTACAGATATACCAAATCCTGATGCTGTTGCACGACATGGTTGGAATGCCAGCTTAGTGATACGGTGTACAAGTAGTCATGCTACCGTAATGCATTTGGTACAGGCGGAGGGTGATCCCAACCCAGCAATGTGGTTCCTCAGGTTCGTCCACGATGCGGACCGGACCTCGAACTAGTTACTGTATATTCTCGCCGACAGCCGTTCTATAATGGAAGGTGCCACCATGTTAGCACGCACGTTGTAAAACAGAGAAACTATATCAATCAGATTGGGCCTATGCAGATCAACCATATCCCAGGGCAAGCTGGGTTGCCAGGGACTACGGCTGCAGGAACGGCAGATCAACAACACCATGGGAATGCTGGGGATGGGACGGGATGGGATGGGGATTGTCACGACGAGGATCTTTCCACGTGTGGAACAAGGGTCTTTGTACACCTAGTATGCGATTTTGGACTCGCCACCGGACCTTTGTGCCCGAATTTGCTATCGAATTTTAGTTTTTCCCATTACTATAAAGAGCTGCCCCCTCCCCGTCCTTCGATCTCAACGTAGCGTCGGCTTCCCGAAGATCGAGAGAGCCCCCACCCCCTTTCTGTCTGGAGTTCACTCCCAGCAAACATTGAGCTGGTCAGTACCGCTGCCACCCAAATAACAACCCTAACCCACGCCAGTTTGCCACCTCTCGTGGATTCGGAACCACTTCCGTACCTTCGACTCTGAAATCTGCGGCCGACCGAGGCGGCAACTGGGTGGGTCCTCGTCACCTGGAAAGAGAGCACGAGAAGCGGTGGGTGCAAGCAGAACTAGCCTCGGCTGCATAAGCATAGCGGCCGTGCTGTCTGCTGTGCGAACTTCCAGCCCGCAGCGTAGCTGCTTGAATACGGAGGTTTAGTTCTGTTTGGACAGTTATGTGCCTGTCATGTTCGTCTTGGGTGGCTGCTCATGTCGACGGACACAACGAGCGGCACTGACTCTCTACGCCTAGCTAGTGAGAAGTTACTGACACGGGCGCAGACTCACCAGTCTGATGCAACAGCCGTTGGGGGAAGCGAGGTCCAACTGTATCAGCCTATCACGGACACGCCTGTAAGTTCTCGGTCTCCGTAACGCTGGGTAGGACTGAACACGATGTCCAATCACGCCCGCGATTTCGACTTCTTTACTTCCATGACGGAGCACGAACGAGGAACAAGAATTGCACGAATACTGCCGCGATACGGCAACCCGTCCACCTGTGGTCTCAACGTCTTTCCGCCATCATACCCGTATGCACTGTGTTGGACACCAACCGGGTAAGCCACCATGTAGAAAATGCGTTGGGTACAAAAACAAGTTCGACCTGCGGCTTTCAGAAACCCGCCTAGGACCTCGTACCTGCGGCCAATATTCTACAGCTTGGGTTAGAGTAGGTATCTGGTATGCCGGGCCACCATGGATCATGTCACGTTCTATTGTCTATGGATAGTACCCACTGGGCACCACTTCTTAAAGAACATTCTACATGCCTAACCGTTTGTCTGGCCGTTAGCCCTCCAGCGACCTTTTCCAGGCGCCCATGTCCAACTTCTGACGGCAAGACCTCCGGTTGAGGCACTGGCACCGGCACCGGCAGAGCGACGCTGTTTGATGGATTGGAACATATGCTTCCTAGCGTTGACACTTCGATTCGAGAACCCAACACCATGGGCTGATCGGAGAGCCTCGCATACATCACGGAGGTACATATCTGCCTTTTTGATCGGCATGTGCATGAAGTTGTGTGGGACTCCGTAGTATCTTCTCGCAGTCGTTCTCACGCCCGCCGCGATGAGCCTCTGGCCGTACACCTCGCCTTCGTCCCTCAAGGGATCAGCGCTTGCAGTCGCAATGAAAGTGTCACAGACACCCTCCAGCTCCCCGTGAAGAGGGTTAGTGTAAATTTCCGGCAGGGTCGCGCTTCCCGACTCATCGTCGGCGTCCTCATGCATACCCCTCTCACGGTAGAACATAATGCGGTTCCAATTCAAGCAAGGGGCATTCTCGTTCTCGACGAAAGATGGAAACTCGGAATCGGTAGGTGTCGTGTAGTGCGCATGTGATACGACGGTAGGTACGCCGAGGATGGCTGAGAGACTTTCAGTGATTGTGATACTTTGGTGGATGTTTGAATATTCTTACCAAGTTTCAAAGAGATCTTGGCGTCACGAGCCAGTTGTTGCACAACAGCCGCGATATGGCCCCCTGCTGAGATGCCACCGATAGATATCGAATCCGGTCGAGCGTTGATATTGGCACCATATTTATGGACCTGATTCTACATGTCAGCAAGAACCGTGAGAATCCTTTCGAATAAATTTAAATACCCATTGTACGGCAGCCCAGCAATCCTTGTGACCCTTGCCCGCCTTGTGCTCTGCTACAATGTCAGTCTCAATCAAGTGTATCATACATTACAGGACTCACCAGGCCTTAGCCGGTAGTCGATGTCAACAACTAGTATTCCAAGCTGTGATCGCAGCTTCATACATATTGAGGCGTCGCTACTTAAGTCACCAAACGTGAAACCGCCACCTAAGGTACTGTTAGTTGGTGCTCCTAGGCAGCCTTTGGGTACACTTGCCATGGAAGTTCACATGTACGGGGTATGGGCCTGCTCCGTAAGGCGACGAGCGAGGATCCGGCTTATAGAGCCTTGCGGTGAAAATATGCCCATCATCCGATTCGAGGCTAATGTCTTCTACGCATGCCGCCCGCGAATAGTCGCGACAAGCTGGGGATCGGAGCCGTGTCCGATTTGCTCGTATCTTTTCGATAGGTGCAGAGTTATCCGGCTTAGCTTTGCTGAGCCTAAGGTTGTAGTAGTCGATGAAGTCTTGATCTAGACGGCCCACAAAGTCAGGGTGGAGCGGATTGGCTATAGCCCTAGGGGCGTCTAGTAGTTCTTGATCACTAATGGAAGGTGGCATATCGATGTTGTGATAGGTATAGGATAACGATGATGTCAACGCACTTAGAAAGGAGAAATTAGCTCTTGCTCACATGAAGCATGCCTCTTTTATTGCAAAGGAAAAGAAAGCGAACTATCACACCAGCCATCTCCGTGGCAATGACTCCAACGCGCGTACCCAAATCATGTCGGAAAACCCGATCGCACATCCGATCTAAGTGGCCGGGATAACACCGCCCCAACTATACGGCCAACCTTCCCACAAGGACTGATTAAACCAAGCTCACAGGACACGGGGCAACCTCAACCTACTTGATGGATCTAGTTGGATGATCGAGTTTCTATATTTACTTCGCCGCATAGGCACCTCCGGCTCAAGCTACCGGGAAATCAAACGAGAAGTCATCCATGCCGCTAAAGTCATTTGGCCAGCCATTCGCTAACTGGAACCACATACCATGCAGCAAAGCCTTTTTGGCTGCATCATCAATGACGTTCAGTCTCAGAGTATTGTTGAGATAAGATGCTTCTCTGTGCGAGTGTGAATCGCCGTTGGGAAGAGGGCAGAGACCATTACCGGGCTCCGGCCGATACTGAGCTTTCAGATAAGAGTCTGTAAAGAGCTGCTCCTGGTCTCGATCCTGATTGTTTGGATCATCCTCACTGTCATCTAGGTTGATGGAAATGGGCTCGCCGAGATAGACCAAGCGGTAGACAGCAGCCCATACTCTCATGGTATTGCCCCATGGCCTGGCGACTGCCCAAGTCCTTTTCCAGGTATGCATAACGTCCATGAATAGGGCCAAGTAAGCTTGCGCTTGAACCCGCGCCTCTGGTTGAATCATCTCTATGTCGCTAGCAAACTGTAGCCATAGGAATGTCGGGGCTGCTGATAGCATCGCGGCGGCTACCCAGGCGGACTGGAGGTGGGACAACCCTGTTTCCCCGGTATCATACAGCATTGACGCAATCTCTCCAACCGCCAGCGCATTTGATACACACGTCGTGATGAATGCAGGCTCTCTACGTAGTAAGGACCAACCGGAAGCATCCAGAGTGTCGCTCAGGAGTGCTGATCCATTGGTCTGGGGAAGGTACAGCTGATGTGCCACGCAAAATGCACTGCGCAGGAGAAAGTGCATAGTGACAAACACAGCTCCTTGGCCTACAGTATTATGTAGCTCATAGTTCTCCCTGCTCCAGGCCAGCGTGACAGGAAGGGATGTCGCCCATTCCCTCAGCCTGTTATGGCGCTGAAAGAAGCGGCTTGCTGGGTGCGTCGGCGCTGTCTTCTCAAAGAACCGGCCTCCGCACACTTTAATGTCGGCAACCGCACTCCAGAGCGTTAACGTCTTTACGTAGAAAGGCATCAGCCCAGTGTCCGACACACGGCCAGCAAACCCGCCAACAGCGAGGTTGGATAGAGTAAGGCCCTTTGTCGTCTCGCCGTAGGCCAAAGACGTCTCTGAGATGGGAAGGGCAACCGATATATGCCCCTCGTACAGTGTCCGAGGCTTGGCCATCACGAAGGCGATGAGCCGGTCGAACAGCAGACAGGCCCAGAAGGTGCGACGGCGAAGTTCCTGGTCTTTTGAGGAGTGTCTCTGGTGAAATTCCCTATTAAGGCGCATCAGTTGGGCCATGCGAATCGCGGCCCCGATATGAAGCCAGTGACTGGAACCGGCATCAGCGAGCAGTTCCGACTGCCCAAGTACCAGATTTGCTTGGATGTTCGCGACTAGAAGAGCAGATAGTCAGTCTCTGAAGAGGCCGCTGGGTTCACAGGTTTTGCACACCACTCGGCTCATCCGATGTTTCCCTAGCCAGTGATCTGGCTCTTGGAGTATATTGGGCCCATACCGCATGGGGACTGCTACATCCAAAATGAGACTGTGCTTCATCCTGAGTTAAGTATCGGGCACACAGAGATATGATGGAAGTCGTCAAGAAAGGCGTCTCGGCATAATGTGCCTCAAGGTCAGGCCGATAGACGAAGCAACAGAAATCTGTAGCCCAATGATGTTGTACAAACAAGTCTATACATCTTCTGACTGCTATACGGTCTGGCAGAATAGGCGAGGCTAATGGCGGACTAGTCGAAGTAGATGTCAGAGGGGACACCTGCGTGATAATACTGACAGGAAGTTCAGTGTCATCGGGCCAGACGCACTGCCTGCGTCTTGATGCGCAGTGTCTACAGCGAGGCCGAGCACCGTCACATTTCGTCTTTCTACGTCGACTATACACCCCATTAGATCATTGTACAATAGCCACGCGCGCTAGGTAGTTCTCTAGGGCTATTCACCATGCGACGCAGGCCTGAGGGGTGCGGCGGGCTCTATACGCTGGACTTGAGCTCATAGCACAATTGGCGTGTGACAAAATTCGGACGTGATTGAATTGATCGGCTCGAAACCGACGAGGCCCGTGGTACTTCTTCGACGAACGGAGGGGACTTCTGGCCGCGACATGCAAGAGTGCGGATGATGCAAAGTATCTAAAGGTTCAAGATCGGCATTTCCGATCCAAACCCTGAACATTTCATGTGAAAAACCTAAGCCCAAGTTGATAGGGTGAAAGCTGGCGAGTAATCGTTCCACATGTCCCGAATAGGCAGGTAGCTCGGACCAGGGTCTCGTTGCGCAGGCATAAGGCGCCAAGACACCTGGCGACAGGTTTCCTCTACAAGTTATTCCTGTTCTCCTTCTCTACCCTCACAAGCTTGTAGCATAGAGCGGTTGCTTCCATCCGGCTTTGGGACTAAGGACTCGTGGCGGGGAAGCTGCGAAGACCAAGCTGCTATAGCGTGTGGGGTCTTGTCTATTTCTGACCGTTGTGATGATGAGCGACTCAAGGCGGATACCCCAGCAAATACATAGCACAACCTCATCAATACAACCCTTCGAAAAAAAAAAATGGTTCCCCTTGAGCGAGCTAAGTTACAAGCATCCAAGTAAACATTGAGACCCATACCCCTGGGCTGGTGAAGGTTCATGACCTCTGCGCTGGTGGAGGCGCCAGACTTCCACCAAATGGACTTTTGTCAATAAGTTCTACGAGATCACGAAACAGTTTCCTCAATCTCCTATGATGTCCCCATCCCAATGCACAAACATTGCAGACGACTGTAATGGCGGCTATCGCAGTATTTTGCCACCAATGAAGAGCTCTCCGAATTTCCTCGGCAGTGTCCGTAGTCAGGAGAACGTAGGCATCCTCAGTCTGTTTCCGTAGCCAATACTAAGCAGGGATCTTTCGAAGTCCGGGTCAGCATCATGAACTAACAGAATGGAGTGACTAAGAAAGCAAAAACATATGTGTACGTACCTTACATAAACAATTTCTGTGTACCCCTATTAGCTGCATGAACGTTCCTCCAGTGCTTGAGAAGGCAGCACTAGCACCCAGAATAAGAACGGAGATTGAGTTTAGGTCTCTTAAGGAAGTCTGCCAGAACCCGGTCCTTGGAAAATATCTAGCCACGGCTGAGCCTTCCGCCACTTGAGTCCTATGGTATGTGCGAATCAACCAAAAGGTCATCAAAGGAAGCTGGGTGAGGAAGTAGACCAAGTGCGTCAAGCTGCGACAATCAAACCCCACGCGAGGCGTGTTCTAAGACGTGAGCACTGCCAGAAGGCAAGGTGTCAGCAAGAGCAGAAAAGCGGCGGCCCAGCTGCGAAACCAATCTGTAGTGCTCATACGGAGGTTCCTGACCAAATTTGCGATCTGGTTGCGCTGGGCCATGTTGACATCGCCTTCACCTAGGGTATAACTGTCAACCACCACTCGAAACCATTTGTACTTGTTGTATCCCCGATCCCACAGTCAGACTGTCTTATATCGGCCGCCATATGCATCCTCTATTGAACTCCAGCGAAATACTGTGAGAGATTTCCATCGGCACTTGTTGTCCTTTTCTGTTATGATTTCTTGCTCAACAGGGCGGCCAAGGATGCCGTGCAGTGCAGACGGGTTATTGGCGGCGAGCAGGAGACACGACATGATGGCCAGTTCGGGAACTATCATCCACCCTGACCCGCCACGTCAGGATTGCAACACTGAATGATTGAGGGCAAAACTTACACATTCCGAAAGCAAGAGCATGAGCAGTGTCATTGTCGCCAAGTTTGCTGCGAATGTCGATCAAGTTGTAGATAAAGGAACCAATGAAGAATACCACCGGTGCCCCGAGGGCAGACCCAAAGCTCATCTGGCTGGCTAAAAGCGCTTGAAGACGAGCCTTGACTAACATTATGTTGTCAGACGGAGAGTCAGGCCCAATATCCTCTATAAGACTCGTGACCTCGTCAACGTGTCTATCATGTCTCATCTTGATATTCCCAATTAAGATGATAGACAGCAATCTTGCTCACATATGTTTTGTCGAAATCTCAGTATCGATACGGATGTTTTGATCAAGAATTGTCAGAAGTCGGTGATCCAAATAGGCTTCGTAAATCCCGCTGAGCAACATAGGACCGGCGAAGGCAAAGCATATCGACAACCACAAGATCGTATCGAGGGCGACTATGAACAACGCAGGTGGGAAGCGGATGATGGAGGCCAGCAATCCCATCGTCTGGTTAGGTCCGGGCTTGAAGATCCATGACGGAACTGACAATTTGGAGCTTCGCGGGATGCTGAGACTGAATGCAATACAAGGGAGTATGAAGCCGACTAAAGGTCCTATCCACTGAGTCAAGGCATCTCTGTGTGAGATCTGCCACCCGTCACATCTGTTAGCACACCAGTCGTACTGGACCCTGACCTCGGGTGCCCCCGAATAATCACCGGTGTATGACGCGCCGCATGGGAAATGCCCCTGATCGACTGCGCGCATGAATTCATCGGTGGTCAGGTCGGGTATGTATGAAGGCTGACGAAATGAAAGACTGCCAGCGCGAAAGTTTAAAGAATCGTTCAATGCTAACAGACAGCAATGGTTGAAGTCCTGCCCTCCAAGACGTATAGACCGGAACTGCGAAGAAGGCGGGTTGACAGTGAGGTTTGCGAGCTGTGGAAGAGCCGAAGAGATAGAATCCATGAAAAACTGAGTGCTTGCCGTACGATATCTGAATTGTCGGGAGTATAGGGTTGTTGAGAGAGATAGAAAGGCAGGAAACGAGCCATACAGGTTTCGTTGGTTCGTTCACATGAACTCAATTCAGGTTACCAGCCTTGCGACTCGACCATCATTAATACTTTCCGTAGCGGCAAGAAAGCACCGGCCGCTCACCCGGGAAGGCTCAGATGGATCATAAATGAGGCTCTTCCATTGAGGCATACGTCCGAGCACACTTCCGTGTGCCAAGGGCTGCATTTGATTGTTCACAGACCAATAAGGGTAATTGAGCTGCAGCCTCAAAACCAAAACTGAGTAGGTGGCAACGTGACCATGCGCGGCTGAGCATGTGTGATGGTGCCGAAAAGCTTGTTTTCATTGGCACATTGATCCAAATATCAGCCATTCAACCGGGCCAACCCACAGCTGAATGGGGTGGCTCAAGGGCGTCTGGATGCCGCAATCATTGCTTACTTACATGGATAGATTTGAAACAGAATTGCCAAAACAAATGCCACAGCTTAGGCGCATATGAATCAATCTAAAACGGCTTTCTATTTGGAGCGCTCTATCTGAACAGTTCATCTTTGTAGACCGGCCTCGAAAGCCTCTCCCACATTGATGCCGAGAACGCAGTCTTGTCTGGCAAATCCGACGCATATCTGCCCACCAACAATAGATATAAGCGAAATCATAAGTGCTGCTGAAGTGACATCGGCACCGAAGAAGGATTACGCTCGACTGATTGACCATCTTCCGCTGTGCGTATTCAAAATAGTGAAGCAGGCTGTGGAGCCTTGACTAGTGCGCCGAGGTTTGACACTTCCGACCGACCAACATTTTTGTATAGAAATCTGGCGTGATCCTATCGTTTAACCGTGACACAAGGGAAACAACTGCCAGGCCGAGGATAAGGCCGACATTTATATTTTGCTGCCTACACTCAGCTAGCACCTTGGATAATGCCTCGCCCTCGATATCGGGCATTCGGATCTGCGATCTGTAGAGTCTTGTACGTACCGAGGCCTGATATGGCTTGTGCGTATCTCTTCTAAGGACTGAATTTACAAGTCTTTTCCGAAACTAACCTCAGAGTACAGGTTGGTGTGGTAGGAAGCTTGAAGATGTGGAGGTATCCTTGGTTTGCATTTTTGCAGTATTAGGATATACTCATGATGTAGCTCCATCCCCTTAGCTTTGACGAATCCCAGATCTTGGAGCAAATATCCCCGAAATTTCTTCCCCGATATCCCGTCACATTGTGGATGATTCCATTCGAATCAGATCTCAAGAAAGCTCAGCAAAGACTCAAATCTATATTCTTCGACTTTGAGCCCTGCTGTGCTCCCTTCGATATGACCGTGGCAGAAATCAACAAACTTGGTCCACAGCGTTTGTATCTTGGGCCCTCCCCTAGGTTGGCACCTTCGTGGGTGAGCAGTCAGATTGATAATCTCCGGCACAAGCATGAAGAGCGATTGTAGCTCCAGGCATAGGATATAGCACAACAATCTAATATCATGGTTGAGACTGAAGGACGTCGTTGACTACCTACTGCAAATCAGCTGCGGGGTTCATGTGTCTAATCGACACAATAGAGATGATAATCATGGTGCAAGTCTATGATCATGGTACTTATTCAACCCTAGAAACGGTAAATAGCAACCTGCGGCTGTTCTCGTCCTCGACGGGGCTATTAGGATTGATTCCGATCATATCCATGGTGCCCTCAACCTCCCATCGGGTTGATGTAGCCTCCCCTACTTCTCGCCACATGGCGTTGAATGTCTCGACATTGTGCCTATAGCTGACACTTCCCTCCTGGATGGCGGGAACATCCCCCGGCTTCACGCTACCCATCTGCCGGCCAACAATGATCCCGCCTTTCTTGACCAGTCTTGAGAGCTGTTCAGCCGCAGCGATCTGCCTCTCAAGTGTAAACAGGTGAAAGAAGGCGCTGCAATGCATGACATCGGCGCCGCCGCGCTCTTCCAGCTCCGTCCAGACCTCACCTTGCGCTGGACCCTGGAACACGTTGGCCACCACGAAACGAGATTGAAGTGTCTCCCGGTCAAGGAAGAATTCGTAACCAAGCTCCATCAATGGACCGGCGACGTCGAGACCCGTGAGCCTGGCTGAGGGAACTCCGTCCTGTACCAGCTGCCGCAGATCCTGGCCGAAACAGCAACCAACGTCCAGGTAGGTGGCATCATCTGTAGTCATGAGGCGCGATACAATCCTATCGTATAATGAGTGTGTAATAAGCGTCAGATTAGTAAAACGGTACAGCCCAATGCACGGGTAAGGATTGGCCGCGAAGCCCCGTTCACGCTGCGTCTCTATCAGGCGGCATTCTTTAAGGGCGCAGAGTCTTGAGATCAGCTACTTACTATGCTGTTCACATGTTGGACAACATCGGAACTGGGAACCTTGGAATAACTCTCCAGGAGTCTTCGGATAGGCTCGTTGACTTCGGTCAGGTCGTCTTGGTACCATCCTCGATTTCGCTTGGGGGAGGACTTGTCATTAGTAGCAGCCATTGGGAAATTCGGAAATCCGTATTTCGCGTGTTATTCGAGTGAAATAAATGAGTGAAATGAAAAACGGGCATAAGAAACGGATCATTCGCCTAATAAGGGAGTCTGTTGGTTCGGGTGTTGGTCGCGACAACTGCGGGGTGTGGTACTGTAGCACAACGGTCAGCAACGAGCTCCACATTGGTAGGCAACTCTATTAGTTTTGCTTGACTGCTCAAAACACTATGGGAAATAAGTGATCTGTGTTCTAAATATTCGTTCGTATCGGATTAATTAAAAACCACCACGAAAGAGACCGGCTGAGGCTAGGCCTAGTTGCATTTGTCGAAAATGCAGACATCAGAAGGTTTGAGTAAATGACACCAAACCAGTTGCCCATGATTATGATATAGCAAGTTAGAACCTTCGCAGTCAGGTAGATCTGGTATGAATTGAAGTACCGAAGCGTCTAGTGTATCGGGGATTTCTCAACGTCCTCTTTCCTGAACAACAGGCAGCGGGTGCATAGCCTTATTATATGGTCAAGTCGGCCCGCTGATCGTGCCCAATCTTTGATGAGAGCTTGGCGCGAGTGGGAAAACTGATAACAATATGATGAATTCCTTTGTGGGGTTTGCAAATTATCGACAGGAGCATTGTAGATAGAATCGGACGACTACTAAGTACTCTCTTAGAGGTCAAATTTCCGCGTATACTCATACATTCTCGCTAAAAACATGCGCAGAATGGGCAATTTCAATACAAGTATTGAATAGCGGGTAGGCTATCTGCCCCTCAGGTCGGAACGAAAGGTCTTTTGGGGTGAGAATAGGCTTCCACCAATACGGTCTTGTCGGTTGTTGGAAGTCTAGGCTCTGTTAAGGTTCGCGACGGCAGACATCTTAAACGTCTAACATCATAGGCGGGACCAGCACTCAAGTAATCAGTGGATACACCACGACTAGCACTTGCGTTCCAACCTCATATAGCTTCCCTTGAGTGACTCTCTTCTCATGGGTTAGAGATAGCACGAGCCAGCTCCGTTTTATACACACATAACGTTGACCCGAGAAAAGGACATAAGCTTAACATTACGGAGAGGCGGAACGTCCAGAGCAGAGATGAGCGGCTCACAAAGCTCTTCTTTCATCCAGGAGGCGCGCCGGATGTGTGATCGACTGGATAAGCTCGAGTCGTCACTGAAGGAAACCCGCTCGGTAAGCGGGACGCCCTACTGACCGTGCGATTGACTACCATAGAGCACGACCACTGACGTTGTCCAGACACTGCAAAAGGGCTACGACCTTGACGTAAGCGCAAAGGTCACGCCTCGATCTCCGGCCCGGACTTCGATCCCGGAAGAGTCCAGGACCATCAAGCCCGTTGCCGCACCAAAGACGTTGGGCGCTCCGAAGGCGAACTCGGTGCAGAAAGCGGCAAACAAGCCAGCAGGAACCAAGAGCACACAGAAGCCGAGTAGTCAGCCAAAACAGGGTGGCACCAAGACTGTGAACATGGATAATGGGCCTGTGGTTAAGAAAGTGAGTGGCACGAGTTCAAAGAAATGAGACCAGTCTCAGCGGTTCCGAGATGGAAGAGGCCGGGGAAGGCGGAAGGGGACGATGTACCTAGCCCCCCTGGGTGAGAAGAGTTAAGCATCAAGTCACGAAGTCATTGGCTGGCTGGCTGCATTCATTGGCCATGGTATTCAGCCTCTCGTGTTTGAAACCGAGAAAATGACTGAGAATGAGGGAGGCAGTACTACCGACCGAGTTTTTGCAACATACACTACCATTAATGAATAGATTGTGAGAATGGTATCGAGTTGTACTGTAGTTGACCGCACCAATGGATTGATTTCCTGGTGATATTCTCCCGCTAAGCTGGGGTAAAGGCCCGTGCGCGCACTACTGATTCGTCCCTCTCAGGGCCTCTGTTCCCCTTGCGGCCTTGCCCCCCCCCCTTGGCCCCCCTTTGGGAGTCGGGCTTGGCATCTCGAAAGGCTGCAGCAATTTTTTGAAGCTCCCCAAAAAGCTTCATCAGCCGGAGCACATCTCGGCCAGCCAACAGTCCACCCCGCCATTCTCCCCTCCCAATACACGATCCTCTTCGACGCGTCCCGGGCCACTCACGCGACCATCTGCACGCATTCCCTCCCTCCAGGTGCACGCTTGTTCCGCTGCCCAACATGTCGTTCGGCGGGCAAACCCCCACCATCATCGTGCTGAAAGAAGGTAAGTGACCGGGCCCCTCCTCGTCCCAGGGGGACGGACGGATCTGGCGCCCGAACAGAAAGAACACCATGGACTGACACCCCCTCTCTCTGCAGGCACCGACTCTTCTCAGGGCAAGGGACAGATCATCACCAACATCAACGCATGTCTGGCCGTCCAGAACACCATCAAGCCCACTCTGGGCCCCTACGGCGGTGACCTGCTCATGGTTGACGAGAATGGCAGGCAGACCATCACCAACGACGGCGCCACCGTCATGAAGCTCCTCGACATTGTCCACCCCGCCGCCCGCATCCTCGTCGACATCGCGAGATCACAAGACGCCGAGGTCGGCGACGGCACCACCTCCGTCGTCGTCCTGGCCGGCGAGATCCTCAAGGAGATCAGAGAGCACGTCGAGCAGGGCGTCAGTTCCCAGATCATCGTCAAGAGTCTGCGCAGGGCCTCGGCCATCGCCGTCAACAAGATCAAGGAGATTGCCGTCCGGACGGACGAGGGAAACAAGCGCGACACCCTGACCAAGCTGGCCGGTACCGCCATGACCAGCAAGCTCATCAAGAGAAACACCACATTCTTCACCAAGATGGTCGTCGACGCCGTCTTGTCCCTGGACCAGGACGACCTCAACGAGAAGCTGATCGGCATCAAGAAGATCCCCGGTGGCTCTCTGACCGACTCCCTGTTTGTCAACGGTGTCGCCTTCAAGAAGACCTTCTCCTATGCCGGTTTCGAGCAGCAGCCCAAGTCCTTCGAGAAGCCCAAGGTCGTCTGCCTGAACGTCGAGCTTGAGCTCAAGGCCGAGAAGGACAACGCCGAGGTGCGCGTGGAGCAAGTATCAGAATACCAGGCCATCGTCGACGCCGAATGGCAAATCATCTTCAAGAAGCTGGAGGCCGTCTACAAGACTGGCGCCAAGGTTGTCCTCTCCAAGCTCCCCATCGGAGACTTGGCCACCCAATACTTTGCAGACCGTGACATCTTCTGCGCCGGACGCGTCTCCTCCCAGGACATGGAGCGGGTCGTCCAGGCTACTGGTGCCACCGTCCAGTCAACATGCTCCGACATTCAGCCCCATCACCTGGGTGTCTGCGGCAAGTTCGAAGAGCGCCAGATCGGTGGCGAGCGCTTCAACTTCTTCGAGGAGTGCCCGGAGGCCAAGACGTGCACCCTGGTTCTCCGTGGCGGTGCCGAGCAGTTCATTGCGGAGGTCGAGAGATCTCTCCACGACGCCATCATGATTGTCAAGCGTGCCATCAAGAACCAGATGATCGTCGGTGGTGGTGGCGCTTGCGAGATGGAGATCTCGGCCTACCTGCACAGCTTTGCCGACAAGAAGGTGCCGCACAAGCAACAAGCCATCATCAAGTCGTTCGCCAAGGCGCTCGAGGTCATCCCGCGCCAGCTTTGCGATAATGCCGGCTTTGATGCCACAGACATTTTGAACAAGCTTAGAGTGGAGCACCGCAAGGGCAAGGTGTGGGCCGGCGTTGACTTCACGAACGAGGGCGTTGCAGACATGATGGAGAGATTTGTGTGGGAGCCCGCCCTGATCAAGATCAACGCCATCCAAGCAGCGACCGAGGCCAGTTGCTTGATCCTGGGAGTTGATGAGACCATCAGGAATGAGGAGAGCGCGCAACCTCAAGCCCCTGGAAAGCCCCTGCCCCCGGGTGCTGCTCAGAGAGCACTTAGAGGACGTGGACGTGGCATGCCCAGACGGTAAAAAAAGAAACGTTGGGTTATGGCATGTTGGAGGATCAGATGGAGCGTGGATGTATAATACCTAAAAGTGAGGCTTCAAGACCAGGTATGAGATGGCGCCATATAGAGCCAAAATGAAAGGGAACTACGTTTTCAGGACCACACACTCTGTGTTTTGACCATATCTGGTGTTTGCCAGCTGTCTATGTGTTCTACGTTTTGACGAGCCATCAAAGCCTCTCCACCTCCAATGGTTCTTTCATCCAAAGTGACATATTCCCAAATGTTGATCATGTATCCACCGACGACCTGGAAAGTATTAGACGACTACTATCTTTTTCTTTTCTTTTCTGGATTCGATGTTAACGGTATACGGATTCCGCATACGTCGCTAATCTTCCCCCGATCTGAGTGGCTCGACAATTACGAGATGGTGCTGTGCGGCTAGGGCCCTCTTGGTGAGTCATCTGCAGGTGGTACTAGCCCGACTAAGCAGCTGACTTCTTAAACTGCACCATATTCAGGTGGAGTACTGAGTATGCAGTCATTCCTTCTACCATACTTGCCAATATAATCTGACTCATAGGGGCTTACACATACCTTCTGCTGTACGATTGAAGAAGAAAATGTCAGTGGGTTGTTTGTGTCGTGACTCGACAATCCCTGGAACAGCTGCACAAAGCCGGGTCAAGGTAGTCTACTAGTGATCCGTGTCTATGAGCAGATCACCGAACTTACCTATATAACAGCACTATTCCATCAGCTGAAATGGTTCTGTCGCAACTAGCACATGACAGCTCTCTATAATCATTCTCCAGACTATATAAAGAGCACACCACTGCAATGACTCCATCATTCGAGCCCATCCCCACCAGTTCAGCTGCCCTGGTAGCTTCCTACTCCATTGAACCACCAGGCTACCCCGAGATAGAAGTCGCCCAGGCCGAACACCGCATTAACCTCACCAATTTCTGGGAAATCAAGCCCGGCTCCCGAGTCCTGGAGCTGGGTTGCGGCCAAGGCAATGCCACGGCCGTCCTCGCGCACGCAGTAGGTCCAACGGGCCACATCGACGCCGTGGATCCAGGGGCCCTGGACTACGGCGCGCCGTTCACACTGGCACAGGCACAGGACCACATCAGCCAGAGCGCCGTCGGGGCGAGGATATCGTGGCACCAGGCCACGCCGGAGGACTTCCTGCAGCAGCAGCAGGCGTCGCGCCAGGGCGACGGGGGCGCCGGCGGCACGTGGGACGTGGCGGTCCTGGCGCACTGCATCTGGTACTTCGCGGCGCCCTCGGTGCTGGCGAGCGTGCTGCGCAGCCTGCGGGGCCGCGTCGGCCGCGTCTGCGTCGCCGAGTACGCGCTGCACGCGACGGAGCGGGCGGCGGTCCCCCACGTGCTGGCGGTGCTGGCCCGCGGCACGCTCGAGTCGTACAAGGCTGAGAGCAGCGAGAACGTGCGCAGCCCGCTGGGCCCGCGCGCCATCAAGCAGATCGCGGCCGAGGCCGGGTGGACGGTCGCCCGGGACGGCCGCGGCGAGACGGCCCTGGTCCCCGGGCCGGGCCTGCTGGACGGCAGCTGGGAGACCGGCTCCGTCAAGAGCACCGACTTCCTCGCCGAGATGGACGAGGCGATCCGCGAGGAGCGCGCCAGGCTGGTGGTCGGCACGGCGAGGGATGCGGTGCTGGCTGCTGTGGAGGGGCTGAATGGGGAGAAGGTGCGGACTATGGATGTCTGGGCTGCCGAGTTTGTGGAGGCACAGTAGGAGACAGCCACGATATTTTCGTCCTATACATTGTGGGAGCTGTGTTAATAATATAGCATGGTCACCATCGTGTTTGATTATGATTTTATTTCCAGGTGTATGAGACAGGTATGGAAGTTTGACGTTGCACCGTATGGCCACCCCTAAGAGCCAGGCAATGCAATCTCGATAGATCTGCAGGATGATGACAACAAACCCTGCAGTCTGTATGCTTGACTTGCAACCGCCCGGGCTTTGTTTTTCACTGCTTTTTCAACCCACGCGAAGGGAGTTGAGTGATTCTATATCACTTGGACGTCGAGTCGGGTAAGGTCCAGTCCAGTCGGGTGTACAGAAGCTGGAGGTGGGCAGGTGGGGCTCCAGAATCCGGAACGGGATATCGCCCGGCTCCGGCCCCTGTCGCGCTGCCGCACCTGGACCCGGAAAAAGTTGCTGAGCTCCAGCTCGCTGAGCGCATGCCGACAAACACAGCAACGGCCGCCATGATCATAAGGGAGTTCGGTGTCCGCCAGGGTAAGTAGGGAGCTCTCGCCGTCCCAATTGATGCTTTCTGACGTCCGTGGTATAGGCCGCAAGGCTCTGGCAGCCTCTCTACGACAAGGCCCAGCATGTCTGCGCCAGCTGTCGTCTCTGTCCTCGGAAACCTCAGGAACCCCCGTGGCAGTGGCCGACCCTGTCCTCCAAAGCACCCTCAAGACCTCGCCGGAAGCCAAGAAAACGCCCTCGCTCTTCATGCAGACCGCCAAGCCCGCGCGCAAGCGGCCCGTAGCCCCTGACACGACCAAGCAGGACTGGGAGGACGCGCAGGCGCTGCGCAAGAGCATGCGAGGCGTCGGTACCACGGTCCAGCCAGTCTACTCCCCGAACGACGTCTTCCGCAACCCGCCGGGCCCCAAGGACGTCACTCTCGAGCTGCTCATGGCCTCCCAGGCCCACATGGGCCACCACACCTCCGTGTGGAACCCCGCGAACGCTCGTTACATCCACGGCATCCGCCAGGGAATCCACATCATCTCGCTCGAGGAGACCGCGGCGCATCTGCGACGGGCTGCCCGTGTAGTTGAGGAGGTTGCCTACCGCGGTGGCCTGATCTTGTTCGTGGGCACGAGGCCCGGGCAGACACAGATTGTCACGCAGTCGGCCCGCCTGGCGGACGCCTGCCATTTGTTCACCAAGTGGACGCCCGGCACGATCACCAACAGCGACAAGATTCTACCGGGTCTCCCCATGAAGATCGTCGACCAACATGATAACGAGCTCGAGGGCTTTGATCAGCATCTGATGGAGCGAAGAGCGCTGGTACCTGACCTGGTGGTTTGCTTGAACCCTCTGGAGAATTTCGTCATGCTTCACGAGTGTGGTCTGGCAAACATCCCCACAATCGGAGTCATTGATACCAATACGGAGCCGACATGGGTGACCTACGCCATTCCCGCCAATGATGACAGGTAGGCATATCTTACAAGTGTTTCTTCTCAAGGGGGCAAATCCGCTAACAAGCATAGTCTGCGATGTCTGGCGGTTATTGGCAGTGTTCTTGGCCGCGCTGGTGAGGCGGGCAACAAGCGACGTCTCCAAGACGCTCAGAAGGGTGTGGTCGCGTGGGAGACGCCCCAGGCAATCAGCACGTGGACGAAGATCCATGGAAAGCGAGCTGAATGGGCTGCGAGGGCTGCCAGGGAAGCAGCTGAAGAGCAAGCGGCTCGAGAGGCTGCCTTGTCAGGTGAAGAACCATTAGAGAAGGAAGTCGAGGGGGAGGCTGAGACTGAGGGACGTTTCAGACGTGGCCAAAACTTTAGAGAACGTCGTCCTCCACGCGCAAGTGACGATTCCTGAGCTGTCATGAACGCCCAAGCCTCGGCCTTTGATTAGGCGAGGATGTACAATACAGCACTGTCTAGACATATTAGATGTATTATGTGTATATTAATACCAGCATATGAATCGTGCTGCTAGGCGGATGTCGAGCTATGAATATGGTTCGTGTGACTTCGTCGTGCGTCAGAATCACGGCTCGCCATTACTCTACTACAATGCTGCTGGCTTGAGACCTACGTTGTGCATAGACGGATGACTACAATCCACTCTGTCTTAGATACTTGTGTATTGGTCGTCTGGTTGGAAACATGTGTAGAGTGTAGAGCGGAGCCGCATGAGATTACAGCCAGGATATCCGAGGTGATTACTCGGTTCGCACGTAGGAGGCAAGAAAAGAGGATGTCAACAGATAAAACTGTTGGGTTGGACAACACACGGATAATACAGGGACATATTTCGTTACCACTCCGTGATATCATATCGCAACACTACCCCCTCGATGCTGCTGTGCCCACGGAAGGCCATTCCCCAATCTCAGTCTTCTGAAGACCTATTTCGCCAATCAGACGGGCCTCTCAGTTCTCGGGCCAAGTGGTATGCTATATGGCAAAGGTCGCCGGTTGCAGGACGCAGGCCGGGTAATATGAAACTGTCGACAACTCGGCGCGGCAGAAAACAAACACCCTTGTCTTGCTATTCTTGGATTGCTAGCAAAGAACTACCATATCACCATGATTCTGCTTTATTAAGGAAACGAACGCTGAAGTAGATAGCTGCTAGACTTCCTGCTCCCTACTTCCTGGCGACTCTCTTCTTGAAGCATACGCAGCCCAAGAATAGACCACGTGCTTGTTAAGGGCAAATCAAAATGTCTAGGCTGACTCGAACCGCGTCCGTTGTAGCTCTGCTATGGCATGCTACGGCAGTCATCACTGTCGAAGCAGACAGCAGCCTCGCACCTCCGGGCCACGACTTCCCCTTGTGCTCGGCTCGATCGGAGCAGCCGACATCGTTCAGAATCGGGAACCTGAAATACAGCCATGAGAAAGCCTCTCCGGCGGCGCACCTAGAATTCGACCTTCTAAACAACTCCAACAACCTCACGAGGCACTGCAGCATGGCCGACGCCAGTTTTGTTGCGGCCGGCGGACAGGTGAAGAGTGAGGCCTGGACCGCTTGCGATAACGCCGACGTCGTCAAGATCCCAGAGGCCTACGACGTCACAACACTGGTCCGGTTCGACAGAGCTTCCGTCAACCTGGTCGTGAATCAGACCTGGTACTGTGACGATGTGAACCCCGAGTATCCGTACGTGAACTCAAGAGCTGAAGGCATGAACTGTTCTATGCTGACGAGAACTCATCAAGGATCGGATTCCATGGCACGTCAGACGACAAGGTGCAGAATTTCACTTGCATCTCGACAGGTAAGTTACTGCGGCTGGGCTGCGGCACTACTATTCAAGGGCGTGCTAATGGAGTCGATTTACAGACACCGTCGAGAACTGCTCGGCACCAGACTTTGGTGCGTATCTCTGGGTATATGATAGGTTTGACCTGCCTCCGTACGCTCTGGAAGGATTGTCACCTGGTAGGTCTTAAGCGGTTTGGCAGGGGTACAGGAAGTTTGATCTTGGAGGTAATGGTGTAAATATAAAACAAGAACGACAGAAATAACAACGCGCGGGGGGACATCCGTGCTGCGAAAGGAGAGACCACAGATCAATGGAAAGAGAGCTCGCACCAAAGACTTCCTTACCTGTGGCTGGTTGTCGTTGTATACCATACCTGACATACTCGGCACCTGTCAAATACTATGCAACACATCCTACTTAGTCCAGCGCTGTAGGAAAGCCGCCTCCGCCCACCAGCATTTGTTTGGGTGGGTTTCGGCGAGCGTGTGTTGATCATTCAGCTCTCAACGGCATCCCGCCTCTTTTCACTTGCGAGCTGAGAATGAACCCCTTCAAGTCATTGTGCCCAGCTGCACGGCGTTCCTGGTGTCTCAGAACCCTGGTTCGAGGGCCCTAACAGAACACCCACTTATGGATGGAGATAAGATGGCTGGGCAAAGATAGCTTGATAGCAGGCTTACAGCACATTGGTTTACCTGCGCCCAGAGGTCGGTAGCGGAAGTCCGCACCCCACTTACGCCAACGGTCTCAGTTCCATAGCACTACACGAGTGCTACATTCGCATTCGCGCGTGTACCAGATCGTCGAATAGATAAGGCCTCGTCAGCACCGAAGATGACGGCGATGCAAGCGCACTCGGGGTGATTCCCTCGAACTGAACAAGTCATTTATACTGACTGCTCTTAAGACGCCGTTGGGAACGACACAATCCCGTTTGATTGATAATCCGCCCACACGCTAGCCTGACACACTAGTCAGATCTCTAGAGGTCGAGCCCCTTCTATGAGTCTGTGACCACCCCATATAAGCAGCTGGCGCCAGTGACCAACGGCTACTAGTTAGGCGGCGTGGGAAAGCTTTTACAGGACTGCGGGACTGAAATCTCAAGACCGCCTCCCCGCAACGGCAATCTGCACGTCGAGCCCCCAAGGTTTATAGGCAACCTGGGAAATACCAGCAGGGCAATGGCTGACGACCTGGTGGCTTCCGCAGACAAGCTGGATGTCCAGTTGGACAGCCCCAGAGATGGCGAAGGACCCGTGGACCCGACCTTCGGGGTCGATGAGAAGAAGCTCGTAGCTAAGCTGGATCGCCACCTTATTCCTCTGGTCATGTTGTTATACACTTTCAGTTTTCTCGATCGGTATGTATTTCATTGCTTAAAACCCTATGTTATGCGCAGCAGTCGCTCACGAAACCCAGTGTGAACATTGGAAATGCACGTCTCTATAAACTGTCGGAGGATCTGAACCTGGTCGGGAATCAGTACCAGATTGCCGTGTCGATCCTCTTCGTGACATATCTTCTCTTCGAGGTCCCCAGCAACCTGGTCCTCAAGCGCTTCACGCCGTCGCGGTGGATCGCCTTTATTACTCTGTCCTGGGGCATCGTCGCCACGCTGACCGGCCTGGTCAACAGCTTCGGCTCCCTTGTAGCCGTCCGCCTGATCCTCGGTGCTCTCGAGGCCGGGCTCTTCCCGGGCCTCAATGTCTACCTGACCTTCTTCTACACGAAGCGCGAGCTTGCGCTGCGGGTCGGGTACTTGTTCGTGAGCGCGGCCATCGCCGGGTCGCTGGGCGGTCTGCTGGCGTACGGCATCGGCCACATGCAAGGCATCGCGGGGATGAACGGGTGGCGGTGGATCATGATCATCGAGGGGCTGCCGACTCTCGTGCTCGGCGTGGCGACTTTCTTCCTCCTGCCCGACGACGCCAGCAGCGCCTACTTCTTGACGGACAACGAGAAGAAGCTGATGGTGGCGAGATTCCGCCGGAGCTATGGCGACACGGCGTCCGCGCAGGAGTTCAGCAAGAAGGACATGATGAAGGCGTCCAAGGACTGGAAGGTCTGGATGTTCTGCGCCGGGCAGTTCGGGATGGATACCATGCTTTACGGTTAGTTCACCACATTTTGAAGTGAAGAATCCGCAGGGAAAGGCCAATCGCTGATTATTGGAACAGGATATTCCACATTCTTGCCCACTATCATTAATGGCATCGGAACATGGACGACTGCTGAAGTCCAGTTGTTGACTATCCCATGCTACTTCTTGGGCGCTGTGACGTACATGACAGTTGCCTATTTGTCAGACCACACACAGAGACGGGGTATTTTCTGTATCATTTTCGGCACTGTGAGCGTTGTAGGATACGGTATCCTGATCTCCAACACTCCGGCTGGAGTTCACTACTTTGGGTAAGTCAGCTTTGCGGGCTGGGAAATGGATACTTGTGCTCACACAATACAGATGTTTCTTGGTTGCGATGGGGCTCTACGTCGCCGTCGGCCTACCTTTGGCATGGGTGAGTCTCTCAGGCCTGGATCTTCTTTAGACTCATTACTGACCGTACTCTGCAGCTTCCAAATAATACACCCCGTTACGGCAAGCGCACCACTGCAAATGGGATGCAGCTAACAGTAGGTAACGCCTCCGGTATCATGTCGCCCTTCATATAGTGAGTGCTGCCCTTCTTTCCCAGTATTCGACCTTCTCTAACGTGGTTTATAGTCTTACGGCAGAGGGCCCGCGTTACATACGAGGAAATGCTGTATCCCTCAGTATGGTCGGCATGGCTACATGTATCTATGCGTTCATGTGGTTTTGGTTTGCCAGGGAAAATAAGAAGCGAGATGCTGGGCACATCAATCCTGCCCTCGAGGGACTCTCTGAGGAGGAGCTGGCTGAGCTTGGAGATGAAAGTCCTCACTATAGATATACGTATTGAAAGGCGCCTGCGAAATGTGGTATCCTTCCCGATATATAGATGATAGAAATGATGAATGGGTCAGGCATTATACCCCCTGCATGTTGACTGATCTCGTCGGTGTAAGGGATGACCAGGTAGTCGCGGGTCTGATGTATTTCAAAGTAGACGGTAAAACCTAACGGTGACATTCCTCACATGACAGAACCCAGGTTTGGTTCATGGAGTAGTTCCTATGATACGCGGTAGGCACTGATCATGTTAGTCTGTACATGGCACCCGAAATTGGCAGGAAGCCTACTCGTAGATGACCTGGGATCCCCTTCGCATCCCACTGCCGACCCACATGCCGTAGTTGACCTTGTCAGCATATCGACTGTCTCCTGTTTCCATGGAGATAAACAGGCGGAAACTGTAGCTCGAAGGGTCGACGGTATCTGCCTTTCCAGGATCTTGGAGAGATTCGAGCACCTCCTTGGGCCCCGTACGGAATCCGCGGGTGCGAATTTCAATGCTGACACACCGTTGTTAGCTGCAACGCATGCATGTAGCTGTAAGAGTGAGGGTTCCCTCACAAAGCCGGATCTTGGTCATTCGTCTCGAGGAGGTACATAGTCTCCATTCTCACAGTGTATGTACTTGGATCCACTACTTGGGAATCTTGGCCGCCTGGCTATGATTGCTGTTAGTTTGTTAATTCCGCTCTACATTTGGGACCGCACGACACGCACCACGACTGTGCCAGACCCCCAGGTAGCAGCCCAATTACCACCGGAGAACGAGATCCAGTTCCTGATGCCTCCCGATGGTACGGTTCCCACCGCGACCTTTGGGTTCAGATCCACCGACATTCGGAAGTCATAGCTATAGCTGGGCTCTGGAAGCGTCAGGTCGGGGTGCGGTATCCCCTTGATGGAGTTGACAGGTTGATTTGATAGGAAATTAGACATTGTGAGAAATACGCAGTAAAGAGAGGCTCAGATTGGCTTGAGGGACTGTCTTCGGTCAGGCAAGAGTGAATTGACAACTGATGCCCACTTTCGGTACAATGAAGGGTAGCGAGCGGGGTTGCCGGAGGGAAGAGGGGCATAGTCTTCAGACTGGACCCTCGTTTACTGAGGTGCACTATATGAACCTGGCAGAAACATGAAATCGTAGTTGTTATCTACTTCTCGAATGAGTCTGGTACAAAACAGTCAAGACCTAGTCTTGATGATGCAGGTTTAGAGAAAATAAAATAAAAGCTGTCAAGAATGAGCGTATGCCACGATACTTGCTTTACTTAACGACGCTTGCACTACCACCGCTGTCTAGGCTCACAGAACGCCCCTCATCATATTGGGTCATTTCTTCTGATAAATCTGGTATATATGATTTCCGTCATTACATGGGTAGCAAGCCCCATGATAATGCGCAAGAGGCAACGGGGTTCTTGCGTCAACGCCCAAGCCGTTGGAAAGGCTCAGAACCGAACCCAAAGTAGAAATAGTAAAATAGCCTCTTAGCTAATTAGCAGAGCGAGGTAGTTCTTGAAAAACTGCTCCTGTGAAGTCATCACCGTTTTTTCAAATCGACACTCACTACGAGCCGGTAGCTAGCAAAGCTGGAGAATATACTTTGATTTCATCTGAGAATGACCTAGCACTAGGGGAGTGGTTTAGAGCATATATAACGCACTTCTTCAGTCAGCGTGCATCTCACATAATCTTCTAGGACTACGCATGCTACTTTTTCATTTCAGTCACCAAATAATTGGATAGATCAAGTTTCTGAAATTAAGTTTGCTAGAGTGCACTGTGCACTCTCAGAGTTTAGCGAGTCTCGTAAAGGAGTGGTGAACTCAAAGGAACGCATCTTAGCCGTGGTAGATCATAAAACTTAGACAACTCGAGCATATAGAGGTCTCAGGTCGAGCGCAGGTACCTAAGTCAAGTGCAAAGTCCTACACGGCTGTGCTTCGATACTGCTGATGGGGTTGGCCCCCTTGCATAAGTTCACATATTCCGATGTTCGCCGCAAACCAACAGCTTGCCCCTCCTTTTCGCCCATCGCCTCGGCTCTCAGCTGCGATAGTAATTAAACCTTATTAACAGACTCGTATTCAGACTCCTATTGCCAGACTATTTTTACCGGATTTTTTTTTCCCAGATTCGAATCTTGTGCAACAAGATTCGAGGCCCAACCAGAACCATAGCTCTCGATCTTAACAATGGCTGAAGCTGGAAAATTCGCAGGCAAGACCATCCTGATCACCGGAGCTGGTTCAGGCATTGGAAAGGCAACGGCTCTTTACCTTGCAAAACACGGCGCTTCTCTATCACTCTGTGACATATCCGCCACTAATCTCGACACTGTGGCTGACGAGATCACAAACTCCTTTCCTGGAACAACAGTCTTCACTCAGACAGTGGACGTGACCAAGCCAGACGATGTGCAAAAATGGGTCGAGGCAAGCAAGGAGAAGTTTGGCCAGTTTCAGGGATGCGTGAACTGCGCTGGTACGTGGCACAAAATTAACTGCGTATCCTTTCTACCACTCACCGCTCAGGCTTGACGTCGAAACACCATCTGATTGCGGACATCGACATCGAGGAGTGGAACACGGTAATTGGGGTCAACTTGACGGGAACCTTCAACAGTCTCAAGTACGAAAGCATCCACGTGGCGGACGGCGGTAGCATCGTCAACATAGCGAGCATATTCGGGCTCTACGGCTCTGCCTATGCCGCGCCATATGTCGCGTCGAAGCATGCGGTCATTGGCCTCACCAAGTCGGCGGCGATAGAGAACGCCGCCAGAGGCGTCAGGGTGAATGCTGTGTGCCCGTAAGTGCGCCCGAAGTTGGATGTCGAGTCTGGGGATTGATGTCGCTGACCACGAACAAAGTGCTTGGGTCAAAACGCCCATGATTATGGACTACGCCAAGGATCTCCAAGCCCGTGGGGTTGAGTTCCAGCAGACCTATCCCAATCAGTTGTTCAAGAGGATCATGGATCCGGAGGAGGTGACCAGCGTGATTGTTTTTCTTCTTGGGGACGAGAGCAAATTCATCACGAAGGCTGCATATGAAATCTCGGGTGGGTATGCCAGCTAGTTAGCCCCTGAGACTCATGATAGCGCCTTTGCCTGGGCCGTTGGAGGACCGGCTCGATCGGACCGGCCTGTCAAGTCGGTAAAGTGACATCGTATAATAAACTGGATATGCGGTAGTATGGACACATTTCGGAGTCGAGAGAAATGCGAATCCTCAGTCCAGGGTTGGTTTCTTATACATGGGCACCTTCGGCTGGCTTGGTTGGCGGGTTGGTTGTTGGTTGAAGCCCGAGACCAGTCGCGATGCAGTCTTGGAGTTAGGCAGCGCTCTGCGTCTGCCAATGTTGAACGGAAGGCAGCGAAATATTCTGATCCCAAACTGGCCCTGGAGGCATTCTAAGAATGCAACTGCCGTGTCTCGTGTCTGGCGTAGGAAGATTAATCTCCATGCACTTAGTCGTACTTGCAGCAAATGCAGGAAGCCGAGAAGTCCAATGGCGAAAGAGTGCATGATGGCATGTGGGCGTGCCTCGGCTGAATCCGAGTGGGTCATCCCAGTTGACAGCCGTGGACCAAACAGGGGACAGACCTGACAGACAGACCAGGCGTGCCGCCAAACGTGCCCCAAAATACAAGGCGACGGACGCCCGCGGGGCCACGGTCAGCACCGAGACGCCCGAGATGGGACGAGATGAGACCTGACCAGAGAGAGAGAGCACTGGAGCGCCGGGGGGCCTTTCCCCAAATGACATCAGCACTGCAGCTGCAGAATTTGGGGAAGGGCCCTTATAGTTCCCCTCCCCGTCGGACCTCTTACAGAAAAGTCGCAATCACATGCTTCAGACCAACACACCCCAATCGCCTTCCAATCCTCCAGTAATCATCGCCGGCCACATGACCATGAGTAATGCGACCTTCATGCCTCGTCGCCCACGGCGTGCACTGGCGCTAACCAGCCAGGGAGCTTCCCCACGAAGTGCCCCGGACTCTGTCGTCTAGCATCTCTTTTAGGCGTTGCGCCACGGGCTGGGTGATTGATCCCTTGTGGGCTGCGAGTGGAGGCTTCGTTGTCAATCGCCTGTCGCTGACTGGTGTCTCGCCCTCGTTCTGCTTGGGGCCTGGGCTGAGGTGGTGCTCAGTGCTCAGTGCTCAGTGCTCAGTGCGCAGTGCGCAGTGCTCGCTGCTCACGCTGGAACACTTGGACCTGTTTCCGGCATGTGATCACAGCCATTGCCGACCGCGGCCGGGAACCTTTTAAGAATGCAATGATGGCGCTTCACATTCTGCCTAACATTGTCCCCTGTATCATATTGTCTCTAACTCTGTCTCTGTCTCTGTCTCTTCCCCGGTTCTCGTGATACCTTGTGCCCCCATATCCCTCTGCCCCCGTCGTTGCAAAGCCAGGGTTTCGCCAGAACAAGCTCGGTGAACATGTCTCAAACCTTCAAGGCGAGCGACGTCGCGTCGCATAACAAGCCCGACTCGCTATACATCATCGTCGACGAGGACGTCTACGATCTGACAAAGTTCCAGGATGAGCACCCCGGCGGCAAGAAGATCCTGCAGAGGGTCGCCGGCAAGGACGCCTCCAAGCAGTTCTGGAAGTACCACAACGATGGCATCCTGAAGAAGTACAAGTCGACACTGCAGGTCGGCTCCCTCGACACAAAGGCCAAGGCTGAGGAGGTCGCAACGCCGTCTCCCGCGGTCGCAGCTCCAAAGGCCACCGAGGCGAGCAAGCAGGTCGTCAAGAACACAAACCTGGACGAGTCCGAGGCCCTGGAGCCCTACGGAAGCCAGATCCCCTTTGCCGACCCCAGCTGGTACCAGAGCGTAAGTGGTCGCATTCGGTCAACCGTGCAAATGATGTTCGCTAACTCGTTTGTGGCAGTACCACTCCCCTTACTTCAACGAATCACACGCCGCTCTCCGTGCCGAGGTCCGCGAATGGGTCGAGACCAAGATCGAGCCGTTCGTCACAGAGTGGGACGAGAAGAAGGAGGTCCCCCGCGAGATCTTCCTCGAGGCCGGCAGCCGCGGATACCTGGCCGGTCTGCTGGGTGTGCACTACCCCGTCGAATACACAAAGAACAGGATCCAGGCTGTTGCACCGGAGCAATGGGATCTCTTCCACGAGATGATCGTGACCGACGAGCTGTCGCGCGTCGGTAGCGGTGGCTTCGTCTGGCACATGATCGGCGGCTTCGGCATCGGCGGCCCCCCACTGGTCAAGTTCGGCAAGAAGGCTCTGAAGGACAGGATCCTGCCGGGCATTCTGGCTGGCGAGAAGAGGATATGCCTTGCCATCACCGAGCCCGACGCCGGCAGCGATGTCGCAAACCTGACCTGCGAGGCCAAGCTGAGCGAGGACGGCAAGCACTACATCGTCAACGGCGAGAAGAAGTGGATCACCAACGGTATCTGGTGCGACTACTTCACCACCGCCGTGCGCACGGCAGACAAGGGCATGAACGGCGTTACTCTGCTGCTCATCGAGCGCGACATGGGCGGTGTCAGCACGAGACGCATGGATTGCCAGGGCGTGTGGTCCAGCGGTACGACCTACATCACCTTCGAGGACGTCAAGGTGCCGGTCGAGAACGTCCTGGGCAAGGAGAACCAGGGATTCAAGGTCATCATGACCAACTTCAACCACGAGCGCATCGGCATCATCATCCAGTGCCTGCGCTTCAGCCGCGTCTGCTACGAGGAGTCGGTCAAGTACGCCAACAAGCGCCGCACCTTTGGCAAGAAGCTCATCGAGCACCCCGTCATCCGCATGAAGCTGGCCCACATGGCCAGGCAGATCGAGGCCTCGTACAACTGGCTCGAGAACGTCATCTACCAGTGCCAGAAGATGGGCGAGACCGAGGCCATGCTGCGCCTCGGCGGCCCCATCGCTGGTCTCAAGGCCCAGTCCACCCTGACCTTTGAGTTCTGCGCCCGCGAGGCCAGTCAGATCTTTGGCGGTCTGAGTTACTCCCGAGGTGGCCAGGGCGCCAAGGTCGAGAGGCTGTACCGTGACGTCCGCGCGTACGCCATCCCCGGTGGCAGCGAGGAGATCATGCTGGACCTGAGCATGAGGCAAAGTCTGAGGGTGGCCAAGATGACGGGTATGAAGCTGTAGATTGGTGGGGCCTAGAGAAAAGAAAGGGTCGTTATGAAATTGCATGATACATGGGTTTGGCAGTACTTCGTTCTTGTATATTAGGGGCACCTTTGCACGGCATGATATAATCAATATCCCTTTGTTAACAAGCATTTTCCCCTGTCCTCCCACGCGTGTCTCCATGGTACGAGATGCTGTACCAGCTCACCATAACGAGCAGGTTATAACGGACTGTATGTAAATGCGAAGGACAAGGTCAAAGTTTACGATACCACTGGTAGCGAAACAATTTGCACACTACAGCCACCAAGAGTCCAACGCTGAATTCACGCATTAAGTTGGAGAGCTCATACTGATATTTCTGCATTTCAAAGTATTCTTCGTCAGTTACAGTACCACCATCCCTCTATCCCGACCGCTTCGGCTCCTCATCATTACCGCTTCGGCCTCCCACCTGTCCTCAATCAATTTCGACGACCCGGGCTACCGGTCGATTGATCGCATGGGAATCTAATGCTCGGTTTAGACGTGGTAGTTCATGTGTATGAGTAGTTGATGACGCTATGAGTCGAATAAAGACAAGTGTAGAACTTGTTTATTCAGGTATAAGACAAAGGACAACACAGTTATTTATATGTTAGGACGATGATATAACGGCGAGCCATCAAATGTAGTGTAGCGGCAGAAACTTCTAGTTTTGATAGAGCAAAAAAAAAAAAAAAAAAAAAAAAAAAAAAAAAAAAAAAAAAAAAAAAAAAAAAAAAAAACCCTGCGTTATATCTCCAGGTCATTATTACATCGATTTTGCACCCTATGCATGGGCACTGCCTTTTGTAGCTGGCGAGACCGTGACATGTATTGCACTCCCAGCAGCGGCAGGTGTCTATTCGTGAGGGTAATATGCGAACCCGCTTCATTCTCTACCTGTAGCTATGTCTCCCCGTAGATATCGATGCGATGCTATGCTGGTGTTATTATATAAAGTGAAAAGGAAATGACAAAAGAAAGAAATGCAAGTTTTCCCTGCCGAACAATGCATTAATCCTCCAAGTAAGACCCAAAACTTCAAACCTGCAACTTTAGTCTCTCTGAAAAGATATGCTCCACACCTGTCCATGACGACGCTCTACATGATACCCAACCCAACATTTGCCTCTTCGCTCTGTTCTTCACCGCCGTCTCTGACAGGGCCAGCCGTAGAACCAGCCGCGAGGCCCGAAGGTCCTGCCGGAGGACTCGACCCAAACTCAACAACCGTGCCGTCCGCCAACTTGAAGCCGCCAGATCCAGATCCGGACCGGCCCATGTTCTCGCCGCCGAGGTGGGCGCTTCCCATCGGCGGGCTTGGGAACGCACCTCCGGCTCCCCTCAAGTCCGGACTGCCCCGCGAACTGTTGCCACCCGGCAGAGCGGCACCTCCTCTGCCCAGTCTTCCGCCAGCGCTCTCGGCTCGTCGTTGGTGGGCTTGGTCGCCGCTCCTCCTTCGCTTGCTGAAGCGCCTGAAGATGTTCGGCCTCTTCGGATCACCGGCAACGCCGACGACCTGTCCGGGGTACATGGAGGCCGCACTGCTCTCTGCACGACGGCGGCCCCTTGAGGTGTCGTGGTAGATCTGGTAGCTGGTGGGCTCGACGTCGAAGCCGGCTTGCCCAAGGAGCGGGCTCGGCTCCGTCTCGACGACGCTGGGTCTGCGGCTGCGGGGCCGTTGCATGGGCTGGATCGCGGGTGAGCCAGGGGCCGAAGAGCCGCTGGCTGCACTGGCGCCGCTGGCACCGCGGGTAAGAGGGCTGCGGTTGCGAGGCTGTGATCGAGCGGAGCCATGACTATGGGAGCTTTGGTGCGAAGGGTCGCGGCTCATTGGCTGGGACCAGTAACCTTGCGGGTGATATTCCAGGCGACCATCAGATGCCGACGCCCAAGGAGGGGGGTGGACCGATACGGCCGGTTGATCAGGCCGCATGGACACTGCGTGTGGGTATGGTGGACTTGGCGGCTGTGATGACGGATATGGCCGTACGGACGGGAGCGAATGAGTCAGGGGCTCGTAATCCTCTTCCTCTTGTATGATGCTTTGATCAAGTCTGCCATACGACGAGACGTGTCGAACACCCGGTGGACCGGAATGCAGACTGCTAGATGTATTGACCTCATACGGGATCGGCGGCGGTCGGAATGGCCCAGTGTACTGGGAAGGGCTAGATCGGGCCGTGCGACTTGGCGGACCTGACGGAGGTCTCGACCCGGATCTCGAAGTCTTGCTTGCTGGAGAGGACTGTTCGTCAACAGGAGCCGGAGAGGCAGTAGATGGAATATTCAGTGTCAAGGGGGCCCCAGTTGTGGTCAATGGGTCGCCAGTAAGCGGACTGGAAACTCTGACTGGGCTAAGACCCTCGGTCGAAACAGGCTTATCGTTCTCTTTGAGGCGCAGAATCGTAGCAGCGGTATAGCTAGACGAAGGCGCCGGGTGTGTGCCGATTATATTGGAAAATGTCGGCACCGGGTGGTCCTCATCAACGGCAGTCTCGGTCTGCGGAGTTGTGTATGAGGGTCGCCCCGGGATTAGCTTCGGCCGCACCATCGAACCACTGCTGCCGGAGGAGGTACGACTCTTCTCACCCACAAAGGCACCACCTCGAGTTGGCGGCGGGGCCGCTTTGGTGATCTTGTTTAAGGTAAGTTCAGCGTCGCTGCTGGCGGTGAGTCGAATGCTGCCGGAAGAGTTAGATCTGCCACCCCTTTGGTTTGGCAGGTTCGGTGGGCTTATGACGCCCTTGATGGTCTCCCTGCTGAGACTGACACGAGGATCACTAAGAATTTGCGGCGAGGCCCGCCAAGCACCAGCATGATCTCGGTATCGCCGCTCAGAGTGTCTTTTGACGGTCCTGTGGCTCGAGTGGGAGACGTGTGATTCGTAATCCTCGGGTATCGAAATCGACTCGAAGATTTCCGTTGGCGGTGGCTGCGGTGTAACGGTCCTGGATGTCTCGCCTCCATCAGGCACAGGGATGGCGTATGGGTAGCTAATGTGCCAGTGATACGGGTTGTAGTCGGTGGGGCTGTAAGGAGTCGGAGACTCCAAGGGAGGGTTACTCTCATCGTATATGATGGGCAGGTCGATCAGACTGCTATTGCTCGGCGGTGTGGACGAGTCCACCTCTGACAAGCTGTTCGTGCGCTCAAAAACTGACACGATCATGAAGTCTTCCGTCCCTTGATCAAATGTACGCTTCCGCTTATTGAGTTGGTCGATGCGCATCTGAATGCTGTCCAGGCGTGCTTCCAGTAGATCACGGCTTTCGGAAAGTAAAGGAAATTTCCTCTCAAACCTGTCTAGATAAGTTGAAAGTCGCTTCCCGTGGATAGAGAAACGGAGATAATCTTCTGGAACTCCTGTGCCGGGATCTTCCTGAATACGACGGTCGCTCTCGTCAAATGCATGACAGAAAACTCGGATCGCTCGTCCCAACCAGAACTCGGCCAATCTCTCATCAGCCAGCACATCGACGAAGAATGCCTGCACGATGCCGTGTATTCTTAGGATATCCAGGCTGTCTTGAGCCATGTCGACGCTGCGGGAGCTGCGGTCACTCGCTGATGACGCCTCATCGTTCTCATTACGCTCAATCAAGGCGAAGGCGATCAAGACCTTGAATGTACCATTCAGCGACCCTTTTCTGGTTTCAGGGTCCCAAGTCTTGACAGGGGTTTCTCTTGTCAACACTTTCAGTCCTGCAGCTCTAATTAGTGGATCCGCTCATCTCATTTCAAGGACATTGTAGCTTACCTGTAGCGAGCATTTCTACTGGAACATGCTGGCTGAAGAAGGCAAGTAGCGACATCAAATTGAGGGCTGCCACGTTTCCTCGAGCATGGAGCTGTTCTCGGACTGCCCGATATGCAGGCAGGTTCCCGGCTTTGGGCCGACTTTTGTAGGATCTGATATACTTTGAGAGGGGTTCACGAGTAGCCTTCAGCTGAAGTGCTGCAACGTGGATCATTAGTGGGAGACGGTCCATTAACTGCACCAGTTCCTGAGCCCGACTGAGATCATCCTGATTCCATGGCTGCTTCTTGCCCATCTCTTCTAGAAGAAGTTCCCGGGCTTCGCGCAACGTCAGTGAGTCCAGCGCTATGACCTGTGGGTTATCGAATTGATAGTCTTCGCCTGGGGTTCGCTCCGTTGAGGTGTAAATGATACTGGTGTTCTTCGAGAAGGGGATGAAGTTCTCCAGTCCCGGCAGGTCGAAATGGATGCCATCTAAGACGAGCAACCATCCCTCGTTTCTGCTCAGCCATCCTTGTACTGCTTTCACTACCCTCTCGGTGTTGTAATCTCCGTTCTCGGCAATGTTCTGAACATCCTTCAGCTGCACAGTCTTGGCAATGTCCAAGTATCCGTATTCCAGCTCCTGCAACGATTTTGATCTAATCCAGAAGATGCCACCTGGGTAGTCGTACTTGTGCTCGAAGACGTACTGTCGGGCCAGGTGTGTCTTGCCGCCGCCAGGCATACTCTGGATCAATACAGACGACGTTCCCCTCGACCGCCGGCCGCGGTCCATCAACTTCTTGTGGAGTTCTTTTAGTTCCTTATCTCGGCCCTTGAAGTGCGTGTTCGGCTTGAACACGTTTGGCTTAACAAATAGGGGCTCGCGCGACGAGGGATAGTCGGTCGAATCTTGCGAGGGGGGTTCTGGGCCGGCGTCGGGCGTCGGCGGCTCTGTAAGTAGGGGCTTATTTGCACCACCGATTTTGGAGGGATTCTTTGTATCGGTTGGGGAATTAATCTGACTATTGGGATCTTGAACTACGAACGCAACCAAATCAGCCCTCATTCCATGAATAACGAAGATTGGACAAATGTGCGTCCTCTCCCTCAATGCTCCTCGACCTCAAAAGGCAGATGCAGATTGCTGGAGGCTTTGTCGTGCAAAAGCTGAGGAGCGGCCCCCGATATGGTCTCAGGGGCGGGGGATAATCTTGAAGACGTACTTTGACCCTTGTCTGCCTCCTCTTGTTGAGATTTGATCTAGGTGGATAATTAGTGGTTGTTCCCCAATGTGGTCAAACGCCGACTTACCCAAGGCTTCATTCTTTCCTCGATCTCATGCTTTGCTCTCGCCAGCTTCTCGTCTTCCTCGACCCTCCACCTCGTGCGGACCACATCTGGGGCCTCACCGACCCAATCCCTGATTGATGTCGCTACAGTTCGGTAGCCGGGGGCGTTCTTGCTCTCAAACTTGCACATGCCAGAGTGAGTGGCTTCGATGGCGTAATAGGCGACGCCCGGCAGTTGTGGACTGGCGGATTGTGAGTCGACCACCAGCATCTTTGTGCCCTTCAGGTCCGTCTTATGGTTCTCGTGAGCCATGAGAATCTTGAAGCGTTGATAGATATCAAGGAAGTGGTTGTTGATGTTTTGGAGGGTCTCATTATCCTTCTTGAGCGTCTTAAGCAGGACTGGCTCCGAATGCCAGAATGCTTTTGGGATGACGGCGTCCGACATGGCCTGAAGCATGACAGCCCAAGCCCCCATGTCTGAGCCGGAGTGTGGCGTGCCGAGGAAGATGAGGCCATATGTCGACACGTATATCCCACGATAGTCCTCATGCTGTGACGTTTTCAGGTCGTTCGAGTATAGCAAAGCCCGTTTTACTAATATGCCACCAAGACTATGGCAGACCCATATAATAGGGTTCCGCGAGGACAGCTCATCCTTGCGGTAATGCGTTAAGCTTGTGACCAGCGTCTGGGCATGCATGTAGATGAAGTTGTCGCTGGGATTCCCACCATGCTTCTTCGAGTATACGTCTGCGTTGTAGCCGTAGACCAGTACATTCGCCCGCGCGTCTCTGAGCGACTCCGGCAGCAGATCGGTCGGCCAAAACACGCCGTTCTTAGCGGTCCATGTCTTTTGAGGCTCGCCGTTCAGGCCGTGGACTAGAACAACATCGACTTTGGCATCGGGGTGGGTATATACGGCCGTCGTCTCGAAGCGCGATATCTGTTTGTTGATCGAGCCCTGCAACATGACGGACGTGTCAGTGAGCTGACTTTGCCTAGCGGATCGCCAGGGACTGGCGGTTGCTCCCGCGGTTGCATGATCTGACTCAGCATTCGAGGAGCCAACGAAAGCTTCGCCGAGGAACTTAAACATGTGTGATAGAGGAACAAGGAAAGGCGACGGCGCCTCCGGTCGCGAGTGGTTTGTTGCTGGGCAGTGAAGTACGGTAAAATGAATGGAAATCAACGCACCATGCTTGCGGATGGGCAAGATCTGAAGAGAGTTCAAGGCGCTTCTCTTGCGCCAGCCGCTGGTTATATGGGTGGTATGGTTCTCGATTACAACTTGGAGCTAGACATGCGACAGGGCCAACATGATATATCAAGAACACAGAGTATCTAAGAGGATCTCGAGTAGGACGGAGGAGACATCGGGAGACGCAGGCACCAAAGTCACCTTGTATTTGAGGCGTACGGTACGGCAGCCCAGCTCAACGCGTCCGCACGCAGGTCAGCCAGCCTGGCACGCGCGACTTCGCAAGCCCGGCAAGCAGCCTTCACAGGATCGACGGGGCCTGTTGCCCTGGGCGAGGGAGAGCTGCGATGGTCCGATGATTCGGTGTGTACAGTGGACGGCTCTGTGGACGGTCCCGGGGGAAAGGCGGTGCAACGGGTGGCATCGCACGAAAGAAGAGGGTTTAGCACGGCGACGGTGCTTGCGGTGCTACTGGGCCATCGCAAAGGCAATGAATGTCACGAGCACGTCTGGTCACACCTCTGACTCGCAGAGGAACACTGAGGCAGCTGGGGATTTTTTACAGAACGGCGCCCAGGGGGATGAAGTCATGCCGCGGAGGCAGCTGAGCCCCCTCCTGGCGGCCGGCTAGCCGCCAACGGGCGTAGCGCAGCCAAGACGCATGCCCGGCACACCATCTCGACGCGGGAGACATGGGTCAGGATCTGGGGGGAGCGAGCGCCACCGGGACATGGCTGCTAGGTAGGCTGGTCTGACAGGATGTCGCGACGCACTGTGGCCGGTCCATCGTCAACCAAGATAACTTGAGTAATAAATGAGCCTGTGTGAGCGTGCGCTTTTCGCGACTGGACTGGCCTGGCTGAGTTCTGCCGTAGGTAATCTTGGGGGGAGCTGGCTTGGAACATACCTTTGGTCTATCTGAACTTGGTCGAGTCAAAATCCAGATCTGATGGGACTCGAGGCCATCATCCTTGTCTCTTTACAGATCGTGTTTCCAGGTTTCGGCCAGTGCCCTTCAGAGGCAGCCATCTTTCTTGTTTGCCTCTGTGTCCCTTTGTTTGTGCTCTGTAGCCAGCCTGCTTGGCGATCCAACAGCGCCACATGCATCTCAATTCCACAGCAGGTCTTAGTCCATGAGCTTAAGCTTAACGTTGGTGCTTCCTCGCACCCTACCGTTGTGCGCATGATCGCGGAGAACCTCCACTCGCCCATTAGTCCCGCTGGCCGTACCGTGTAAGCCGCGCGGGTTCGGGAGGCAGGGAGCTCAGTGACCAGCCTAACTTGGCCTGCATGACCAGATCTCTCGGTGGCGGTGTGGGGAATTTAGCGCAGGGGATTTTCTTGGACGGTTATCTCGCGACCAGATGGAGCAGGCGTAGTCAATTGCGTTAACACTACTATCTATAGTACAGCTGGCGCCGCCGCATAGGTATAGTCGTGAGAGTGTTCTCAGGATAAGCTACCTGCGTCCCGTGGGCAGTAATTCATAAGGTTGGGCAGTGAAAGAGTATTGATTATTCACAGTTACAACGAGCCGGCCGGCTTGTACGTAAACTGATTAAGGCACTCTACGTAAATTGTGCAAGTTCTCTTTGAAGGATCCCAGTATGTACGTAAATGGACACAATTGGCCGTTAGACAGGCAGCAAGTCCAAGTCAGATGCCGTCCAATCATCTCGCGATGGTACCTTGCGCCACACGCCACGAGTCACAAAACTTGGGGGTCGACTGGTGTTGTGTGGGAAATGCGACTGAAGGTGGCCGTCTTTCATGACATGTGAGATGCCCTCAAACAAGACCATGTGCATGAACCTGCGACATAATGCAAGTGACGTCAACTTTGCCCGGTGTGTCACACTGTTGAGGCAGACGTACTGCGAGATGGCTGACCTATCCTTGCAAATGTGCATATCGTCAATTCGCCTGGTGTTCAGCTTGCATTACCAACGCCGCTTGAATCTGTCTTGCTGTGCTTCGCCTGGGCATTCGGTCTCCACGTTTGGTTTCTCGGTAGCTCATGTTCGAGCACTGCAAACAAGGGCGCGAGACACGCAAGTGTCTTGCCAAAGCAGCCCGAGAGTGACTCACGGTCATGTGCCTCAGCCAGCCTTGCTTGCCCACAAGCGAGGCAAAGAGTAGGGGCTTTGAGTTCAATGCTTGCCACCTAGCCATTTACTACTTGCCGACCATCCGCCAGCTCTCGAAACTTGAGGGCGCCTGGGGGGTGGAAAGGTGGCTCAGTGAGGGTTCCTGCAAGTGTATACACAGACTTGTAGCAGCTGAGAACTCAGCCCCGCCAAGGAGGCGCAAACAAACGCTCGCTTTCAGGGCCCAACTAGACACGTCCTCATCGTCTTCTCGGGGACGCACTTGCGCTGATGCTGAGTTAGTTCTTTGGTGCAAGCATTAGCACATATTCGCGGGTGCTCTGACCGAACTGCAGGAGATCTTTGTCCTGAAGCTCGAGATACCGACTGTCAGCGATCTTCTTTGAATTGAGCAAGGTGCCATTCGCGCTATCGAGATCAATCACGTACGGCTTCACCTTGCCGATTTTGTCGCCGTACTCGTTCCTCTTCTCCAGGTAGCGGAACTGGATGACGGCATGCTGCTTGCTGATGCTGGGATGTTCGGCGGCAATGTCAATGACAGCCATCTCTCTGCCGATGAGCCAGCAAGTGCGGTGATTCAGCTCGATGGTGTCGATGATGTCAGGGCCCTTGAAAACGAACAGCTTCCACTGGTCCTTCGGTGAGGGCTTCCTGGCCTCGGGGGGCTCGTGGTATTTCAGCACGATGGTCGAGCCGTCTGCTTGGGCGATGGAATTTGAGGCTGCGGCCAGCGTGCCTGTGGTCCCCCAGTTGGGCTTCTCTTTCTCCTTGGGCACCTCTTCACCCTTTTCCAGGGCGAACGATTGCGCCTGGGGAGGCAGAGGCCCATTGCGCTTTACGACCTGCCGATCGTCCTGTTCACTGCCTCCCTCTTCGATAGTGCGGTCCCTTTTCCGCGGACGGTCTCGATCCCTACGCTCCCTCCTATCGTCGTCGGGCGATGCGCGCCTCCTTTTCTCGCGGTCGTGGTCTCTGTCCCAGGCCCTGTCACGACGTCCGTCCCGTTCCCGTTCGCGTTCGCGTTCGCGTTCTCGCCTCCCTGAATGCGGTGACCGAGATCGTGATCGTCTGTGGCGTCTTCTCTCCCTAACCCTATCCGCTGACCCGTCTCTGTCTCTCCTTCGGTCGCTGCCGTGTCCATCCCCGCGCGACTTTCGACTGCCTCTAGGCTCTTCGTCAGGGTCGCCGTCACCTTGTCTGGACCGGCGTGGTGGCGGAGACACGCTGTCGTATCCCATGGTTCCGTGGCTCAAGTCTCGTGCTCGCGTCCTCCACAGAATGGCAGGTCTTGTGCAGATTGTGTTGTTGTGCGTCGCGGTGTATATGCACCGTCGACTATGGTGTTGCGCCTTCAATTTTGTTGCAAAGGATGGAAGCTTCAGGCGTCCCCGTCCATACATGCAGATGTGCTAGAGAAAGCTCACTGGAGCTTGATGTTAGTGGCTTCCTTGGTGGCTTGCTACTAGGTACAGTGGGCGCCCACTAAGGCCGCTCGCTGGAACAAGTTTGTTCCGCCCACAGGCTAGGTAAGGTCCGGGTACCTTAGGTACCGACCTTGGCCTGCTTGGGACCCTCAGCAGCTTCCAAGCTCCCCAGGTCCTCGCTGAATTCACCCATTCAACGCCTTCTTATCTGGTCTTAACTTATCCCTGTCCTCCCAGGCGATCATGGGTTTGGGCACCCGACCTTGCAGTCGTCTACCTCATGGTATGGATGCTTGAAACGTGATTAATTATTGAATACTTGAGCTACTAAGGACCGACTCTTCTCATGACCTCATCTCGCCATATGCCCAAATGAGTGGACGCCGTGCTTATGCAAGAGCCCTGATGCTATGCCCCGATTTCCGTTCCATTGCCATCCCAACCCACCTCCCTGGTCCAAAGGAGCGTGTCCATAACCCCCGAGAAGAACGCCATATCAAATACCCAGTCATGCGATTTGCCTTGAATTCGACCATTTCCTCCTTAGCACTTCAGTTGCCACGAGTTCCAGGTCGGAAAGCTCGCTCCGTCTTGGGTTACCGACGCATTGTCGCAGCCATTGAGGGCAGCCTCAGTCTCAGTAGCTGAGCAGGTGGTATCAGAGTAGAGGTAGACTGGATATCACCATCAGTATTTGAAGCCTCAACAAGTGTTAAAATTTGTAGTGTTTCATACGTTTGCATTTCTCACCCGCTGGCTGGAGCGCCTGTAGAACGATCGACACGTAACCGTTGGGGGTGCTACCACTATAGGGCGCAAAGCTGTTACATTTGTTCGACTGATCTGTGTCGACGGTGAAGAAACCCTCGTTGAGATTCGAGCAGCCGTAATCCGAAAAGACGCGGAACTGTGCCAAGCGCGGGTTGTCACTCCCTTGACGGCCGATCACTGCTGCGTGTGTGCCAAAGGCAAGGGCAGCCACGGTGGTGAGGAGAGTGAGCTGCATGTTGGATGGCTGATATGGTCTACAAAGGTACTATGATTGACTGAGATGCTTTGTGGCAATGCGGAAATACAATGAAGAGGGGACTCGAGCTTGTTGTAGGTGTTGTCGTGTCTTGATATAAGTTGACTCGATGACTGATGCAGGAGCACTGGAGGCGTCTGACCTTCTCTCTAAATACTCCGGCCCAAACCTTCGTCGCGACGTCAGCAGTGTACTGGCAAGCGCCTTCGTCGCCTTGATTGCCTTCTGTAGTGATACAATGCCACTGTCCACGTCAAGCGCAGGCAGAATACGAGGAATGACCCCAGAGGTTCCGATTTCGATCCCTAGCAGGCAAATGGGCTCGGGATATGACGAGGTTTCGCTTCTGCTATAAGCCGACAAGTCACGCTGCACTCTGCAACATGCAGTAGCATCTATGCCGCACCTAGACAACATCGGAAAACATTGACTGGACTGGACACGTCCCAATCGGACTGATCGGACATAACCTAGCTGCAGCGGAATCCTGCGATGCGAGGCAGGTCTCGTTGGGTCTGCTTGGCTTCGTGGTTGACACCGCCACCAGCATGCGGGTTGCCGAAGGTTAGGCCCGCCCCCATCAAGTTACGAGGGGATCGGCCACCGGCCTCCAGCCTCCACTACACGGTGTTTGGTGGGGCTCGTTTCCGCTGATTGAGGAACAACACATCATCGCCCCGGGGCAATGGAACTACTAAACACGTATATGCATGAACAAGACAGTTTCTATTGCTCAAGTGCTTACACCGATTGTTCGAGTTTGGAAGTAGGTTGGTCGACACTCGACCGCGTCGTACGAAGGGTATCGCTGTGCAACATCGATATCCACCTCCATCGGTATGAATGACCTGGGTTGGTCAACTTCCATATGCACTTTCTGCTGAGTTTCGGAAACACTATCTGAAGATCCCCTTTGAGTACTTTTCCTGCCTTCATGAAGAACTTCGCATCTCGCGTCATGGGCCTGGTAAGCTGTGACAACATATGATCGACGGAGGCACCCGTGATTGCCGAGTAGTGTGCCCCTTCTTGAGTACGCTGGGGATTTCTGTCTGGGCACTGCTTTCCCGCGTTTGAGCCACTCAAAAGACCGCCGATTTGTTTGGCCTTGACCGACTCGGTGAACTACTGTCGTGTTTGGGACTAAATACCTACCTAGGCAGGCTGGGTTGCCGATACAAATGATCGGGAAGGCAGACAGGTCGGAGAAACCCACACCGATACGCTGATGGGATAATATGACCGAATTGCCGTCACGAGTTTCCGTAGGACCCTCATTGACAGCATGTACTAGTATTCCCCAGGCCCCCTTAGGCTCGCAGCTGTGATAAAAGGCCCCGGTCGACCCCGAGCGGGACAAGAACCAATCAAGATATAAGTCTCAAGAGAGATATCCGCAGAGAAACGGCGTATGGTAAGGAAACCTCGATCTCATACCGAACAGGGAGTGTGCATTGTACGCAAGAAACTCCGCAACACGATAAACTCTTCCCGCCCTAGACGGCTACTAGTTCAGCCCCCATGGAACTTGTGCTCATTGCCTACATTGGAACACGGTACTATTCTCACCCGATGGAGTGACTAAACTTCTCAATTGGCAGTTCTAACACTAGTGCTGGCCAATCACGCACTATCGGTTGTTCTGCAACGACGGGAGCTCCGGGAGCTCATCGTCATGTGCCTGCACATATTCTGAAAGCCATAGACGTACAACGAAGTAGGTTGACCGACTTGAAATAGCAGCTATACTACGAATCAAAACTATGATGAGGCGCCAGGCCATTACCACTACTCTAGGATTACGCCCGAGGCATCCAGTTACCTAAGATATCATGTATACAGAAGCTGGGGAGAACTTGGGCTATCATTTCCGTCACAATTTCCAGGTAACTATAACCGAATCCCCGCCCCGGAAGTTTCAAAGGGCCATTCTACTTGACACTGGTTAACACTCGCTTGGCTACACCCTCGGGGTTCATTATACCACAATCAACCGTTATCAATCAAACATCATGCCTTGAGTCCCCCTCCACCTCCCCTCTCGGTGGCTTCTCCGACGGGTGCTTCAGGCCAGCCTTGGCAACCGTGGTGTCCGCCCACTTGACGCCGGTCCTCAGCACCACCAACGCCGTCGGCCAGAAGATGGCCCAGACGACCAGCTGTGGGGCAACAGCGGTCGACCGCGCCTTTGCCTTGCGGCCCTGCACCTGCGTGATCCATACGAGTCTCGCAGCTGCCAGAGTGATGAGCGAGTAAGTCAAGGGATCCTTCTTCTGTGATAGCTTGTCCGCGAACCAGAGCTGCGAACCGCGGGGTGGAAGCGGCGGCGCCGTGGGCGTGTGAGACTGAGCGGGGTTTGATGTTGAAGTCATCGCCGCAAGTTAGGTAAAGTCTTTCGTGTGCTGACTATACTTTCAGTATGGGTAGCACAATTTCGTATCATTTTGCGCCCATCATGTGATGGTAGGAAAGCATGCAACTTTGGAGGGGTCAAGTTGTTTGAGGTGGGAGAGCTCAAGAGTTGCGATGGCGGGCTTAGTCATCATGAGGAGTGGGGCCAAAGGCAATAACTCTACTGCGAGTAGAGACCACGCCGTAACATGCACAAGCTCACGTCTGGTCGTAATTGCCGGTGCTCAGATCATGATCCTATTCCAAACATTCATATGGAGAAGTATGGAATCCGCGCATGGTTCGCTGCGATGATTGTCTCACCGTGCAGTCTTGTGCCTAAGCTGCTACGAATATGAACAAAGCAAGTCTACAGTGATTGCTCTCGACAAAGCTGACAAAACATACACAATGCATTATACTCCAATTCGGATAAATACATTATCAAGGTGATGTCTCACCTTTTGTCCTGGCAGGCGTTCCATCAACTGCCAGCGCTCCAGCCTGTTTCTCGACGTCCTGCTCCGTCACACCTCCGAGGGTCGCCACAGCTGCATGTTCAGCCAGCTTCGCCTTTCGTTTCTGCGCTCTTTCGGCTCGGCGCTCGTTCTTCTCGGTGTCTTCTCTCATCTGCCGAATTACGGGGCTCTTTGCCCGAATTCTCTCGCCATACTTGTAGAAGATGATTGGTATCGGTATCATGGCCACCTCTAGTAGACCCAGAAGGGTGCCCGCCCACTGGGGCGTGAGTGTGGCGTACATGCTAGGCCCGGCCAGCGGCAGCGTACCACCAAACATGCTGCGCGTAACAGCATTTCCTGCCAGAGCTGAGGCGGCGTAAATCCCGTAAGCACCGGCCAGATAGTTGCTGCCGTATATGAAGCTCATGGTATTACCAGCACCGAACGGAATTCCAAATGCAATTGGGATTGCCCAGTGGATTGTTGCGGGTAGGCAGGTCCAGCTGAACACTAACTGGCCGATGGGCGTCAAAATTGCTCCCATAATCATAACCCTCGCTGTCGCCTCTGGTGGTACCTTGCCAGTCTTCGGGTCCTTGGGGTGCGCGTTGATGATCTTCCGGAGAAGCGGTTCACCAAAAATGACCAGCATGGTGCCTGTTCCAATGCCAACGAATGCCAGACCCGATATCCCAGGCCCCCAGCCACGGTACTGCTGAAAGACGATCGGGTAGGCCACAAAGCACAGATACAAGATGCCATAGATCAAGGAAATCCAAAGGTTGAAGAACCACAGGATCGGCTCCGTAAAGGCCAGTATGAATGGGCGCATGAGGTTGACTTTAAGCAGTTCCACCTTTGAGACCTTGTTGTCATAGCGAGACCAATACCTTTCGTCACCAGTCTCCTTGCGAATTCGGGCCGCCTTCCGCTGGAGAATCATTGGCGCATACGTCTCTTTGGCGGTAAACATGAGGACGGATGCGACTCCAGCAAGAATTAAGACGAGCCAGTTGTCCCATCGCCATCCGAGATACTGAAACACAAAGCCTCCAATGAGAGGACCTGTTACCGGGCCATTCAACGGGGCGATAGACCACAGGGACATCACCATCGCTCTTGTCTCTTCCGTCGAGATATCCACCACGGTGCCTGCACTATTGGACACCATGACAGCGCCAAACACAGCACCAAAGTATCTCACGACGATGATCTCTGCTAGCGAGGTCGCCAGACAACATGGTATCACGAGGATGGTAAAGATTACCATGCATATGAGATAGACAGGCTGCCTCCCCCACAACTCGCTTGCTGGAGCCACAAGCAGACTTCCAGACGCGAGGCCTAGGAGATACGTCGTAACTCCGAGTGTCGCAACCGTGGTACTAGTGAGGCCGAACTCGTCTTTCAGTCCGGATAGCGAGGCTGTGTAGCTCGTGCTGTAGAAGACCACTACCCAGGTGGTAAATGATATGCAAAAAATCAGCCAGGAACGATACCAGCGTGGCCAGTTTCGAGGATTCTCCGGGTCATCGTCGTCGAAGACCACTTCGAAATCTGGAGGCCGCGAGGCGGAACTACCGATGCTCGTAGTTGTTCGGATGTGACTAATGGCTTCCCGGTCATAATCCTCGTCGTCTACGCCGTAGCCCGGGAAGAGGGCTAGTTCCAACGGCGACAATGGATCGCTGCCATCAGAGACATGCGATTCGTGGGACGCACGCGACCCGGTGCGACTATGCACATCTTGCACCTTGTCCAGCTGGATTGATGGCACCGAGACATCGGAATGTTCTGACAAGGAGTCATTCACCGGCGCTTCGGTGCTTGGCTGTCCAAGCCCGGCGCTCTTCTCCAGCCATGCGGTCTCGGCCATGGTTCAACGTGCTAGTTCCGAGAGCACGGCGCTGCTCTAGCCTGTTGGGTGCCGGATTGTGCTCGACTTAGTCACGCACTTGACACGAGCAAATACACTCCGCAAGCAAATGCGAAAACGGTGGGGAGCTGGCTTTGGGAGGGCTCCAGGAGAATCGCATCGCATTCTAGGGAAGCGAGCTGACGAAGAGAGACATGCACTGACTAGAAATCGAATCTCGCGCCGAAGTGGAAGAAGTCGAAAGGGGCGATAGGTCCTGTTATCGGGGACGAGCAGATTTTGTTTCCACCTACCTATTCCCTTGTCGGCTCAGCGCCGCAATTGGGGCATCGCAAACGCCAACGTTGAGACCAAAAGAGGAAAACCTCTAGCGGGAGACCCCTGCCCCTCTATACTGGGGTGCGCTCCCAGCTGGGCATAACGGGGTCACTGCCGTCGATCCCGAGGTCGAGCTCCGTTTGGCCCGCTTTTCCGGAGATAGCACCGGTGTTATTGGCCCTCCAGCAGACCAACACAACGGTCTTACGAACAAAGAAGGGGGCTAAAATCTGCCATGCAGTAAGCAGACCACTGGCCTGTTGACCTGGCCCGGGCTGCTGCATACTCTGAACCCATTACGCGAGCGGCTCAAATGGTTACGACGTACCAATGTGCGGGGTCTTCGCACCTTTGGTCCATGTTCTTGCATGTTCTTGGATGGCAGATGCATGCAAGAGCTCATGTCAGACCGGCGTGTTGCAGCAAAGCTGCCCATGGTAGTCGAAGTACCCAATCAAATACCGAGACTCCAACACGTATTCCGACGTTCGGAACGTTCCGAGCGGTCACGATGATGGATCCGCAACGACGACGTTTGCTTGCCTTGGAGCATTGGTGCCCCACAAAGACCTGGATCAGGAAGCTATGTAAAAATATCTTCTATGTTGATACGTGACGCTAGGACTATCGCACAATGGAAGTGTGCCTTGGCGAAGTCTTACACAACCGACAAAGGCACGTGCATCAGGACAATAGAACTGACAGTTCCCTATCCGTGCATTGTTCTTCCGGCCTTTGATACGTAGTCGGCTATAAGTTGTGCTTTCGCTGAGTGCTATTACACCTACAACACACAAGATCGTCGTCCCGGTTGGTTGGAGTGCACGTGGTCCGGTGCGAAATTAATACATGGTAGGCCGATGTCTCACAACTTCATGTTGTTTCACCGTGTAACCATCCACAATATACATAGTCTCTATATATACTGCTACTTATGTATACTTACAACAAGTTCCTTCGTATAGATCACTCCACTAATTCAGAACATGTCACTTGTATACAGCAGTAGCTGTATCATTCTGTAATGTCACATCTTGCTTGTACCCATACAATACCTTAGGTGTATATATAGATGGGGACCTGCCACCGAACCCTTGTCCTTCCTTCCTTCTTCTCCGCCATACCGTGACAACTAAGTCTCCATAACATACACTAACATGGCCAACCCAAAGACTTCTACTGGTGCGCGCATTGTCCGGTGGTGCAGCCGCGCCTTGCGCCGCCTCACCGGCTCCCGCCGTGACCGTCGGAAGACGGGAAGGACGTCCAAGCACCATGTGCATGGCGCTACCCCAACGCAATCGCGCTCCACTCGGCGCAGCGATCGCTACACGGGCGAGAATCGATCTTGGAAGAAGGTTGGTTACGATGGTGATGGCGTGTATGAGTGGCAATGGCTCCCCACAGGGGAGACGTTTTCGTCAACCGCTGGGGATTCGCGCCAGCTACCCCAAGAACCTCCGCGGTAAACTGACGTTTGATTCCGCTTGAAGAACTTGTGTTCTTCCTCACGATGGTAGATTGTCTCCGGGGCTTTCATCCCTGCTTGGCAAGGAGTAAAGCCTAAGGCCCGGCTGCTATCAAGTGAATCCCACAAAACTCCCTTCTACTAACAGTTGCAACGACGCGGCGAGAACCGTGATCGAGCCGCCGTCGACGACTAACAAACGTAAGAAACCGGAAGTTATCTTGATTTCGTTGAGTTAGAGTACTGTTTAGGTTAGTTTGAAAACCCACGAAATATGAGAAAAAAATCTGTTTCCCCAAAAGTGAAGTCCAGTGCATATATGTGACTACGTGCCGCTTTGTTATCGCTTTATGCTTCCAAATTTCAATTGTCACTTGGCCTGTGCCTTTGACCTTGATTAGACAACGCGTTCAATTGCATATGTGAGAAATCCAACACGTAAACCGTAGTTTGGGCTTTGCTACTGTTCTATTTTGTCCATTGGTTGCATTTTCAAGAAATAGTCCCTTTGCTGTTGTCTCGTTATCTTTCATAACCGTTTCGACGAAAGAGAACGCCTTGGGAGATACATAGGGGCATTGCGCGGTCGTGCAATGCCGAAAACTGACTTTGGAGCCAAATACCGTAGCCTGACGACGAAGGCAAGTGAACGTCGCCAGCATTCCCCCCGTGATTACGCTCCTTGTGATATGTGTACACGACGTGTATTCATCGACGACACATTGATCTCACGTATACGAGTTCTTGAAATGTGCCGATGGACCATATTTCATGCTCGGCTGATGATAATGCGTCGCGTCTTTCTTTGCCTTTGATTCATTGTGAGCCACTTCCGAAGTTGACAAGCACCAATCACGTGGTGGGACGTGGTCCTGCAGCTGCTTTGCGGCTATGTAGCGATGCAGCAAGGCTGTGCCAACATCCTACAGATTCCCAGGACTCAGCCCCCAAGGCATGAAATAGATACCTCCAGTCGTCAGGTATCGCGATAAGCTGCTCTAATGGATCCCATCACAGCTGTTGGCTTTGCCGCCGGTATCCTCAACTTTATCGAATTCTCGTCGACTCTGGTGCGGGGTACGTTAGAGGTCTACCACTCGACATCAGGCACAACTACGGACAACACCCACAGTGGAAAGCTACTCGCCGACTTGCAAGAAGTCACCCAAGAGCTAGAGGTCCGCTTCGATGTAGAAAGTGGTGATCAGACCGCCAAGGCACTTGCGACTTTGGCAACGAAATGTATGGAGCTCTCCAATGAGCTGGCAGCAATCCTCCAGAAACTCGAAGCTAGGGGCAGAAATAAGAGGTGGAAAAGTTTCCAGGTGGCTTTTTTTGGCGTTGTGAAACAGAACTCGATCGCTTCAATAGAGAAGCGACTGGCAGAGTATCGTTCTCAGATCATCTTACGTCTGAGCTTAATGACAAGGTAAAAAGCAGGATCCAGTCTCATCGTTCGACGACGCTGACCAGTCACAGCTCCCAGAATTCTGCTTTGGGTCACCATTTTGATGATCTTGCGAAAACGAGTCTTGTTTTGAAAAGAGAGCTTGGCCATAATGCGCGCCTCCTGAAACAACTGCAAGCATCCGTCCAGCAGATGCAGAGTGACGGGGAAATTTCCTCTATCTTGATAAAGTCTCAGATTTCGGAACTTCAGAGAGCAACACTGAACACCCAGCAAGAGAATTTGTTACTGAAAGGTCTTTACTTTGATTCTTTGTTTCTCCGGGAAGAGTCTGTTAGCGACCCTGAGGCTGGCACCTTTAGGTGGTTACTGGACTATGGGGTCCAGTTATCTGGTCATTCGTCGGACACATCATATGCATCCACCAGTCCATCAAGCCAAGAGAAGATAAACATTTTAGATGAAGCTGCACTTTCTGCACGACTATCAGCCATATCAGCATTTCGCGGCTTTCTGGAAGCTGGCAACGGCTTCTTCTTCATCTGCGGCAAAGCAGGTTCAGGAAAGTCAACGCTGATGAAGCACCTGGCTTACGATCGCACTTTAAAGCAAGAACTTGACCAATGGTCTGGAGGAAGAAGACTTGTAGTGGCTAAGTTCTTCTTCTGGAACTCGGCGGACGCAATGCAAAAGTCCCTGAAGGGATTATATCAATCGCTTCTCTTCGAGGTCTTCCGGCAATGCCCAGATTTGATTCGCGTCCTCTCTGAAGTGATCCCTTCAGCTTGGAGTTTTGGGTGGAAGCCCAAGCTTGACGAAATGAAGACCGTATTTGAGACACTCGTCAGTCGTCCACTTCCGAACGTGGCGTTGTGTCTTATTGTCGATGGGTTGGATGAATATGAGGGAGATGCTCTTGAGCATTTTGAGCTGGCCAAGTTACTGAAGCAATGGTCTAGCCAGCCAAAAGTCAAGATTATATGCTCAGCAAGGCCGCACACTCAGTTCCTGGATACCTTTGATCTACCTCATCGGGTTTTCCATCTACATGAATTGACGCGGAACGACATTCGTTCTTACGTCAAGGTACAATTTGCATCACGTTTACCAAATACTAAAAACGGTGACCTGATGGGCGCCTTCGGTACCATTGCCGAGGAGATTGTGGGCATGTCAGATGGCGTGTTCCTATGGGCACGGCTTGTTGTGCGCTCGCTTCTCATTGGCATGGCCCATGATGATTCACCAAAAGCCTTGATGAAAAGGTTGAATGACACCCCCCGTGACATCAACACCCTTTTTAGAAGGATCTTGGACTCTGTGGACCCAAGTGTACGCCATAGATCCGATCAGATGCTCTCACTGGCTCTCGATAACCCATTCAAACATGACCTGAGCGCAATTGTCTACTCATGGATCGAAGATCTGGATGATCCTGATTTCCCGTTCAACCGCCCATGCAAAGGCATTGGTGAAGCGGAGGTCGAGAAACGACTAAGTATAGTCCGACGACAATTGGATGCTCTTACCAGAGGGTTGCTCGAAATTAAGGAGCAACGCTCAGGTTTTGGTCGTTGGGATGGTGAAGCCCCCTATTGGCGATACCCGGTCGGGTTCTTGCACAAAAGCGTACGGGATTTCTTACGCGACCACTGGAAGATCAACACTCTGTATGGGGCCGCTCCTACCTTTGATCACCTGCGTTTGTATATTGCACAAGCGCAATACGGGATAGGAACCCATCTCTGTGGCAGTTACATACCGTATAGCGTGATAAGGCCCCAATACGGCCAGATTATTTCCTTCTTGGCGCACATATCCTCTCACGATGACCAAAGACGCATATTAGATCATTTAGCGAGAATACACGAAGGTTATAGGTCGCTTAGTCTCTCGTATCCCAAAGGAGAGAATCTCCTCTTCTGGCGGGAGACCGTTGAGTGCCACACTTGTCGGACGCACTGGTTACAGCCAAGCGTTGATGTCAATTTTTGGCACTGGATCACCCAAACCCAATTCTCCTGGTATTCTTTAGAACTTTTACGAAGACATGATAGGGATAATACCAACAGTCGCTTCATCGACAGAAAGCGTCTCAGTCTCAGTGCGATCTGTAGGCCAGGCAATCTCGACCTTCTGCGATATCTCTTCAGCACTGGAGTATCACCAGCGACGCTGTGCACGATAATCGTGTATGAAGATCGAAAAAGCAACGCCTTCGGAAGTGAAGGCGCTGTTCATGCAGAGGCACCGTTGTGGCTCGTATTCTTGAGATACTATCTGTTGGAATGGCGCTCTAGGCCAGCTAATATGGATCGCTTACTGACATGTTTTCTTGAAGCTGGAGCAGACACGAACTTGATCGCCTTGGCATATATCGAGAAAGCACCGGGTCGAGATAAATCCTTTCCCGTTTCCATTCTCGATGGGACACTGAGTTTCTTTATTGAGCTGAAGGAACTGTTAGATATAGTTGGGTTCTGCGACGATCCCGCTCGTAGAGACCTGCTGCGCGGAGCCTACAAGGTAGCATGGACGGCCTGGATGCGACCTGCAGTTAAGTTGCTCAACCCATACAAATCGCACGGTCATGCAGGAAGCGGCTGGAAAGACAAGTATAGACCAGCAACCCAGGAAGAGCTGCGTGACCCCGGTCTGACCGTCTTTGGTGTCATTTCAGAGACGGCTGGGCTTGTGGGCAGGTTCAAATTCCCAGTGCTTGGAGTAGATGAGATCGATGGGCCGATTGAGTTTCATAACAAATTTCGGACTGGAACTGTTCATCGAACCTGAAGAAGATACTGTACACAGTAATTGAAGGTGCGCTCGAGTAATTCTGTTGTTGAAAGTGAAACTCAAAAAAGAGATTGCTCTGAACGGCTACTCTACAAATTAATTAACTGTACCCTTTGCAGGCTGCAGGTCTTCCTGCCTGTGATAACAATGAACTGAGTGCGATTGGGATCAGCGTCCTTGGCGCGTGAGTGTCGCGTTTCTGTTAGGAATGACGCATCACAAATATGTGGGCTGGCTACGTGTGGTCCAGGCTTAAAACTCAAAGATGGCGCGTTCCTCGTCAACCCGAATCTATCTGTGAAGAACTTCCCTGTCCTAGTCCAATGGAATCAACTCTGCTAGAATCGGACTTACCTCGTATAGTTACTTTTCCGCTTCTCTGTATCTTGGCCCGAAGTCAAGATGTCGCCGAAGCGCAAATCCGGAGCCCAGGCTGAACAAGCCGTGGAGCAGCAAAGGAAGCGCAAATCGTCCGACAATGAGAATGGGAGCACTAAAGAAGGTAGCGATAAGGTATAGCCGACTTTAGTTCCTCTTCGGCGGCAGTGAACTAACAGAATCGTTCCAGCCTAGTGATAGCGAGGTTGACAATCGCGAGCCGCATGACTATTACTGCATTAACCGTCATTTCTTCGACATAGAGAACGAGAACAACGCCAAAGATGAAGACGACCAGCTGGACGAGGACGAGATAGACGACCATTACGACGAGTACCTCAAGAAGAACGGTGCTGCTTTGAAGCCTGCTTCGGACTTCCCAGACCAGAACAAGTGGATTGCTATGTGGGAGACCTGGACGGTGATTTGCGACTATCGCCGTCGGGCCACCTACACATGCCCCGACTTCTTCGGCATGTACGTCTACAACGACTTCAACGGATATGGTCTTCAGGAGCTCATTGAGAACTTGGTAAGCTGACAGACGCGGCAGAGTAAGGCGTCAGTTCTCGACTAACAGTGCGCGATCTAGCTTGCATCTCTTGATGAAGAGTTGAAGAAGAAGTCCCATGACGACAAGTCTCTGAAACACATGTGGGCGATGTCCGCTGCTTTAATTCACTGGCTCTTGGTGGAGCAGCTGAACCCATGGATGGGTGAGTTTACCAGCGCACTTCGTGGTGATTACCACTAAACAGCCATTTGTAGGCCTGGATGATGGCGAACGCGTCCAGGAAACAGTCAGACTGATTGGTCTGTCCTTCCTGGCCACCCTCAATGAAATTGACAAGGCTAGTCTTCTGAAGAAAGATTCTACGATCAAGGATCTCGGCCTCGTCATGTCGTTGTATCTCCAGTGGTCCAATGGACTTGGGGATTACGGCATCGATGGCGAAGAAAATATTGGTTGGCGTAAAGACGTTGTTGCATACGCCAAGAAGGCACGAGTCGACCTCGAGGCAAATGGCTGCTTCGGGATCGGTAAGGTGGTTAAATTACTTGATGAAGAGCACGATGGCATCGAACCGCTTCCCGGGGCTGCCAAAGCTGATCGATGGGGTTGGAAGAAGACTGTAAGATAAGATCCTGGTGATCGTCTATGTCGGTATGCTAATGAGTTCACAGCTCACTGCCTACACAAAGAGCTATGGCAAGCGTGGGAAGATCGGCGGTGAGCAGTTCAACATCATGAAGATGTCCCGAAAGGAGCGTGCTTCGCATGCTTTCGACAAGAAGGACCCGCTTGCACAGTTTTCTGAGAAGGATCTCCGAGAAGGCAATGTAGCGCTGGCCTGATCTTCAGGACAATTTTGCGACGTATTGTTTTGCCGACGATTGTAGGTGGCTCTCAGGAGTTTGCACTAGTAATCAAGGTCTGACTGCTAGGGATCTCTTGGAGAGCACGACAAGGAAGCTACCTCATTAGTCGATGTATGATAATGTACAGTACTGCAATGTGCCTAGTGTTTCGGGTGTATAACTTTCGACCCAGGATGGAATGGGCTTATCGTGCGACCGTTCACGAAATCCAGAACCTTGCTTCCACGCGGGAAAGCTGCTTTGATGACGTATAATTCTGTCCTATGCATTGATCAGCCAACTGCAAGGCTGCGGTTTGTGATGAAGAAAAGGCGGTCTGCCCAAGCGCGGTCTTGGTAGTTAGAACGTACGTGGGCTATTCTTCGGACAGCAGGTTGCTGGCCGTCTAAATAACACACTACAAAGTCAGTTCCCGGTCGTGACACGAAGGTTGGATTAATGGGCTTTATCTTAGATCGTCACACGTGCAAGGATATATTGTCGTTTAAGTTGCAACCAACAGAATACTTTTCCTTCCGAACCGCTGTGTCAAGCCTGTCATAAATCATCAAATAAATCATCAACTTCCCCAGGACAAATGTGACAGAACACACAGACGAAGATTTCTGGCAGGGATCCACGCGACGATCAGTAGGTGAACAATGTCAGTCGGGATATCTCTCTAAGTCGCTTGTACGGAAACATAATCAAACAAAGCCCTCATCGCAGACGGGCTGCCCACAAGATCATTTTTGCACGGTGATCTCAGTCGTCATAACGATTGCGTTCTTCCCGTTATTCCTCGCGCCTTGCAGGATATACTCTTCGCTCCCTGATCTGTCTCCATCTCCATGTGTCGAAGGGTATACGGACCCAGTCACAACGGCGCCCTGGCCACCCTTTATACTCGTACGGTATGACTCGTCGTTGTTGGCAAACGGTCGCCGGTGCATCTCGAACTCGGCCTCGACGTCCGCCGGGCGACTGCGACTGAGGCCCCCGCTCCGGCCCGTGGCCCGGGCTGGATTTCCATATTTGGACAGGTCGTTGTAGTTTCCGTAAGTGCCGTAGGAGGATAGCTTCAGGGCCTTGCCGACAATAGGCTTGAGGGTCGGAGCGCAGGCAGCGATGATTCCGACGTTGAGCTGCAAACTAGAAAAACTTCGTTAGTCGCATTGTGTAACAAAAGGCTATGAAGTGCAACTGACAAGCCGTAGAACTGAATACTTTGTGTGAATGTCTTATCTGTATCTGTAGCGAAGCGAATCTGAAAATAGGCTTTTACGACGCCCAAGGCGACGGCACTTATAGCAGTTAATCTCTGATCAAGCGTGCTAGGGCTGCTCAAACTTACAAGTAGCCCAGGCTAAGAATTATAATCAAGTAAATCCTGACCCGTAGTTTTAACTGCAAATTCATGATGATCGGTATCGGTAATGTTGCGAAGCAAACATCGGTGAAGATGTTGAATCCTGGGATTGATCTGTCAGTAGCGAACTTGGAACAAAGTTTGTGCAGTACAAACCTGTGTTTGCAAGACCAAACTTTATAAAAAGCAAAATGCTGTAGCACTGAGGTTTCGTCGACTTATCCCAGAATCCACTCATCGGCGTGCATTGCAGCAACAAAGTCAACCATGCGAGTATAGTATAAGTGACAACGAAGCCTATGGCTTTTGTTAGAAGAAATCAGCGTCCAGCTTGTGCAGTACTCACCGATTAGAGCCCACAAAGAACGTGAGTACCACTTATTTGTGCTCAAGCGCAGAAGAGAGAATGCTATCGAGATCTTCAGGAGGCCAAGTGCGGCCATAGCTGAGATCAAGGACTGGAAGAATGCTATGTGATCAAACACGGTCTTATCTGCAACAGCTATGGTGTCTTGATGCTTTCCCAGCCCAACGTATCCCTGAAGGATAAAGCACAGCATGCCACCGAAAGTACATAGCTTCATCGGTTAGTCAGACAAGACAGTATCCCGGACAGTCTGGGTGTTTGTGGCTTACAATACATAAGGCCATAGTGAGATCATCTTTCCCGGCTGCCTTTAGTATCACAACTCTGGCGTATATCCGAAGCGCTGCAATGATCAAGGCGACCCCGTGAACAGCACCCGTGACCCCGAGGATATATGGTAAGTTGCTCTCTGCCGCCCGGGCAGGATCAACAATCTTCGTCGTGGACATCGTCTATTATCGCCTCGTGCCGACTTTCACTGCCACTTTCGACCTTGGCGATTACAAAACCTGCGGGAGAAGAATGGGTACTCGACTAAACATACTGAGGGCACAAGAGAGAGAGGGAAAGTAACCCATGTGGACTTTGCCCGGCAGTGGGCATTACCATAGTTATCTATTCTTGTTTCGGATCTTGCTCTTCTGACATCTGAAAATCCGCCGAGCCAGGTTGCGCCGGCCATTATTTGACTAGACGACAACGCCAAACCCTATGCAAAGTAAAGTGTCCCAACCGAGCCAGTCTGCGTCGTTTCCCAAGCTCGCAGAGCAGCCAGGGGGCCGGTAAGAATACGAAACCTGTGGCAGAAGGCATTGAGAATCGAAAAGCTTCCTATTCTCCCCATTCTCCCGGCTGGGGTCCCTTACAACATTCCCGGTAAGAACCCAGACTCTAGGGCCTTGGCACATGGAACAGCCCAGCGACGGAAGCGGGCGCCGCGCGTGTGCCTGTGAAATTGCGCCTATGAGAAGAGCACCATATTTCGTGCAAAGGTTCCGAAGTAGTCTAAGGATTCAAGTTCTCGACTAGAACCCCCGCCAGCACTAGACTAGGGAGACGTTCTAGCTCTCTACTAGTCTACGGCACGCATCTTAGCAGATTGCAGGAGTTCCAAATCGTTTGGAGCTGATTCTTAATGGCATAGTGCCCAGCACGGCACGGGGGGTCTGATCCAAAATAGAATGCTCTACGGCGCTGGTCTGAAAATCTGCCCATCTCATAATGCGTAGTGGAGTTCCCGCGAAATAACGTTGTCTCCACGCAACTAGGCAACCCGCCCCAAAGTCTCCACGCCGGTTGGAGTGATCACCGTGATCATCGATCTGTTGGCCCGAGTAGGAAAGAATGCAATGGTTTCGTGTGTGCATGTTCCGCGATCTCGTCTGATCTGCAAGGCTAGATCGGATCGATCGTATGAAGAGCTGGCTTCTGTCATTTCTGATCGCTGGATTTTCAAAAGCAAAAGGATCTTGTCGCTGTCGACGTTGTTTACAGACAGGCCGCAGGGGCTCCGTAGTACAAGACCTTGCCAATCGACCCATATGTTTCCTAGTTGCAGCCTTCTAATCCGTCTTGAGAAGGTCCCCGACCGGAACCTGGGAGCCGTTAGATGCACCGAAGTCTCTTCGGGTTCTGGCAATTGCCCGTGGATATGTTCCGACAACCCACCACACCTGCACCCATTTGACATCGCCGAGCCAATAGTGCTAGCTGGGCCATCACTGTAGCGAGGTTAGTGTCGCGAGAACTGCCTCCTCCGGGCGTGAGGGTTGCATATGAACCAGCTCCCTGGTTTCCCCTAAAGTGACCGGGGTCCCCTCAGTGAAATCAGGGGTCCCAGGTCGCTGGAAAGCCTGGTACTCGCTCGCTAATAAGCCCGTATCAATTATATAGGATCGCTCTGCTGTGATTGAACAATGCGTTCTACGCAGCTTCCTCTTCGTGGCACCCTCGGCTCTTGCATATCTGCCTTGCTCTCCCGCGCTGCTCTGTGGTAGAGTTGCTTTGTGTGAAACTGTAGCTTCGCTGTAGTTACATACGCCATTATGCACTTCACAAGCTTGGCTGTCTTCGGCCTGTGTGCCACTTCCGCACTCGTTTCGGCTACTCCTCTACAGACGCGGGATGTTCTAGAAGACTTGCAAAACCAGGCTCTCGCGGCTTTACGGGACGCAACAGACAATGGCCTCGCCAAAAAGTCATGCTCGATCTTCAATGCCAAGATCCGGAAAGATTGGTAAGTGGAACGTCGAGAGCTGGATGATTGTCGCGCTGATGATATTAAACAACACAGGGCGCTCTTGTCTGCGACTGAGAGGAAGTCGTACACGTCTGCTGTGAACTGCTTGATGAAAAAGCCATCCAGGTCGGACCCAGCTGTTGTTCCTGGTGCAAAAAGTCGATATGATGACTTCGTCGCTCAACATATCAATCAGACCCTCAGCATCCATGGGACAGGTTCTTTCCTTAGCTGGCATCGATACTTTGTGTGGTCCTACGAGACTGCGCTAAGGGAGGAATGTGGCTATACTGGCTATCAACCGGTGAGTTTATCAAGTGTCCGGTTCTTGAGCCCGCATAGACTGACTATTCAAAGTACTGGAACTGGTTGTCTTATCAAAACAACCCAACGAAGTCTCCCGTCTTTGATGGCAGCGCTACCAGCATGAGCGGCGACGGCTCATTCGTCGCGCACAATGGTAGCGTTGGCGGTGCTGGCGCCATTTTCTTACCCTCGGGTAACGGCGGTGGTTGCATCACCAGCGGCCCTTTCAAGGAGTATGAAAATCCCATTCGCCGCTTGTTGAATAACATACTAACTGGCCGATAGCATGACAGTCAATCTAGGACCCGTGTCCCCTACTATGGCCGGCGAGACGAAGGTCAACTCAAGCTTTGCATACAACCCACGCTGCCTTAAACGTGATCTCAGTGCCTACACTGCCACGACTTGGTTGACTGCTACCAACCTCTTGAACTTGACAATCGGAAACGCTGCTCAGAGCATCGAGACATTCCAGAACGAACTTCAGGGCAGATTCAGTCAAGGCTTCCTAGGTATGCACGCAGCTGGTCACTTCATGATCGGGGGCGACGCTGGCGATCTGTTCTCTTCACCTGTCGATCCCGCTTTCTGGCTTCACCACGCTATGCTTGACCGTGTGTGGTGGCTATGGCAGGCCCTGCACCTCAACCAGGCCGAAACCATCGCCGGAACCGTTACTATATTCAACAAACCACCGAGCCGTAATGCTACCCTAGACGACGTGATATACATGGGTCAATCCAATGCGCCGACCCGGCCGATCAAGGAGCTGCTGAACTCGCTAGGCGATGATCCGTTTTGTTACATCTACTTGTAGAGCCGTACAGCCAGTGTGCATGTATTGTTAGTAATTAAATATAATATCTTGTATATAGGGACATCATAAAAAGCATTGGAGCAATACGTGGTTCTCCTGGGCCATGGAATTGTTGTTTTCGATACCCGTAAAGATTTTCGATATCTGTGAAGGATCGCAAAACTCGAGCACTCTTCAACGTTGGCGTATGGTTCTGCTTACCCGATTGCAAGCGGCAGTTCAGAGCCGCATCAAGGTGGTTTTGGCTGATTGCGTCACAAGCGAACGCCTCCAGACGCCATCGAACCAGACGAGGGTTCGCTTAACAACGCCAATCTCTCGAGCCGCTGCATTTTGCGATCTAAAACTGAACGCCACAACCGCTGTGGATACCAGGTAGCGAGCTGCCCGACTACCAAATTTGAATGACCCGGTCAAGATACATCGCTTTTGGCTCCATAGACCGCGTGGCTATAGCCCAATATAATACCTATTACAAAATGGAAACCCAACTCCTGTGGGGTTAAGGGCTCAAGATGACGAAGCGGAAAGCTCCCAGTGATGCCCAAAGGGTCGGATCTAATAGCGAACAAGGCCTCGCTTGGGGTAAGGTTTATCCTGATTATGGCGAAACGGCCCGTAACAGGTCAGGTCACCGATACAAGCTTATAAGTACTCTTATTTGATTCGGTGGTAAGTTCAATGGTCCTGGTTGCGGAGGCTCAACGGGCTTGTAGAACGGATCTGCGACTTGATGTTCAGACAAGCCACTCCAGGCAAAAACATAGATCATGAAAGGTGCGTTTTCTCATTGAGGGTGACTGCACCCTCAAATCTTGACGGTTTACAAGGTTTTCCCAAAAGCTGGGCCGAACCAGACAGCTGGGGTGCTCTGGAACATGTCGCATGTCTCCACAGCCACTTCCGACTGTTCCAGAGCATCTCCACTTACAACGGTCACGGATCAACGTTCACTAGTCTAACTTGTCATTCGAGGACCCGGAGCTACCTTGTGAACAGGAGATTCGAGCAGTTTTAGGCCAATCCTTCGCATTCAGCAGACAAGGGTTTGAAATTGATTGCCAAGATCTGAAAGTCAAGATCTTGTCAGAGGGAATGATGCCAAACCAAATGGCTGTTGTTTGAAATGGACCAAGTTAGTTACGCACTAAATCAATCACGTATAAGGGAAACATGCCAGCCTATTATGCTAAGCTCTCTGCCATTATTGCACGACCTATACACCCTCTAAACTGTGATTATATTCCTCCTATCGAGCCCCGGGGCGATCGAAACAAAGGAGTATCAATAATAGTTGGCCCCTAGTAATAGATCATCCTGTTAATTATGGCGACAATCCACTTCAGCAATAGTCTTTCAAGGATAGAGAGAGGCTATCCTTTCCTGCATTGTTCTTGGGATCGCTATTACTATGTGATGCATCTCGTGCCCAGCAGATTCAGCCCAATTAGGCCACCATTTTTGTGTGCGGTGAACTAGTTTATGGTCGATGATGACGGAAATACGCTGAGACTAATCACATACCCCCTCCCATGCACCAGCTCCAGTTTCAGCGTGACGTTGCTACCATTGGACTCTGGAAACATCATTTTCCTTCAGCCTGGTGCCTCGCAGACCGCCAGACGCAGCGGAGAACAACGGTTACCATCACGGAACTTGCCATGGTATGACAAAGTTCCCGCGGCTCCGACACGGGTTGTCGTGCTTCCATAATCTCGTAAATCCGGAGGCTTCGATAGTGCGCCCATACCCTACGTAATTGAGTATTAACGTACGATTATAAGAAGAGATGCTAGGCTCACTATTGCTTTTCTGGAAGCAAACATTTACCTAGAGTACCTCCACAATAACCACTGAGAGTAAGTGGGTTGGTTTCACAGAGTGGACCGGCAATTTTGTATGAGAGCTTAGAAGGATGCGCAAGATTACCCTGACCGTTCTGAGAACCGTCCTGTATGTCGAGACTTCGGTGATGGCCGCGGTATCATTATACAATGGCTTCATGGTCGGGAGTTACCAATTATTTAGGTCTTGTACACGGAGAAATGTGACAGTAAACAGTGATGAGCTAGATGTATTCTTAGTTGGCCGGATGTACCTGATCTTTCAGTTAACTACCTCCGTCACAAACACGGTCGCAACGAATACGGTTGAGTCGTCGAGAAAGTTGAAGTGAGGTTTTCCGAAGACACAGACCAGCACTTCTGCCGGTTTATTGAAACCAGACTTTCGGAGACTTCTGCTGTGATCACGAAGAGTCCTCAACGACCAATCATAGAAACTCACGCGTGTGAAGAACTGAATAATTGGGTGTACGACACGTCACCATCGGACATCCAAACAGAAACCTTCTGGCATTATACCAGTTGGGAAGATCTTTCAAAATAATACCACGTACGGTTCCATAATCAAACGCGTATATCCCTCACAGCCTCAGGTGTCCCAAGCGGCCGGCTTTGAACATCAATGTTCTTCCATTGTTCTCGAATAGTGCTCGTTGGTGCCCTTTTGCCACAGTGCCCTAAATGACTTATGAGTTCTACGAACACTCGTCGCAAGAAGCACTCGAGTACCAGCGTGCCGAACTCCGAGTCGGGGCCGGCAAAATGCGCGGACGGGTCGGGTAATAGCGCACGCGCTCGCGGCTCCCAGGCTCCGTCTCTTTACCCGGACATCGATCGGCGCCGCCAAGCGAAGTCGTGCGATCCGGCATGCGGAAGACCTTAATGTGATACAAACCAGTGGGGCGACAACATCAAAATGCTTACCGTCACCTTGGCGAGGACTTCACATAGGACTTAACATGCCAGTTGGCGCATGTTCGCACCGAACCAACCGGCCCATCAGGACGACTAGAATGTCGAGCACTAGCTTACTCCTGTCTCTGACAATATTAGGGGAATATCACGGATACATACGTTGCGGTTAGCTGTCACTCGGCCTTCTCGGCTTCTCTCAGCCGCAGCCATGCCCCGGAGAGTAGCGCCACCCAATCCGATGCTTGGCTTCCATTCTCCCTGCTTGTCCCTACTTGGCTCTATGCACGCAGTTTCCCGTGAAGCTTGCATGCCGTATGCGAGAGAACTTTGAGGTTCATGTGGGTCTATGAGAAGACGATCGTATATGCTTGAATAGCCCAAGTTCTGACCTGAAGGGTGGAGACTGATGTATATAGTGGGACGTGCAATATCCTCCCTTCTCTTGAAGCAGTATCTGCAGTTTTTCAGCAGATGGAAAAAGGTATCGAGATGCTGCTCAAGTACCTAACGCCGAAGTCCTTCAGCCTCGCTCTCATCGCAGGCCTCGCAATCCACATACATGCCTCATATCTTGACTATCCCACAACCTCGTCAGCACGCCAGCAATGTGCTCTAGATATCCCAGTCTCGTTCCAGCACGGGTCATACCGCATGAGTCCATTGCCTCTAGATGATACTACCCTAGACTTGCCTTCCAGCTACAGCCCCTGGACCCATCCTCCGGCCTGCCTCACCTCCCTCTTGGACTCCTCGGAGAAGTATTGCATCTACACAAACGACGGCCAGGGCTCCAATGGGGTAAGCATCATCACCCGCCCATCGCTGGCGGCCGCCAGCGCGGCGGTGCTGCTGAACGAGAAACTCTCCGACCACTTCGCCGCACGGGCGGGGCGGAACGACAGCCATCTACACCTGCTCCCATCGGCCTTACCCGGGTCTCCATCCTCCTCAGTACCGGTGGAACTTCCCTATGAGATCGTCAATATGTCGGAGAAGGGGAAGGGCGTGCTGGCCACGCGCCGCATCCGCAAAGCCGAGGTGCTCATGCTCGACCACGCGTCGTTGCTCGTGGCCGCGGCGTTCCCGGGTTCTGTGAGGCAAGTGGATGGGTATGAGATCCTTCACCGAGCTGCGGACCAGCTGCGGGACCCAGGGCGCGTTCTCGGGCTTGGGAGGTCCAGTAAGGGGGCGGCGGACGTACTGGAAGATGTGATAAGGACGAATTCGTTTGCGTTTGACTTGGGCGGGGAGCCGCACATGGCCGTCTATCCAGAGATCTCGGTGAGTTTGCTGCACTACTGTGGAGGAAGAAAAGGGCGGCGTTTGATATGAGGAGCTGCTCTGCTGACGTCTGATATAACAGAGGATCAACCATGGGTGCAATCCCAAGTAAGGACTTTCTGCCTTTTTGTTGTCGTTCCGATGTTGACAAGATATACTTCAGCGCATTTGCACGATTTCTGCCTCATAGTCTCGCTGCGAGCATCATCGCATTCCGGGACATTGAGCCAGGGGAGGAAATAACCATCAGCTGTAAGTGTTGGCTGCTCGCCCGAGCCCTGTCAAGTCGGGCCGCTGGCATGCCATACCTTTGTCTACTCGCTCACTTCCACTCAAGATATTCCCTTCGCCAGTCCCACCTCGGAACGGCAAGCTCTCTTGTCGCGCTGGAACTTCAACTGCACATGCGCACTCTGCGCCTCGTCGCCTTCGACCCGGGCATCGTCCGACTACCGGCGCACCAAGATCCGTTCCCTGCGCGAGGAGATCTTGGAGGCCATCGGCAAGCGCGACGGGACGCGCGCCGTCACCCTTTCGCACGAGGTGCTGCGACTGGCACAGATCGAGAAGCTGGAGCCGCTCTACGGCGAGACGTACAATACCATCGCACGGATCTACTGGCATGCGGGGGACAAGCGGACGGCGGAGCGGTATGCGCGGTTGAGCCTGAGAACTCTAGGGGAGCAGGGGTATATTGATGATCGTGAAGAACATTTGGAAACATTGCTAAAGACGTTTGAAGAGCCTTGAAGAAGGCCGAGTCGGAATATATGGATAATCCCTGGTTCATGAATTGCAACTCAGGTGTGCCTCAAGCTAGGCAGTGTCTATCGAATGCGAGGCTTCCGTCATCATGAGGAGAACATTTGGACGGTTCTGCAATCAAGGTAGTTAGCAAAGAGCCAGATACCTTTAGTGGCACACTTCCATCCATCTAAGCGTGGGGGCAAGACATTAGACAATGGTATAGTCCTCTCGCACGGAGTTTTGAAATGCATAATAGTGGACCCTGCCCTTTCCGATCCTCTCAAATACTTTGCCCGTAAACCCTTGCTGATGAGTCGCCGTGATATCTTTGAGAATAAGAACCTCGCTCTGCTTGATCCGGTTCTCGAAAAGCTTTTCGCAAAGGAGTACTGGGGCCATCCAGACATTGATCGCCAAGTCGTCCACTTCCACGTCCAAGATACATGAACCAATGGAGACACCACTCGGTATCCCGATGACTCTTTCCCCCGTCTTGGGTGTAAGCCGAGTCATCAGACACCATGCTTCCAGAAGCGTGCCTGCAGCCTTCAGATGTCCACTTTCGACAATGCCATACTCATCGGCATCATCCCTCTCTACTGTGGCGGTGAACACGGTCAAGGCGCCTGTATGCCTCGTCTCAGAGCCGAGATCCTCAAGCATTCGCAGCCCCGCAAAGGCTCGCTTGATTGCCGGGTTCTCGATTGGTCCATCGATGCTGGCCCATGACCAGCTTGGTGCGCAAAACGCCTGGGCTCTCTTGTGCTGGGCCCCCGTCGTGCGGTCAGCTTGCCACAAGAGATGCTTCAAGAACTCGTCCTCCCAGAGGCCGGCAACATAGACTCCCAACTTTCCCTGTTCGCCGTAAATCCTTGCTATGCCAGCTAGTGCAGGAAGCTTGTCCCCTCCAACAGTCAAGCTACGTTTGGTGTACTCGTTGATGGCATCCGCCCAGGCGTTATGCATCAAGATCTTTGATATTTCCCCTTTTAACTCATACACGTTGTTGAAGAGGCCAAGCCCGTATGGAACGTGGTGGGCCTCTATGCTGTCGCCTTCGTGAACTGCGGACTCTCTGCATTCCCAGTGGAAGAGCTCGGGGGCCAAATGCAGAAAACGGGCGGACATTGCCCGCTCCTGGAACGTCCAGCCTCGTGTTGAAAGAGGACTTCCATCGAATGCTTTGTCAAAATCCTGAAACTGTGGAGTGATGAAGACCTGGTACGGTTTGTCAGAAGCGTAGGGGCCGGACGTGAATGGCCATGGGATCGGAACAGCAATGCGGTGACGGGCGGTTCTTTGGGGCAGTAATGGACCGTCCACGTTCGAGGCGGAGAGCCCACCAATAGTTAAGGCGGCTCGGCTGTATACTTTGTGCATCAATGCTGCCTCACGGCTCCAATCCTCGCGGTCTCCCTGGATAATGCAGAGTGCATCGATCCAGATGTATCGGATGCCTAGTTTCCGTGCGATTGTGACAGCATCTCTGTGTGTCCGCGGCATCGAAGATAGCGTGATGCCATCAATCCGTTCCTGAATATTGGCGGAGGTGGTAACCATCTGGGTTCTAGTTTGACCCCAGCAGTAACTCAGGGCGATATACTGCGACTGATCATCATCCTTGGTAATGCGGAGTCTAACGGTAGCATCATCGTCGTCTCCGACATCGACAACGCGTGTCGGTAGATGTCTGGCGTGGGCATCTCGGTTGGCCCAAGCAGAACACCTCGGATGGCTTGAGTGACATCTACTGATCCATTCTTTCACATTTGACCAATTCCTGTCGTCCTCAGGCGAGGGCGACACGATGCGAGCAGTGAAAACTTTCCTCAAAGTCTCAGGCGCTCGACTCCGTGACTCTGGAAGTGTCAGTAGAGCTGGTGAAATACTAGGGCAAAGGAACATGAACTAACCGTCGTCAAACCCAGTCCGCAGTGTGACAAGGAGCTGCTTTTCTTTCGAGAAGATCTCCAGCTGTTTGCCACCGAACACCTGACAGCGCAGTTTGCGAGCATTCTCGTCTGGGACCTCGGCTGAGATATTGTGCAGGTAGTTGAACTTGTCCGGCAGCCGAGGCCGAGCGGCTTCAGTGAGGATCAAATGACAGAGCTCGCATTCTCCGGCAGCCGCCTCTAGGGACTCCCACGATGAGTGGTGCCACCAATGCAGAGGCTGCTCGGGAGGGTCTGTATGATTCTGAGTGGAAATATATATCATTCGCGGTATCAGCCATTCTCGAGCCAGTCGAACGCAGGTGTGGCACAGGGCCATCCTGAGCACTTGGGGGTGTGTCGCGATCGCAGAATATTTTTGGGCGCTCTAGAGATTCAAGGAGTCACCCATCCCATCTACCAGGACCTTGGGGGGCATCTTGGATGCCTCCAGCGGAGCGCGTGTCACGAAGCGTGACGGCCGCCGTAACCGTTTCTGAGCGAGCTGCATAAAGAGGCTTGCAACCGGTTGATACAGTGTGGTCAGCCGCAGTCGGAAGTGCGACCCAAGGTCCGGCTAGAAGCACCAATCAGACAACGGCGCAACGTGAAGGCTGAGAGTCCTTGAGGTCTGGGCTCAGCAAAGAGGACGTTTGCATGATGTTACAAAATAGACGAAGAATGAATGGGAGTGTTTCCATTTCAATATCTTGGGGCGTTGAAGTGCCTAGTTTTTTCCCTCCCTCCTCGCTCTCATCCAATTTTTTCACAGCTGTGGTCCGTGTTTTCTCAAGCAAAGAAGCCTGGCCCGGTATGCTAGCGACTTTTGGAAACATTTTTCGGACAAAGCCTCCCTACACTGTGACGTCACTGCCTGTCGTCGCGATACTTCTTAGTTATATTCTGACAGCTACCAGCGCCAACGATGAGAGCGAGATGCGCAAGATGAAATCCCGGGCAGCTGCAGCAAGGCTTGGACTCGATTGCACCCACAACCGAGAACATGTACCATGTGGTCCTTTAGAGTTGGTATTGCGTGCAAGCCGAGTTTCAGAAGTCCAGGGCGAACTGTTGTTATCACGTTGGGCAGTGATTGGCCACCGGGGGCCATGCGACCCAGACAGAGGCTACCCCCTAAGGGCTCGCGCCGCCAAGATTGGGGGAGATCTGCAGGGACTCGGCCTGTCACGGGCGACGGATCACCACCTTAAACGGTGCCCACCCGTACCTCTGGCTGGTTGGGTCCGGTGACGGTGAGCGGCCGCGCGATAAGGCAATGGGCAATAAGAGGCGCGGCGGGGGGAGGATTGGCGGGGTCTTTCAGCGGGCGTCTTTGTTGCTTGCTGTTGTTCGCAGCGTCGAGGTTCATTTCACTTTCATTTCAATCTCGAGGTACCGCCGTCGACCGCCCCCCGCCCACGTCGTCTGTCTCCTTGTTGATATAACTAGCTGTTTTTTTTTTTTTTTTTTTATAACAACCCGTGAGCGGAGACTAAAATTCTCGCCAGTTTCCGTCTGACCTCGAAGTTAGCGAGGGACCTGCTGTAGCGTCTGGCCGCACGGATAACCGGGTGCCTGTCGCAGCTGTTGCAGACCGATAGCTTAGACAACGGGCGGCTTATCGGCACCGCCGCCAGGGCACGAGGCGCTAAAAGCGTCACCTTGCAACCAAGGAGGTCGCAGACAGTTGGACCCCCATTCAATCAGATCGAAAAGACTCTGGCCAACCTTTGCGAGGACGCAATTATCTCGACATCTGGGCATCTCTCTCGCGATCTCTCGCCCGAGCACATCTCACCCTTGCGACCCCCTTTTCGGTTGACGCGGGGCGAAAAAACGCTGAAGACGAAAACCCCCGACTCGGGCATTTAGGGGCTTGGAGGCGCGATAAGAAGGAAAGCTCACTGCACACTACACACTGCACACTGCACACACGGCACAGTACAGTGACACACCGCGCCCGCAGCCATGGCGTCCACCACGGCACCCGAGACCGTCAACGAGGACATTCCTCAAAACGACAGCGGAAAGCTCAGGACCTTTATTTCCATCCTGCGGAAGTAAGACTCAACCCCCCCAATCCCCCCAACCCCCGTTGCCGCCCAGATGCGAAGCTGTGAATGCCCTCACCGCCCGCCGCTCTCCTCCCCCAGCGCAGGCGGGGTGTGTGCGTGCGTGTGTGGCGATCCGATGACGGAACCCGGCCAAGACTCAGCAAGGGGTTCTCACAGCCGCAACAGACGAAGAAGCGGCGGAAGAACACAGAGAAAACAAAGAAAGAAGCACACGTCGATAGCCGCGCTACTGTGTGACGTTCAGTTCAAGTCTCGCTAACATGGGCCTCTCTCCCCTTCCTCCAGGTTCATCGGCGTCCCCGATCTCGCTGCCGTACGCTTCTCTCTGCCTTCACAGCTGCTCGAGCCGCGGCCGAACCTCGAGTACTGGAATTACCTCGACTGCCCCAGTGCCTTCGCCGCCATCGGCACCGCGGACGAGCCCATCGACCGCATGCTCGAGGTCCTGCGCTTCTGGTTCACCAAAGACCTCAAGTACGTCAAGGGCAAGCCCTGCAAGCCCTACAACTCGTGTCTGGGCGAGTTCTTCCGCTGCAACTGGGAGGCCGAGAAGAACGCGCCCCCGATCAACACCAAGGATGCCGGCGGCTCGGCCAGCAGCGCCTCGTCCATCAAGTCCGCCAGGGGCGACCCCAGGTCTTCCTCGAGCGTCTCCGTCCCCCAGACCGCCGAGAACCCGACCGGCCCTACCGCGCGCATCTCGTACCTGACCGAGCAGACCTCGCACCACCCGCCCGTGAGCGCCTTCTACATCAGCTGCCCCGAGCAGGGCGTCCACGCCAGGGGCTTCGATCAGATCTCGGCCAAGTTCACCGGCACCACCATCAAGGTTTCCCCCGGCGAGCACAACTTCGGCATCTTCATCACCCTCGAGAAGCGCGACCAGGAGACCTACCAGCTTACCCACCCCGCGGCCCACCTGGGAGGCATCCTCCGGGGCGCCTTGAGCGTTAGCGTCGGCGAGGCTGCCTTCATCACCTGCCCCCAGACCAAGATCAAGTGCATCCTGCAGTATATTGAGGATGGCTGGCTCGGCCGCGCCCAGAACAAGGTCGAAGGTGTCATATTCCGTTACGACCCCGAGAACGACGACAAGATTCGCATCAAGGACGTGCCCGACAAGGATGTTCTGATCAGACTAGGCGGCTCGTGGAAGGAGAGGATCGTCTACACTCTGGGTCCCAAGCCCGTGGTATGTCCTGTTCTGTTTTCCCAGTCATGCTTTTCCCCTACACCCGAACTGAACTAACCTCTCTGCAGGACTCTCATCCTCCCGAGAAGCAGACCGTCATCATCGACCTCAACCCCCTATTTGTGGCCTCCAAGGTTCTGCCCCCCAAGGAAGCGCAAGCCGAGAACGAGTCTCTGCAGATGTGGGACGGTGTCACGCAGGCCATCATGTCAAAGCAGTTCTCCAAGGCAACACATGTCAAGCAGGAGCTAGAAGAGAAGCAGCGGGAGAAGGCAAGGGCACGCGAAAAGAACAACGAAGTCTGGCAGCCCGCCTTCTTCACTCAGATCACGGATAAGGGAGGCAAGCCCGAGCTTAGTGAGAAGGGAAAGCAGGTCCTGGAGAGGATACAGAAGGGTGACTGGAGTTTGCAGGGCATCGTATAAAGGGCACCTTTATTTCCCCCCTGACTACCCAAGTCGGGAGTACGACCCTGGAGCGTGTTACTGCTACATTTCCTACGGCCTACCGATGACATGGGATCTCGCCTGCTCCGCTTTCGACATACAACCAGGACTCTTTTGGCTAGACAAGCCAGCGCACATATACGCATATACACATGACTTTTCTAATTTTCTGTTTTGCGTGGGGCATAGCAAATGGACGGCATCTGGGGGGATGGGGGTCGGTTTTCACGGGAGACGCATCATCGCTCATATTGACGATGGCTAGATTTCGGCCAGGCTTCTTGTTCTGTCGGCGTTCTTCATCATGGCATCTAGACGTTCCTACATTAACAATATTTGACAGTCCATCCATCATCTAAACTACGTCTTCCCCCAAATCTTGGGTAACACTAAGGTTCATGACCTTGTTCTCCTCGTCAGCTCTTGCTGGTTCGGAGGCCAGCAGTTTGTAAGAGGCCGGTTCAGTCCCAAACAGACAAGTGTCAAGAACCTGTTCAAGCTCTATCTCATTAAGAGCGGGAGCAGATTAAATCGAGATCAGGTTACAGCAAGAGCCCAGACGCCACTCTCGTCCCTTTCAGGATCTCAAGAAGGTAAGGGAATATATTAAATCTCGCAGATGCCATTTATGCAAACTTTGCCAACGCCACGCTGGTCAAAACGCTGCCAAGACACTCTGAATTGCTCTGTGAGTGTAGATGAGAGTCGATGCTCATACTTCTGATGTAGTTGCAGGGAAGGATTCGTGGGAGGCGTCTCACTAATCGGTATGTTATTTGACTGGTCGATTGCATTATGCGGCCAGCACTTGGCTGTCTTTCTGCTCGACACGAGATTCACTGCGGGTATCGAACTCCATGGTCCCGTCTGCAGACGTATTCTGTGAATGCAGTCCGGGAACTGCTTGAACCCGCATGCATGTCCCTGGATAATGAAAACTTTGCGGAGGCACGGCAGGGAGTCGACAACTGCAGCGTACCTCGCTGAGCATGGTACAGATTCCGCTCGCAGGTCCGCAAACCACGCCACGGGGGCAATGACGTTCCGTATGAGCCTGAGGCCGTGGGGGTGGTCGTGACGAAGCGCCGCCGCCGTCCGGATTAACCTCTCCTGCTCCTCCCACGTCTGGGGACGAAACCACCTCCTCGGAATGCCCTCGATGTAGGGGACCTCGCGCAGCAGGGCAAAGACGTCGTTCTCCCGGTCGACCCAGTATCCGCGCTGCGGCTCGCAGATATCGTTGGAGACCAGCCGCACGTAGCGCTTCGCGAGGTAGGAGCGGGCGTTGGCGTTGAGCAGCGCCAGCCGCCCCAGGGTCCTGCCGCGAGTGTCGATATAGTGCTGCTTCTCGCCCCCCGCGATGGGCGCCGGGCGGACGCGCAGCGCTGAGTCCGCCGAGGGGACGAGCACCTCCCAGATGAAGGAAGGGGCTTCGCAGTCGGGCTCCAGCAGGAAATCCCAGATCCGCGAGTAGAGCTCCTCGGGGAGGTCGTGAATCTGGGCTGGTGTTCCGACGAAGTTGGTGAAATGTCGCTGGGGACTGGCTGATGTGTCTCCAATCGAGGCTGCGACGGGACTCTCGTCAAATGGTAGCAGTGGTCTTTCGGAGAGCTCGGGGTAGGCGTCGTTAATGGCGGGTTTGGCCTGGCAAGTCAAGGGCGCGGCGTCTGATGAATTCATGATGCCTGCGGTGCCTGTGCTTCAGCGTAATGAAAGGTGTGCTGTAGGTTACTTGATGAGGACATTATACAATTGTGAAGCTGTGGAGGCGTAGTTACTGGGCTGTCTGAACACATGCGACGTGAACGGTTCAAGAAACTACCTAGGTAATTTCGTCTGTGTTGCAAGCAGGCTGGTCCCGGCCGTGCCGGCGTAGGGAGGAGATATGGATGGAATTCAGGGGTTAAAGCAGGCTGCCCGTATCCAAGTATTCGGCTCTAGATATAGCAACACGCAATTGCCAGTAGTTATCGCGGGCCAGTTGCAATTCTCAGCAGATGCCGTAGGACTTCCGAGAGCTTGTGGTGCCCTTGGTATTTGGTACTGCCACAGGACTGAAAGGTACGTGGCTCTTGGAATACCTAGGAATATGAAACTTGCTATCAGTTTGCGCCATGAGCCCCTGATCCATGACCAGGCCAGACAGCTGTCAGTACCTGCTGTGGAGTTGAGAGGATGCTTTAACACGCGATAGATTGGAGAATAGACCGGTGCGTGACTTCGCCTCGTCTGGCCAAGAACTTCACGTTTGGATGGCACGACCAGCTGGATCTTCCAAGTAAATATAAGTGATACCCGCCAGTGTGCAGTCACGAGATCAAGGATAGGTATCGAGAGCTTTCTGCAATCACGTATCCGAAACCGCGGGGTGCTATCATCTCTCTACATGACAAGCTTTACGATTATGGGAGACGTAGCATCGTGGCTACACGCTCAAGCACATCGCCTGTCTGTTGTATATTGAAATATGGTGTTGATTTCTCACTGCCCACGTAGACTCCGAAAAGACCGGAAACATACGCAGTTTCAGAATAGGACACAGATCACAGAGTAACATGTTAAAGCCGGTTTTGCGTAGTATTGGTATCCGAGAGACGCGCCGTCCCCGTCTCGGGGTAGTCCAAGACGCACCGTAGTCATCACAGCATACGTCTCACTCATGTAAACAAATTCTTCATACACCGTCAAACGGCCCTAGGCCATGACATTACCACGCTTTCACAGTGCTCGCAAAAGCATGTCAATCTGATAAGTGTTCGGCAGCCGTCCGACGGTACAAGATCTCGTTAACGGCACATTATTGATTTCAGAACTAGTAAGCGAAGAAGTGTAAGCGATGCCGATAACGGCACTTCATGCCTTGTTTACTCATTTCCCTTTCACCCAGAATGAATCAAAGACTGGCACAAGCTCCATGAGGTCTGCGTGATACAGGTCCTGGGTCTGAGAGCCCTAATTTTGCAACTACTGTACCCTGGTTCCTTTCCACGATGGTCTTAGCTATGCATCAAGAAACAGCACTTGTAACTCTCTATCACAGCTCCATCATGGCTCAGGACCCTGAGATCCTCACCGACGATCTACGGTGACACTAAATGCAGGTACGGCAGGCCAATATCCAACACGAGGCCGATGGCCAACTTTGACGTGACAACGTGAGTGCCGGCAGCAACATATGGAGACCGGAATGCAGACCTCGCCACCAAAACCAGGGGTCCTGAGGGTCGAAAAATTAGGAACAGTATACATTCCCTGAAGTCGAATCGACAAATGCCCCTGGCAAGGTAGGATATCGCATACGACAGCCATTTCAAGGGGGGTGTATGCGCAGGAGAAAGAAATAGCCGCCCAAGTCCTACGTCAGAGAGGAAAGAAACTATTGATTGTCGTCCCGATAAGGTGTGATCGGGTCCGCGCCAGGAATAGCACACGAGCGCTGATCAGTGGTTTTCAGGGTCCTGTCTAGCGATGCCAGCGACTTTCCGCCATGGCGTCGCATCGTGGGGGGTTGCAGCCAAGCTTCCAAACATGCTTCCAGAAAGATGACACCTGGGCGGTCGGGGAGAAGGCAATCGATGGTACGGTGTCCCTTGGAACAGCCCTTTTGTGCCTTGTTTTTTGCCGATCGCCGGAGAATTCTACAGTTCCTGCACGGGGCCCGGTGTCGAACGGGCAGTGATCGGCGCCGGGCGACCTGGGCGGGGTGGCTGAGCACCGCCATGCACCGGAGCTATGATGTAACGGACAGGGCAGCTGTGCAACGAGGACTGCAATAGTCTGCTGAACACGAGCTTTCCTGCTTGGAAGCGACCGGATATCGTGGGTATAGTCGTCCCGCATATCAGGGTCCTTGGTCATCGGTGGCGATATGTCCCCGGGACCGCAAGGATACGGCACCGGTAGCACCGCTACTTCGGCCTCGGTGCGTTCAGTCTGCCCTCCTTTCGGCCGGCCACCTAGGGGAGTTTTCCCCCTCGAAGTACGGAGGGATTAGGACCGCCGGGCGAAGCCCTTCCGCGGGTACGGCATGCTCTGCGGAGGATGCTCTAGCGATGGTCAGCGGCAAGACCTCAACGACGTATGTACAGAGAGCAAATCAGACTTGAACAGTAATAATCCACGCCCATACGCATTGCTGGAAGACCCAATTCGCTCCTATAATTAGCGATTTGCACAGGGAATCAGCAAATGAGACGACTTCTGGTACCGAATACAGCAACCTGAGGACGACTGAACCGTTGGAGTTACAGGTGGAGCAATGATCAACAACTAGCAAAAGTTAGTCAACGGTCTCTAATAATGCTGGCAATGCGTGGAGCGACAGCATCTCGCGGCCAGCAAACCGAAGGAATGGAATGTCAAGAGTGGCAAAGCAATTAGATTTCGGAAGCCCCATGGCGATTGCGGGTTGATAATTAAATGATCATCAACAACAAGCCACCTTTCCGGCAGGCTTTCCGTCGATAGTTGATGCATGGCCTGGAGAAAAGTTGGTTCCATCCCCCACAACAACGGCTGCCCGGGGCTGGCGACTTAAGTTCGTAGGCCAGTGCGATCCTGGCTGCACTTAAGCCGCCTGCAGCTTCTCTGAACGTACGTGCATGTAACCCAACCCACTGGCTAATGGGTAGCGCAAGCCGCCCGGTACATATGGCAAGGGGCCTGCTTTCGGCTGGTATATTATCGTGCCATTATTACTTTGACCTCCCAAAGTGTCAGCGGAGATGGGGCGTAGAGCATCCTCCACGGCAAATTCCATCTCGCTTCTTGCTGAGTAGACGAATCGGACAAGGACCAGGTCCAATTACGACCGCTGCTGTGATCAGATTAGCTGCCCTTCGGGCGAGGGCATCAGCACCCAAGCGCCTCAATGTCCGGCGGGCGGGCGACTGCAACCTCGAAGCCTTCGGCAACCGTCCCACATTGGGACATTCGCCGGCCAGGCACTGCCAACCAGGAAGGCTCGAGAGTCTAAACACCAGGCCTCTTCTGCGGACGCAGAGCCAGTGATCGGGTCAACAGCGATGGCTGTGATCTTTTAGTTATTCTGCGTTGACACTCGGGGTGGTGTCGTCATAGCCCTGGCAAACCTCTACTATATTGTAAGTTATATTGACTGTTAGGAACAGGAAAGGTACGTTGGAACAACAGACGGGCTTGGACAAGCCCTGGCTTGTGATCAAGCTCCAAGGCCAATGCCGAGGGTCTGTTGTCACTTCAATGACCCACGGTCACATGAGCTGTCTTGACAAACAGGAAGCAGATCCATGTATCCATCCCTAGACATGAAGAACGCCATATCGTAGGCACCAGCCTACAGTGTTATACAGAGTAGTAGAGCAGCTTTATAGCAAATGTTTGCTCCATCATACTGGCTGTGGGTGCACAAGGAATTGCGCTAGGCTGGCAAGCCTTGTACGATGCGGAGGGGAGATCATAGGGCTCTGATTCTGGAAGTGGTATCCAGAGTCCAGGAACTTGTCCTCTGCCGGTAGCAGATCTTGAATGATTAAGCTGACGAACAAGCACGGCTGGGATCTGCCCCAGTTGCGTTTATCTTAGCTCCCAGAACTGTAGCCGGGCTCCTATCGGCCTGCAGCATCACTCAAATGAGCACCAGAAGCGAGGCAGACTATTGAAAATGGCTTCCGTCGTGCAGGATTCTCCCGAGATACCCAGATCCCAGGGATCTGGCCGCCCCCTGTTGACCCGGATAAGCTGCTTTCCCCGGCCGGCCATGTATACCAATGTTGAATTACGTTTGATGCTGTTGCCAGGGATATCGGTGTCGTTGCATAACAATCAAGAAGCTGTCTTACGTGTTTGACACTATGCCGCCCGAACTCATCTTCTTCGCCGTAGTGCCCTTTCTGGTGCTAACCTCCTGGCTTGACGGTTGGAGCAGATACGTAAGTAGCAGAGTTGGAAGGATGTCTGAAGGACCCAGGGCTGTCCACGCTCGGATGCATATGCCAGTCGGAACTTGGAAGAGCGGAGTCAGCCCACGGGGTCCGCCGGTTCGGCCGAGTCAACGGTCACTAGAGGACACCCTTCGTTCCTGAGAGTTGCGGTAGCTTCACGTCTCTTTGTTGGCTGAGTGCTATATATCCTATGATGATTATCAAGTGCACACTTGCAACAAACCGCAAGTAAGACAAGGTGTTTACTACGTAATTGCTGGTTTTCATCGAGAGGGTCAAACGCCAACCACTCCCGAGTCATGATAGTCGTTTCCCAAGTAACACTCTCATGGTAGTGGCTGGGTAGTATCAGGGGAGGGGTTTACCGTCTCAGTACTGACTCAAGTGTATAGAACGATCGTTGTCGCCAAGCTGAAGAAGGACGGCAACCGCAGCCAGTGGGTATGATATTGCCAAGGTCAACTTATCAACGTCTTCCGGGTATGCCAGGTATGAGGTTCAACGCCGAAGCTTTTGAAATCGTAGGTCAATTAGACTTTCGCGGCGCAGGCATACCTTGTCCGAATGGCAATATAGGAGTCGTGCTATTCTTCTTGGTGGCCAGGGGATACAAGACGACGGGGTTCTGCAGGTTGGTACGTGGCAATAACATCGATCCGAAAGCGGTGCCAGTGTTAACTTGTTGTCTCAGAGCGCTCTACTCCGCCGCAAGCAGAGCTTTTGGGTCGGGGCACGGAAGGCTCCTCCAAGGCCCCGGGTCACTGTGGAATGTGGAATGGCAGAATGGATCAATCCATAACGAGGCCTGGGGCCTCGGAGTTCTCGGCACGCGTCGCACAACTGTCGCTAGCTGCCGTGATCGCCCTTTGGAGGCTGCATTCGCATGACTGAGAGTAATACAGCAGCCGGCCCGAGCAGAACCCAAGATACTTAGCCTGCGCTGGTCGGGCTCCTGTTTGGCGTAACAGCGCCATAATGAGAGCTTCTGGAAGGAATACGAAGATTCATCTGAGAATGCGCGCTTGACGGCCACTGGCTGCTGGGGGACCGGAACCGCGTCCGTTCTATGAACAAGGTATCTTGCGATCAGTGCGGTGCGGTCCCCACAGGAAATTTTGGTTGCGCACTAACTGGCATCTTGGCAGCCGGGGCCCAGAGTGACGTCAACTTGGATTGAGTCGTTCCCGGCGCATGGCTGCAGATACTATCGTGAACATTTCATGATGGGGTTATTCGGGGCATAGCCGGTGTAGATGGTGTGTCTTCCCTGGAAGTGCCCTATTGTCCAGTTTCTTACCCTCGAGGTCGATCGGCAATCCAATCTGGGCCACGGTCCTTAGTCCTGTTCGAGTCGCGCAATACACGTACCCACTGCTCAGCACTCTCCCCGAGTGCCTATGGAGGTCGGTTTTCCGCGCAAGACATGACATGCATCCCTGCTGTGAAAAACACCTTCGCGCAAAACATGATAAATAGCTCGGTAATGAAGGTGTTTGTCCTCCGAAATGGGAGCTAACCCATACCCGCCATACTTAGACCCGTTGCCGAATTCAGCAAAGGCAAGGAACCCTTGGCGGTATGGGTTTGCGGAGCAGCATTGGGGCACTCAAGTACTATGTAGGGACATCCGCATGATTTAGTTACGCCACAGGCGACAGAGGGAGGACGTGGCAGCCTTCCTCAAAATGCCACGGCTATGCATCTCGTCGTTGTCAGCTGTTATTCATCATGCTGAGCTGTCACTGCATCCATGCAGAAACCGCTGCTAGTATCGTCAGGTCCGGTCATGACCTGGTATAGCAAAATATCGCACGCGTGGCTGCGGGCTTCGCTGGTCGTGATTACTGAACCACGGAGCGTACTAAAGAAGAAAAAGGATAGCGTGTTTGGGAGTTAAGAAGTAGTTTCGCCTGGCAGGCTACAGTTGCACGTTGGCAGATGCAGCTCGCGATCAGATACGGCAATGCTCAAAGCTTATGCCTGGCGGAAAGCCAAGTAGAAACTCACAAGACTGGCCGGGTCATCCAATTGAGACATTCAGCTCCGTAATATGGCGGAGATTGCACGCAGTGGGAAATTTTGCGATGTTGTCAGCGAAGAAAGATGCCTTCGTTTTTCGGTTAATGCTGTGGCGTCAGCGCCTGCAATGGGCGAGGGGACGCTCATTTCCCAGCCACAGCGCGTTGTCGCTAATCTCAAAGCATTGCGTTTCGGGGTAAAAATAGCCAGCATCGGGCGGGCAGCGGGCAGTCGATCATCGGAACCATACACAAGCCTCACCACCCAGTCCTTGGGCTGAGGCTTGAGCTCTAACCTTCACAGGAAGATATCTTGCTGATCCATCAGCCGGCCACGACGCGCCTCCCAATCCCGCTACTATTATGGAAGTCGGTATACCGTGGCAACTGTGATTCAGGCTGCCTTCACCTGGTCTGGGTGACCTGCAAGAAAGGCCAGACCAAGTGTTCCGGAACGGTCGACGGCTTGCCCTTAGTTTCAGAGCTACCAACGGCTCCAGACAACCACACTCCAGCTGGCCCCAACCTCCAAGCAGCAGTAGGACGACCCAAGGGCTTGGTTCGTCGCCCTAAGCGCGCCCGCCATCTCGACTAGAGCTGCCCAATGATCCAGAGAAACCGTTGTTGGCGTCCTCTCGCTTTCTGACGAGCCGTCCTTCACCACGCGGGCTTGCTTGGCGGTGTGCACGCGCCCAGCCCACGTGCCGGTCGGCTTCAGAGGCTGCAGACTGCTTCGAGACAGCGCTGAACTTGAGGCCCGCTATTAATCAGCAGAGAAGAGAAAGAGAGGAAATCAGCGGGATACTCTCGTCAAACTTTTGGCGACGTAGCCGACTTATCCTGAATCCGCCGTAATCTTTCATCCGGACGGCTGAGGCTGCCGTCATTGCCGCCAACTTTAGCTTCGCGAGTCCATCCTCAGAGAGGGCTTCACTAGATGGTGAGGACGAACCCTCGGCCAATCATGTTTTCAAACTGTCTTTCCACCTGTCCACTATCTTTATAGCGCCGTACGCTGGCCCCAGAAGGGCGGCCCAGCTTCTGCAGTGACAACAATACAGCATGGGCTCGTCATCGACGAGGGTGTGTTTCAGATTTCTGGCTATTCTGGCCTTGCAGAAATTGTTATTGCCCATTTGCGACAGTGACAAACATGGATTGCCGCTTTGCGTTATAGTTCTTGGAGATGATTCTGGATCTTTACTGCGGAACGTGGCCTCGTGGACTCGATCATGACATTATCATGACAAAATCGATACCTAGAAGGACAATAGGACAACAGCCGAGACCAGCTTTGCACAACGGCCGCTGCCGCCATTTCAACAGTGCCCGCGGCAACCGAAAGCGTATGGGTCTATTGCGCACAAATCAACTGTAAATTTGTACTTTCTTGTGCGTATTAGGAAGCAAGATACTAGCATCCGCTGTCAACTGACGCCGAGGAACTCTGATAGCTATCCGGACCAGTGGTTTCGAGTGTAACTAACTGCCGACGCATCATGAACCCACAGTGAGGATGCAGCCACAAAGCTCGACAAAACTGGCATGCAACTCCTGCTGTAGTGGTGCTGTGCTGCCTGCTTTTCTCATTTGAGTTGTTGAATCTTCCGAAAGCAACAAGGTCAAAGACATGAGGGCCAACTCTAAATGAGCCCAATCCCGATCTGGAAATGTCATGAATACACTTTTGACTCCAATGGTCTCTGCACAAGGCAACTGGCTACACACTCCCGCTCCCGCTCGTTCTAGCGGGCCGAGGGGTTACTGATGAGGCCGCCGACGGTATACTGTAACTGATCGTGTCTTGTGACTGGCTAAGCAAACCTAAGCAGGCGTCGACGCAGCCCTTGCGGTTCGCAGGTGTCACTGACGATTCTCACACACTCATTTGCTGCCTGTACTACCGTATTCCGTTTATCCCCAAACGCATCCGGTTGTTGACATGTATTCCATGGTGCTGACATTAGCGATATTGTCCTCTGCTACGACATGAAGTGACCAGGATAAATCAGACGATAGCGACAAAGTAAAAGCAAAAACAAAAGTCAACAAGATAGACGATCAAGCCCACAGTCGATGCCTCGAGACATTGTCTCGAACGCATCTTGTTACCTGGAAGATCGCTCCCGTCCAAACAAGCCTGTCCGGGCCATACGGCTTGTCGACGCAAACGCATGTTGATAGATGGCCTCTGCAATGCCATTTTCCGGGGAGTTGTTGGCGTGAGTCTGGAGGTGGCTGTCCTTTCGGCGTCAGCGAAGTGGATATCTGCCCTTTGGCGCTGTCTGCGCTACATAGGTTCTGGGCCTCCTTGGGCCTCGAGCGTCGTCCGGGCTTCCTCAGCAGTTAACTTAGGGACGCAGAGCCAAGGAGGAGTCTCTCGCTTTGCTGCATTACCCACATGACATAGTGCGGTGGATTTGTTCATCTGCTCGCCAGCACTACTCCTTCAGCCGACCGCCCATGGCGCCGGCTTGCGCCGCGGCCATGGCCCATGAGGGGGCTCCTCTGTCGGTGCTTACTCGGCACTCGATGCGTCTTGGGCATAATGCCAGCCGACGCGCAAAGACAGACAGCAAACTTATGAAAGCTCTACAGACTGACTACATGGAATGCTGGAGTGGCCACGGCCCCATACACCGAGCACAACGAATTCATTGGGATAGCGGCTGGGCAAGAAGAAAGTCACGCTCTAACAATTTCTGAGCTGTTAACGGACACCCCTGCCGCTTCCCATGGCCTTTGACGTTTGGGTCTCGGCACAGCTCGAGGTACGTACACGGGCTCCCAGCTCCATGTCGGTGGGCAGGGAGGCAGGGGGGGCTGACCCCCCGGCGGAGTACGTACTGTTCTCGCCCGGGACATGGATCAGAATGACCCACGCCCTCAAAGTACCCAGAACCTACGAGACCTCAGCGCATGGAGTTCCCGCCCATGATTGTATCGGCTACCTTGCCCCGGACGGAGGACTCTACTCTGCTCGTCGAATCTCCCACTGGCCGGGCCATCTAGCGACGCCTTCCCATCACCCACCCTGGCCCCCTCCCACCATGGCCCATGAGAATCTGTGCGCCAACTCATGTGCACCACCTTACCGATTGACGCGTATCTGGCCATCTCCATCGGGTCGCCAGTCTCACCCCCCTACGCAGCCAGACCGCACCCCCCCCTCACAGGGGCCCCAAGTCGATGCCATATGTGTGCGATTTCAACTCCACCATATGATTATGGGAAGTACCCACCACTCAGACCTTAGTGAAGTGTACTATAATACTTGCGACCCTTCATCAAATCAGCCTCTTTTCATATAATCTTTTGGCCCTCTTGCGTTTTACCGCTTCTTCAATCTCATTCCTTCTTTGACACTGACCCTGCCGCCCCGTAACCGTACGGCCATATCCTAGATCCTGCGCCGCCTCGCCCAAGCCAGAGAAGAACCCGGACCTCGATTTCTCTCTATGAATGATACAGCCACCGAACAGGAGCAGCTCGCTGGTCATTCCACTTCCCCACCACGCCATCCCGCCGCCCTCCTCGTCGACACTGACACAGGCCTGCCTGCGGCGGAATAACTCCAGCCTGATCCTTCTCAGTCTCTCGACCACTTCCACTGCTCTTCGACTTCGACTTGTGCTGAACACTCCCTGGAATCGCTGTCTTGCGACAGCATCCCACGCACACCATCCCACATGTTTCAACAGAGGTGAGTGCCGATCTACATCTTGCGGACTTCTGAGCGCACCCAGATCTATTGCACACGGCGCTTGGAACTGGGTAACCTGGCTTACATGCGGACTTCCGACATGGGCCCAGGGTGCCTCCTGCGCTTTCAACCCACGCAAAGTGAAGCTACGATTGCAAGGGACTACGCTGACTTGGCCGCGCGCATTGCAGAACAAGCTCGCAAAAGCCCGGCGAAGACCTGCTCGCCAACTTCCGGCAGCAGTTTCCCCAGGTGACGGTTCCGGGGGCTGCGACATCACCGACAGTCGCAACTTCGGCGCCTGCTGAGAATGCCGTGCTCGCCGCCGGCGCGTCGCAACAGGAGAGGTATGTTTGAAATTTCCAGCTATGTTGCCTAGTACCCTTTGCTTTGGTTTCACCGTGTCCATTCCGCGGCCCGTTGGGTGTTGTTGTGGTGGTGAGGTGAGGCGGTGCAGGCTTCCATGTGGGCGCGGGGTATCCCGCCTCGGTCGCCAGCAACATCGCTGAAGGGGCGCATGGGCACATGATAGACCATCAGACATCCCCTTGGCCCCTTGTTTTGGGCAACGGTTCTGCGTATGCCAGTAACTAACTTTTGCATCCAACCCCTAGGAGCCAGAGCCTAAGCCAGGATGCATTCCGGGACCAAGACCCAACGCCTCGGGCGTCAGCGGATCCCTGGAGGTTTACACCTTCGCTGCTAGACCCCAACCAGTTTTCCTTCTCGGCCTTTGCAAACCAGCCGCCGGGTTACTACACGCCCACACCCGGCGGCACTAACACCATCTATCACCCTCAGGCCGGGGACTTGCACACGCCCACGTTAGGTCTCGGCATGGGCCTGGGCACGCCGTTGTCCATGCCGACCAGCGACGGCGCAATGCACTCGGGGCAGCCTATGATGGACCTGAGCCACTTCCATCACGGCGGCCTCCCGGCGCACCATTTCCAGCACCAGTTCAACCCCTTCATCCAGCCGACCCCGCCGCAGCAGTCGTTTGCGCCGTCATCGTTCGTGCACCAGGACACGGGCTACGAAACCATGGACCAGGATGGATCCCCTCTCGACTCGGACGGCCGTGAAGGGCGCATGGGATCCCTGGATGCCACTTTCCAGTCTCAGTCACCACCCATAATGGGCTTCCAGGCTGGCCATTTCGGCGTTCCCATGACCCACGGGATCCCGGCGTCTGCAGAAAAGTTTCGGTTTCATGCGACTCTGAACGCGCCGACGGCTATGATCAAGCACGCCGACGAGATCCCGGTTACGTACCTCAACAAAGGCCAAGCCTACTCGCTGTCCGTCGTGGACACGACAGCATCGATGCCCATTGCCCCGGGTACGCGCTACCGGACCTTTGTTCGTATTTCGTTCGAGGATGAACAACAGCGACTGAAGCCAGGTGTTTGCTGGAGCTTGTGGAAAGAAGGCCGCGGTACTAATGAAGCTCATCAAAGAGGCGGAAAACTGCAAGCTGTCGAATACGTGGAAGCTGGCCAGCCGGCCGAGGGCGACGACAAGAGAACTCGCGTCGAGTTGGACACAGCATCCTTCGATGGTTTTTCTGTTATTTGGACGCCCGGATCCAACGGCGCCCCCGAGTGTAATGTTGCCGTTAGGTTCAACTTTCTGTCAACTGACTTCAGTCATTCGAAGGGTGTCAAAGGCATTCCGGTTAGGCTGTGTGCAAAGACTGTCGCGTTACCTTCTGATGGCACTTCGCCGCCACCAGACGCCGGCTCCGAGATATGCTACTGCAAGGTCAAACTTTTCAGGGACCATGGCGCTGAACGCAAGCTGTCAAACGATGTAGCCCACGTCAAGAAGACGATCGACAAGTTGAAGCAACAGATTGCACAAGCTGAAAGCGGGATGAAGGACTTCGGCAAGAGGAAACGAGGGTCCGCCAGCCACGCAAAGGCACAGGACAGTCAGCGGCCTGGCAAGGCTCCTAAGCATAAGCGAACCTGGTCAATGTCTTCAGCTAGCTCGGCTGGCGGTGGGGGTGGAGGAGGTCGACCCTCACTTGAGGATGATCTGCATTTCAAGCTTCAGACGTTGCAGGATATGTTCACAAGCACCCGGCCAGTCAGCGTCCTTTACCTGCGAGGAGAAGACCTAGATGACCCAGATCTGCACCCAGTCACACTGGCAGGGGAGCCAATCGACCTCACGAAGGTAGAATCAAAGGATAGTTCAGCATGGCAAGTGCGAAGTGGGCAAAGCTCGGTGGCGAATTCATCGCTGGTGTCGCCTTCTCCCAGTAACATGTCATTGCAGTCGCAAGTCTCGGTCGCTGGTCCTAAACCTCAGTGGGCCGATTTGCAGGGCTCGAGTGATCAGCCCGTGATTGCCGACAAGCCGACCAAGGTCAACAAGCTCGATGAGGCCGGTAATCTGAGTGGCTGGATTGAAGCCCTCGGAGTTGATTCATCGTACCGACCCCCAGCCGAACGGCCTGCCAAACCTGTGGCATGCTTCTACATCGCGCGGCGCCAGGCATCCGCCACGGACAAGAGGGAACTCCACCGCGCCATCTACCTGACGACAAGAAGCCTGTCTGAGTTCGTGGCGCGCATATCTGCCAAATGGGGTCTGGATGCAACCAAGGTCGTCCGAACTATTCATGCACTGGAGAGTGGGTTGGACGTGGAGATGGACGACGACGTAATACAAGCGCTCTCCGAGGGCCAAGACATGGTTCTAGAGATTGCCGAAGTTGAGACGCAGGTCCCTCAGCCCAGACGAGAATGGGAGATGGCTCTTGATGGTCCGGAACAGGAGGAAACAGCATCAGCACACAGCGTTTTGCGTACAACAACCGGCTACGAGCTTCGACTTACATTCTAATCGGCGTGGCGGCGTCCGCCGCCACTGCATTTTGCACATTGCTTTATATTTTCTAGATCGGTTGGAGGGACCTGGGGCACGAGCGGCAACCATCTCCATTGAGCGCACAAACGCGAGCGGCACATTTTTACACATACAGCCAGGGGGCTTTGCTTTCATCATTCGGCGTTGCGGGGATTCTTGTTAAAGATACCACTCCCTTCATGGGCAGCTTTGATACGCTTCTTGACTTTCGCCTAGCACCGGCTAGTGCTTGGCATTCTTCTAGACTGACGACGACGTTTGGAGATGGAATGGGAAACTTTGTATTTGGAACGGAGACGAACGCTGCCGCGACGCTCCTTGGACAATTGCATCAAGGCAATCGATGGACTTGCTAGAGGTCACGATGGGATGGCCTGCTGTCTGGCAACAGACACAATTCTCTACAGTACTTCTACACGTACACACATTAGGCTCTCCCGTACGGTCAGCCGCTTATTTTTCTTCAACAACACAACTTTTACCATACTACTTTTTGCATAAAACCCTCCTTACTTTTTCCTACTATACCCGAGCATTATCGAATACATAATGAGAGAAAGGAGAGAGAGCTCGAGAGCTTTAGCTTAGGTAGCTTACCTGGGTAGTTAATGCGGTCGATTGGTGCAGGGTCAGTCCACAGAGGCGGAACCGCACAGAAACGAGATCAATGTACCGATTACCTATGAGGCACCCCTCAAGTTCTGGAAATCCTGCACCATGTCAATCATAGTAAGCTTCTTGCATCCTATCCGTACCATTGTGACGTGAGGTATGGGCCGTTTCGGCACTGCGAAACGTGAACGCTCCGTGCCATCCCACCTAGACACCAGGCCACCCTAGCATCCCCGGATTGAGCTGCAGGGCCGAGATTGCGACCAGGCCTGTAGGTCAATGTTGACTTGCACTGATTGGAAGGATTGCGGCGGAAACGGCTGTTGTGGCAATCTCGCTCCCACCAGCCTCATTTCACCGTCCGTCAGAATGGCTGTAGGGCCTCGTGCTGCATGTGAAGAAGAGTGGGAGGCGCCCGGAGGCTTACGACATTGCTCGGATATGAGCATCCCTCGGCAATCAATCGCATTTTTTCCGCATTGACGGAAGGCCAAAAATGTGAAATGAGTCTTTTGCGCGAATATTCAGCTCCGTTAATGGATGTACCTGGTCAGCATGCCCTCTCCGTGTATCAACAGCGCCCGCTATGGAGCGCGCCGCAAATGACAAGAGTCGCAGGTTTCCCAGCGATCGATCGGGGATTTGCGACGGCATCGTAAGACTTAGTCAGATCCGAGAATTGCGCGCAACGGCGCTTCGAGAAACTCCGTTTCAACCCCTTAAAACGGCTCTTCATAAAACGAAATTCCGTCATTCTGTAGGGCCAGTCTGCAGAGAAGGGCCAGATTCGATCCCCTCGGCGCGCTGAAACTTTTTTAATTATGGGGGTTTACCCTGCCAGCCGAACCCTGGCTCCGCCCTATGGAGACCCCTGCGAGGAACGGCTGGGGCTCGGCCTTACAGTTCGCAACATGTCCCCCCAGCAGTATAGGGCCAGACTTGGGACGAAAGAGGCCTGGAACGATTGAGGCTTTAGAGCGCGCTGCGGCGGCCAAGCGGCCACTCGAGGTGGCTTGCCCCCCTTGCCCCCCTTCTAGCCGTCCGCTACCCTTGCCTCTTTAAGCTGGTCTCTCTGGTGATCGCTTTAGCAGCAGCCCATTGGCGCTCTAGTCATTCCGCACTGAGGTGCCTACGATCTACTGTACATGCTGTGGGCTCTTGCGGGCTCTGGGCATGCCATAAACGGAGCTACGCACCCCGTCTGCCCCTCCCCCCACAACATAACTGCCACTTGCTACCCGACGCAGAAGGCCGAGTACCGAAAGCAGAGCAGTGAAACACAGAAACACCCATCGACTTGGGCCTTTCATAAGAAAACCCCGGTCGAAATGACATGCCTCGCAATCTTACACTCCAGCTAATTGACATGTCTGGTGGAAACAAAACATCCAGAGAGATAGCGAGTCTGGGGTAGTTCAGCATTGGCTAACCAGAAAACGGCTGGCTCGGTGCCGCTCCACGGCGCAGACGCATGACCCTCTCATCATATGAGTTGTCATCTGGGCACCTATGCGATGAGGTTTCACCGATCGTTGGCTGACGGGGAGGTATCCGCAATCCCTAGCAATCTGGAAGCGCTTGAACATTACCAGCGTAGCATCAGTACTCCGCGCAAGGGATAGCTCGAAGCTTCCCAGTGCCGCAAGCTACCGGAAGTGACGCTGCAGCGGTTCTCTTACACGATACAGTGACATTGCAAGTGCCGACTTACCCACAGGTACCCAGAACATCGTTCACCGGCGAGCGCCCTCACAGGGCATGGGGGCGATGCGGCAGTACTTGTGTGGCAGCAGTAATCAGACGGGATGACAGGATTCAAAGTACCTGAGAGCGCATTCCGACGGTACACTGAGTTCGGATCTCGTGGTTTCACCAGACGAACAGTTCCACCATGCAAAGTTCCTCATGAACAGCTGAGCTTCAGCGCATCGAGGGACGGTGGTCGGTGGTGCCGCGTCAAGCCACAGCGATCGACAGAGGTTCTACCGTGGAAATCCATCCCACTAACATATAGCTCTGCACAGCCCCCTCGTTGTGGCGAGTGCTTGCGTGTTCATCTCATCCGATGCGTTTAAGAATGAGTCTACTCTCAGCCTTGACTGCAAGCAGTATCTGGTTCCGCGAGAAGATTGGCGGCAAACTGCTCGGGCAGTCTGCTAGCTTCGCTAGCTGACTTAGGTACATGAGCTGGAGCTGGGCGTTATTTTGGTGCAATGTTCAAGGTACTTTTGCCGAGCACGACGCGCTTATCGGGTCCGACGACAGCTTACACTAACTTACCCAAGTAACTTACAGGCAGCTGGAAAGAGGATGTTCCTGATTCATCTGGAGCTTCCCGAGAGAGAGCAGACGCAAGGAACTGCAAACTATCGAAGTACTTGCGTGATAGTCGGCCGCCAGAGGCCATAACCGAACTACTCTCTATAGTATAGCTTACAAGTCCATCGATTACACCGCTAGACAACGGTAAATCTCGCGAAACCGTCCGAAGCTAAGGCGGTAGCTCCAACGACTTTCCCATATTGGCGCTGTTCTTTGCACAGACTGGCTGACTGGTCCAAGCCGTTAGGACGTTTGCTCACAACGGCGTATACTAGCGGCTTTGGTCTACTAAAAGTCTAACGCCTAGCCAGTTGTTTTTGAAGATCCCAATGCCATGCGCTTCTCGGGTAAATGGAGCCGACGTGCCCCGGAGACGCCCCCGCAGGAACGCGGAGGGCGCTGCACAGCTGAGCTCGCATGCCAGTGCATGGTGAGTCTCTGCGGCGCATTCATCTATCGAAAACCGCAGGCCGGAAGTCTAAGTAGACTTGCATCCTCTTGTTGACTGACACGCCACATTAGGCTTTCCAGCTTCTGCAGCCTCCCGCGGACGGGTGTCTAAAACGATTATCCCTGGACTCGTAGCCTCGCGCAACTAATCGAGTGTAAATGGTGAGGTGCAGGAGTAGATTGGGCGGAGAGTAAGGCTGGCTGCCACATTCCCGTCGTCTCAAGGCAGCGCATCGCATCGCATTGCAGTGCAGCGGACCGGATGATAGGCCAACATGCGCTGATGGGTGCTGCAGGCGGTCCCTATAAGCTGCAACTAAAGACGCTACAGCGCAAATCAGGCCAGGTCGAAGCGTGTCGTGAGTGCTGGTCCGCTGCGTGCATATGCAGGGTGACGCGCTGCGCATGTGTTTTGGGCCTTGGGCCCGACAGGTCCATCTCGAGGCTGTGCTGCTTCGGTGGGCTGAAGTACTGGTACATGGCGTGTGTCCGCCCTTGCAGTTGCAGTAGCTTGAGAAGCCCCAGGTGCCCTGAACAGAAGACTCACTCGCCACACTTTGTCTAGGCCTTGTGGACTAAAACCGTGGCTTGACCGACTAACAAACTCGGCGTCTCTATTCAACGCCGAAGTCTGCCCCCGAAAAGGGGGAACCGGCTGCCGATCACGGTAAAGACTTGTCAATGATAAGCTTTTGGCATGATCTTTCGAGTGAGATTGGTAACTTATGTCTTCATTGCGGCCGCATCCATATGAACAAGGTTAACAAGATATCGGACAGACCAAATGCTAACATTTCTCCAGCGTGTCATACAGGAGCTGCAGGTCTCCGACAGGTGAGTATTGGGTATAGGCCGCCACTACGTGGAAAAGACAGCAATCGCCGGATCTGGGCTCTCTTTCTGAGGCCTCCCTGGGCCACGTGGAACGCATCTACGACATATCGAGGTGTGTTTGTCGCCAGGGGCTCGATCCAATGGGGATCATGGATGTATGCTAATTTCAGCTGGGTTGGGACTGACTCTTTGCAGAACGCGTTACTTCGACCGGCTACGCGGGTCCTCTATCGCCACAGTGGCTCGCTGGATCTTTAGCTTTGACGCGGGCGAGCCACATCTCAGGACGAAAAGGGTCACCTCAATGTGTGATGGGAGCCAATCGTTTTCTCATGGAAATCCTCCGCGTCGATGAAAAGACATGATAGGTCTGGTGTTGCCACAGTTCGGCGCTTGTACCTTGCTGGTGTGGTTGGAGATGCGTTTGAGCCACACATTATACTATCACGCCCTCGGGTGTGCTCCTCTTCTGGATAGACGTGAGGAAGATCGTCGTGACTCTAACCACTAGCCACATGTGCTACGCGGGATGAGAGCAACGATATTATGGATGGCATAACCGGTGGACGGCAGAGAGGCTTGACGGCTCCTTGCAAAGTCGCCACTGCGGCTTCGTGTGCGGAGAGCCACAGCTGTAGGTGACTTTCGAACAAAGCGCCGTTCCGAACGGTAGCCAATGGCGGCACCGATTCGCGACACAGAGTTTCCGCATCCGGCAGTTGAAAGCTTCCGCCACAATCCCAACAAGTACACCAGTTCCCCTTTCAGTCTCCTCGTGAGCGACGCGGGAGTATTGTGTGGCTGGGTGGTCCCTTGGCGACGTCTCGTCACCACATCAGATGACCGGATGGTGCATGGTGAGTCAAACCTCAGCAAGCGAAACCCTTCACGCATCGAGCGTCCATTGGTGCGAGCCACCTCATGATCGTCGCTGGGTGACGAAACAATGGCGGTGCGGTGTGCTGAACCACAGTGATCGACATCTCTATATCCTCTTCGGGAGGACCCCATCCATGAGGGTGAGGCGTCGACATTGGTCGCATCTGGGATCGCGCCATAAGGTCCCTGCGGGTCTGCGGGATCTACGAGTACCACGGCTGTCTTGGGACGAGGTGATATGCTGTGACGCTGGGGCAGTAGTCACGTTGACATAAGTTGTGCTGGTGGGGCCCCGCGAACATCAAAGTGCTTGACTGCCCGACGGGACGGCGGGACACGCTGCCGCGAAGTTCATGGACAGAGAGTTAGACGGCGGCCGTTACAGTTCCTTTCCAGTTTCATCCGAATCGTTGCATTATGCCTGTAAAGATCTCGCGGTACCAGGTAAGGTAGAAGCGCTGTCATCTCGGAATGTGGGTGCTATGCGTGACGTCATTGCCCGCTGGCGCGGAGAAGCTTGGAGATGGGATGGTATTCAGCCGCGACTCTTCTTTGATCTGAAACACGCACGGAAGAGCTTCTGGAAGGAAGTCATTGGGGGGTGCGGGGGAAATGGGCAGTGAGGGGGAAGAGGAGAAGAGAACACCAGCCACAGGTATTGCGGCGGAACTCGTCACGTCACATTGTGGTGGTGCAAGATCGACACTCGTCTTGCCTCGTTTCGCTTTATCCATTGGTACACTGCGCGCACTGCTGTTAGGAAGGTAATAGTGAAAATTAATCAAGATTTGCAAGCAGAAACGGACAATGGTAGTTTCTTGTGTCGTGATTGGCCATGTAGTGTACCAACAGACGTTGATCGGTAAACAAACTTGCCCTAGTGGTGAGTCCAAGCTTGCCAAGGTATGGTGTTGTCTCCGAGGACTCCCATGCCAGGCGAAGTCATAAGAACTTGAGGCACTTGTTAATGTAACTATTGACCCAGATCAATGAACTATATTAAAATGTATGTGCTCCAGTGTTATCGTGGCTATGGGAAAATGGGATATAAGAAAGCTCAGGGTTTGTCATTCGCGTTGCCCATAAGCAGGATATCTTGTATAGAGGCAGCGAGACTACCTACGTGATACTCACACAGAGTACCCACCTGTTCATAGGCAGTGTTGCACCCCACCTGTTGCCAATAGACGGCGGAACAGAAAAGGCAGACTATATGCAAACAGTCAAGTATCTCTTGAGGGTGTCATCATCATATCCTGTGCCAGCTGGGATTACACCAACTTCAAGCTCGAGTGGGAAACCACTGAGGCTAGCCACGCTATCTAGTACTTGAATGGTTTGTATATTAAGTTACATGATGGAGTAGCCTTCTATTGAGACGCTTTGTAACTACTACTAATATGTCACTTCTGAGCATTACTGCCTTAATGAGCGCACAACGCACGATACACGCCAAATAAGTCAACTATCCTTTCTGGCACTTTCTACACTTCAGACAACGATGACCGCATGCTTGACAGCGGTTCAACTACATCATATAGCAACCCAGAGAGTTCGTATGAAGCAGAACTCTTAATAGTCAAGCACTTGAGCACAATGTCTTGGTACCTTTGACCAAAGGTAATTCCGAGCCTCCTCTCTGCTAACTTGATGAGCGCCTGCCTCACAGCGAGATGGCGTTCTCGCGCACTGCCAAAATCTTGCTGGCGGAGTCTTCTGACGGAAGGCTCCTTTTCCAGTGGCATCCAAATGCCGATCTCGAGAAGGACTGCTCCCAGGCTGTACTGATCGTGGCACATTTGGTACCTAAGGCGATCCTCAGCTGTCTCTCCCTGGCGGTCGGGATGCCGATAGATATTCTCTGTGAAGCGGTTTTCGTCCGTTCCGATCTCCTCGATGCCACCAATTGAGGTCATCCCGTCATTCGACCTGGCACCATCAAACCCAACAAGAAAAGGGCGTCCGAGATATTCCTTGTTGGAAGGACTATTGTTCACTTCTTCTCCATCGTCATCGGCCAACATTATAATATTGCTAGTGCTGACTCCCTCATGAACCCAGTTGTAACTGTGCAAATAGAACAGTGCAGTAGCTATGGTACTCGCAACCTCCATTCGATCATTCAAAGTATGCTTGGGACTGTATGTTCGCTTCGTAGGATCTGAAGCCGCCGGAGCGCCTTCAGCAATGATCGATTTAAGAGTAGCCAATCCACCACTCCTATTTGGGGAATCTGGGAAGAACCTGTAACCAAGAGGCATCTTGAAGATGATTCCGAAGCGATCCAGTTGCGGTATTTCAGTCCATCCAGCGCAGGCCAAGATGCCAGTCGTAATTGGGTCTGCCCTCTCTAGAAAGTTGACCAGACGGCCAATTTGATCAGCAATGTATGTGATGCGTTCATCGCTTTCCCCTTGCCGATATGTTTTGTATTCGACCAGGACTCTGGATCCCTTATATGTAGCAGAGCGGAGGGATCCGGAGGTGCCAATGATCTCAACCTCATCTGCTTGTCTCTTCAATCTATGCGCTTCATCTGAAGCGGCTGAGGTTGCAAGCGAAGCAAATAAGTTTGAAAGAGCTCTCATGTGGTCAGCACTGGCATAAATATCCGCTCGATTTTCGTCCGTTTCGAGCCGGTCTCTAACGTGCTTGGGCAAGCCTGCGATGAAGTCGCCAAAAGTGTCCGACCATTGCTTCATCTGCACTGTTAACGCCTCAATCTGTCGTCTTCGATACGTAACCCATGCTGCTCGCAATATGTACTTTCCAAACCTTGAGTCTCTCGCATGAATCTTAGCACATGCTTCCTTCATACTCAAGATCTCAGGTTCCAGTAGATTACAAGCTTCAGCAACGGCCGATTGATCATCTCGACTCAAGCCTGCGCCCTCGACACGCCGGAATGTAGCCACAAAGCGGTCTAGAGTGCTCGCGTTAAGATGAAGCTGGGTCACCAACGATCTCTCTGTCTTCTCAGCCTCGACGAATGTGATGATTGTAGTTTTGAGGAGCTGTGCCAAGGTTATAGCATTGACTATTGTCCCAAATGGATCAGGTGCCGCCATTTTCGGGTCAGCGTATGAATTTGATATACAACGGTGTATTTAGGAGATCCTTTGAGTAGTTTACATGGCAAAGGACTCGGCGGCATTCATGTAAAACAGCCCAGCTGAACATGGCGCTGGAGCGGGGTCACAAGCGCAACTAGATTTCAGCCGCACCTGAAAGCTGAAACAGCAAAAGTGCACCATATAGTATGGAATATCCAGATGATTTTGACATCGATTTGAATGAAATCTCAACTCGATTGCATGTGTGATTCCTCATCCTGCCTCTGACAAGATGGACTCCATCGATTCGGTGTTCGTCGACGAGGAAGCGTTTATCAGTGAAGAGCTCAAAAGAGACGCGATTGAGCAAGCATCCGACAGTGAACTCGTGCTCACGTGGGTGTCTTTCCTCAATTTTATCGAGACATGCCATGTGACTATTGTCCCATCTTCAGACCTAGCCGCCACAGGCAATAGGCTTGGCTCAGGCCAGACGATGATAGTCGATGAATCCATCTGGAAGACCACTGACTCATCTCATGAAGAGTCCAGAGTCGTTGCTATCAAGCGACCTCGGACGGAGAGGTTACCGGATTCAGACAGCTTACAAGCTCGTCCAGCTGATGAGAGGTCGGTGTTAGCCAATTTCACTTTGGAAATAAGGGCCCTTCGTCACGGAACCCTCCGTAGCCACCCAAATATTGTGAGATATACCCAGATGAAATATGCTCAAGCTACCAAAACAACACTTCTCATCACTTGACAGGTTCGTCTTCTGGGTGTCACTTGGGCCGAGCTTGGGTTACCAGCTCTGGTTGTCGAAAGGGCATCTGAATCTTGTCCAACCCTAACGCAATTACTCGAAGGGCCGGGACTCCTGGGAGTCCAGAAAGCAGAAGTCTTGGCTGGCATAACTGAGGGACTGATTGCTATTCATGTAGCTCTCTCTTGACATATTGGCAGGTCAAATTGTACTGATGAATGGTTTAGTCCGTTTCTTTGATCCATGGCGACCTCAAACCTGACAACATCCTGATGTTCGAAAGCACGGAAGGAGCTCATATGATACCCAAGCTTGCAGATTTCGCATTCTCACGCACATGGAAAGAAGTGCAAAGCGGTGGGGGAACGCCTTACTGGAATGCTCCGGAATGTTGCGATGACCGCGAAATAACTTCGGGAAACCCTCGCAGTCCATTACGTGATCGGTTCTCTCTTGGGTTGGTTTTCTGGAACGTCCTATACTGCGAGCTACCATTCACAGGGGTGGCCTCGGCGGACATAACGCGAGCAAAAGAGCACGGAACTTTGCTCGAGAAACTAGCAAATCTACGAGAGACCCATAAATATGTGAGTTCGCTATCTCACACGTATTGCATAGGGATTGACTGATTCGCCGATTAGGAAGCTTTCATGTTTGAGCAGGAGCTCAAACCAGATTTTGACGATGATGATGCCATCTTGTCAATCGTCGAGATCTTAGAATACCTGCTTCATCCAACACCGGAGCGCCGAGCACCGCGCTATGCCGAGTCCATACCCAGCAAGCTTCGGTAAGCACTTCAGTCCTGCCAGAATCATTACGACACTGACACTTGACAGAACAAGGAGGAGAGTCTACGCGCAGAGTACAATTACAATTACGGAAAACGGGTCAGTCATAGATATGCCGGAGCATTTCATGGATCTCAAAGCGGACATGAAGGCCGACATAGAGGCTCTGCAGAGGCAGATAGAACAAACATCACTGGTGGAGACTGGTATCAGGTATAATGTCTACCGTGACCTGGCCTCGGGTGGACGTCCAATTGAGGTTCGTATTATCTCTCCTACCTAGTACCAACCGCTCACGAGACAAGATAAACCTCGCAGATAAAAGCACGCCCTCTGAGGTTGCTGATATGATGATATCTCAGCACAAGGCAGTGTTGAAAAATGCTGATGCGTCCGATATTGAGAAAGGTGAAGCACATTGGTTCTTGGCAGCGCAGATGGTTAGGAGAAGCCCTGATGAGTCCCTACAACACTGCCTTGAAGCCGGCAAGTATGGCAATGACCACGGACGTGTCAACTATCTCTACAGATGTATCCGCGATTCTAGAGCCGTTGCTCTGGATAGGACAACTCATATAAAGTGGCTGCTGCAATCACTTACTAGCAAACAAATCTTCAGCGACCTGGAATGCTACACTTCAACAGGTACCTTCGAAAGGCAGCTTAGGTCATCATTCTCTGAAATTTCTTCGGCATTCACGACGAAGTATGACCTGGAGATCTTACACGATGCGTTTGTTCATGATGTACTGGGATCAACTCATTCACCTCACGACCAAATCCTGATAAACGATAAATGGGCAACTATAGTCACAGCAAAAGAGACGACATATGAGAAATTCCGCGAAGGCACAGGTAGCTTGCGCGGTGACCCATTAGCGGAAGATGCGCTTCACGAGGCGGCTTTGTACGGCACAGGAGATCTCATTCGAGATCTGGTACTGAGACACAAGATTGACATCGAGAAAGAAGCGGATACCCTTGTAGTATATGGCACCGCTCTGCAAGCAGCATTCCTCCGCCATAACATGCAGACAGTCAGTGCGCTTGTGGATCTTGGGGCTAATGTGCTCCCATTGTTCAGTGAAGAAAACTTGGAGGCTTTCTTGATAGAGGGTCACCGCGAGACTCTTCATTGGCTCAATCACCTGATACCTCTAATGAGAAACGAGAACAACCGCGACAGGGCACAGAAAACATTCAATTCGATTTTGTTGACAAGCAAGGCCCTCCAGAGAGTTGTGATTCAGAGGAACTGGAGCTTGTGAGTTTCCTATTCCCCATCTTCCTTCTCTTCCGTGAGACACCTATGAAGACAGAAGGTCCAAACTTACTGTTGAGTCGCAGATTTGTCGGTATTTTAGAAATCGCCCAAGGACATTCTGGTGCTACTCTCGATGAAGGCATACACGATACACTACTCATTGCAGCCGGTTTAAGGCGCCTTGAGTTTGTCGTCGCGCTCCTTGTATACAACGGCAAGCCGCACCGGAACCAGCTACAGTTATATCAGCCAGCCCTCGTCAGTACTTGTCGTAAACTCTTTGGCATACAAGCGAAGGATCGTGTACATGAAAGACACTATCTAGGGCTAAAGAGGGATAGCATCAAATGTGTACCAAAACCAGGCGACATACACTATCAACTTCAGATTGCCAAAATTCTACTCCAACAGGGAGTCTCAGTGGAAGCAGTAAGTCCTGAACAACCTGGATTGACACCACTATTCTGGGCTGTCTACCACAACCGCCTTTTATTGGTCCGTCTTCTGATTGAGGATTACGGCGCCAACCCGTTGGTCTGTGACCCAACTGAAGGGGGCACCCTGCTGTACATTTCCGCATTCGCCAACAGCTATGGTATTTGCAAGTATCTTCTGAGCCTGCCAGATGATACTCGAAAAACATTAGTTGAGACCCCAAACAAGTTGGGCGAAACTGCACTGCATGAAGCAGCCACCAAAAGCAACCCGTCCATTATCAAACTACTCTTGGCTCATGGGGCGCAACCACTTTCAACCCAGTTTTTCGGGCAGAATGTCCTTCACCGCGCTGCACTGCCAGCGAACAAACGTGGCTTCGAGACTCTCGTTGACCACATTCAGAAATCGTCGCCAGACAAGCTGAGGCAATTACTACAACAAAAGGACTTAGTCGGAGGTAATACCTAGCCGGCAGCAACACGTTCTTATGCTCCACTAACACGAATGTAGACACACCATTGCATCTTCTCCTCGGCTCTAATCACCAAGATGGTAGCACCAATAAGCCGGTATCGTCTCAGGATGAGAACATGCAGCGCCTCCTCTACAAGCTCCTCCCGCACTATACTGCTTCTCCGTCGCGTATCCTGTCATCCCTCTCCAAGTCCCACAGACCGTTTATCCCCGTGCTAAATGACCCCGATCTCCACGGCCTTACACCATTGCATCACCTCCTCGTTTTCGGCGCCGATTTCCCGGAGACATTGAAAGTCCTGCTCCGGCGCGGGGCTAACTCTTGGAAGCAGACTACCTTCGGCATCATGCCAATCCAGATTCCTGCACGCAACGGAGCGATAATGATGTCTTTGGCCATGATGGAGCATTTGGTCACCGGAGGACGGGGTTTCACTGCACTTGGTGGAGGTCTTGGTAATCGAGGCGGCAGTGTGGCTGCAGAAACAGCAAGGGTAATGGATGCGATGCAAGGGAAGGAACCGGCACTCGAGCTACAGGTGCTTCTGAGAAAATTGAGGGAGAGGAACGAGGACGTGAAAGAGAAGGGTAGAGCCGCAAGGGTGGCGGCATTAAGTGCCAGTAGTTCCCAACTTACTACTAACCGCTGAAATGGGAGATGACTTGTATGGGCAAAATCGTGATCATTTGACAATCAGAACAGCACAAGACTAGCAAGACCAGCTGGAGAACCTCGATTTTGATCATTGATCTTGCGTCTGAAGACTTATACACTTAGCAGGTGCGCCAATGCTGATAGGTATATCGCCTGCATTTACATATTTGTAATCTCTAGACAGTGTGATAAGCATTCTTGAAGTTGATAGATATCGCCAAAGTAGCGCCAGAGAGTGTGAACAGATAGACCATTTACCCTGGGCGGCCTTCGAATTGAAGGTTAGCGTGCAGACGGTGCTGCAATTTGGTGCAAGCGCTGATCTTCTACTTTGGCGTCAATCCGTTACCCCAGCATTTCCACAGATCTGTAAAGCCCCACGGTACTCCACATCTTGTATTTCTTGGCATTCAACAGCTTGAGATGTCAAAGTTGAAGTAAAAACATTAATCGCTTTGTTTTCATCATCCAAGTGTGCTCGATACATAGCTATGCTGGGACTGCACCAACAAGACCAAAGCCTCGCATTGGGGATAATGCTGGGAAGCCGTCAAGCAGTGCTGAAGCCGGTCTGGGGTTCAGTCTGCCGCCGGTGGTTCGACCAAGGGTCCGGGGCTCGGCATGAGATTAGGCTAAATTTGGGTATTCGGGTGAGCCACCTTCACCGCTTACCGCTGAGAGTTGCGCATGATATATAATGCGCGACATACCTGCCGCATGCCCAGGCCGGCGGCTCGGGAGGTTCGGACTACCAAGCCAGTGGAATCGCACCGGAACCCGAAGATGCTCGGTCCAACACACGATGGCGAGCGGTACGAGCTCACCAGCCCAACGGCAATGCCCAAAGCGGGTGGATTCCTATGGAATCAAAAGATGATGATCCAAATGACGTGTCGTGGATATGCCGTCGCACAATTCATGCAGCCCGAGCCCGCCAAGTATTCCCATGCGCCGAATCTGGAGGCGAAGACTTTCATGCAACCTGAGCAGAATTACTACACCCACCACCCCGGCCGTTTCGTCTATGTCAAGGACGAAGAAACAGACGAAATTTTCTCGGCACCTTATGAGCCGGTCAGGACTTCGCTGGATCGGTTTGCCTTCTCCGTTGGCAAGAGCGACATCTCATGGAACGTGGAGAATCTCGGAATCCGGGTCGAGATGAAGTTTGGTCTACCAACAAATGATGTAGCTGAACTTTGGACGATCAAGGTCCAAAACATTTCAGAACGACGTCGCAAGATTAGTGTGTATCCTTATTTCACCATCGGATATATGTCATGGATGAATCAGGAGGGTGAATATCGCCAGGATCTGGGCGGTATAGTTGCAAGCAGCATTACACCTTACCAAAAGCCTCAGGACTATTCTAAGATCAAGCTACTCAAGGACAAGACCTATTTCCTGTGTCGAACCGAGCCAGACTCTTGGGAGGTCAACCAACATGCATTTGAGGGCGACGGTGGTTTGCACAATCCCTCTGGCTTATCAGAGCCAACCCTACGGAAGGGGGATGCCCGCTATGAAACTCCAGTCGCTGCGGTACAGTATCGTCTGGACCTGCAGCCCAATGAAGAGCGCGAGTACTGCTTCTTATTTGGGCCTGCGCTCGATGATGCAGAAATTATCGAAATGCGAGACAAGTACTTGAGTAAAGAAGGATTCTCCAAGGTTGCTGATGACTACGCCTCTTACATCGAGAAGGGCAGCGGCTGTGTTCGAATTGAGACTCCTGACAAGGATCTGGACAACTTTGTCAACAACTGGATGGCCCGTCAGGTATATTACCATGGGGACGTGAATCGCCTTACTACCGACCCACAGACCCGAAACTATATGCAAGACAACATGGGAATGAGCTTCATCAAACCAGAGGTGGCCAAAAAAGCCATCATTACGGCACTCTCCCAGCAAGAATCCTCTGGATCTATGCCAGACGGTATCATCTTAGTCGAGGGCGCTGAGCTGAAGTACATCAACCAGATCCCTCACACCGACCATTGCGTTTGGCTTCCGATTGCTTTGGAAGTGTACTTGGCCGAAACAGCAGACTACGAGCTACTAAGTATCCCGGTACAGACGCAGAACGGAGATAAATTCACCGTGTTTGAGCGGCTGAGTCGCGCCATGGACTGGTTATTATCAAAGCAAGCGCGGGACCATCGTGGTCTGAGTTTCATTGCCCAAGGAGATTGGTGCGACCCTATGAACATGGCAGGCTGGAAAGGCAAGGGAGTATCCGGCTGGTTGACCGTAGCAACCGCATACGCCCTGAATATCTGGGCTACTATTTGTGAGCAACAGGGCGATAAGCCATCATCCTCACGTTACCGTGCTGGGGCCAAGGATGTCAACGATGCGGCAGACAGACATTTATGGAATGGCGACTGGTTTGCGCGTGGCATTACGGACGACGATGTTGTGTTTGGCGTAAAAGACGACCCGGAAGGCAGGATCTGGCTCAACCCGCAGGCCTGGTCTATCCTTGGGGGGGCTGCTTCTCCCGAGAAAATTGGCAAGATGCTCCCTCAAATCGATCGGCAGTTGGGCACACCTTATGGCGTGCTGATGTTTGCACCTCCTTTCACGGGCATGCGCGAGGATATCGGCCGCGTAACCCAGAAATATCCCGGGCAAGGGGAGAATGGGTCTGTGTACAACCACGCAGGAGCATTCTATGTCCACAGTTTATACTCAATCGGCGAAAGCGACAGAGCGTACAGAATATTGCGCCAGATGATACCAGGTCCAAGTGAAGACGATTATGTCCAACGGGGACAGTTACCTATATACATCCCGAACTACTACCGAGGAGGATGGCACGAATATCCACGCACCGCAGGGCGCTCGAGCCAATTGTTCAATACCGGAACCGTGTCGTGGGTTTACCGTTCCTTCGTTGAAGGACTGTGTGGCCTGCGTGGTGATCCCAACGGTTTATCCATCTGCCCCCAACTACCTTCAGCTTGGGACGGGATGAAAGTCACTCGACTGTTCCGCGGGGCCACATTTTACCTAGACATCCGCCGCGACAAAGATGTCCAGCGCGTGACTGTTTCCCATGAGGGAGACACGCTACCAGGAGCTCATTTTGGTGGGATCAAAGCTGGCGAAGTATACCACCTGAAGGTTGCAGTGCCCTTCACGAACAAGCCGTAGCGTATGGAGATGAATGATAACTGTTTTAGTCACCCAACTTGGCCCAAATCGGGAATGCTGGTTTGTCAGTTGGAGGTAGACTGGGACTTTCAATGGCATATTTCAAATTTTATATGCTATATGTACATGCGGAAGCTTCTGCCATATGAGTTTTTCAAAATTTCTTCGAAAATCGTGGCCGTAACAAATACCACGTTTCTGAAACTGTGTAAACTACGATTTTGGAAAAAAAGAAGGGGAGGGGGATCTTGGAGTATCAATAAATCAGCCTAGGGCGGAGGGGAGGCTACTTGCACACTTGCTCTAATCCAAAACGTTCGATCTTCCCCGCTTGCCGAGGAAGTCAGGTTTTGAGAGTGGCTGGATAGTATCAAAAATGCTATGCAGGGTTTCAACAAATGAATCTTGTTCAGTTAAGGAGATCTCCGTCGCGATCAGACCATCTCAGCTGCAAGCATTTGATTGGACCGCAGCACGTGACTGGTAACCAGTAGATTGAAGGCACGCGTCTTACAACCACTTGGCAGATAGCATCACGGCTTCGACTTCTCAAGTTCCTGAAAGTCTGAATACAACCCAGAGCAGCATCGCAGGACTTGTTACAAAGGTGGGCCAAGAAAAACAACTGGGAAAAGGAGATGGAAGTTCGAAAGTTTCGGAACTGGACCGAGACCTATTTTGACTGGCGTTACGCTCACTTTTCCGGGAAGTTTGTTCGTACCCTTGCAGCTCCTCTGCTGGTGTACAGACTCTGCGTGCCGCGGCAGATCAGAAAAATTCCTGTGCCGATAGTTTTCGTGTCGATAACCCGGAGCTAATCGAGGATGTTCACGCGGAAAGAGGCGATGATCATATTTCTAGGGAGCTGAGGGTCTCATTTCGGCCTTCGACTTTCATCGACATAAACCCGGCTGAGGAAGCTATTGTTAGGGCTTATCAAGCTAACTTAAGGAGCGTCTTCGATCCACGGGAAGATATACGTGAATGGCTACCGGAGTAGCCCATCAAAAAGCAAGCTCACTTTAAATACCAAGAATGGCAGCAGAAGTTAAGTGCAAAAAGCTCAAGCAAAAAGAGGAAATCAGATCAAGGTGCAGAGACGGCCCTGAAACGCCCTCGCGGCCGCCCGCCAAAGGGAATCGCGTCCCAGAAGGCAGCAGAAAGGACATCAATGCTGAAGAAGACGGCCTGTTAAGAGCTCCATGACAGCCGAGGCTTCCCTGCAGCAACAGTCAAATTTTCTCCGCCTTACGTTCCTAGCGGATTCAGCAACGATGATCTCTTTCGAGGGAAGAGACTGGTTTCAAAGGCCACATCTTCAAGCCCGGAGTACATAGACCATACAGATGATTGAGGACGCTACTGTAACTGGTCTGCGAGGCAGAGATAAGACCATTACTCGGTAGCTCTGATTTGGAATCAACCTGTCGTCACATTACGAGATTTGACGGCCTGATGACCATTCATATCCAGGGAAAGGTTGGGTGTGGACATCGCGCTGCAATATATACTAATTGATCATTGTATAAGATCATGGTGGTTGTTACTCCCATTTGCACTTTCATCTGGACGATGTTGGACAGTAGGAGTTGGACCAACGTTGAACTGCGCCGACATTCTCTAACAGACGTTAAGAGGGGGGGGGGGGGGCGGCGGCGCTTAGGCCGCGCAACTCTGGGCTCCAATTCACGGAATGAAGCGGCCGCCTTCCTTCCGACTTGACGTGTAACCTGCGAGAAGGAGCATACAGTGTGAAGTACGAATCCCCGCATCTAAACGCGCTTGTCGGGGCTCGAGAGGATCGGGTCGACCAGAGGTTTAGACCTGCCATCGAAGGTATGTCGGAAGCTCAACCAACTCGACATCATGTCCCATCCTAGGCCACCACCCGTCCCGCTGGGTGTATCAATGGCCAGTACACTAGATCTTCGAGTCTTAATACCTGCTTGGCTCGCTCAACATCACTGTAAAGTTATGCCTTAATCCCAGGCCATCGGATCCTTTAGCATGTCCAATCCTGAAGGAGTTAGCGACAGGTGTACTTGATAAGCCCATAGTGGGGTCGAACCCCCCTCCCCCCCAATAGTAAAACGCGGTCTCCTTCTACGGCAATTTCACGGCTTAGTGTGAGCGACCGCCGTTGGATTCAGAGTTTCATTGCTGTACAGCTTTCAAATATGTGGGATTCATACGTCTTCACATACGACGCGTTTGAACAAAAGTCACATTAGCCTTTATGGACTTCTCGGAATGCGATGGGGATGCCACGTTTGGGCCGTCGGTCCTGGGTTGTCGAGATGATTTCGATTTTACCATCACCTTTGAGAAAGCCATCTTGTCAATATTACCTGCCGCTTTGTTTATCGTCTTCTCACTGCTCCGAGCAGCATACTTGATTAGGAGGCCTTCCATCGTACAAAACGCAACATTGAAAATATTGAAGCTGGTATGGATTCACGTCTTTCGATCTGCACTCTCTAACCTTGACACAGATTGTTGCATTGGCATATACTGCTCTGCAGCTGAGCCTTCTTGTGTTAAGTGCCAATTATACTTGGTTGCGATCCTTGTCGGTAGCCTCTGCCTCACTCACCTTCGTGGCTGGTCTCTGTACTGTCGCGCTATCAGTCTTGGAACAAATGCGAGCCCCAAGACCGTCGATGCTATTGACGGGCTACCTGCTTCTGACGCTTCTTCTTGATATTGCTCAAACAAGAACGGTTTGGCTTGCAACTAGCGACCAGGGCCGAGACTATCTCCCACAGGTTTGGACTGTGTCTACTGTCCTCAAAGCTGCTCTGCTGCTGCTCGAGGCCCAGAGCAAAGCGCGATGGATAAGTTGGAATGCAGAGAAGCACAGTCCGGAAGAACTGACTGGCCTATTTGGGCTTGGAGCGTTCTTTTGGCTCAATCAACTGTTCTTCGCTGGATACAAGAGAGTTCTACAGGTAGGGGATCTCTTCCCCCTCGACCAAAGCATGGCAACCGAGGCACTGCAACAGCGATTTCTAGAATCAACGAGCTCCTGTGACTCAAATGAACGAAAATCCAGCAAACGAAAAAATGGTACCGACCTCGCAAAGGCCCTTTTACAGACCCTTAGAACCCCAATCTTGCTGCCCGTCGGCCCAAGACTAGCGTTGCTTACCTTCAAATTCTGCCAGCCATTCCTCATGCGCACCTTACTCGACTTCCTACAACGGCAAGAAGACAAGGAATCAAAGAACCTTGGGCTCGGGTTGATTGCTGCTACTGTTCTGATCTATCTTGGCATAGCTAGTTCAACTTCATTCTACTGGTATCTCCACGAGCGGGCTCTCTGCATGTCCCGTGGTTGCCTGGTGAGTGCCATTTATAAGAAGACCACTGAGTCAAGGTTGTCAGCGGCCAGCGATGCTGCTGCTATTACGTTGATGAGTTCTGATGTTGAGCGCATACGACTGGGTTTCCTGAATCTCCACGAGTTTTGGGCCAATATGATCGAGGTCGCGCTGGCAAGCTGGCTGCTCGAACGTCAGTTGGGGACGGCCTTTGCCGCACCACTCGTGGTAGTCATCTGTTGCATCGTTGCTGGTGCGTACACGAACAGGTTCACGGGCCAAAGGCAGATGGCCTGGATGCGCAAGATTCAGAAACGAGTTGGACTCACTGCCAGCATAGTCGCGCACATGAAGCATCTGAAGATATCCGGCCTTGCAAGGCCGGTCGAACGTTTGATTCAACAAATGCGTGTTGAAGAGTTGGAGACCGCGTCCAAGTTCCGAATTATATACGTTCTCGTCGTCACCTTCGGTTACGTTCCCACAGCACTCTGCCCCGTGATGACTTTTGCATTCACATCCCGGATCTTAGACGTCTCGACTATATTCACCTCGATGTCATATATCTTGCTCCTGGCGGACCCGTTAGGCTACTTGTTTCAGAATACACCCAACCTAATCGCTGCATTCGCGTGCTTAGACAGGATTCAAACATTCTTGGACCTTGAGCCATGGAACGATTACCGGATAGAAACAGCACTGCGCTCAGGGAAACCAGACTTGGAAAATTGCTCTAAGGCTGACAACATTGAAGATACGTCAGACTACCTAATTGATATTCGTCATGGTCAGTTTGGTTGGGCACCAGACAAGCCAGTACTGTCATGCATCAATCTTGGTTTGCTTCGCGGCAGTCTCACAATGATTGTCGGACCCATTGGGTCCGGCAAATCAACCTTATGCCATGCAATTCTAGGAGAGACACCATTCTTTGACGGGACCATTGTTGCTGCATCGGGCGTGCTGTCAAGAAAGGTGGGATATTGTGATCAGTCGCCATATTTGACCAATACCACCATCCGCAAAAATATAATTGGCGCTTCCCACTTCGACGCACAGAGATACCAGGAGGTAGTCATCGCCGCTGCCCTTGATCAAGACTTGTCTGATTTACCATTGGGTGATCTGACACAGATTGGCAGTGATGGGGTGGCTTTGAGTGGAGGACAGAGGCAACGAGTCTCAATGGCAAGAGCATTATATCTCGATACCGACTTCTTCATCATTGACGACATTTTGAGTGGATTGGATGCAGAGACAGCAGATCGAGTGTTCCGCAACATTTTTGGTGTCGACGGTTACCTCAAGCGTAGAAATGCGACCGTGCTGTTATGTACACATAACATCAAGTACATGCCATTCGCAGATCACGTCGTCGCCTTAAACGCAAATGGAACTATCATGGAGCAGGGAAATCCTCGTGACATCATGTCCAAACAGTTCTATATTCATGATCTCGAGACTCAGTATAACAGTGGGTACCAGGACCGCGAGCCGTTCAATCAGCAGCTGAAGCGCAATGATCATCTGTCTGATATACCAGCTGCCTCAACGGATGCACCAGCGTCAATTGAAATGGAAGGCCAGAACCGCATGAACGGTGACCCCACGGTATACCGATACTATTTCTCCACTCTCGGAACGAGATCATTCATTGCCTTCATTGTTTTCGGTTTGGGCTGGGGATTCTTCTACAACTGGGGCAATGTCTGGCTCAAATTCTGGTCTGAAGACGTATCCTCAACCCATCCTCGACGGTCGAATAGCTTTTATATTGGCCTGTACGCTCTTTTTCAGACAACATATGTTCTGTCAATGTTCTTTGTATTCCTGATTTGCTTCACGTCCATGATCCAGTTATCTGGGTCGAAGCTACATCAGGCAGCTTTGCGAACAATGATCGGCGCTCCGTTGACGTTTTTCGGCACAACAGACACCGGACTCGTCACAAACATGTTCTCCCAGGATATGACCTTGATCGACCACGAACTTCCGATTGCAGTGACAAACCTGGCTCTAGACATCTGCAACGCGTTGGGGATGGCAGCAGTCATTGCGTCTTCATCGCCTTACCTTGCTATCACATATCCTTTCTTGTTTATAGTGCTCTACGGAATCCAAAAGTTCTACTTGAGGACTTCTCGACAGCTGCGACTTCTAGATCTTGAAGCAAAGAGTCCGCTTTAGTAGGTTATCAACCCTGAGTTGCAAGTACATATTAACGTAGGACAGCACCAATTTCTTAGACACCATGAAGGGGCTTGCAACGTTTCGCGCCTTTGGGTGGACACAGGAGGGCATCCACATCAACACTCACCTGTTGGATACATCACAACGACCGACCTACCTCTTAGCAATAGTGCAACGGTGGCTATTGTTCTCTCTCCAGTGCGTGGTGACTGTTCTTGCCGTCGCTGTAGTGGCAATGTCCACACAGCTAAGGTCAAATACTGCTCTCACAGGCGCCAGCCTGGTTACATTGATGACATTTGGAGATATTCTCAACTATATAATCCGCTGGTTTACTCAGTTAGAGACTTCTATCGGTGCTGTCAGCCGATTGAAGAATTTCAGCGAGAAGGTCAGGCCAGAAACTACGGAAATAGAGGATCAGACACCATCAAGCGATTGGCCTCTCAGTGGCAGCATAGAGATCAACGATATCTCTGCGTCGTACGCGTACGTATTTTCATGGACCAAACGGGTCACTGCATCTTCTAACTCAGGTAGGGCCACTCGATGTACGCCTACAAATGGAGAACAGGAAGAGGTGGGTTGGTCATCCGCGAACTTGGCTATCAGAAACATGACTCTTTCCATCCGACCGGGTGAGAAGGTCGCAATCTGCGGCCGAAGCGGCAGGTGAGACCTCGCCATAGTGTGTTACACATACGCTGACATTAACTGAGCGGGAAATCTTCTACCATTATGCTCCTGCTCAAGCTGCTCGACCCCATTCCGTCATGCTCTGGAAGCATCGTCATAGATGGCCTCCCGCTACACAATATTGACCGGGCTACACTGCGTGAACGCATCATTGCGATCCCACAGCAACCGGTATTCCTACCAGATGGGTCAACAGTTATGGAAAACATGGATCCTCACAAAGCTTCCAACGAAGGCGAATGTCGAACCGTGCTGGAACTGGTTGGATTGTGGGGTCTCTTCAGTCAAAGGGGAGGCTTGGCTCAAAGCTTATTACCGAGTGAGCTATCGCAAGGGCAGAAGCAACTTTTCAATCTAGCACGCGCTGTTCTACGTCACAGAATCCGCCTGCGTGGGCTCGCGGAGAGCCCGGGGCCTACACGCGAGAAGACTGTTGGCGGAATATTACTCCTGGATGAGGTGAGCTCCAGTGTGGACCAAGATACAGACCGTTCCATTCAACAAGTGATCATGGGAGAGTTCCAAGATTATACCATTGTCATGGTAAGTCACCGGCTGGAGATGGTTATAAACTTCGACACTGTGGTCATCATGGACCAGGGCACTGTCGTCGAGACTGGTGCTCCAAGAACGCTAGCTGTAATGGACGAAAGTCGTTTTGGACAATTGTGGCGCATAGGAGGCAGAGCGCAGCGATAGATTCTGCAGTGCTGCGAATGGGCGGTAGAGGCGGGTGGTACTCTTTCCCATAATCATCTACGGCTTCTATGTTTAAATCGTAATGTTCACCAATGACAGTATGGGCTAAGATCTCGTATCCGAAGACACTGGTCAGTGTGATCAATGATGAGTGTCCATAGTTCGGACTCCCCAAAACAGTATGGTTTACGTGATAAAGCTGAAAGTGAGCTGATCCATCGATTGTACTCCGTACTCCGAAGACCCTTTCGTCTATGCACAGTTGGGTGCCATGAGGGGTTAACGGCCGCATTTAGCGGGTACAGTGCGGAAGTTCCCCCTGCTAATCCTTACGAGTCCGACAGGTAAGCAGTAACCTTGAAGCGTTTCCATCCACAGACGGAGCCCGCTCGCTTGCCAAGACCAGTAGGATTGCATACGACCGCATGGGGGCAAATACAACAATCTAAAACCAAATCTACAGTAATTGTTCCACTTCCCTATGAAAGTCTATCGTCATGCAAATTCAAGTGCGTTTGATACAGCCTCAATGAGAAACCGTATACCTGCATGACGACAACGCTCCATTTCATCAGTCTTAGAATTCAACACTCCAGCTTGCCACAGAACGCACAATACCACTAGAACGATGTCGAAAGTCACTGCGTCGCAGGGCTCCGAAATGTTTCACCAAGTACTCGACTGGTACCCAGAACTTTTGGACCCCATCGACCGCCCAGTGCACCATCTGATCACATTGCAGTCGGGCAAGCACCCAAATGATCTAGCCGTGTGTTCATGGGATGGCGAACTTTCATATAGTGATCTTGATGAGCTTTCAAACTTGCTAGCGAGTCACGTTTTGTCAAAGGCATCTGGAGTTGAGTTCATCGTGCCTTTGGTTTTCGAAAAATCGAAATGGATGATAGTTAGCGTGTTGGCTGTTTTGAAAGCCGGCGGTACATTTGTCATGCTCGACCCATCTCAGCCCCTAGGAAGGCTTCGGGCTATCGTCGAGCAGACCCTCGCGGTGTTCGCCATGGCCTCGCCAGACTGTATCGAAATTGCAGAGTCTTTGGTGGGGGATACTTTCGTGGTAAGTGAAACAAGTATGGCTGCTTCAGTGGCAGCAGCATCTCTGCCACAAGTCGATATCAGCACAGCAGCGTATACAATCTTCACTTCTGGAAGTACGGGAACGCCTAAGGGAGTCATCATTGAGCATGCCCAACTTGCTACTACTTCCACATACGTCGGTGAGAGGTTAGGGTACAACAATCACTCGAGAGTTTTTCAATTCGCGTCCTACGCATTCGACGCCTGTCTCACTGATATCTTTGCCACGCTGGTGCATGGTGGCGTTGTCTGCATTCCGTCTGAGTGGGAGCGCAGTAATGCTATCATAGACGCCATGAAACGAATGCAGGTTACCCACGCCAAGTTCACTCCATCATTAGCTTCAAGTCTGTCTATCGATGAGGTTTCGAGCCTGAAAACGTTGATGTTTGGGGGGGAAAGCCCTTCGTCTTCACTGGTTGGGAAGTGGGCACAGAGATTAAAGCTGATCCTTGTTTATGGACCGACTGAGTGCTGTGTTATCTGTTTCACCACTGATGCTACTGATCATCACATTGCTCCTGGAGAAATTGGAAGACCAGTTGCAGCTCGCGGATGGATCGTGAAACGGGATAATGCAGACGAACTTGCAGCTATCGACGAAATCGGCGAGCTCCTCGTTGAGGGTCCATTGGTTGGTAGAGGATATCTTCACGACCCTGAGAAAACTATGGCACAGTTTATTGAGAATCCACAGTGGATGCCGAAGTCTTTCGCCGCCAGCAGAAAAAGACGTCTATACCGAACAGGCGATTTGGCAAAGTATCAAGAAGACGGCCGTATCACTTACGTGGGCAGATTGGATAACCAGGTGAAAATCCGTGGACAGAGGCTGGAGCTTGAAGAAGTAGAAAAGATACTGAGCAAGTGCCTCCATGAGCTCGACTTACATTCCCGCCATGTTGTTGTCGAGGCTGTCACGTTTCGAGAACTGGCTTTGAAACACCTGGTTGCTTTCCTTTGTTTCGATAACAGCCTCAATTATGGCTCCTTCGAGTGGGGTAACCAAAGTATGGAGATAGCTACGTCCGAACCAGCACAAGCCCGGTTCTCCGGCATGACAGCTAAAGTTAAGGATGAAATAAGGAAGCTTTTACCAGCATACGCCATTCCTTCCGTCTGGGTTCCAGTGAGCGACTTGCCTTACACAATCTCACGAAAGGTTGACAGAAAGAAAATCCGGACGGCAGCTGCAGACTTTTCAATCAAGGACTTCAGTACTTTTGCCAATCCTGTATCCAAACGCACACAAGATGATACAATAGAACACGTATCGGAGCAAGAGAGGAATATTCGGCGGATGTGGGCCGATATCTTTGGCATATCAGAAGCCTCAATTGAATCAGAGGACGATTTCTTTTCACTAGGAGGGGATTCTGTCTTGGCCATCAAACTGATCGCCACAGCACGCTCGAGTGGATTTGACCTGAGTCTGGAACGTGTCTTCAAGTATCCGATCCTGCGTGAGATGGCGTCGAATTCCGGTACCTGTGTGGTCGAAGACCAGGACCTGATCGATCCAGCACCATTCTCGTTGCTTGAGGATTTGGGGCCTACCACACTCGTACGTCAAGAAGCAGCTCAGCAGTGTTTGGTTTCTATAGACGCCATTGAAGACATATACCCATGTTCGCCAATGCAAGAAGGGCTCATCGCTTTGTCCATGAAGGACCCAGGTACTTATATCTTACAGTTCGTATATCAACTACCAGAACTTGTAGATATAGACAGGCTTCAAGCTGCATGGGAGGCTGTTTCGAAAAGTATACAAGTTCTCAGAACCAGAGTTTTCGACTATAAGTCTGCTCTATTGCAGGTCGTTGTCAGAGAGCCCCTCAGATGGAAAGTTGTTGAAGCGGACCTCGCAGATTTTTTGGTTGCCGAAAAGGGTCTTCAGATGAACGTAGGAGAAGCAATGTCTCGTCATTCTGTGGTGCATCAGACACGGTCCCAGCATTACTTCCTCGTTTGGAACGTGCACCATGCGTTTATTGATGGATGGTCCGAATCAGACGTTGTCATCCTAGTGGAGCAGGCGTACTTTGGAGACACCTCGTCTTTGTCGAAAATCCCAAGGTTCAATCGCTTTATTAGATACATTGGGAACCAAAGTACCTCAACTGGTGAGACATTCTGGAAGGAAGGACTTGCTGATGCGCCAAGACCGACATTCCCACCCCTACCGCATGCCAGTTACGTGCCGAAAGTCCAGCGGTCGAGCCGTATTTTGCACCACCTGGAGTCCCATGCGGATGCGGAAATTCAGCACAGGGTTCGCTTGGAAAAACGTGGCAATGCAACTCCAGCCACCATGATACAGGCAGCCTGGTTCATCTTGATAGGCCTCTACTCAAACACCAACGATGTCATCACGGGCGTCACGCTGAATGGACGGGCTGCACCACTTCCTGGGATTGATCAGATTCCAGGACCAACAGTGACCACAATTCCTTTCAGAGTACGTTTCTCATCAAAACAAAGAGTTTCAGAATTGCTCGCTGGTATTCAATCGCAGTATCTGAGGATCCTACCGCATGCTCAATTTGGACTGCAAAATATCAGAGCTCTTAGCGATGATGCTGTCGCGGCTTGCAAGTTTAGAACCTTACTGGTGGTGCAGTCTGCCAATCGCCCTCATGGGTCTCAAAAGCTCTTGATGGGACGGAGCTATTCCTTTCCCGTTATGGACTTCGCGCTGGTAATGGAATGTGAACTGGTTAAGGGCAACGTTGAATTTCGTGCCACGTTCGATCATCAGATCCTGGGCGAGGATCAAGTCAGGAAGATGCTTGCGTTGATGGAAAACATCCTGCAGAGTATTTTCAAGAGCACTTCAACCGATACTGTTGGCCACCTACAAGAGCTTTCCCGCGGAAACCAGTCCGAAATCGCTTATTGGCACCGACGAATTGCAGAGCAGGAAAACCGCGAGCTCCAACAGTTACCAAAGGGTGGCATCAAGACCAGTCCACGACCCTCAACACCCAAAGAGAAGAAACTTGCCACGATGTGGAGAGAGCTTTTTAATCTTCATACAGAAATTATCAATGCCGGCGACCATTTCTTCCTTCTCGGCGGTGGAAGTGTTTCAGCTATGCGACTTGTGTCAATAGCGAGAAGACAGGGCTTGACATTGACAGTGAGCGATATCTTCAAGAGACCGATCCTCCGTGAGATGGCAATGTTAGCCAAAGAAAATGCTATCACCACAACAATTCCGCCGTTTTCATTATTTCCTGACGTTGATTTAGATAGAGTGCTACGCCAAGCTGCGTCTCAATGTCGTGTTGGTGTTACAGAGATCGAAGATATTCTTCCTGCCCATGCGATGCAGCTGCACTACGTCACCGGTTATCCAGAAGCTAAGAGGAATATTAACGGCCCCTGGGACTGGCAATCTCAGGCCACATACACGCTGCCGCCGACAATAAATATTGAAAAGTTTCAACTAGTATGGCATCGTGCAGTTACACGACATCAAACACTCCGAACCAGAGCCGTCAACACAGACTGCGGCGTTATACAGGCGATCTTGAAGCCACCGCGAGACTTGCGCTGGAGATTCAGCGATGAACTTGAACAATACCTTATGCTAGATCGGCAGGAGAATATGACCTTCGGCGATGACCTTCTTCGGCTTGCTATTGTGGACGACATCAAATCAGGAACGAGATATTTCATAATCACCCTCCAACATTTCATTTATGACGGGTTCGCGCGCCAAATGCTATTCAAGGAACTGGAGACGGCCTACTTTGATGAGGTGCCCGACACGAAACCACCAACAATGAATGGGTTTATCAAGTACCTGATGACTGCAAACAAGCAAGCGGCTCTAGAGTACTGGACCGGATATCTAGCAAATGTACGGACAAAGCCGTTACTGGACGTTCCCGAGAACTGCTATAAGATGAACTTGAAGGAGGAATCAACTACTATGAATATTCCTAAGTTTCAAGGGACTGAAGCTACCTTGCCAACCATCATCGAAGTGGCAGGTGGCCTAGTGCTCGCTCATGAACTTGGCTGCCATGATGTAATCCTCTACTCCGATCGCTCGGGCCGCAATCTGCCTGTCGAGGGTATCCAGGACCTGATCGGCCCAACGACTCTGTTTCTTCCGGTACGCATCCGTTTCAATAAGGACCAGAGCTTACTAGATCTCTTGCGAGAAGCGCAACTGGCGCAGCAAGAGATGCTGCCGCACGAACATCTGGGATGGTTGGAGTTGAGAGAAATGGCAGCCTTTCGACACTTCTACCGCCACGCTATCAATATGAATATCAACCCAAACGCCCTGAGTTCGTACGACCGCCTGGGACTCGAATACCAGGGATCTCATGCCAGTTGCGATGACCCTTTCGGAATCAATGTGGACCTGTACGATGACAAGATTGTGTGGACTATCTATTTCGACGAAAGATTCATCGCTAGCGAGAAAGTCCGAGAGCTGCTGTCCAAGTTCAAGAACCTTCTGACTAGGATGATGGAAGCTGTTGACGAAAACTGCTGTGTTGGCCAATTCCTTGATGAGATTTTGCCGCAGGACGTTCGGATAGGCTAGGTTGATATTCAATCAATGACTCATTCTCCTGCAGCTGGTATTCGTGTCAAGAGGCATCTTATGAGGCATTGTGGAATACTAGAAATCTAACGTGACATATCGCAACTTACACGTGCATTTGGTGACTACATATATAGGTAAGGGGTTTGTCTAACTTGGAAAGCCTACTTACTTATACAGAAGTTGTCCTCCCTGTTAGCTAAGCCTGCTCGTTGCATTTAAATTCACCTTCTTGAGTCAGTGATGGCTTCATCAGCAGTGTCACTCAATGACAGCCGAACAACTTGCTATTTAGCATAATTAATTCTTACTCGTGTACTACAGATCAGACTAAGTTAGGCGATGTGGGGTTCAGGTAACGCGAGTGAGGTGCAGGGCGGGTCGGCTGATCAATGTGCGAACCTTAGGTGCCTCTCCAGGCAGGCCGGTAGTACAAGAATGTGATAGGAAATACGCGTATGAAGTAAGACTTTTTAAATTATACACAATTGGCACTAAGAAGAGCAAAGGATTGGAATGTTCTGCAATATAACGGCGTCCATCCTGGGGTCAAAAGTGGCCTCACGAACAGTGCCAGGCTAGAGACTTATGGGGGCGTACACGCGTTCATGGGGAAACTTTGGTGGGACTCGTTCATACAAACTGAGCTCCCCCTGCATATAGCCCCGCCCTCGTATCCTTGGATAACTTCAATTGACTCTCACACTTTATTTCTAACGTTATCGCTGGCCTAGCGCCGGCTTTTACAGAATACGCATGACGAAGCTGGCTCAATTCAAAACACCACGAGGAGGGATGCGGAGATGACTTGGCGATGACTTTGCGGAAGACATCTACATATATATCATGGCGGATTCACACAGGCGACTTTTTTTTTCTCGAATCTTGTACATATCATCCTCCGTCTCTCTTTTCATTCTTTAAATTGTTTCAGGCCTACCTGGGGTAGTCGTTCGTTCTTTTCTTCTATATTTCCGCTCCTCCAGGCTTCTTTTCAATCTGTGCCAATATGAAGCATTCTGCTGCCTTTGTTGCCACCGCGGCTGCCGTCCTGGCTCGCTCTGCTGACGCTCACTACATCTTCAGCAAGCTCGTTCTGAATGGTGTGGCCTCGAACGATTGGCAATACATTCGTCAGACTACTCGTGCAACCAACTATATGCCAACCAAGTGGACCAACACCTACGACAACCTCACTCCTAGCGACACTGATTTCCGCTGCAACCTGGGATCATTCAGCAATGCTGCCAAGACCGAGGTGGCGGATGTTGCTGCAGGTGACACCATCGCAATGAAGCTCTTTTACGATGGCAGCATCGCTCATCCTGGACCTGGCCAAGTTTGTAAGTCCAGCATTCTAGACCTTTTTTTTTCTTACTTCCGGCTCTCTGTTGTATCAAGTTCCCGAAGTTTTGGGTTTACTGACCACTGCTTTCGTTATAGACATGTCAAAGGCACCGACTGGAAATGTCCAGGAATACGAGGGCGATGGTGACTGGTTCAAGGTCTATGAAGTGACTCTTTGTGACGAAAGCGGCGATTTGACTACAGATGCTTGGTGCGCCTATGGCATGTCGCAGTTTGAGTTTCAGATTCCCGCAGATACTCCTGCCGGAGAGTACCTCGTCCGAGCCGAGCACGTCGGTCTTCACGGAGCTCAGAACAACGAGGCGGAGTTTTTCTACAGGTAGGTGCAGTGGAGGCTCCTTTTGAAGTGACCAAGTCTGACCGGGCTGTAGCTGCGCGCAAATTAAAGTCTCTGGCTCCGGTAGTGGCACCCCTGCCACCACTTACCAGATCCCTGGCGTCTACGAGGACACCATGACACTCTTCAATGGTCTCAACCTCTGGACGGACAGTGCCAGCCAGATCAAGACTGATATTGCCGACACCCCTATCGGGGATGCTGTCTTCAGCAGCAGCAGCAGCAGCAGCAGCAGCGCATCCTCTTCTTCGTCTTCGTCTTCGTCTTCAACTTCTTCGTCCGCTGTCGCAAGCTCGGCCGCAGCCACTCCGTCTGCTGGTGCATTCGACTGGAAGTCGTTCAACCCGTGGTCCCACTACAAGGGATCCGCCAAGTTCCGCGGCCGGGCCTGATCTACGAGACCTGTGGCTTATTGGCTGTAAGATTGCGACCGAGACAATATCACGCAATATGGCAGCCAGGTTGCCAAAGGGCATTTCAATGCTGGCGGGGTGCGGAGCTGGCGGACGTTTGTGAGAAGGGGCTCTCAACCACTTCGACGGGGTACAGACGGCGGGTGTTGCTCTGCTTCATTGTATTGACCTGATTCTTGAACATATATTGAACTACTATGTATAAATAAAATTTAGCGCTGTTACATGCTATTCGACATGCCCTGATGGACCATGGTGTTGTGAGCTCAACAAAGTGCTCCATGGCGACGTGGCCAAGGCCCGAATGCAGTTACGGAAGCGTGTGCATCGAGCTTGGACGCGTTCGTTATCGGGGATCGGTTCTCTATCGGGCAAGTTTTAAGTTTAACGTTGCAGACTGTGGCTGTTTTGTTCTGTAGCGCCAGCGTAGATCTACAGTGAGAAGTGCGAATGAAGCCACAAAAGCTACAGTGGGGCTTCCGCTGAGGGTATCGTCAATGGCCTGGAGGGCGGCCACCAGCTCCGTCTGTCCCTCCCAACGTACACGGCCATCTCAGCGTAGCGACCCCCGTTGAGACATGGCGTCGCCAGCTCAGCATAGTCGACCGATCATCTTGATCGTCTGCCATGCTCTCTCAGGGCACCTTGGCCCGCTCATCCGCATTGCAGATGGACTGCATGCTCGGCGTTGGCAACTGGCCTTCCTTGGGCCCACTGCACACCGCGCCCGCATCGAGTCGACAGGAGCAGAGTTCTTCCCTCTAACCGGGGATGCGGATCTCAATGACAGGCTGTACTATGAACAACACGCACTGCCCGGTTATGATTCCCTGCATTGGGTTGAGCGCGGCAAAATTGACCTGAAGCTACAGTGCCTAGACCCCCTAGTCACCCAGTGGGAAAACTTCAAGTCTGCGCTTGCCAGCATACAACACCGGGATCCAGGACGACAGGTCATCGTCGTTGCCGAAGCGTTTTTCCTAGGCATAATGCCGCTGAAGTATGGTGCACCGCTGCCCTCTGGGATCGCAGCGCCCAAGACGCTCTGTATTTCCGTCACCGTGCCGGCCATTAGAAGCATTGATCTGCCGCCCTTCGTCCATCCGTTGCGGTTTGACCAGACACCAGTTGGCCGCGAACGCAATAGACAGATGTGGGAGAGGAGGGAGAAGAGTTCAAAGCCCCTAACCGAGCTCTTAGATCAGAAATTGATTGATGCTGGTGCGACGAAGACTGTGGGGGAACCGTTTCTTGCTGGGGCAAATTATAAATGTCATGCGAAAATCATACAGCTTGGAGTTCCTGGGTTTGAATATCCGCGGAGCGACTGGCCCTCTGGGTTCAAATTCGCGGGCCTCGTCCAGGGAGCGCATCAGGGCCCTTTGACACAAGACCCTCCGTTCCCATGGTGGAACGAGCTGAAAACCAACTCAGCACTGCAACCGGCAGATAAAGCGAGGAAGAAAGTAATTCTTGTGGCCCAAGGGACAGTCGAAACAAATCCGGAGGATTTGATCATACCGACAATACTGGCCCTCGCGGGCCGAGATGACGCTCTCGTAATTGCAGTCCTGGGCTGGAAAGACGCAAGGCTGTCCGACTTCATCAAGGTACCGGACAATGCTAGAGTGGCTGACTATCTTTCATATGATGCCGCTCTGGAACATGCAGACGTATGGGTTCACAATGCCGGCTTTGGTGCTGTGAACCATGGCATCGCCCACGGAGTACCCATGGTCGTAGCAGGGGAAGGAATGGACAAGACAGAGAACGCAAGGCGTGTTGCGTGGTCGAAGATTGGTATTGATCTCGAGACGGCAAAGCCTTCTGTAGAACAAGTGAAGAGTGGCATCGAGAGAGTCCTCTGCGAATCAATTTTCAGAGAACAAATCAGGGAGCTTCAGGAGCAGGCGGAGCAAATCGACTGTATAGGAGTGATTCATCAAGAGATATCGGGCATGGTCTTTTAGACAGCAAAGGGGATATTTCCACAGAACGACGTTAGAACGACGATCAAACTTCAGGTCTCCTAGTTCGGTTGGAGTCGTATCAAGATGAACTAATCGACAGCGGGTGATCATCCATGTGGTCTAATCAATAATTTGTTCCATCTTGTGACTGCATACTACGGATGGGCGCTTATCTTAGTCTAGTTCCTCAAATGATTGCAATTTACGTCTGGATGACAGTTTGTACACTTACTTGCTTGGTCGCTTATCTCTGTGCGGAGGACATAAACTGTCATCCAGACGTAGATTGCAATCATTTGAGGAACTAGACTATGCAAAAGAAATGGCATTGGAATTGGGGGCTGGGATGCGAATGATGAGCTCTGAAACATGGCCGGCTTGCTATTCACATAACCATACAAGTCCCGTTTCACTGATTTCGAAAGTTGTAATTAAGCTGCTTTGGGGCAAGTTCGCATCGCGACGTAGTCCCAATTCTACTTAACCCAGATGCAGGATCCACTCTTGACTGACCCGCGGACGCCGAGCGGAAACAAATCAGATGTAGCAACTGATTTTATCATATATCAGCAGTTTCTGACGGCCGCCTCATAGAGCGGTATCTCTTTACAATTGGCGGCTAGACAGGAACTCATCAGACATGGCTTCGCAGACACACCTTGTCACCGGCGGTAGTGGCTTCATCGCCATCCATCTGGTGAATCAGCTCTTACAAGCTGGATACGCAGTGCACACCACCGTGCGCAGCTTGGGGAATGCAGTCAAGGTCCAGCCACTGCGAGGTTTACAAGTCAAGTACCCCGGAAAACTCGAGCTCTTCGAGGCAGATCTTCTGAAGCCCGGCTCCTTTGAGCCTGCTTTGCAAGGCTGCTCGGTGGTCCATCATGTGGCTTCCCCGTTTCTGATGGCCGAGAAGATCAAGGATGGACAGAAAGAAATGGTCGAGCCGGCTTTGGAAGGAGCGCGCAATGTTCTGAACAGCGTGAACAAAACCGAAGGTGTTAAACGGGTTGTTCTGACATCGACAGGTAAGAAGGAAATCTCGCCAAGCTCCGCCATGTTTTGACTACTCAACTAAGACAAGTCAGTTGGCGCTATTTTTGGAGATTACATTGATGTCAGAGGAATGAAGGATAACGTCTTGCACGAAGACTACTTCAACGAGTCGAGTACTGTTACCCACAACCCCTACCACTATTCCAAAGTCCTCGCTGAAAAGGAAGCGTGGAAGATTCAGAAGGCTCAATCACGATGGGATATGGTTGTCATCTGCCCGGGACTAGTCCTAGGTCCATCTCTGACCTTCGGGTCTGATTCGGGAAGTCTTTTCTTACTGGACGAGCTGTTCAGCGGGCAGCTTTGGTTTGGTGTGCCCGATCTCAGCTTCTGCACCGTAGATGTCCGGGAAGTCGCCACAGCACATATCAAGGCGGCACAGAACCCGTCGGCAAGCGGCAGATACATCCTTGCCGAGAAGGAGATGGCGAGGTTTACTGATATTTCCCAACACGTGAGAGCACACGTCCAACGCCGATACACTCTCCCAAAGCACCAATTGCCCAGTCCTTTGGTGCAAGTTGTGGGGCCGCTGTTCGGCCTGACGCATAAATGGATTCGTGCCAATCTTGGAATACGATTTTCGGTTGATAATGAACGGAGTATCAAGGAGCTAGGTATAGTTTACCGCCCGCTGGCTGAGACACTGGATGCACACTATCAATCATGGATTGAGCAGAAGGAAAACCAGGCAGCTAAGATAAAGAAAGATGGGAAGTAGGTGTAGTAATGTTATTGCGCAGATGGAAAGTTGTGAAGGACGGTAAAGTTGGTCATGTATATCAGTGGATTTTGAGAATGTATCGTAATACAAGTATTTTAGCTCTGTGCACTACTTGTTCGTACTAGACTGCACGGAATCTGAAAATGCCCCGGTGATTTCACACTCCGGGCACGTGCGACTAGAGTAGAGAAGTGTCGTTTGAAGTACACTGGATTGGAGGTCCAACTTCAAAAAGCCTGCTGGAGAAGTTGTAATCTATAAAGCACCCATTTGAGTGTTGCAATACGGCAGGTCGTCCAGCGCGGGACCTAAGTCAGACTTGGTCTTGTAGAATTGTCGGAGCGGGGCTGGTTGGGGAAACCTGCACGAGAAGAAATTTGCAGTATGGAAACCCCGGGAGAGACTGCATTAGCAGGGGTTATACTCCGTAGTGGCCCCGGAGATCTAGGCTTGGACTCAACAATATCCCTGTCTTTTACATTGGGGTTGTCCTTTAAATTAATCATTAGGGGTTCGTCCCGCACCTCGGTCGAGCCCATGTATATCCCCTCTCTTCCAACTCCAAGTTATCTCACCGGAATGAGTTGAGAAGTAATCATGAAGGTGTCACAGAGTTTCTTGTGCGCTGCATCCTTGGCTGCAACTTCTGTCGGTTTCTCTGCCACGGCGAGTGCAACAGATTGCGTGGGAATCAATGCCGTCCGCCCGCAGTGCAAGACCCAGGAGTCGGCATACTACCGAGATGTCTTCTTCTTGGGCGGCCAATACATCCCAAGCGGCACATCGTTCGTCATCTCGGACCAGTTGTATGTCGAGAAATTGACACCGCTCAATGGCGTTGTCAAGCCGTACCCTCTTGTCTTTATCTCCGCTGGTATTCCATCCGGAAGTGTGTGGCTCAACACGCCCGACAACCGGAAAGGATGGGCCACGTATTTCTTGGATCAAGGATATCAGGTATACATCATCGACATCACCGCCAATGGACGTAGTGGGCAAGAGGACCTCAGCAAGTATCCTCTGCGGATTGGGTCGACTGTCTCCATCCATGAAGACGGCTTCACAGCGCCTGAGATAGTCAACCCCTTCCCGCAATCACAGGGGCACAACCAGTGGCCGGGCAATGGCACGAAAGGAGACCCGATCTTTGACGCCTTCTTTGCCGCAACTGTGCCTTTGACATCCAACAAGACGGCTCTAGAGCTTTCCATGCGCGCAGGTGGCTGCTATCTGCTTGGATTAATTGGGGAATCGTACCTAATCGCGCACTCGAACGGAGCATCTTATTCCGCGCTGATGTCCGACGAATGCCCCGACCTCGTCCGTGCAACTCTGAATCTCGAGCCTGGGAATATCCCCTTTCAGAGTCTGATTGGAAATTCGACCACTCCTGCCGTTGGACGCACTGCGGCCCGACCCTGGGGTCTGACCGAGACTCCTCTTACGTATGACCCGCCAGTCACCAATGTCACGACGGACCTGGTCACAGTTGAGGTCGGAGTTGACACGCCGGCGCTCCGGTCTTGCTTTATACAGTCCAACACTACTGGAGGCGGCATCCACACGCTTCCCCAAATCGCCAAGGTGCCGTACGTGATGTTCACGGCATCGGCGTCACCTCATATTACCTACGATCACTGCTTTATATCTTATCTGAGTCAAGCTGGAGTGACGGATGTGACGTGGATAAAGTTTGGGGATCTGGGTCTCGAAGGAAATGGTCACTTTTTCTTCCTAGAGGAGAACAATATGGAGTTGGTCAAGGTAGTGGAAGCAGAGATCGAGAAGAGGAGTTGAAGAAACCCGCATGCAATTGTCGTGTATATCACAGCGAATAATCTACAATACCTAATGAAATAGATGATGGACAATACTGTGCACAAATGGAGGGCCAGGGTCTAGGGCGAGGACCATGGCTAGGTGTGTATCTATTACTAGGCTGACATGATCAACGTCTAGAGCTGGTGAAACATTCTGATTGAGATCTAACCAGAATGACATTTCTCGGCACGTACATATAGACCAAACGGGCGGGTACCATACAGGTATATTACTACAGCTAGCGAACTATAGGCAGTAGATATAATATAGTTCAAAACCTAAAAACCCATGTCGCATAATATGCAATCACGGATGAATCAGGACATTTCTGTTCTAACCTTAAATACACAACTTGTTCCACAGTCTAACACCAGATCAGGCTACACTAGATCGGACCACAAACGATCGTTCTGGGGTTGCGCAATAGAAAAGGCTCCAGTGATCGTTTTCACTTGGTTCTTTTCGACTTGGGAAACCCAACATGCGGCTGACTGCCCTAAATCGGGGCCAGATGTATCATGACCAATGAGGAGTTGAGCTAACGGCTGACTTGCATCGCGACGATAGCTGCGCCCCAACAGCAGCTATTTAACAGTGGTAGCAGTCCCAACTCCGTCTGACCTCCCGCTTGATGGCAGTTTTCTGAGTTAAAAAAAAACAACCATGTCCTTGTCGCTAGACACCGTGTTCCAGGTAGTCGAGATCGCCCAGAAGGCCATCGAGATCTATGAGCGGATCAAGGATGTGCCGCGGGAGATCGAGGAGCTCGGCGAGCGCATGGTGCTGCTGGAGAACGTCCTGGCCGAGCTCAACGCGCATCTGCGCAGCAAGGGCGAGCATGCGCTTGCCGATCTGTCGCCCAAGCTGAAGGGCGACATGTCCAAGATCATCGCTGCCACCGAGAAGGACTGCGACCGCGTCTACGTGCTCTTTGACATGTTCGAGCAGAAGAAGGGTCCGTTCGGCGTCCAGTTCAAGGACAACCCCGTGGCCAGCCTGGTGGCGCAGGCACACTTCGCGCTGGGAGGGCCGGCCAAGGAGCTGGAGGCCCTGGCCCTCAAGATCGACCAGCACTGCACCGATATTGGCAGGCGCGTTGAGGTGATGAGCTTGCAAGGAGTGCAGGCAAACCATGATCTGCTCCAGTTGATGCGGAAAGAAATAGAGGCATTGCACAGTGAACTCAAAGCACGGGACGGCACGGCGTCTCCTCACCGTCCAGCGGGAGCAACAGGGTCCCTGAGTCCGCCGGCAAGCGTGGGCAAGCCCGCTCCCAAGAAGCCAAAGCCACAGCCCGCCCTCTCCCTGCCGCCGGGCAAGAGCAACTTCAAGGTCATCTTCGTGGACCCGCATAACCTAGGGCGCAGCATCTGCGCGGAAACGCTCTTGCAGCTATACCGGCACAGGACGCAGACGAAGAAGGGGAACTGGCGTATCGAAACCATCCACTCGGCCGGGTTCTTCGTCAAGCACCGGGGCGACTGTACGGACCTGATCGAGAACCAGATGAGCTACAAGTTCCGCTCCTACAAGCTGGCAATGGGAAGCGGCGGGAACCTGCCCAACGCCATCGCCACAGCGGCCGTATTCGAGAACAGGGTATTTGACGACATAAGGCCGTTCCGCACCACGCTGCAGGGTCGGGTAGCCGCCCGCAAGTCCATTGGCATCCGGAGGGACATCTTCAAGACGTACGACCACATAGTCGTCTTCACGCACCGCGAGTACGACAACATGCTGGCGCTGCGCTCTGCGCTGCTGGCGGCAGAAGGCGGCGACAAGGCGGCGGCGGCAGCGGCGTATAAGGGCCGCGTGGTGCATCTCGGAGCGTACCTGACGCTTGATGACAGCACGCTGGAGATCGTGGACGCGCCCAAGAACAAGGAAGGGGTTCACACAAGGCCCGCGTGGGATAAGAAGGTGGCGCAGCTCAAGATCGCCCTGGAGACGTATCTGAGGAGGGAGATGGGATGGAAACCACCGCGGGCTCAGGCTCAGAGCTAGGCCTGTCTTTGTCCCCATCCAGAACATTTGGAAATACAAGCCCCGGGAGAACGTGATGGCCCACACCCGAGGCTGTTGCCAAGTTTCACGGTGACCGCTCTCGAGACGATGTAAGCCGGGATCTTACCCGATTGACTTGTGAGGTAGAGGCACTACGTGACAGTGGGGAGTTCAACTTACCAAAATATCCCATGTACTAAAGAAACACCACATCACCATCTGTGATGTGGGAACCAAGAGTATCTATGGTCAAAGAATAATTTCCAAGTCCAAGGGCGAGTGTCCAAGAAGCAAAAGGTATCCATTAATGTGCGGCCAACAATCCCTAACCAAGTCCCACAGCGTGGCCACAATTCCACGCTATACTAGATAGATAATCAAGAAGCCCGAACATAGACCCAATAAGCAAGTCCTCGTGATCTCATGCCCTCATCAACATGTATACTTGGGTTGCCACCCACCCAGGTTGTCTGTCTTTCCACCATGCAAGCATTTAGAGTCGTCATAGAACCCCCTCGCGCCGCAGTAGCGTGCTGCGCCTACCTCTACCTGTCGAGGAATTGCTCCCGCTCTCTCATTAAGTTCTCCGTCATCTCCACCAACTTGAGCGCACGCGTATGCCGGACCACCCTTGATAACCGGCGCACATACTGTCTACCCTTCAACCCACGCAGCCACCCACACGCTAGACGCGGGCCTTGCGGCCGCGGCTGTTCTTGCCGTCGGTGCCGCGGATCTTCTTGGTGCCGGCGGCCTTCTTGCCGGGCCGGTGCGTGACGGTGCCGACGATCTTGTCGGCGACGCCCTCGACCTTGTCGCTCAGGTGGCTCTTGCGCTTGTGGTGCGTGCCCGTCGCGGCGGTGGCCTTGTTCGTCGAGCCCGCGGGGCGGCCGCGCTTCTTCACGCCAGCGCCCGTGACGGACGAGGTCTTGGTGGTGGAACCGGGCTTGCGGCCGCGCTTGGCCCCGGTGGTGGCGCTGCGGGGGAGCGCAAGTCAGTATTGAGAGAGACAGGACGAGAGTGGGCTATAGGATGGGAGGGGCAGGGTGAAGGGTCTTACGTGGTGCGGCGCTTGCGCTCCGGGCCACTGTCGATGGTGGCGTGGATGCGCGGGCGCGAGCTGCCGGTGGTAGAGCGGGTTGATGCCATGTCAAAGTTGGTATGGGGGCTTTTGACAAGGTGTTGTGGTCTGCGGCGACTTCAAGAAGGTATGCGATATGTCGGGATATGTATGCGACAGTAAAGGGCAATGCGGCGCGACGTTATGGCGTTATGGTATGTATGGCTTGGACGTGCGGTCAGGCGGGTTGTTTACTTTGGATCAGCTGGTTGTGGGTGGACGCATGTATGTGGTTGTGCGGGGACGGGCAACATTTAAATGGGAATTTGCGACGCGTCGCTCATATGCTGGGATCTGCTGGCTGTAGAAATCTCAGGTCCGTCCTGCTCTGAAAGCCCAGATAGGCCCAACCAGATCTGCAGCGTTGTGTGTTCCCCGGGTCTATTCGATCGTGACCAGGGATAAGGATCGCTGGGCAATGAATTGTTGGCATACATGACGTAGCCCCTCGAGATCCCGCTAACCCGCGGCTGCATACCAACACTAGAACACGCACTGGACGGGGGGGCGATCCGGCATCACATTATACATGGGTAGGGGGGCAGACAGCACGCTAGTGTCTACCTGGAGCAGAAGTATTGGGTGCTCGATACGGCCTTGTTACAGAGCGACATCTAATTGGGTGCGTGAGCGTGTGTGTGAGTGTGTCAACAGGTGCTGTCATTCAGTGCTAGCTACCCTTCTATTTTGTCTTCCCTTCCCATCCATCCATCCATCCTCACAAGTCTTTGGGACGCTTGGCTGCAGAAATGTAAGAGCTCCCCTTCTCAATGTCCAACATCCTTCAATATAGTTTGGTGAGCGTTGAGCTGCCAATCTCAGATGAGGCACGCCTGCGAAGTTGACTTCAGCTGCTATGTGCCTTGCACACGCCTTGAAGTATCCGGCTTTTCATCAGCGCCCAAGATGCTATGCAGGTCTTTCCGTCAGCGGCAGACGCTTTCCCCGGGCAAGGGCAATGATCCGTTCCAGAATCAGATGCCCTGCCTCTCCATGGCTTCCAGCTCCTTGAGGACAGAGCCCTTGGTCTGGATCTTCTTGATCTGCGTGTCCTCGAGCTTCTCGCCGCCGGCCAGGCGCATCTCCAGATCCTCGATCGCTCGGACCTTCTTCTGGAGGCTGCGGAGCTTCTTGGCCATGGGGTTCTGCCCACCCGGCGAGAGAGGGGTCTCGTTGATGACGGGCACCTGCTGAGCCGGCGTGTGAACCGGGGCCTGGGGGTTCAGCGGCGCACCGCCATCCCGCACCTGGTACCCTTCACCATTCCGCTGCGTGTTGCTGCGATTACGGCCCGGGTTGTTACCTCCGTGCATGTTGTTTCGCGAGCGGCTGCGGTTGTGCTGGTGGTTGTTACTGTTGTTGGCGCGGTTGCCACGGCGCTCCGGGCTGCGTCCCTCGTTACCGGACCCAGGACCCTGGTCACCAGCCGGGGGAGCAAGGCCGCCGGCATTGTTGGCATCACCATTCTCACCGGTCTTGTTCTTCTTGTTGTTTCGCTTCTTCTTGTTCTTGGCCGCGGCCTTGGACAGGTTGTCGTCTGCCTCGGCACCGGGGACGGCGGGGGCAGCACCCGGGACGGCGCGGGGCCCGGACTCCATAAGCTCGGCACCCGGCACCTGGCGACGCTGTCGGCCGAATCCGTTAGGTCCGACGTTGGGCGTGCCATTGCTCACGACATGGGCGGCGCCACCTTCGTCCTCACGACGGAAGTGCAGCGGCGTCGACATGCCACGGGCACCAGGGGGACGGTAGGCACCAACAGGCTTCGACGGCGTCTTGACCGTGCCCAGATAGGCGACCGCAGAGGCATGAGGCAGGGGGACGGGGTTGAGGGGGTCGCCAGCCGGGACGTTCTCTGGCAGGCACGGGCGCCAGCTCACGTTGTAGAGCTCGACCATGTCCTCATTGTACATGATGCTACCACCAACATGCCAAAGCTTGACGCCGTTGTCGACTCGCAGGCGAGGAGAGGTGGTGGCCGTCATGATGTAGCGACTGTCGGGGCTCCACTGGCAGACGCTGGGGTTGCCGCTCTCGATGGTGCAGATCTTGCGGAAGTCCTTGTCCATGTCGTAGACATCGATCTGGCCCGCCAGGTTACCGAACCCGGCAACCAGGACGAAGCGCCCGGTCGGCGAGAAGATGATGGTGTTGCGGGGCGCAAGCTGGAACGAGTGCATGGCGACGGCGCGCTGGTTGAAGATGGTGGTCTTGGCGGGCATGTAGCCGTAGATGACGCCAAACTCCTTGCCGTTGGGGGACCACGTCACATCGTGGATGGGGCCCTCCTTGTCGAGCGTGATGCGGGCGTCGAAGCCGCCATTGGCGTACAGCAGGTAGAGTGTGGTCTCACCATAGTAGCTCTTGTTGGACTTGTCGACGTCTGTTTGCGCCAGCACAATCAGAGACGAGCCCACGCTGTTCCACTTCATCTGCACCTTGTCGCCCTTGAAAAAGGTCTTCTGGGAGATGGGGCTGTGGAACTGGGGCACGTTGAAGACCTTGACGGCAGCCGGCTGGCCCTGTTGTGAGAATCGGTCAGCATGGGACAATGCGGGGTGAGGAGCAGCACACGCGGTGGTAGACGGGGTTCATGGGTAGGACATACCTTGCGCTCTGGGACGAAGACGGCAACGTTGTGGCTGGTGCCAGGGGCCAGGGCAAAGTCGGTGACGCCCTCGACGCGCAGCTTGTTCCAGACCGTGGTCAGGTCGTGGCTCTCGTAGAACTGAACCTCATTGGTGACGCTTCGGGCGCAGAACTTCTCGTCCGAGGTGTATTGCAGGTTCCAGCCCGCCTGGGACTTTTGGACGAAGCGACCGATGGGCTGCTTCTCAGCGCCCTCAGGCAGCTCCTCGACAGTGCGCCAGATCTTCAGGTTCTTGGTGGCATCGCCGTTCTCGTCCTTGGAGGGGCGCTCCCAGGTGCTGAAGTAGGTGCCGCGGGGCGAGAAGGCGACCTCGTAGATCTGGACGACGGGGACGGCGGTGATGACGTGGCCAGCCGAGGCGTCGACGACGGCGACGGTCTCGTTGGTGGCCCAGGCGAGGAAGCGGCCACAGGGCGAGTAGACACAAGACCGCAGATTCCCTTCTGGCTTGACGAAACCGGGCACAGGCTCGTAGACGGGGGCGGCGTCGGTGATACCGATGGCCTTCTGGGTCCGGTAGGCAAACTGCAAAGGATACGCCATGACTAGTCAAAGTCACAGGTTGATCAGGCTCTGCAGGTGGGATTGTGGGTGGGCTTGGGCGGATTGGGTTGAATTCTTTCAGAGACGGATTTAGTTCAGGCTTTCTGGTCCGGGGACACGCGGAGAGTCGGTTCGATGAAGCCTGGGGGGCAGAGGACAGCCACACGGGATGGGACAAGGCTGGCCAGAGAGGATCCTTCCCTTTGTCTTGTGTGGGCTCTTTTTGTCTTCGCGGCGTGGATTTGCGTGCGACTCGGCGGGGCGACAAAGTGGCAGAATCTGCAGACAGGCGTCGCGGCTCAACTGGGTGATCGGATTTAGCTAAAAAGCAATCGCGCAGTTGTGTCAAGAGGCTTGTCGTCGTCGGCGTTGGGCCCTTGGTGCTGATGGGATGGTGCTCGTGCTGATGCTGATGATGCCGGGGCTGTGGGCTTTTCGGGGGGGTCGTCAAACAGCAGGGCACAGGGCACACGGGACAGACCAGTTGGGGGGCAGGGAAGAACCAAATAAATGCGTCTAGGGAAGAATCGAAGGGAAACACAAGTCACCCAGAGGGTTTGATTGACCGACGGCCAGTGGGCTGACGAGTGGTGATGATCGCGGAGCGTGCAATGGGCTGGGGGAGGAGAGGAAGGGAAGGGGGAGAGAGAACCGTCCGTCACATTTCCAATATCTGACCTGGGGGGTCGGTTTTTTTTTTTTTTTCTCCCTCTCTTTCCTCCTTCGTCTGTCCGTCGCAAACTTCCCCCAGCTGCCGGGACCTGGCGACCCTTGATTCAGTGCTGCATTTTGAGGCGCAAGCTGACAGGTGCCCAAAGAAATAGTGGCGCAGTCACTGACTTTTACTTGACTGGCCTCCAGCTCCAGCTGACCCATAATTAAACACGGTCAACCTGGAAGTGTCAGGTACCTACCCAGGTACCTCTTACGGGTGGGCGTGCAGCCCAACTTTACCTTTGGTCCCTAGGGCACCTGAAGGGCCCCGCAGTTAGGCCTCTCCGTGTGCTAGACTGAGTCCATGAGTCAACTAACTCTCCATCGCGTTGCTAATGCATACACAGTACATACATATTTGAATCCCGGCTTGCATTATCGACTTGCATAGGACAACACGGGTAGCCCCAGCTTGATAATCTGGGGGAGAGGTCGAATGCATTTGGTTTGCAACCTCAATGCATTTCACACCAAACCGCGAGCCCGTCCCGCTTGTGGGCTTCGCTGATGTCGTCGCGTGTCTGCTGCTTGTTTCCATTGCACTACGCTGGCCAGTGGCCGTCCAGGTCCTCCGGCGCATTGACAAGCCCAATTTGCGAGATCCATGGCGGCTCACGAAAAACGGAGAGTCAATCAGCAATGCTTTCACGCACGGCACTCGTTCCGAAGTCGAAGGATGCCTATGATTAGTCTGCTTGGTTTATCCAGTGTGGCCAGGATGTTCCGTGGCACTGGTCCGTGACCATGAGGTCAAATAGCTGATCCTCATCCGTCAGGCCTCCAACTAGCCTTTCTTGGCTCTCCTGTGGCTTTCTCGAAATCAGATATACCACAGCGCCCGGGCTATTCTCGTGGAATACCCTTCCCTCGCCCAGGCATGACGTATTGACGAAGCCGGAGTGGGTGGAAGCCGATGACATCGCGGCCCGCGCGTGCTTAGCTTCCGGATTCTCGGAGGGTCTTCCGTCCGTCCGGAACTTGAACGGCCCGAAAAAGTGGCCATCATTCGGCATTCAGCGGTACATATATCAAGGTCTATCACGGTTTTACGGAGTACTATGTTGCCATTGACCACGTATACTTTAGTGCGGTCGGTTACAGCCTCACGCCAGCAGGTCCCAACAGGAGGCGCCGTGTATCAGAGTCTTTTACGAGCAATGCGACATGTTGTCTTACATACCATTCCACAATCAGGAGCTCATGAGTGTTAAAGATCAATCAACCACCAGCAAGCTAAACGGACGGACGACGGGTCATTCATTGGAGAGCAAACCTTCATGTATCCGGGCCTACGTGACAATAGCAATGAAAATCCCTCACCCCTTTACTCGGTAGGCTCTCCTATACATCTCATCTACCTCTGCTAAGTAGTATGTGCCCTTACTAAGGTGCTCCACGGAACCGGTAGGCAGATGTCCCTTTTTGCCATAAAGAAAGTCTCGTCGGTTGCGTGCCTGTGGCCGAGTTAGCACACCATCCCCATTTGGTGTGAGAAATGGTCACTTACCTCCTGATACGCTTCTGGTGACGCCTGCTTCCTCGCCTCGAGTCTTGCAACAAGATCGAGCTTACTCTTCATCTCCTCCACGCTGCCAACGACCTTCAGGCTGAACATGGAGCTTGACAAGCCGCTTCCATAACTGAACATACCAATCGTCTTGCCTTTCAGTTGTGTGCTGGTTCCGAAGGTCAACAAGCTGCACAGACTCGAGTATAAACTTGCGGTGTACATGTTTCCACATTGACTGGGTAAGTGAGTGGCCGGCTGAACTCGTTGGCCAAACCGCTTCTTCGTCAAAGGCAAGAAGTGTCGGTTTATCTCGGCCTCGTTGGCAGTATCTTTCAGCTCCGGAGGTACATCCTTGAACATCGCGCTGGTTGGGTCCGCAAGGAAGTCGTTGAAGTACAGGCGGGCGTAGGACTTCATGACGGTCTTGCAGGTAGGTGAATGAAAACACATGTAGTCAAAGCGGTCAGCAGGCGATTCAACACTCGCAGGTTTCCCGCTGTCGAACTCGGCATCATTTTCAGTGCCATCATCGTGGGTGTGGCCATTAGTGCCATTAACGGAGAGCACTTTCTCGCGAGCCAGGTAGGCATTATAACAACCGTCAAGGGCTTCTCCGTAACACCGGAGTGACAAATGACCATCCACGTATGGGTATTCCTTGGAGAAGTCGGGTTTGTAGAAGTCGTATGTGTGTCTCATATAATTTCCGCGCAATCCAGGTTCGATCTCCAGCGGCGCATTTGGGCCGATGAGCATGGCAACGGAGCCCGCGCCACCTGTTGGCTTCGCCCGGTCCGTATCATAAGCTGCGATGTCAGCAGCCACGACGATCGCATCGCGGCCGTCCCATGCAGAAGATTCGATCCAGTTTACGGCATTGAACAAGGCATTGGTTCCACCGTAGCATGCGTTGTAGGTATCGGCACCTTCAATGTTCGTGTTGTGCCCTTCAAATAGCTGCATGAGCACAGACTTGACTGACTTTGACTTGTCAAGAATGGTTTCTGTGCCAACTTCAAGACGGCCAATCGATGAAGGATCAATGTTGTACTTTCTCAACAGAAATGAAACAGCTGTGAGCGCGAGAGAGTATGTATCTGACACATCGGCATTAGCTTCAGTGGAGAGGCTCGGGATTGTGACCACCACTGAGCTGCGCTACTGACCTTCACGATCATCGCAGAAACTCATTCGTGTTTGGCCCAGGCCAACTGTGTATTTTCCTTGAGACACCCCATCATATGTCTCCAACTCTGCTTGGTCCACGTACTTTATGTCCGCAACTTATAAGCCTCAGACTGCCTCGTAATTAATCACAGTGTATGAACGAACCTGATTGGGAAAATACACTTCGATCCCCTTAATTCCAACGTTCTTAGGACGAGCCATAGTGATCACCACACCTCAAAGGGCGCCTCAAGCAAACTTATTAGGATATTATGGGTTGATGACTTAAGTTGCGATGCACCAACAGCCTGCTATTTTATGTGCAGCAGCGCAAGGCCCAGTGCTTGACTTATGTAGTACTCACATTTCATGGCCCGGACACTTTTCTCGAGCAGTAATATCTTCCTATGGCTGTGAAATGACCCGAGGATGATGTGTGGCATCTTAGATCGTTCTTGGATTTATTCACTCCTGCATGGCCCCCGTTCTGAATGATCACGTCCGAGAGGAAACATGCTTGGCATTATGAACTTCTCTTGAATCGAGCGATAATAACACGAAAGCTACTCGGAGCACAAGCTAGAGTTGTTCATGAGAAGCACTTATGGATATCTGAGTTGCTGTTGATGAAATACAAACTATGGGCTGCACTACTCCCTTACCATCATCTACTTGGGGAAAAGAAAAACCTACGTTCAGCCCTGCTCTCTAAGTTCAGCGATCATCCCGATGACCACTGCTAAGTCACACGCTCACACGCCACCACGACACCGGTATAGAAACAAAAGGTAGCCCACTACTGCTTTCTACGCCATACCTTCCCGGACCCTGAACGTTGTGTAACAGTTGGGCCTAGCATCAGGTCAAAATCTTACGCGCCGGTGAAGACAGCTGTCCTCTTCTCACTGAACGCCTGGAGTGCTTCTGTCCGATCTTTTGTCCCGAGAACGGACTCATAAGCAGCATTTTCATTCTGCTCACAACTGGCGCAGGTATGTGAGAAAGCGCTGATCACAGCCATCGCGGCGACAGGCCCACCGCTGGCTATTTCTTTCGCGAGTACGAGACTGGCATTCAGAGTAAGGGCGCGTTTCAGCGACGCAGTCAGGATATTGTTGGCAATGTCAGTCGTGACAAGGCGATTGCACAATCCCATGGCCGCAGCCTCCTGAGCCTGCACTTGGCGGCCGGTCAAAATAAGGTCGAGGGCATGTGACATACCCACTATCTTCGAAAGGCGGTAGGTGCCTCCAGCGCCAGGTATAATCGCAAGCCTAGTTTCGGGCAACGCAACCACGGCATCAGAAGAGAAGATCCGGAGGTGGCAACAAAGCGCCAGCTCGAAACCGCCACCGAGCGCCTTGCCGGATACACAGGCAATCGACGGCACGGGCAAGGTGGCAAGACGAGTGAACAGTGCCCGCAGATCAGTCAAGAACTCTTCTGTTTCGGCCGGGCTCATGAGTTTCCGTTCTTTCAAGTCGGCTCCAGCGCAGAAGACGCCATCAACAGCACTTGCAAGAACCAGTGCCCGAGTCTCAGCCTTGCCAGCGTCGGTGTGTATCTCTTCGATCTCTTGGCTGAGGTCCTTGAGCAACTGCCGCGAGATCGCGTTTCTAGCTTGGGGTCGCTGAAGCTCAATGATTTTGATGTTGCCAATGTGTGGAGCTTGCACAGTGCTTATGACCAGCGTGCTGGTCGTCTTCACGACGACTATCTGGCCAAGCTCAAGATCATGCAGTCTTTTGACCACACTGTTAAGTGCGTGAGAAGGAAGCGAAGGTCGTGTTCCGACTGCAGCATCTTCATGAACTACTTTGCCTTGCGCGAGACCTTCATTGGCGACTATTTCCGTTACGCCATTGGCAATTGCCGCGATGCTTTCATGAGCAACACCGTTTGTCTCCCTCTGCGTGCTTTCAACCTTAGGGATTTGCTCAATCTCTACTTCGACTGCGCTGGCAGTTCCGTTGGTGTTATCAGCAGGGATGGTCTCGAGCGATGGTTGGGATGAGTTACTCTGGGGGTTTGCCATGGATTCACGTGCGAGACTTTCTCCTCCGGTAAAGCGGCAGAAGAACGGATCCTCCATCAGACATTCCATGGTCTCGGATGTCTCTGTGAGCATAAACTCACAGCTTCCGTCAGACAGCTTCGGCATAATGATGACGGCTCCAGCTTGGGTTCCGGTTGCTGGCAGACGTAAAGCCTTGATATGACCATCGCCAAACAGGGGTCCAAAGTTGATCGAATGCAGATTGAACTTCAGTAGACTTGTCAAGATGATACCACTCGTGTGCATAGACTCCAGAATCTTCATGCGTGTCGGAGATTCTAGAATCGTTCGCTCGATGTATCCCACCAAGTCTTGGAACTTCTCTCCCGTCATTGATCTGATTTGGGCTCGTATAGCTCGCGAGGCAGAGGCAAGGCCATTCTCAGGATCAGCCATCACCGAAAACTGCTCTGATGCCTGTGACATATACACGGCATTGCCATAGAACTGCTCAGTGATTCCAAGATGAGATCTGCAGTCCAGGGGTTGTGCCACATGGATTTCAGCACCAGCATCAAGAATTCCTGCCCGATTTCGGGCAAGCATGATGCTGCGCCATATGAACCCAGATATAGCATCATTGGTTGAGAACCAATCTTCGGAACCAAGAGACGATGCAGAAACAATCTTCTTCAGCTCTGATTGGGCCTTGGTATCTATACGGAATGTGCGACAAGAGTTCTTCACATTGTGTATCAAGGAGTGCGCCAATGATGGTGACGAAGTCCAAGCTTCATGCTTTGAGATATCACCAGGAAGTCCCCTCCCAGAGACAACAGTGTTCCGATCAGAGTAGTACACAGTGTCCCTGACTTTGAGGGGATGTTTCGTCTCCCCTGACTGCGCCTTCCTGAACTCCTCGGCGAAGTCTCCAATTATCTCAGTCACCCCTCGACCATCGGCCGCATAGTGGATAATGGAGACGACGAGTAGAAGACCGCCTTCTACGAAGTTCGCTTGAAAACGGCAAACGTCGACGGAGCTGGCTCGGAAGTATCCAACCTCGGGAAGGGGACATAGCTGCTCCGTGTTCAGGAGTTCCTGAGAAAAGTTCGATTCGGCGAGCTTAGAAAAGCTCAGGTCTTTCGATAGGTCCTTGATGACAAGATGCGCAGCACCCTCAGGAATGATTTTGCGAATCCATGGTCGACCACCTTCATCTTGCGAGGTGGTAACCACAGTCCCAGCGAGGAAAGGGACGCGTTGAATGGTATTGTGGAATGCGATGTGAAGATAGTCCACAACATGTTGGCGGTCAACGTCGGAATTGAGTTGGAAGCATAGAATTCGCTTTGAATGGGTCGGAGGAAAGAGCTGATCGCAAAAAGAAAGCTTGACCTCAAAAGGAGGGCAACCAACAGCAAAAGTCCGACCCATATCGCCCAAAAAATCAGGTCGAACGATTTTTGAGATATGATGTGAATCTGAGAATTAAGGCTTGATTGAAGCAGCAATCCACATTCATTCGATCATATGCTATGCCACGCCTTTGGAGGGCGAAAGATTTTGAATTATATCAATTCTCTGCGGCGGTATCTTGTCTCGGACTGAGCGAACCTCTCCCACTCCACGTGGCCACCCTGCCTTCTTCCCACCCGCACCAGACTCCCGGGATTCTGGGCATTTCTCGTAAGCCACTTCCATCGAAGGGGGCCGTGAGCTTCCACGCGGCAAGGTTCTTTCAAGCTTAGATAGGCTGAGTGTGCCATGGTCTGTTGCTGTTCAGACATTCGCCGACCACCATGAAGCTTAGGCCGCTTCATCCTTGCACCTGAGGACAAATCCTTCAGCTGATGAGCTCCATTCTTAGACCGTTAACCCTCACAGATTTTGAGACCTTGAGCAGGCATCGATGGCAGGATCAAGCCACCGGAACTTACGGCCAGTCATCAACAACTTTGCCGTATAGTTCCCACATCATCTCTGCGGACCGAGTCCATCAGTAATCCACATCTCGGCTCGTTTAAGAGTAAAAGAAGGAACGCCGTGCAATAGTTCTTTGTGTTCGACGATGAGGACAGGATTTATTAGACCCACTCTTGGAAGAGATAGGAAGGCAGCCGAGTGTCTGAACCAATCGGTTAACTGTCCCGAGCGAAGCAATCAAGCTTTTGGCGGTCATGCAGGCCAGGGTCTAGCTGAAATGCAAGGCTAAAATACCATGCCACCATGATCAGATTATAGACGCACGCAGAGACCTGTCGGGGACTTAAGTATCATCGGGCGCTTTTTACACGATTGATGCATCCTTTACCCGCACCAAGCGAGGTATATCGGGGGCGCACATGCTCGCGCCATATTTCGCAATGAGCAATGAAGCCCATGTGGCGCATCCTTCTGCGGGCATCCTTCGGCAGGCATCCTTCTGCAGGGATGACAGGTGGGTAAGCATGAGTGGTAATCGGACATGAGGTTGAACTCTTGGCTGAAAAGTAACCTGGCTTATCTGTGAAAATTTGGCGAGCCAAATTGTGTAGGCGTAAGCGGACTAGATGGCGGACTATCGCTAACCCACAAAGAGCTTGCGTCCGATTTTCGCTTAGTTCTGTTCAACCTCACGGGAAAGATTTGGGGTCGGGGGCGGGCAGAGTTCGCGTAGCCATCTACCTGGCACTCTAGCTCTGGGCCTAAAAGATCGTATACACAGCGCAAATACCACACACTTAGCAACTTGACAATGTCTAATTAGCGCCCTTGCCGCGATGGCAAATTCCACATTCAGATGTGTTTGTGCCGAAGAGGCAGCCAGAGCCTGGGAACAACTCGAGAAAACGACCGAAATTGGGCTTGATGGAATTGTCGCAGCCAGTGCTCAAACGATACAGTTCACCGAGCAAGCAAAATCATGCGCCTCGCACGGTCCTTCGGTTGAGAATGACATCAAAGACACCATGTGGCGAATATACAAGAAGTTAGCTGAAATGTTGGAGATGATCGCAATCAACTATCTTGGTGCACCACCACCTGTCGAAACACTCAAGTTTTCCAGCATGCCCACGTCACGGGAGGCTGACTCCCCTACATCTCAGTTTTCGCCGGTCACGGAAAAACCGAAGTTCGCAACTAAAGTTACATACATACCATGCGAAATGGCCTTGGGGGAACATGAGCTGGACGAGAGACAGAGAAAGGCGTTGGCGCTAGACATGATCTATACGACATTGGAAAATCTGTGTTCTAGTTTTAAAGGAATGCAACAATCGGGAGTTGAACAGATCAGCCAGATAGATACGAAAGTCTTAATGCTGTTCTCTCAAATGTCGAGACTTTTGAATAGAGTCAGTACTGCCAGGCTAGCCTCTGCGTAAGGTGGGGTTGCTTGAGAGGAATAATTAGCCTTAAGCGATGAATATATTTTTTCAATCTTGATTTCGAACCACTATACTTTCTATCAAAAGAAATCAGGCCGTATTTGAAACTTTTGGAAGACTTTCATTCAAACGGAAATGCTTGAGCAGTCTTGAATAATGTCTCTAGAAATACAATGACTCAAATAGTTTTACCCATCCAAATATAATCCTACCATGCGCGAAAAAGATGGTACAAAAGAAACGCTATCTAGACTTTAGTTCTCTCCGCCGAAATCTATATGACCCATTAGGCCCTATCCAGGAAATCTGTCTGCATGCCGATGTCGCAAATCTAAGCTATAAGTATTTGAAAAGCTGATGGAGGCCCTATAGCTTTAAGGGTACTTCGTATCTCAGAATTCTCAACATATTCAAGGTGGCTGTAAGAGAGAGTAAAGGGAGTCCCTGCCAGCTAATGCTGTAACACAAGCTAAGGGGAGGCTGCCTTCGCTGCTGCCTTGGCTTCATTTCTCTTCTTGACGTCTGCTTGGCGCACGCTTTTCCATTCTGCCCCCAGTGAGATGATAAATGCTATACCAGAGAGTGCGATACTCCAAATCCAAGCCGCTCTAAGACCATTCATATACGCGCCAACCACAGTGGAAAGATCATCCGGGTCTGGGAAAGCTTGACGAAGCGAACCTGCACCAGCAGTAAGCACCGTAGCTGGTGTTACTCTTGGATTATCGTTGGGCAGCGAGGTGACTATAACATTGTTCATGATGTTTATTGCCGCAGAGACACCGATGGTACCGCCGAGAAATTGGAAAACTGCGGATCGAAGCAGTTAGCATAATTCATGAAGGATTTAGGAGTTTATCTTTCTTACAAAGTACAATTGCAACGGTTACAGCTATGTCCACTCGCGGGGATATAGCCTGCGCCACAAGAACATTCAACTGGATCACCAGACCAGAGCCAATGGCAGCCAGAACCTGGTAACCGATGTATTCTCCTGCCGTGGATTCGGGCACAAGCGTGTAGATCATGCCGGAGCCAACAGTGACAAAGATGGCTCCGACCATGAGATAAACCTTATAGTAACCCATCTTTCCAACTAGTATGGATGAAGCAAAACTGATGATGGCTGATTTGCAGAATCTGTTAGCCGGCTCGATCTTCCGATACTGGAAAGTTGGGTGACTTACAAGTCGTGAGCACTGTAGGTAATGTACGAACACCAGACTCGGATGGCGATACTCCTTGCCCAGCCTGGAAATATATAGGGAGGTTGTATGTCCGCGCAAAGCCACCACCTTGGGCGGTCAGGTTAAAAAGGGCAAGTACAAGGATAGTTCGGCGCTTCAAAATGCGAGGAACAAGCATTGCTTTCTCCCCTTGTTTCCATTCCCACGCTGCAAAGATCATGGCTATCAAAATAGAGCCAATGATCAGCCCAATGGAGAATCCACTATTCCACGGTCGCGTGAGACCTCCTTCCTCTAAAACCAACAGGAGACACACAACAGAGGGGACCAAGATGACCATTCCCGGGATGTCAAAGAGAGATGGGATTTCTTTCCCAGTTGCATGAGCGACACGGGAATGAGCCGGCGTCTTGAACAGAAGCAGAAGAACGAGGAAGGCGGCCCCGCCGATAGGAAGATTAATCCAGAAACACCATCTCCACGTCAAGTATTGCGTAAACAGCCCGCCAAGTACAGGACCCAGGACCGACGACAAACTCCACACTGTGGACGAGAGACCAAAGATGGCGTGTAGACGTTTAGGTGGAGTGATGAAAGCTAGAATCGTGAAGCATCCGCTCGTGATACCAGCGCCACCCACCCCCTGGATCGCTCGCCCGACGATGAGCGCCGCGCTGGTGGGTGATAATGCGGCTATCAAACTTCCGAGCTCGAATATGCCAATACACGTCAAGAAGGCAATCTTGAGCGAGAAATACTTGTACGCCCTCCCCCAAAATGCCTGGAATGTCGCCAGACACAAAAAGAACGCAGAGCCATACCATCCAATCTGGTCAACACTGTGGAACTCGCTCGATATAGTGGGGATGGCAGTCGTGATAATACTCTGCGCCGGGTAGCATGTCAATTTCGGTTTACGTAGAGTGGGAAGAACGTGGAGAGGTGGGACGGACCATATCAAGAGCGACAAGAAACTGAGCCAGAAGCAGGGAAATCGTGAATAAACTTCCCATCAATGGACCGGGATATGAAACTGCCGGAGGGCCAGTAGCCTGTGACACTGCCTTGGGCGATGGTGATTGCGATTTTTCTTCTGTACCTTCGTTCGAAGCATCCCCAACCACGCCGTTGGCCTTCTCGGGTTGGGAAAACCCTTCATGGCCAGACGTGTTTGCGTCTGACGGTGGAGGTGAAGATTTGCCTGTCATGATGCAGCCAGTCTTGACGATGATGCAGCTGTTGGACGGTATAGCAACAACTTACAAAGTAACAAACTCTGAGAACTTGTAAGTCAGACGTCTTGGCTCTGGATTAGCCAAAAAGCCACCACGGTATAGGTGTTGTTCAACTGCAGCTCACATCTCGGAAAACCTGGGGCGGCACTGGAGGCTCTGATGTAAAAAGGACCCGAGATGGATGGGCTCGGGTCCTTTCTCGGATCCTGATTGGTTGACTCGTAGTCTTCAGCTTCGCGTATTCTTATGGGTTAGACCCCACCACCACCACGACGCGGCCGGCTCCTTTGCGGCCGCGGGCACTAAGAGACGTGCCCCTGTAGATAGTTATTCCCTATCTGTCTCACTTGGAAAATCAGCTCATCATAAGCCCACATGGTATCTAAGTAGCTGCATGGTACTTTTAACCTATTCAGGGACGTGCCGCTGGCGAGCGGCCCGCAGTAATCCGTCGCCGCCCCCGCGGTTTAGATCTACCCACTACCTTAACCTACTGTGTACCGGTACGCTGCTTGGTATATACTAGATCCTGCAGGGCCAAGATTCTAAGTCAAGGATGTGTTAGTAAGCCCGCCAAGCTTCCTGACACCTTCGATCAAGCTTTACCAAGCTTTTTCCAAGCCCTTCCAAGAGATCCGGCCAAGGCGGCGCAGACAACGTGGAGAGACAAGGGTAAAGAGATGGTTGTGGCAGTCCATCCCCAGCCATGATCGGACTCTAACCTCAATTATCTTACATACGCCAAGCGAGAGACGCGTTTTTGTCATCCGCAAAGATAGTCGTGTTTTTCGCCCGCCATTGACACCACAGGAAGGGATCTTCGCCCTGTACCACGTACGACCTCACGTCAGACAAGATAAGATACAAAAGTCCAGGCCAGTCGGTAAGCAGGCTGCTCATTGACCTCGCAACCGCCACCCTGGAGGAAGGAATTAACGTGGCTAACTCCCTTAACCTCCCAAACTGCTGCTGCGCGCTCGCGGCCCAGTAGGTGTTCGGGAAGCGCGCCACAAGGTTGCATTGCAGCTGCCCACCTTAGTCCGAACTTTGAGTAGCCTACACCTGAGAGCGTAGGCTGCCAGAGATCCTTTGCGCGGAGTCAAAGAATCATGACGGGGGCGCTCGTGAAGGATCAGTAGAACATCTTTGTATCGTATCAGAGTCTTTATGAGCCGACAAGGCGATTCAGTCCTTGGGTTCTCATCTGTTCTCACTAAGTGCACCGAAGTAGGAGCACCCAGGTCATGTTGCGCAGAATATTCGCCTTCAGGACAAGCCAAGTGCGAGTAGTAGCACGACCAGCATCCTTTTCTCGCTCGCCTTAATTGAACATGTCCCAGATCAGACTTCACTCATCATGCGATGCCTGCCTCAACACCAAGGTCAAATGCAGCCAGTCCAAGCCAATCTGCGCAAGATGCGACCAGCACGGACGCAAATGCATCTACAGCCAATTTCGCAAGATAGGAAGACCTTCTAGCAAGACCATCAACAACTCACCTTCTCAAACACCGAGCCGCAAGTCCAAGGGCCACACAGAAGCAAGGCAGAAGCAACTAGGCCCAGGGGTGCACCGCTTGCTGCAGCCCACCGTCCGCTCAGCTGTGCACGAGACTTCTGATAGCCTGCGATGTGATCAAGATGACCAAGACGGCCACAGCTCGGGGACTGTTGAGGTCTCATCAAGAACTCATCAAGGCAGCTCAGATTTCGAAACACTCCGCGTGAACAAGTCGCCTTGGCTAACAGACGACGTTATTGGGCAAAGTCTCCAGTCTGCGCTGCAGTCGGATGTGACGGCCAACTTCAGTGACGACGTGGAGTGCGATACAGATGGGGTGCACATTGATTGGTCTGCCATTGAAAGTCTGTTGGACAACAACGCGCCGGCACTACCATTCGCTCCAAGCCCGGTGCAGAATTTCGCGTCTTCAGTATCCTTGGCGCCTGGCAACGCACAATTCTACCTGGAAGACACAATCGTCGCATCAGTGGTTTCGTCAGCTGGCGAAAGTCGACAGTCGCCCACCACGGGCGCGCGTCCCGTGATACCCCATCAGCTGCCTCTTACTGCTATAGACGGACTTGCACTCCCTGGAAATGAGTACTTCTTCAAGCCAGGATCATTTCCTACCACAAATTTTGAATTTGATGGTTCGCGCACCACACCCGGACAATCCAGTACCGCTTCCCTCTCTCCAAGGACACCTTCGGTCCACACCATCCAACCAAACCTCTACTCAATCTCAAGCTCACGCTGTTCTGTTCAATGTCACCGCGCTTTGACGAGCCAACTCACGGAGATTAGTGAGAAACAAGTGCAAGAGTCAAATGTCCCCCTTGACATACTTTTGAGACTGGATTATCACATCCGCCAGACACGAGAAAGAGCCCTGAGCTGCAGTGCTTGCCTTGCAGGCTCTCGACATGACAAGACCCTCATGTTCATCACCATGGTTTTATCAAACCTCTTGTCTCTCTTCGAGCAGAGCTGCAGTGCTTTTCACGGCGACCCGCAAAGGGGTGTGAATGGACGCGCAGGGAGCTTATGTGGCGAGGCGAACCATGCTACCGTCGCGAACAACCATCAAGTCTCGCCAAGCCCGTTGCCATATACGACAAGACCTTTGATTGTTGGAAGCACACGGTTGGCAGAGAGTTTCAAGCTGTCCTTTTCGCGACAATTAGTGATCATGTACGTAAATCAGCAACTAGAGGCTGTAACTCAGTTGGGAAAGATGCTATACAAGGTGGAAAGTGATAATGTGAGTTTCAAAATCACTAAAGAATTACTCATAGATGTGTCGGCTAGATTAGAGCGGTTAGCTGGATTCACTGCAATGGTAACGACCCCAGGCAGTAGTGCCATCCACAGCATATTGGCGTGAGGTATGCCAAAAGAAAATCACACTTTGTCATATTTATAGATGTGGGTATCAATGTAATCTTTGAAAAGCGGGGGTTCTTGGATTACTCGTTGTGGAATAAACCCCGCGACTTGCTCTTATGTCAACTTTTCAAACTGATCCTTACATTTGAGGATAATCAACAACGATGAGGACAGTTAAAATACTTAAAACATTCTCAAAATTGAGACCCACCCGGAATGCCCTTTATGCTACGACGGTGCGGTAGCTACCCGTCATACGGATTGCCGCATGTTCTTCGACAGTAGGGATATGACGGCCGGCTTCATCGACGTCATCGTGACCATCCAGTCTTTTCAGTTTATAGTCCAGTTTGCCGTCGAAAAAGAACACTACACTATACCTATCTTCCTCCCCTTGATTTCTGACACGGTGCACACTGCTCTTATAGTCTCCTGCTGTGAGCATGGACATCATATCGGCTATGTTGACGATGTAAACATCCTCCTGAGGCGGTACCCCGACCCAGGCACCCGTCTCTTCATCAAGAACCTCCAAGCCGGGATGATCGTCCTGGAGCAAGAGGGTGATAATGCCGAAGTCTGTATGCTCTCCACTTCCAAGCTGGTTCTTGCCTGCCTTCCCGTTTGTCGGTGGATCCGGTGGGTAGTGTAGCAGGCGGACCAGGCACATCGGATCGTCAGATAAAAGCTCATCAAACACATGAGGCCCATAAGGCAATGTCGCTGCAATGAGGTCTAGGACCACACGGGACAAGCGCAGCATCTCTCGGCGGTAGTCTTCGATGACAGCACCGAATTGTTCATGCGCGATGAGCTCTGGTGCGGGCCAGACATTGGGGCCCTGGAGGAAGCGACCGCTCTTCACGCGGGGATGGTCAAGCGGAAAGTCTGTGGATGCGAAGAAACCCTCTTTCATGTCGCGCACGACGTCCAGCCCGGCATCGGCACCCGGCTCGTAAGACTGCGACTCCATGACATCGTAGCCACGGAACCCTACATTCTTTCGCGCATCGAGTTTTATCTTTTCTCCGAGGGGGAGCGCGAAGAAATTCCTGGACGCTTCGAAAAGGGCCCTGCGGAGCTGGGCTGGGACCCCGTGGCCCCTGATCTGGAAGAACCCAGTAGATTTGCAGGCCGCTGTCACGTCCTTGACTACCTTTTGAGCTGCAGGAGACTGACTATCTTCTAAAAATGGCGAGATGTCGACAAGTGGGAGATAGAACGAGGACGTGCTAGTGGCGGAAGGCATTGTGCAAATAGGTTTCAGGCGTCCTGGCTATAAAGCGCTGGCTGCACAAACTGGCTCGAGTCATAGAGTGCGACTTTGTATATCACATAATCGCGAATGTAAGAACATTGGGCCTATTCTGGTATATAAAACCAAATTTGCCTTATGATAAACCGTTCAAGATCCCGTCATACTAGCTACCTGACGGCTCGGCGAGACGTCATGATCTGAAAGGATCTAGTAGTGGAATCATTTTCTCGCGCAGCCTGGTTGGGGCTGTAAAATAACCACCCGAGATATTGTAAAATCATGCGATTCGTGAGGAGGTAATGTTCAAATTCGGCTGGTTTCGCGGGGGACAAAAGTGATTGGCGCAGGCCGTGCAGGACTCTACGAGTGGGGTTACTTCTGGCACGGAACGCGTCGTATGAGGCGCCCGCTGACTGCGTACGCAGTCAGCGGCACGATCCGATGTCACACGGACTCGATAATCATGCCCAAAGTTGAATGTTGCCAGCGAACTTCTCATGCTCTGTGATTAACTATGAATCTCTATCTAATGCAGTTTCACGCTGCCACCGTCGAGAACATCCTACCATGAAACCACCGGCGGTCGACGACCCAACTCTCCATTTGCCTCGAATCCTGTGCCTTCATGGAGGTGGTACCAACGCCCGAATATTTCGAGCTCAATGTCGAAAGCTCATTCCCCAGCTAGAATCTGACTACCGCTTGGTCTTTGCCCAAGCCCCGTTTCCCAGCCAAGCAGGGTCGGATGTCCTTTCTGTCTACAGTGAATGGGGGCCTTTTCGACGCTGGCTCCGCTGGCGACCCGACCATCCGTTGATCGAGCCCGAAGTCATCATGAGAGAGATTGACAGTGCTTTAGAGGATTGCATGCACCAAGATGACAAGTGCGGAGCCACAGGAGAATGGATTGCGCTTCTTGGCTTCAGCCAAGGCGCCAAAGTTTCTGCGAGCCTCCTGTACAGACAACAAGTCCGTGAAGGAGTTCTGGGCAGACAAATGGCAGGAGTGCGCTTCCGATTTGGCATTCTCATCGCCGGGCGGGCACCTCTCATCGCCCTCGACCCTGACAGAACATTGTGCCCTTCCCTGCCTGACGCGACGCAAATAACGGACCTTATTGAAGATGCCGAGGCGCAGGCGTACCATAATGATGGTCATATCCTGCGAATACCCACTTTGCACGTTCATGGGCGCCTTGATAAGGGATTGCACCAACACAGGAGGCTCTTCGAAGAGTTCTGCCACCCTGCTAGCAGACGCTTGGTTGAATGGGATGGCGACCATCGCTTGCCACTGAAATTCAACGATGTATCGCTTGTAGTCAGCCAAATTCGTGAGATAGCGAAGCAAGACATTTTCAACTTAAACACAATATAACGAATATGGAAGTCCTATCACTTTGCCTTGGTCCAATTATGAACCATTACTTCCATACCTTGTGCTTCGTTGCCGTTAGGCTGTAGTTTCACCCAAAATCTTCAGTCCAAACGGAGAAAATGGAAAGGATCGCCATTTCCACATCATAATGTCAATTTCATCAACCCATCCATCTATTCCGATGCAACATCCAGCGAGGCGCTCAGATGCACAACGCCAAGCTTGTTTGGCTACTCCTCCATTTCGATTACTGCTCAGGAATATGCGGGCAGCATCTACCACGTACTGAGGTCGGTTAATTTACCATAACCAAGACTCCGCCCTCCGGCCTTTTCCGATTATCTGTTTTATTACCCGACACGAGCCATTCAACATGTCACGCCCGTGGACAGACCCTTTTCACGGTTAAGATACCGAAACTCGCCCTGAGCTTATCTCGCCACATATCGGACTCATTCCCCACACCGCTTTTCCAATCCGAGGCACTGTTAATCAAGGGCTTACACGAGGGAGAAAGTCCCCGGACATGGTCACTGCGGGATATGACGCGATGCAACCCATTGACCAATCACCACCATACAATTGGCTGTAAGGAAACCGGTGACCAATCATTGAACGGGATCGCGTTAGTGACTGCATGGCTCTTGCTGGCAAACCATCCAGTTCTTTCCTCTTCTCCTGTTTGAGAATGGAGCAGCGAGCTCGATGGAGCGGCCTCGAGCCATTCAGGATCCACTCGCAATAGTTGTGATTATACTCCGGATGTCTTGGCTATTTGGACGGCATCAGTAGTATCTCTTGAAATACCGCTGTGTTTCGATTCTCTTGATTATTCATGGTTTTAGTATCGTACCCAAAGTTTACTCGATGCTATTACATGCTTTTAAGTCTATGACATTCAACGCCTAGCTTCTTCTAATACCCACGCCAACCTCAACGTTGTCATAATGGGTGTTGCGCATCGTGAATCCCAACACGGCTCTAGAGTCTTTCTATTTGGGTCAGAAACTTCGTTACTCGCCAGCGGCTTGCCCCAGAAGCTGTGCAACCAACTCCACGAGGCATCCAGCTATGAATGGATTCTGGAGGCTGTAGATGGTCTCCCCACACTGTGGGCCGCTGCTGTCAAGGTTGTGCCTGAATTGCAACAGTCCAACGTCGAAGGGCACCTAGAGGCTCTACGTACAAGTCTGAAAACCGGAGTCTTTTCCGGAGCTCTGTTCCCGGCCCCCAATGTGATACTGATCCCACTATCAATCATTGTCCACCTGACACAATACTCTGAATACTTGAGAGCGACCCTGCCCGGCTTGGCTGATACAGATCAGTTGCCTTCTTCTTTCACAGACGAATCGGAGACTCTGGGGTTAAGTACCGGTTTACTGAGCGCTATCGCTGTCTCCTGTTCGAGAAGCTTGGCTGAGCTTCACCAGCATGGAGCCGTGGCCGTAGGACTTGGGATGCTTATTGGAGCACTGGTTGACGCCCAAGAGCTTTCAGCTGGCCAAGACGGAGGATCAATGACACTTTCAGTCGACTTGAGTAGTCAGGAGCCTGTTTTGGGGTTGAACAATGTGCTCGAACAATTTCCAGAGGTTTGTCGAATTTCCCCATCAAAAGTCCCGTGCAGTCTGCTAATACTTATGGAGACATACAATTCCATTATCCTGAGCGATGATGAGTCACTATTGGTGACTCCAAAACACACTGGTCAAGTCCTCATCGAACAGCTCAAGGCAGCTGGTATTCGAGTTCGCAAAACGACGCAATCTGGGAGGCTTCATTGGCCAGGGAATCATGAGGTTGCCAGAGCTGTTGTTGAAATATGCGATCGAAATCCTAAGCTACAGTTCATTGGTCCAAAAGAGATGGCCATGCCCGTTAGACTGGACTCTGGGGGCCATTATATCTCTAATGGCACTCTCCATGATATTGCAGTCCAGCATATCTTGCTCAAAAAGTCTGAATGGCCGAAGACATTTGGCCTTCTTGATTTATCCCTCCAGGCGGAGATCAACACCTCGATTATCCACTTTGGAAAAGACCATTGCATCCCATATGCCTTGGCGAAAAAGTTGGGGTCTCGGTTGATTCAAATCACAGATGTTGACTTGTCGGCTCCCAAAATTCAGAAGGCGCCAAGTGATGGCTCTGAACCGATCCTGCATAATTTACCTGATGATCGCATCGCAGTTATTGGAATGGCATGCCACGTTCCGGGGGCTGAGGATCTCCAAGAATATTGGGATATAATCTCACGCGGTTTATCGCAACACCGTGAAGTCCCGTCTGACCGCTTCAACATGCAGACTCCCTTCAGAGAGTCCGACCCTAATCGCAAATGGTATGGAAACTTTCTGCAAAACTATGACGCGTTCGACCATAAGTTTTTCAAGAAGAGCCCACGAGAAATGGCCTCCACGGATCCCCAACACCGGTTAATCTTGAAACTGGCGTACCAAGCTGTCGAACAGTCAGGATATTTTGGGGTTCCTGATTTTGATAAACACATCGGATGTTACGTTGGTGTCGGGAACAACGACTATGACAGGAACATTTCCTGCTATCCGGCGAACGCCTATACTGCTACGGGCAACCTGAAAAGCTTCATTGCTGGCAAAGTCAGCCACTACTTTGGTTGGACCGGCCCCAGTTTGACCGTGGACTCTGCTTGTTCATCCTCGGGTGTGGCAGTCCATCAGGCTTGCCGCGCCATTCTCAATGGTGAGTGCACAAGTGCACTTGCAGGTGGGGTGAATGTCTTCACCAACCCGGAATGGTTTCATAACCTGGCCGGCGCCTACTTCTTGAGCCCTACTGGCCAGTGCAAACCTTTCGATGCTTCCAGCGATGGATACTGCAGAGGAGAAGGTGCCGGGGTGGTCTTCCTCAAGAAACTCTCCTCGGCTGTCTCCGACGGTGACCAGATTCTTGGTGTGATAGCCAGCACCGGAGCATACCAAAATCAAAATTGCACCACCATCACAGCACCGAGCGCTACATCACTGGCAGAGTTGTTCAAAGATGTTGTTCGCCAAGCTAAGCTCGAGCCAAGCGCCATATCCGTCGTCGAAGCGCACGGAACAGGGACTCCGGTTGGTGACCCAGCTGAATACGATGGGGTTAGGAGAGTTCTGGGTGGTTCGATTCGCTCCGACACACTCTCTTTGACAGCTGTGAAAGGCATATTGGGACATACGGAGTTTGCTTCCGGCATATTGTCTCTGTTGAAAGTGCTTCTCATGGTGAATGAAGGTTACGTTCCACCTCAGCCTGGCTTCAACACCATCAACCCGCTGCTCAACGCGCGAGCTGAGGATCTGATAGAAATACCAAAGGCTCTCAAAACATGGGATGTTAGCTTCCGTGCCGCTCTGGTGAACAACTACGGTGCTTCTGGCTCCAACGTTTCTATGGTAGTCACAGAAGCACCAAATTGGCCTCGTCGGATATCGCCCAAAAGCTCTGTCCAAATTACCAGCGCTGGCAATAGCTTCCCATTCTGGCTTTCCGGATCAGATACGCAGAGCCTTCGGTCATACAGTACGAAGCTCAGATACTTCCTACAGAAGAATGCCAACTCACCGAAGCTTTTGAGCTTGGCCAATTTGTCTTTCCAGCTCTCACGGCAATCGAATCGCTCCCTTCCACAGGCTTTAGTATTCAAAGCCACATCTGTGGCCGACTTGGAACAGAAACTCATATCATTCGAGAATGGAGACAATAGCATCGCAGCAAATCCGCGCCCCTCTGCGCGACCAGTGATTTTGTGCTTTGGTGGTCAAATCTCATCATTTATCGGCCTTGGCCAAGAGCTTTACCATCGTGTAGGCGTCTTGAGAAGTCATCTGGACCACTGCGACGCAATGTGCCAGTCACTTGGTTTCGGAAGTATATACCCATGGATCTTCCAAAAGTCTGCCATCGATGACATTACCAAGCTTCAAACTGCCCTATTCGCAACGCAGTACTCATGTGCAATGGCATGGATTGATTCTGGGGTTGAGGTCGCCGCCGTGGTTGGTCACAGTTTCGGTGAATTGACGGCCTTATGCATTGCTGGAGTGTACTCTCTAAAAGATGCCCTCGGAGTGATTGCTGGGCGTGCGACACTCATTCGGGATGGCTGGGGCCCCGACAAAGGGGCCATGCTAGCCGTAGAGTCCGATCTTGCTGATGTGGAAGCTTTGATCTCCAAGGCAAATGTGAATTTCCAAGAGACTGGAAGTGTTTCTATTGCATGCTATAATGGTCCCAGGTCCTTTACTCTTGCTGGTACCACGGACATTGTCAACTTCACCGAAGACCTTGCGAAAAGTGACCCAGCCTTCTCTGGATTCAGAATGAAAAGGCTCAATGTCACACATGCCTTTCACTCAGCCGCAGTCGATCCATTGATGGGTGATCTTAAGACCATAGGCCGAGGCATCACTTTCCGACAACCAACAATCGCAGTCGAGCGATCGACTGAGACTGGAGCTTTTGCAAAATTCGACTCCGAATTCCTAGCTCGACACATGAGGGATCCGGTTTACTTTGACCACGCTGTCCACAGGTTGGCCAAGGAACGCCCAAGCGCCATTTGGCTCGAGGCTGGGTCAAACTCTACGATCACGACAATGGCGAGTCGTGCGCTGGGGAAGGCTGCTTCTTCGCATCATTTCCAATCTATCAACATCACTTCTGAAGGATCACTTTCGTTGCTTGCTGACGCTACAGCCAGTCTTTGGAAAGCCGGCTTGAACGTGACTTTCTGGGCACATCACTCCAAGCAAGTCTCTGACTACACACCACTTCTACTACCCCCATATCAGTTCGAGCAATCTAGGCACTGGCTAGATCTGAAAGAAGTTCCTCAGCTTGAGGTTCCCGTTACTGAGCTGGTGATGCCAGATGAAACTCCCAAAACCCTCACAGTCTTCCTCGGTAACCAGGATCAGTCGTCTTCGTCTGCTCGATTCCGAGTCAACACAGCGCATGAGAAGTTTGAGATCCCGACCAAGGCGTATAACCTGGCCGATCTTGGCGCAGTAACCCCAGGGTCATCCCAATTAGAATTTGTTCTGGACGCTTTGAGCAATTTAAGACCAGACTACAAAGACATCGGCCTCCAACCTGAAATCCGCGGGATACTTTACCACAATATCCTGGTTCACGACGCATCTCTGATCCTATATATCGATATTACTGCCAAGGATCATGAGGGCCTAACTTGGGACTGGGTACTTCATGGGACAGGCACTTCAGGCGCTACTACAGATTACAGCTCGGGCACGGTCATGTTCCGACTTGCCAACGATCATCAGTTGCAAGATCACTATGCTAGTCTTACGCGGCTTAGTGGCAGAAAACAATGTTTGCGTCTTTTGCAGGGTAATGATGCAGACGATGTTCTGCAGGGCCCGAACATCTACCGAGCTTTCAAGCAAGTCATCAACTATCAAGACCCACTGCGACTCGTCACCAAGATTTCTGGAAAAGACAACGAAACCGCGGGCCGAGTCACTGCAGTTCAAAATGAGGGACCATGGATCAATTCGATTCTCACGGAGTCTTTGTTTCAAGTCCCCAGCATATCCATCAACCTCATGGGTCACACCTCCGAACCATCCGAGACCGGCATATTCATCTGCGACAAGATCTCCCAATGGTTGCGTAGTCCAACCAGTAGTGAGACAAGACCGCTACCAGAGGTATGGGAAGTGTTTGCTGTGCAGCACCAACAGTCTGAATCGAGATATGTCAGCGATATATTCGCGTTCAATCCTCGTGATGGATCATTAGTCGAGGTGCTGCTGGGTGCTTCCTTCCAAAGGATGTCCTTCCCAACAATCCGCAGTATCTTGACCGGGGATGTACAATCAGGCGTTCAATCATCCTTCGCAGGCGTTACACCAGACTCGACCCATATCTCCGCTATTCCGTCGCCCAAGATTGTACCCTTACCCATCATTACCCCCTCTGCAGCACCCCAAGAGAGGAAAATTGCACCCAGAGTTTCAAAGCCACCCGGGCCAGACGTCACCACAAAGACACGTGAGATGGTATGCAATCTCTCAGGGCTGGAACCCGAAGAAATCAAAGATGACTCTGACCTCGTTGAACTCGGCATTGATTCTCTGATGGCTATGGAGCTTGTGCGAGAGGTCGAGGCTGCTTTCAAGTGCACCCTTGAAAATGACCAGCTCATGGAGCTGACGGACTTCAATAGTCTGGTGTTATGCATTCGGTCTACCCTCGGCCTAGCTGCAGAGGAGGGGCCGGAAGAGCGGATTGAAGTTGTTGCCAAAACTAGCGGAACGGCTCCTGGCATATCTAGCGTACCTGGCGCCAGTATCACCCCAAACTCGACGAAATTAGATCGGCCAAATGGGGCTGAGGAGAAAATGAACGCTAACGGTAACGGAAGCGCCTGGGACCCAACAACTATACGTAGTGTTTTTGAAGAGATCAAGTGGGCAACCGACGATTCAATCATCGAAGGGCAACTGAACAACTATAGCAACGATGTCATCCCTCGATCCACAGAAATCTGTGTCGCTTACATTGTCGACGGATTTGAGAAGCTTGGCTGCTCGATCCGATCAGCCTCCCCAGGACAACAACTTGAGCGTGTTCAGTACTTGCCAAAGCACGAACGCTATATGAAATTGATGTATGATCTACTTGAGCGCGATGCTCGGTTGATTGACATCGATGGCTCCACTATCACGCGCACATCCGTTCCAGCACCACCGAGGTCTGTGGAAACGTTGGTTCAGGAGTTGCTGCAAGCCGAACCGGTTCACGCAGCTGAGCACCAGCTAACAGCAATCGTCGGGCCAAAGTTCGCAGATCTCATCACGGGAAAGGAGGATGGTGTCCAGGTGATATTTGGCTTGCCTGAAAGCAAGCAGATTGCCTCTGATATGTACTCCAAATCCCCGGTGAACACGGCATGGATCAAACAGATTGGCGGCTTCATCCAACAACTCCTTGAAAACCGCCCGAAGAACGGCGAACCAATCAGGATCTTTGAGATTGGCGCAGGTACCGGAGGCACGACTTCCAGAATGGTGCCTATACTGCATGCCTTGGGAGTTCCGGTCATATACACCATGACAGACATATCTGGATCCATGATCGCAACCGCTCGTAGAAGGTTCAAGCAATATCCCTTCATGGAGTTCAAGGTCCACGACATCGAGTCTGAGCCCGATCCCAAACTTTTGCAAAGCCAGCATATTATCTTGGCCACGAACTGCGTGCATGCGACGCGGAACCTTTCCATCTCATTACGGAACCTCCACCGCATATTGAGACCTGACGGGTTCCTCATGCTGCTCGAGATGACAGAACAGGTTCCATGGGTTGACTTCAGCTTTGGACTGCTGGAAGGCTGGTGGCTCTTCGAAGATGGGCGAGATTACGTGCTCCAGCCTGCTACGTATTGGGAGAAGATACTACAGTCAGTGGGCTATGGTCATATTGACTGGACAGACGGGGAGCTGCCGGAAGCTAAGCTTCAGCGTCTGATAATCGCTTACGCTTCTGGACCCAGGTACGATCATGCGCCAAAGCCTCTCTCTCCACCCGTTGCTTCTCAGATGGAACTTCCTGACACAACTGAACGGCAGGCGGTAATGGATACATATGTCCACAAATACACGAAGGATTTCGAACCAGAGGAGTGCAGTACAATGTCTGGGAGCTCACCAACCCCCAAAAAGTGTGTCATAGTTACTGGCGCGACTGGCAGCCTTGGGGGTCACATTGTCTCCTATCTAGCCCAATGCCCGGAGATTCACCAGGTGGTCTGCCTGAACCGATTAAGTAGCTCCGAAGCAACTTTGCGACAGAAACAGGCACTCGAAATGAGAGGGATTAACCTTGATGCGTCGTCAATGGCCAAGCTCAAGGTGATTGAGACCGACACAAGCAAGCCGTTGCTAGGCCTTTCTCAGGCGACGTACCGCTCTCTAGTGGACACTGCCACGCATATTGTACACAGCGCTTGGCCGATGAGCTTGACACGCCCAATCCGTACCTACGAGATCCAGTTCAAGATTGTGCGGAACCTGATCAATCTTGCCAGCGAAGTTACGGCTCATCGCCCTACCCCATTCAAATTTGGGTTTCAATTCATCTCGTCCAGTGCCGTGGTTGCCAACTACCCACAATGGACTGGAAAGCCGCTGGTTCCAGAGGAGACCATGACGATAGAGTCCATTCCCGCAGGTGGTTATGCCGAAGCCAAGGCCGTTTCGGAGCAAATCCTAGCCAAAACGCTATACCAATATCCAGATCGCTTCCATGTAAGCGCAGTACGTATCGCGCAGATCTCGGGGTCGAATAGCAACGGATACTGGAACCCAACGGAATATATGCCTTTCTTGATCAGGTCTTCTCAGGTACTCAAGATCCTGCCGGACCTGAATGGCACTCTTTCCTGGTATCCTGTTGATGCCGTGGCTGCAACTCTTGGTGACCTCCTATTATCAAACAAGACAGAGGACCTCATCTACCATATCGACAATCCTTCAAGGCAAAACTGGCGAGATATGATGTCGACTATAGCTCACGGGCTAGGGCTCGGAACAGGGCCAGACACCCTCGTGCCCTTTAGAGAGTGGGTAGATCGAGTACGTCAGTTCAAGGGGACGACAGCTCAGAACCCGGCGCTGCAATTGATTGACTTTTTCGATCACTATTTTCTTCCAATGTCTTGTGGCGGGTTGGTATTGGATACGACCAAGTCGAGCAGGCATTCGAAGACGCTCACGGCACAGGGCCCGGTCAGCGAAGATCTGATCTTGAAGTACATCGATTGCTGGAAGCAGTCCGGGTTTCTAGACTAAACAAAATGCAAGGATGGGATTTGCGACAAGTAGCAGAACACAAATGGATGTTATAATAAAACGGCGGCCTGCTCCCTATGGATACAATATAACCGTTCTTAGAGGTAATCCACAACCGCAACGAACGGTCACGCCTGGCCTTGTTCTGATGTCTTGATCTGACAGTTTCTTGAGTGCTTAGTTGATGACATTGTGACTGAAAATCTCTTTCAACATCATCACCCATCAGCCCAACCCAGGTTTTAACTCATTTGAATGTTTTTGACATCTGTGATTGATGGTCCGTCGTCGTTTAAATCCTACGTAATACCCGGACTTGGGAAACAACACTATACCCACGTAGCCTTAATGATATCAGCAGCCTTTTCAGCAATGGCATACGTTGTTCCCATTGTGTGAGCGGAAACCAAGATGGGCATGATGGACGCATCCACGACGCGTAGATTCTCCACACCATACACCTTCAGACTTGGATCCACCACACCGCCCATGGCCCGTGGTAACATGGCCGACGTGCCTACCGGATGCCACGCCGTCGTCAGCACGGCTCGAACATATAATTCCAGCGCGGCCCTTCCCTGCACCAGTGGACCTGGAGTAACGTCTACTAAACCGATCTGCTGCATCTGCGGCGTGGCGATTAGCTTGCGGTAGAAGATCTGCGCATCCACTAGCCGGTCCATGTCGGCTGGGTGAGTGGCGTAGCGAGGGTCCACGGCCGGGTTCACGAAAGGGTCCTTCGTGATGGGCCGCACAGTACCCCGTGACAAAGGAGACATGAGCACGTTGACGACCTCAAACCCGCCGCCGAACCAGATCAGTTCCTCGCCTGCCGTGGTGCCGTTGATGGTCATGCCACGGATTGCGTCCACTTGCGCGGCGTATCCGGCGGCCACCTTGGGGTGCGTGTCGGAGGGAAGGTAGGTGAGCGACGTAGCCGTGTCCATGCTGGCTAGTACCTGCGCAGCGACTTCCTCGCTGGAGGAGACGTTGTTGTCTAGCAGAATAATGGGGTTAGCTTTCAGGCTTAAGAGTGCTCAAGATGACTTACAAGGTAGGAACGCCAGACAGTCCCCTGCTTCGGTCCAGCGACCTGTTCGGTTGCTGTAGTAAAGATCGCCTTGTTCGCTGTCGAGGACTGGGTTGAGCCACTCCTCGGGCTCATTTGGTATGCCATGCCCAACTGAGGCATACAGATATCAGCAGCGGAAACACTACAACGGACGGATTTAGATTAGGTTCGAGGACATACCCGCGCCAACATTGAATGCTCCAGGATGGTCCTGGAGATTGGCACCCACTCCCGGCAAGTCGACGACAACGTCAATACCGAGACTCTTGAGCACCGTTGCATCACCGATGCCGCTCAACTGTAGCAGCTTGGGTGTCTGAATGGCGCCTCCCGACACAATTGCCTCTTTCGTCACATTGACCGTGGTGCGCGCAGAATGAGCGGATGCGGCGAACTATTGTCAAAGATTGTAAGCGTGGATTCCAGGAACGAAGTAGTATAGCTTAAATGCACACTCGCCTCGACACCAGTGATGGCAATGGTGCCGTCGGCCGTGCCATTGGTCATGATGAGCTTCGTCACCATATTATTAACAATCACGTCAATGTTGGCCCTCGGTGTCCCGCCTTTGCCAAATATGGGATCAAAGTAGGCGATCCTGGCGTCTACGCGGGACTGGTTGGAGTGGTCGAGGGCGTGGGGGCTAAAGAAAGAACCCAATGGGTCGCAGAGCGGGTCATGTGCTCGTTTGATTCCCAACGTGTCTAGGCCCTCCTGCCAAAGGCCTAGAGAGTAACGGATCAGCAAATGCATCGTGCCTCGCTGGCCAGATCTGAGAAGTTGTCAGTTTCGTGTTACGTACTGTTCTGTGGGTAGTGCCACGCACTGTAGCCACTCGACACCTGGCCGTCAAAGCCGTGACACACCTCGTCGTACGTGATGTTAAACTCAGTGAGCTGTTCAGCACTCGGAGGTGTGTATTTTTCGGCCTGCAAAAGTCAGTATTAGAGGTTCGAAAGGTCTCACTGCTACCTCACGAACTGTACAGTTGAAACGTACCTTGCGATAGTATGGCGAGATGCCGTCCCAGTCCCACCCAGGATTTCCAAAATCAGCCCATGCCTCAAACTCGGCCGGAGCACCGAGGTTCATCAGCATGATATTGATTGAGCTTCCGCCCCCAAGAAGGCGGCCCTGTTCCAAGGGGACCGGGCGGTATAGAAGTTCCGTCTGGGGCACCGTCAGCAGCTCCCATTGGTACTGCAGCTCCAGTGCGCTCAGAGGCTGCCACCGCGGAATCATGATAGCTTTCTCATAGTTGTGACTTTATTCAAGTCAGAGACAGTACATCAACCTGTTCGCTAGGAAGTACCAATACATACAGTGGTCCCGCCTCGATGAGGAGGACAGTGACGGAGCTGTTCTCCGAGAGTCTATTGGCGAGTGTCATCCCGCCCGGGCCACCGCCGACGATGATGTAGTCGTACTCATCGCGCAGGCTGCCGTTTCCAACGAGTTGGGCGTTGGCAATGGATGCAACAACAGGGAGAGCTAGGATGCAGCACAGTATGGCCTGAGCTCGATAACCCATTGTGACAGTGGCACAAAGGACAGTGGCACAAAGAGTGGGTGACCGGTTCTTTTCTTGTACGTGCAATAACGAAGCCAGACGATAAAAGAAATTTTTTATAAAAAGGCCTTCCAACTTGATAGACACAGCATTTCAGTTATAGACTGTCGGCACTTGAGCTGCGCATGGCATGCCAATCTCATCGGAATCCACCAAGAATTTCTCATGCACATTTGGGCATGCATGGACGGATTCGGGGATTTGGAACTACATGCCAGCCTACGAACTCCACCCTGGCGGTAGTTGACGATTAGAATGCTTCTCTTCAGCACAATACCGCAGAAAACGTGCAGAAAACGTGTAATGTGTAGTATAGCTACGTGGAATTCTAGGTGGGACTCTATGTGGGGCTCTGGTGGGACTAGTCTGGGATGACCGTTCCCGAGGTCACAATTCCAGTCGAGGACCTCGGGAACAGTTGCATTACTACCATGGCAGTCGTGCAACAGCGGATTTCACATGCAGAAATACATCTCTCAGTCTCCTATAGCTTACTGTGTAGTTTCTCTCCTCGCCATTGAAATACTGGAATTAGACCGGGAATAATGACATGTCCGATCTCATTGAAATCCGCCATGCCTCTCTGGTGGATCCTCCCCCGAAAATGGCTGCCCGATTCAGCCTCCATCTCCGCTCATTTCGGGCTGGAAACCGGGAACGGTGTATGCGGACCGGCATAGCAGTCCACGAGCATTGACGTAATTAGTTGCGTTCTGGGCTGACAGAAGTACGGCGATGTCGTGGGTTACGTGCGTTCAGCCCAGAACAACAACGATCCGGATTGAAATCCACATTTGAAGAACGAGGGGTGGGCATGGACTGGCCCTTCTTCCTATCACCGCTTTTCCCCCTCTTTCTTCAAGCTACTGATGGATCGAGCCGTGGCCATTATCGTGATAAAGTGTTACAGTCAAACCGGCTCCGCTTCCCTGAGCCGCCCGGTCGAGTATATCGAGCAATTCAATCGGCCGAGGTGATGGCCGAATTGAGGAAACGTTGAAACCCAGTCCGGGGTTTCTATGTAACCCTGGTTACATCTTCTCCTCTCTTGTTCACCTTGAAATGTCCGGGGTTCCTTTTGGACCAAGGATCTCGGTTGACGCAACAATTGAGTCCAGCAATATTCACTTGCCACCCAAAAAAGCATAGTATACATGATTCTAGAGTTTTTCAACTACGACTGAGAAGAAGAAGCTCAACATGAGCCCACATTTCCCTCTCGCGCTCTCTCATCTTCTATTCCATTCTCCAGTGAACATGCTTTTCGGTTCCTTCAGCTGGGCCTTGCTCAGCAGTCTTGTAACCAAAACAGTCGCAAACGGCAGCGGTGGCTGTTGGACCAACAACTGCACAGACCCCATTGAGCTCGTGCCAGCACCATGGACCCTCCACGGGACCGGCTGGGCGATTCCCCTGCCGGCCGCCTTATCATTGCCTGAGAAAACGGATTCGCCCCTTGAACGCCAACAGGGCTCAAAGGCGACGGCGGGGCTATACACAGGTATTGTTGGCGCCATTCAAATGATCCGGTACACCGACACCCCCGTCGGTCCGTACGATGAGTTCGTCCTCATACCAGGGGCATTTACATACTCAGGTCCGTATCTGGGCCTTCCCCAAACGGACTTGCGGGTCTCGCGCATGTACGTCAGCCAGAAGTACACGTGCTACAATGGCCGCGCCAACTGGAACATTCCCAAACATCTCGCCTCGTTCAACTGGACCGATAACGCTGACGGAAGCACCACTCTGAAACTCTATCCACACGACACCACCGGCGACGAAAGTGAGGCATCTCCGGCCGACAAGCCCTTCTTCCAGGCCATCATCTATCCCGATGTCAGCCCCGATCTCTCGGTCAACTTCAGTTCCCCTTTGATCCCCGAGGGCGTGCCGGTCAGGCTGAACCAAGCGCCCCTGCCCTCGGGCAGCGGAAGTTACGGTGAGCTGCCTGGAACTGAAACGTGGGGCAACACTGTGCTGGCACTGCAGGATACGACGCCGGGCGTGGCGATGGTGGATCTGGACCAGGGCGCCGGGGATGCGGTTGCAGGTGAGGATGTAAATGCAGTTGGCGATGAGTTCTACCAGAACTTCTGGCCCACATTGGGCCGATGGAATGCGGCTGTTAAGCTGGAAGACTTTACTATAATTTTCAATCCGGCTGAAACATGGGGGTAGTTTGCACCGCTAAAAGCCCGCCCATATACCCTCGTCTGGCGTCCAAACGCTGACAGTACTGAGTAAAGCGGTGAAATGAGTAATGGTTGATGAAGATTGTGACCTTATCCAGTCCCAGGCCGTAGTGGCCATCAAGTATACAGACATTTTTGTCATATCAAACCGGGGGGCCGGCAGATTTGGCCATAGAACAGAACATGGAGCTACCTGAGCGACGAGGGCCTGTAGAAGCCAAAGCTAGTTGACGAGTTAGCAACGCAATGGTGTGGATGTGTTCCTGATTTCTCGAAGGTGCCGGCGTGAGATATCTTCGGATCGGATGGCCTAGTAAATATACTGGATCTTGAGCAATCTAACGAGTTTAGTCGCGCACCGCTGGTTGCGTTTTCCCACTGCGATCGAACTGCATTCGGTCGTATGTATCCTGCCATTGACTAACTTCATAGGCTTTCGAGTCCGGCTTCCGCCTGCCTACTTACAACGAGAATTTTGCGATTGCTGTCGCTATTTCTTCCGCCTCCGAGTTACACTGCGTTTCAAAGTGCAGATACAGTAAGAGAAACTTGACTCTACCCTGATGCCTTCGCTTTAGCACATACAAATGCAACCTGTCAACGTTGCCAGACTCATCGCCATTCCATATGACCTAAAAGTCATTAGCAAGTTTCTCTCATCAATCTTAAAGCGGTCTTTATTGACTGTTAACGAACCACACTTGGGTCTTATCAATGGCAAGTGATTGGTTGCGGTCGAATGCTGTCGATCTCTGCTGTCAGATAAGCCAGCCTAAGTCTTGGATTCGATGAAGAGTTTGCTGGCACCAATGAACACTGTTGAACGGAGACTTGCCAAGCGAGATGCCCCTGAAATATCTCACCTCACGTCAGCAGCATGTACTAAGAGTTTAGCCGTAGGCACAATTGCAACGGGCCCGAGAGGAATGACTAGAAAAGAAGAAAACAAAAAAGAAAAAGATGCATATGGAAACTCAAGCACTCGCATTGTTACAACTGTCCAATCCGAAGAAAGTCCATGAGTCTCAAGACGGAGTGGGGTAACAGATTCGGTGCCAAATAGCGATCACCCCTATTCAGCTGACCGGGCAAAGTTACCTGATTGGACAAGACTGGGGAGACTGAAAAGTATTTAAGATTGGCCAATACACAACAGTGATCTCGAAAGGGTACCAAGAAAGTCACAGTCTTCTGCGAGTCACCGCCACGGTCATGGCGAAAGGAACAATTCTGCTAACCGGTGGTACCGGTTTCATTGGCCCCGCGATTCTTATAGCAGCCTTGCGGGATGGCTACTCGCTTCACATAGTAGCGCGGAGTATGGCCAAAGTTGACCAGCTACAGACGGCCCCTGCTATACTGGCCCTCGGCAAAGCTTTATTGAGTCGATGCAAATACTTCGTCGTGCCAGACTTCACCGTTTCCGGCTCCCTCGATGAAGCCGCTAACGGCGCTGACTTCGTCATTCATTGCGCTGCATCATTGCCGTTCACGTATATTCCACCCGAGAAATACGAAGAAGAAATAATTACGCCAAGTATAGTCAACGTCGTCTCAGCACTTGAGAGTGCGCGGCGTGCAGGCACGGTGAAACGCTTTGTCTCTCTCAGTTCTTTAGGGGCTTTTGTAGCTCCAGAACTCCTCAGCGGACCGTATATCCCACCTACAGAACTGGTAATCAACGAGGCTTCCTTGAACGAGGAGTTTCAACCACCGTACAGCACAATATTGACAGCATATTGCGCGGGAAAGACAGCGGCACTACGGCGAAGTCTGGAGTGGATGCGGGAGGCAAAGAAAGGCGTTCATGGTCTGGGATTTGACCTGGTGAACTTGGCCCCCACTTTCATTTTCGGACGACATGTACTAGCAAGAAAGCCAGAAGATCTCCTCGCCACAAGCAACGCAATGTTGTTGCGCTCCGTGACAGGGAATACCACATCAGATGTGCTGGAGTTTGGGGGAGGTTATCATCTCGACGATATTGTGGAGGCTCACTTAAAGGCTCTGGACAAGGACCTGGTCTCTACGCCAACCGAGGGTCCTAACAGAAGCATTGAGACATTCACGTTTGGCATAACCGTTAAATGGCAGGACCTCAATGAAATGGTATCGACCATGTGGCCAAGCGAAGTCAAGAAGGGTGTGCTTCTAAACAACGGGCACTTCATCACCAAACCGAACCTGCATATGGATATGTCTAAGGTTGAGACCCGGCTCGGTATCAAGTCAAAGAGTCTAGAAGTGATGTTAAGGGAGGTAGTCAACCAGTACCTGGAGCTGTTAGACATCAAGTGATTCTATTCAATGACTAGCCCGAGGGTCGAGTGGGAAATGTAGGAGGCTAGCTGCTGATGTTTCTATGGCGACAGGATGTCGAGATCCTTTTGTGTTTCTGTACTTTTCATCTTGCACTCACCAACTCCATTAAAACCTGCATTCACTAAAGACCGCCGGCACCAGATTACCTAATTATATATTTGGTTTCGTAGAAATAAACCTCTCTGTGTGCGTGTTGACAGCATCACATCAGCTCTTTTTGCTTATTTCGCTTTCTCCCTGTTGCTGAGGCTCCAAGCTCTAAGAGCGTTGCGTTTTTCCCGCTCTCCATAAAGGAAAACGCACCCATACAAGTACCCGTGAAGTTGGCTACTACAAATTGGCCTTCTATGGTCAAGTTCTGTGCCAGGCCAAAAGTATTGCCGACGTCCCATCCGACGTGTACCACTTTGATGTTGCCCGTTGCACAAGGGTCGCCGTATCTCTCTGGCATCGCTGTATACTTGCCACAAACGCTTTTCCTTGTCTCTATCGAGGAGAGGCATACAAGCAACAACATCCAGATCAACACCAGAAGCGAGTATACTTTGTACCATGACGAAGATATGCATGGTATGAGGGTAGTGGTTGTGTAGCCGCGAATCCAGTAGCTTACGTAGATCAGTATAGTTGGCGTCAAAATGAACATGTAGAACAATCCTAGCATATACGAAGTCAAGCTCCAGACACCAGGGGTATTGACTGTCGATACCCAAGGCGTAATGAACAAGAACGCGAGTGTCCATGCACATAGAAAAGGTATTATGTAGAACACCTTGAATATCGTGCTTAGCGACTGGCGCCGCCAGCTAAGTGCTGGAGAGAAAAGGCCATACCCCGGTGGAGAGAACCCTTCATTAGGAGCTTGGATAAGGCTATCAACCGAGTGGCGCCTCCCATCTGTATCAACGAACGAAGTCCCCGAGGTCCCGGGGTACGTCGACATTTGGTCGTCGGCTATTACTGTGTAGTAAAAGTCATCCGTCAACCAGCGAGCTGGGAATAGGCGTAGCAAGCCGCACAGCGCAATTGGTATAAAGAGTCCGCTGACGGCATCGATGGTGGTGTAGTCGCCTTGGTGTGTGAACAGACCCAGCAACGAAGCAAAGGCCTGGATCCCTTGGACAACCGTGATTACAGTTTTCCCCATTTCTATCGAGAAGAACTGGACTCGGGGTTTCTCGGGTAAACGAGTCGCAAAAGGGAGACTGGCCGACACCATGCTGTCAGCTCCGTTCCACCCATTTGAGGTCCAGAAGACTGCGTTGCTTGCTGCCACATCCACAACAGTCCACGTCGGCGAGCGAATCCGCCTGTCGGTGATTGCGGCATAACGCCAAAGTATCGACGTCGGATTGAAGTTGCAGATGAGGTCGTGCCATTTGGGTCGAGATTGGCACAGGTACGATGGGCGAGGTGCCCCAGCGACGATATGCACAATAATCGGAGCGAGGGAGAGAGTGAGGAGGTTCAGCCATTCTGGCAGTGTGATACCCTTGCTCCCCCACTCAATGGGCAACACCACGAATGTTCCGTTCCAGCTCATGGTTCTTGTATCACCAATGCGTCAACCCGATGGGGGCGCGCTTCTCTGCGAAACACGCGATGATGGCACAGAAAGGATGAATCTTTTCACAACAGGTGTCACGACAAATTGAATGCAGCCAGCGTAAGCCTGCTGTGACGCGCTCAGAGCCTCGCCGCTTACGGAACCAATCACAGGCCCATGTTGTCAATATTGCATGCAAGATTCAGCCCCGAAGGAGATGGTCGGCCCTGCATGATATTGAGCGAAATCTTCAGCCGGCCGCCTCGGCGGCGGATCCCATCGCTGGCAACTACGCTGAGTCCTCATTTTACACTGGCAGTAGAGTAATGATCGTGGATGTCACCATTGTTGAGGCATCAGTTGTGGTATCCGCGCCGATGCACAGTGGGCATCGTTGCGAGCGGGCTTCAGGGCTAGAAAATCATGCAGCACAGGTCGGAACTTGGGCAGGTTGCAACGGAGGCTGCGCACTCCACTAGCAAAGACACAGTTTATCCGATATCGAGACTAGAATGTCTGCAGCTAAAGACTAGAGGAGGTTGCCGAAACCAAATTGGCGGTTCTGCGAAGTGCTCCAGTTGCTGGGCCCCGGTCTCGTCGATCCATCCGTGATTGGGAAAATGCTGACGCCGTGCATGCTTGGCAAGGACTGGCAGTCAAGCCAGGGGCGGTGGGGGCGGAAGCAGCCTACTTCGCACATTGCATTGGTCACGAATTGTCAACGCCTTTGGCCCTACGAGTAGCAATCTAGGTAAAGCATCTCCTGTACACTATAGGGTATCCAACCTCAGCTGAAAACGAGGGCTATATATACAATGATAAAAGTCCATTCGCAATGACACTACCGAAAAGAGCGTCATTTCTTGCCCAATAAGCGATTTATCTCAAATTCGGTCGCTTCCAAGTCAAGGCTGTAATGGGGGCTGCAGTTGCAACATGTCAAATATATAGAGACCGTGCCACCCCCTTACTGCGCCCCTTTATTGCTTGCATGGTAAGGCAGATTCATCGAGGTGATGATACTAGCGTCTTACCACTGGATAAAACTATAATGCCTATTCACTATTTTGCTGGCTTGCTTCTATCCAACGCCATCTGGCATCTGTTCCAATGGGGTACACGTTTTATCGGGTGAACACTACAGGAAGAAGACTTTCCAAAATATCACAAACCCCTATCATGGTCTCATGGCCGGTCTCTCGAATCTGGAAAGATCTTACCGATGATTTCCGGCAAATAAATTATGCCTCCTCGTCTGCATTGTGGGTTCTGTTTCTGGTCTGGACCTCTTGTCTTTTCGCAACAAGCATACTACTTCCACAGATGGTGACAAATCAACAGAACCACAACGTGTCTGCTTGTCAGCCTGATGGATCCTTCAGCCTGTTCCAGAATGATTACAATGTATGGACAACTTCGGGTTTCTTCCAAATTACGGTTGGTTTCGGACGATTATCTTTTGGTTATGCCAAATTCATTGATTTGGTTTGGGATGTTGTAAGCTATAATACATATATTGACAAATGGCTGTTCCCTAATATTTACTCAGGTAGTTGGACGTGTAGGACAATCATTGTTGGCCTACCTATCTTGGGGTGCATTTGCATACCATCTGTCGACTTCAATGTCCTCTAAACCGGTCACATACAACACATTCCTCGAAATATTTGTGCTGCGAGAGCCCTCATTGCTGGCTATTATCCGCATCGGCAGAGATTTCATTTTTCGAAAGCGCTTAGATTCATGGCTCTATATGATGTTCATCCTGTTCTCTATGCTTTTGATAGTTGCGTGGCCAAGCATCGCTAGTGCAATGACTGGGTACGCACCAGTCATTGAAGCTTTCGTGCCGGACCAGTCGGGCAATATGTTACTTTACTCCAGTTTTGCACCCCTGGCATATATTATCCACGATGCAACAAGGATAAACCTTACCAATGACAACTATTTCATCACGTTTTGGGATGTGGCTGGTTCTTCTAGTGAGTAAGAACCACCCAACAATTGCAAATAACTAACCGAACCGAAGATGATTTCCTGCTTTCTAGCAATAGCTTATCTAATCCACTACCAGACCTGAAACGCTTTCCTAAGTGGAGGAATCAGTATGACTGTACAAAAGACAGTCACTGCAACTTGCTTGCAGCAACTTCTACTTGTGAGCACCTTCTGACATCATCACATGCTTAACGAGCTTTGTAGCATTAGCTGCTTGCAACAACTACTCACGCGGTGAATAAGATATCAAAAAATTTGGGTGTACCAGTAGAAACGTTGACATGAACACTACCTGGCGAGAATACGCACCAGCAATCGAAGATGTGCCCCTTGGTACCCCAATGCTGAAAGTGTCATCCTACTTCTCATCTAACGCGGATTGGCCGGGATGTCCAGACACGGAAACTGTGCTTCAATTTGTTACACCAAACTCGAAGACCATTTACAATACCACTGGCATCCAAAGAAGTGGTGTTTGCCAACCAATGCCAGACGTACGTGTGGAGCGGCATCGATGCTTTTGACAAATCAAGACTAAAGATACCAGGTGTTTCAGTGGGGGTTTTCGTTCTTGCAGGCATTCATCGCGACTATGTTGCTGCTTGTTTGGAGCATCGGAATATTTGTTATGTGGCAAAGAGCTTATTGGAAACTGCCAAAATCTCCCAATACAGGTGTGCCTAACGTATGGAAGTCCTGTAAGTCACTGCAATTCTTTTTTGAAACTCGATGAGAGAAGGGTCAGCATTTTGAAGCCCATGATACGGCCCAACAGAGAGTACCATAGGGGCAGCAACGGGTTCAGAGGCAAGCAGCAGAACTAATGACCAGAACTTGTGACAGTGCTTATAGTCTCCGAGACGATGAGGAGCGAAATGACGACAGCCAATATCAATACCAAAGCCATTGTCAACCAAGAGATCGACGTCGAGGTGCGCAAAACCATCCGTGGGGGTTCGGTGAGCTTTCGTGGACAATTCCAGACCTCAGACAATAGCCTTTGGAAAGCCTATTCTAGATGGCTTGCCAAAGACAGGTGGTGGTTCATTGGATTCCTCGCGTCAGTTGCCTTGCCTTTTGCATGCTGCACAATCAGGGGCTTAGACAACAGCACTTTCATGTTCTTGGTAACGTGGTTATCAACAAGCGCAGTGGGCGTGTTGTTCGTTCTGGTATATTTGCAGAAGAAAAGAAGCAGGGTATTTGTCATTGCATGCTGGAGCGCTGTTGGCCTCCTCATCGGCGCTCTGGCCCCTTTGACTCTGCCGGCAGACCAAAGGTTTCGAGATTGGCCGTAGCCCCTAGCAGCCGGTGACCAGACCGACCGACCGACCTGTGAGCGGGGTCCGGGATTTTCCAGCAATAGAGATCTGTACGAAGTGCCCCGTACCACACTAGGCATCGTGAACTTCGCCGAGGTTGGCCCGACATGACGTGCAGATCGGTGAAAGGTAAAATCGGGGCTTTTTCCTTCTACCATGTTTAACGGCCTGCCAAGGTGCCGGGGGTAACTGACTAGTGCTAGTCAGGAATCGATGCGCAAACGAAACATTTCAACCCAGTTGAACGTTTCCATCTTTGCGCGCTGTGGTTTGTCCAACGTGCTTTGCATACAGTCCTGAGATACTGACGCCCGGGTATGGCGTTGTATTGGGGTCTGGGTCGGCAATGGGCTGCCCGCACTCTAGTTCCTCGACACCGGTCTTCTCCAGACTCGACGGAATCTGGGGTGCAGCGCACGTGGGGTATCCAGGTCTCCCCACACACGACTCCTCGGTAATCAAATTCCACCTGGGCCAAACCCCGTTCCTTGCCCCGTATGTTTCTCCCCTGGGAAGGATAGGCCGGGCCTAGTTGTATCAACGGCCAAACTTGAGAGCGGAGTCATTGACGTAGCTGCTACCATGGAGCGGCACCTAGCCCGGCACCTCATGCGGACGTGGTGGACTGCGGATCTGTATTTATAACAGAGTCGGAGGGGATGCTATGGGCAGCCGCTCACCCTCTTTTCTAGGCGACTGAGTGTTTGTGGCAGTCAAGTCTGCTCCCCAATCGTTCAATTAAACATATTGTGTGAGATGTCGTTCAGTCGCCTGTTGCCGGCATTGGTCGCTGCCCTGGCGGCCGGTGTAGCCGCAAAGTCTAAATGCAACTCCGGTGCAGGCCTGACCGTTCAGACCACCAGTGGTGAGCTCACCGGGGCAATCAACGCCACAGCGCCCAATGTCAGGCAGTTTCTGGGTATCCCTTACGCTAAGCCGCCTGTGGGAGCCCTGAGGTTCCAGCCGCCGACCCCATACGTATCCGACGGGCCGGTGAACGCGACCAAATTCGGTGCTTCCTGTCTGCCTCCAAAGGCAAGCGGCGGCGCAAGCACCAGCGTCTACGATTTGATTCCCGAGTTTTACAACGCAGATCCGGAGGTGGGCGAGGATTGTCTTTTTGTCAACGTGTTTGCACCCCTACGACCGACTGGCGAAAAGCTTCCCGTTTTCATATGGATCCACGGCGGAGGGTTCACGGGCAACAGCGGAAATGTGCCTTATCAGATCCCAGCCCAGTGGATTGAACAGACACAGGGCCATATAGTTGTTACAATCAAGTATGTTTCCACTGCCTATGCTCATACTATGGCAACCGCGAAATCGGCCTTCGAAAGAAACAGGCGCTTACGCGAGACACAGCTATCGTCTGAACATTTTTGGCTTTCCCAACTCTGCAGCCCAGCCGCTAAATGCTGGCCTCTTGGACCAGAGACTTGCGTAAGTGCATACACCCACCGGTATATAATTTCTCATTACTGATATGGCCACAGGGTCGAGTGGGCTCGTGACAACATTGCTGCATTTGGTGGTGACCCGGAACGCATGGCACTCTGGGGCCAGTCTGCGGGTGCCTGGTCGGTGAACTACTACGGATACGCATACCCGGAAGATCCTATCGTCGCGGGTCTTATTGCTGATTCTGGCGGTTCCGCTGTGTTCACCACTGATCCCACGTACAGTAACTTCACTTCCGTGGCTACTGCCGCTGGGTGTGGCGGGCTTGATGCTGCAGCCGAGTTGTCTTGCATGCAGGGTGTCGATGCTTTAACTATCCAAGCGCTGTATTCAAACACCTCCGGCGTCAGTTTCGGACCCAGTGCCGACAACACCACGGTCTTCTTGAACAACACAGAGAGGGCTCTCACAGGACTAGTTGCCCAGATTCCGGCTATCATTGGTACAAATTCTCGTGAAGGCAGTGGTTTCGTGCCTATTCCCCAAAATGGCAGCACCCCTAGCGACGACGAGATCAACGCAGCCTCAACTATTATCACTTGCCCAACGTTCCAGGAAATCCAGTAAGTATATCTCGATACACTTGAATCGAAGACGAGGGAGGCTTAGATGACTTACGTAACCTTGCAGGAACCGTTTGGCGGGCGGTCTAACGACGTACCGTTATGAGTACACCGGTAATTTCTCCAACATCACACCACTGCCTTGGATTGGTGCTATTCACAGCGGTATGTTTTCAACCCCTCCAACATGCTAGTATTTGGAAGATTACTGATAGGTGCAACGCAGGTGAACTCCCGCTCATCTTCGGAACGCACTTCGAATACCGTGGAAACTCGACGCAATTTGAGTACTACGTTAGCCACGCCATGCAAGGCAAGTTGGCCTATGTCCCCCGCGGGTCATCCGAATTCGTACTTTGCATCAAGCTAACACATAAGGTTTAACAGGACTCTGGTTTTCATTTGCCACTTCACCTGCCGCGGATCCCTCGTATGAGTCATTCACCTGGCCAAAATATGACACAACATCACGTTCGACGGTGGTTTTCGCTAGGGACGAGTTGGCGACTCAGCTTGAGGACATGGATCTTGTCGATCCCCTTTGCAGTTCAGGCTAATCAGTCTCAACGCTGTACAATGTAATGTTGAAATGAAGGAACGATTCTTAGCTACTTAGTCTGAAATATAATACTTTAGGATTCCATTCCGAGCGCTGAGCGATATGAGTGACCCTAACAAACTTCAAATGTCATGTTTGTAGATAGAGCCTTTTATTAGATATATTGACAGCAGTCTGATTAGTCAGTTGGTGGCTACGTTTAGATCTCGCCCTGAATTCAACTTGGCCAACTAGTCTGCAAACTGCTCCAAGCCAGTTAAACGTGGTACAGCTAAGGTTTCTACTAAACTTTTCGCAGAAAAGACACAGTCGTGCAGTCCGATCCCGCGATATGCGCATCCTGCCACCCGAAGCCGGCCGCCGAATTCATTTAGCAATATCTCGTTTACCGCCTTCATCCTTTCGCAGTGCCCAACTGTGTATTGAGGAATCGCGTTGCATTTTAGGCTCACACATGTAACCGAAGGTTCTGCACGTATTCCAAGATGACGAGCCAAGACTTGACGTGCCATTTCCAGTCCTTGATTGCTGCTCGGTAATTGATTTTCCAGTTTGCTTTTCCACCAATGGCCGCCAAGGATAACCGTGATTTTGGTCCCCGTACAGATACCAGAGTCTTGCCCTGGCATCGCGTCAGAGTCAAACACTATACCCAGAGCTTTCTCAGGATTCCAGTTCATCGGGACGGAAAGGGGGATGAGATATCCGAAGCCTTGATAGGGGTGACTCAGTCGTGGACTCCGAAAGCAGAGAGTGACTACCATGACAGTAACGGCGGGAGCTGCAAGTGATGATAACGATCTTTGCCAAGGAATCAGAGACTTTAGCAGGCGAAACGGTATGGTAGCTATGACGCTGTCAAATTCTTGAGGTATGCCGTCATTCACCTAACAATCGAATTAGATACCTTTCGTGCGACAAAGGCCCTTTGTCCAAGCAGGTGTACCTGGATCTTGATAGCATCGTTCCGCGTTGATATATGTGTAACTTTGGAACCAAGCTGAATATCTACCTTGGGATATCTCTTCAGACCACTACCCAAAGCATCTACCAGCGTCTCGATGCCGCCCTCAAAGCTGAAGACACTTGTTTTTTGAAGGTCCTGCTGTAATTCTGCCGATATGCCGTTCTGGAGGTGATCTAGCATGGAGTGTTCCCTGCGGTGGGCCTCAAGCGACGCGCTCTCTCCGGTTGCTGGTCTACCATCAGATTCTCTGTGTCTCGGGTCACCCGCGCATATCATTGCTCTGAGGATACCTCCAGAACCAAGCAGCGGTCCCATCCGTATCCTGTGCGCCTCGGCAGCCAGCTCAAGACTCCACATCTTCGGCATCAGAGCTTTCATACTCAGTTGATAGATGTCACCAGCGTACAGTCCATGCATGACTGCGGATAGGAAATTGTCTGCCAGGCTTGGGTGCCAACGTCGACTGACAAAATGCCCAATTGATTCATCCAGGAGCCGACCGGGCCTTCGTGCTATAAACATATCTTGTAGAACACCAGAGAGAGCACCGTGGAACAACGGCTGCGTGACCGCTAACCAGGCTATCCGGAGTAAACGGAACATCCCGAAGGTCGTTGGCGCTGGGATAGAAGCGATGTGTCTCCGAATGAGTACAGAGTCGGACGCGGGGAGGGCAACTAGACGCTTGGGATACATGATGTAACGAGTACCAGCCGCCGGTGAGTCTTTGGGCACCTTTAGAAGTTTATCTGTCAAACCTAGCAGGTGAATCTAGGTATCAATCAGTCAGTTTCTGAGACGTTTGCGGTGAAACAGGTGAAAAGGAGACGAAGATCGATGCCACCTAGTATCATTGTCTTACAAGTTCACAGGTTACCACTGCTCTTGGAGCATTAGCTCGCAGAGTTCTAGGCCCAACTTCACAGAGGAAGGATCCCGGGCTAGGGCCAGAGACACTGATAGGTTTCGATTCTATCACGCCCCCAAGTCGCGACGTGGACTCGAAAATCGTAATTTCTGCTGAGGGGAACTTCTGAGCAGCATAGTAAGCCGTGGAGAGCCCGGTGATACCGCCACCAATAACGGCTATCCTTTTAGGTTCGTAATTGTGACGATGCAAGCGAGTTCGTCCACTGCAGTATCTCCGTTCAGCACCAATGGCCCTCATAGAGGCGGCACCAATACGAGTTACCATCGCGGATTCCTTGTAAGGAAACCCAATGTAGCCCTCTACTCGCGTTTTCGTTCAACTCACTGCGGATGGACCGGGTGTTGTATTTGCGGAGTCCATAGGATGGCTTACGTAGCACCTCATCAAAGGTATTAACTTCGGCTACAAGATCTGCCAGGAGACATCGAGGGATGATGTTCCACAACTTAAGTATCACTAGCCACTGATCACTGGTCACTCAAGCGCAGTCCTTGCTAAACCGGCATTTTGCAGTAATCATTCGAAAGTATGATGCGAGATATTGCGGTGTCACGGCCAAAGCACGAAACACATCCAAAAGCTGACTCGAATTTCGACTTTTCCAATGGAAGTTTGACGTTGACATGACAAGGTGGTACAGATCTACCCGGCTGTCGTGATACGTTTGACTGGACCTGTAAATTCCCGGCTGTTCATCTTAATTAGGATCGTCTCAGCGATGACCGCAGAGTTGGAGCCGCAGCAATTACCGATGAATTTGGTCAGAGATTCTTGGGGCATTTGGACTCTATCATGGTACCAACTATACAATTTCTGTACTCGTGCGGTTATAACTCCAAATCCAGATACGGAGCCAAGACTTGTGATACAATAAGCTAAGCCATGAATGTCGATGTCGACTTTCACGGAATATTGCAGCCTAACTGTGAAACCTGGAAGTCTTGCACAGCAAGCGAAGACGTTCGCAAGATACATCCTTATAGAGCCCTAGCTGTAGCTCCTGCCTTATATAAGGGCGCTTGCACGTTAGATCCTTTTTATCCGTTGATATGACATTACTCAACGCTGATTACTGCCTAGCACGAAGACCAATATCGTCCCTGATCTCCTCATTTTCACACCTACAAGATGAAAGCCGTTGTTGTTGCAGTCATCCTGTCTACCACTATTGGCTCGGCCAGCTACGTGAGAGCGCCAACACCCGCAGGTACTCTCACGATCCCCATCCCTTCTCAGGGGACAGCCTTCACGAGCACTGTTCCAGGATGCGGAATCGTTGAACCTTTCGTCGTTGTTGGCATTCCAAATGGGACATTCTTTCCGGGCACCCAAACCTTCTTCATTCCACCGCAGGCTTCCCCAACGTCCTCCACATTTATCAACACCCAGCTCAATGCTACTGAAGTTATCATTCTGGCCACGCTACTTGGATCTTGTGAGCCATATCTTCCACCTAGCACTTCGACGAGCGGAGCACCGTCATCCACTGGTGGGCCCGATCCAGGGATCTGCGATTTGCAGGGCTGCTCCAAGATCGTGAACGACGTGGCGCAGGAGATCATTGACGCTCTCAACCAAGTGACAGTCCTGTCGCAGCAGCTGCAAGACGCCGCCAAGTCCATCGGGCTCAAGAGAAGTTCGGAGATTCAAAGCCGGGCCCTGACTGACCTACTCGATGGTCTTCGCAGAGTCCCGCTATTACTAACATCCGTGCTACCTGTCATCCAATTTGCTAGCCCCATTCCTGAGGGATGCGACAGTGATACCATTGTCGTCGCGCTCATCGACTTCGTTCGCGTACACCAGGCCCTGCTGGAGATTCTCATTGGGCGCTCGAGCCTGCTCAGCTCCGGGTCATTCGGCTTTGGCGGGTTCAACGCGCTCCCGGGTCAGGAGGCCACAGTACCCCAGGTCCGTGCTGTTCAGCCTGGAAAGCCAGCAGTCGAGCGATTCCCGAATCCGTTGGGCATTGCAGTCGCGGCGGTATTGCGCTCTATCGAATCAGTCGTCGACAACATTGCGTTTGGCTTGATCGGCTTGATCCCCACAAGGGATGCGTGCTTGAAACAGCAGAAGTTTAGCATCGACAAGACCTTGGACGATGCTATTGGGGCATACTCAAGTTGATCGGCCCCAACATCTTTCTCTGGCCTTGAACTCGTCACTCGCTCGTCATAGTGCCGAACTGCAATAAGCATAGGAAAGTTGCGATGTGCGAACTGGGAGCACGCAATTGCGCTGCTGTATCTTCTGTATTCACTTCGGGGGAACTCGGTCTCTTAGTCAAAATGCATTATACTTCATAATAAAATGCAAGATTATGCAGGAGATATTGTCAATGCGCCTCTACGTGTCCCATGGGCGTGCTCAGTCATATTGCCACATGGCAGCCAGTGATACTTTCGACAAGCCTGTGCTGCGCTACAAAGTGACACCGAGGGTAGTGAATGTTGGCGATTGTGCAGGTCTTGGGCAAGCGCAGCCCTCTTTCGCGTTGCCATCGTAATCCCTTTCTAGCCAGGCTATAAGTTAGTTACTTATAGCTTGCGCTAAGAACCATGCCTCCAGTGATACCGGGCTTGGCAGACTAATGCATGATATACGTATACCAGGACGGTTATTTTACCAAGTCCTCGGGTTAGTCGAGGTCAGAGGGACCATACAGACCCGTCAACCAAATGTAAGATGTACATTATGTACGCCAACTGAAATGACGGTCCATGATGAGCTAGGAGGATGGGAGCGGTGGCTCGTTTAACCAAAGGTTGGATTTCTCCCTGACACAATAGTCTGATCTTGGGTACTTGAAGGGCCTGCGGTAGACACTTGAACTACACCATGCATGTCAATAGCTTGTCCCCAAGTAGCTAAACCTCAAAATCGGGGAAGACCATTCATGCTGTGATACGAAAGCTATGATACGAGAGTGCGGGGTTCCCCATGAAATGTTACGCCGGTCATCTCGGCTCCTTCGTATTCATGGCACCACACCATTCGTACATGACTCCCAGTGTCTCGGAAATCTCGCACTCATCTCAGTCGCCCAGGCGCTGTGGTGAGTTGAGCCGGGGCCTAGACTCTCCAAGACAGCCCGGATTGTGGAGGAGTTGGGGAAGGTTTAGCGGGGCCCCGCAAACAGCCATACCCCAATGTCACTAGGACTCGGGTTGGACCCCTGGTATTCGCTTGTCATTGACCCGAGAAACACTGTGATAGACGAGCAACTCTGCACTGAGGCTCGCACAAGCTCGCTCTTCAGCCGCATGGGTGATCTGAATGCCTAGACACCCATTGGCCGACACCCCTGTACCAAATTGCCGAGATGCATAAGCTGACCCGGCAAGATGGAGATGAGGCTGCATATTGGTTGCAAGGGGAGGGTCTGTCTATTAGTTTCTATCAGTCTACGTGCTATCGCTCAGGTTTGAACTGGGATAATTGTCTTTCGGTGCATCCCAAGAGTAGAGTACAGCCGCCTAGCTTGTCACCGTCTGCATATTTGAAGGAGCGATATCCTTTTGGGGAATCACCGTCAAGTCACCCCAAGAGCACTTCCATTTACACAACCGCAGCGCGCAGTGTCTCACCATGGCGATCTACAAGCGAAAGATTACCGTCTCTGACGATACGGTGACGAGCGCCCACCAGCTGACCCTTAAGCAATCGCTGGTCCCCAATGGCCTTGGTGAGCTACTTTGCTGTGATATGATGTAGCTCTCCGGCCACAAGCTGACCGAACTCGGATCCTAGTCACCATCCTCTTCTTCCTCTGGGGTTTTGCGTATGGTCTTCTCGACGGTGAGCACGATCGAATCCGTCTTATCAATAGCGGCAACAATGCTGACACCCTCCCCCCGGTCAGTCCTGAACTCCCACTTCCAGAAGTCACTGAACATCTCGAACTCTATGGCTGCGGGCCTGTCGGCCGCCTACTTCGGTGCTTACTTCGTTTGCCCGCCTACGATCTCGGGCTACATTCTTAGGAGATTTGGGTTCCGAGTTACATTCATGACGGGTACGTACAATATGAAGCGACTTCATGAATGACATATCTAACTGAGTACTCAGGCTTGGCCGTCCTCGCTGTGGGATGCCTGCTGTTTTGGCCCTCGGGCATCAAGAAGTCGTTCGGAGGCTTCTGCGGGAGCATGTTCGTCGTCGGCATGGGATTGTCTACTCTAGAAACCGCTGCTGATCCGTAAGCGTCCACCGACAGAACTAGGTTCAGTCGTTCTAACACAATAACAGCTTTCTCGCCATTTGTGGACCACCTAAGTACAGTGAGATTAGACTGAACCTCGCGCAGGCCATCCAGGGCGTCGGATCGTTCGTTGCACCCATCCTGGCGTCTCGCGTTTTCTTCTCGAGCACCGTCGACACCGACCAGGGCCTGGCCAACGTGCAGTGGGTCTATCTCGGCGTCGCAGGATTTGTTGCTTTGCTCATTGTCCTGTTCTTCCTGGCTCCGATGCCCGAGATCACCGATGCGGACATGAATCTGCAGGAGAACGAGATCGGCGAGTTCGACCCGGGCCCGCTGCGGAAGCAGTACAACCTGTTCCTGGCCGTCTGGTCGCAGTTCTGCTACGTCGGAGCTCAGGTTGCCGTGGCAAACTACTTTATCCAGTTCTGTGTTCAGGCTGGCCGCTCCTCCGAACAAGCATGTAAGTTGGTCAGCTGAATTGAACGTAAGATTGCCGATACTGACTCCAGCAGCCGACCTCCTTGCCGTGGGCCAGGGACTCTATGCACTGAACAGATTTATCGCCGGTTTCTTGATGATGAGCCCTGTTTTCAAACCTCGATACATCCTTGCTCTGTACCTTGGGCTGTGCTTCGTCTTCATCATCCCGGCAATGACGACGACGGGCACAGCCTCCATTGCCTGCCTGATTCTTGTCTTGTGCTTCGAGTCCGCCTGTTTTGCCACCATCTTCACACTCGGTCTCCGAGGTCTGGGTCGACACACAAAGCGTGGCGGCAGTTTCCTAGTCTCGGCCATCAGCGGCGGCATGGTGTTTCCCGCCATGACTGGTGCGGTGGTCGACAGATCTGGCGCCCACATGGCAATGACTATCCCCATGATGGGCTACGTTTTGGCCTGGATGTAAGATGCGATCCAACTAGTTTAGGGATTCAGTTTTACTAATCAACGTGCTAGATACCCTCTCTATGTCAACGTTTGGAACCGCGAGACCATGGATGTTCATCGCGCAACCAATCTCGGCGTCACACCTGTCGGGGACAAGGCGTTGCAGCTAGAGGAGCAGGTCTCACACGCAGAGAACCAACCGCACACCACATCTGATGGCATTTCGGCGGCTAAATAGAATGGGGCCCACCTTAGACAATTGTTCGAGTGAGCGCATTGGCTTATCGTCGATTGGGGGTAGTCCCATTTTCTACTCAACGAATCCGTCAGATACTAGAATACACTAGATTGAGTGCCAAACAACAGAAGCGAGAGCATTTGCAGTGAACGTGGTCCGAATGGGAAGTCAAGTGATTATAAAGTATCTATAGAAAGGGTATTAATCTGCTTTTACACACTGAGATGACGCCGCTTATTATGCTTCTTGGGCAGTAGATGGCTGGGCGACGAATGGCAATCCTTGCCTATATACATCTCCCCAGTTCTTTGCGTCCTTCTTGAATTTTATGACCGCACTGTCGCCGTTGTGGTCTCATGATCTGTGGTTGTAGTCGTGGTTGTCACAGTCTCAGTCTCCTTGACAGTTACTGTTACGGCATTGTCCGGGTTTCCAGTGGCCGTCAACTTCACGCCGCCATTCACCGGGACCGAAGTTGATGATGGCTTGCGACCAGTCGGGCGCCTTGTCAGAGTGACGGGGCGGACTGTGAGTTCGGTGGCTGGGTTTCCAGTAGAGCTGGAGCTAACGGCGGAAGATGTGACCGTGGTGGACGATTCGTTCGTCGTTGTGGGCGGCTGAGCTAGAGTAGAGGTAGTCGAGGTCGCTTCTATTTGAGAGCTTGATGGACGAGTCAGAGTGGCTAAGGTTGTGGCCGTCGTCGACTGTGAAGTGGTGGCTGGATCGGTTGCACTAGAGACCTGCAGGGTGGACGAGGGAGGAGTTACGGTGACTTGGCTAACGATGGTCGTCGCCGAGGGCCGAAAAGTGACAGTGATTTCGGTACCCTCGCCTGTACTCGCCGTAGTCAAGCTGGACGAAGTTGTCGAGCTCACAACAGTGCTGGTGCCCGAAGCTGCCACGCCGAGGATCTTGGCTGCAACACTAGGCTCGTAACACCCAACCTGGACACCGGAAGTGGTGTTCATCGGCAAAGCAAAGCATTGTGAGTTATTGGGGCATGGAACGATTGAGAACGACCCCGAGGTCGTGCACTCGCCAATGTTGCCTTGTACGCAGGCGGCCTGGCCTGCCTGACATGCTGAGTCACTAGTCAGGGAGTTGAAGACTTCATTGTATCTCAGAGCCTCGGCTAAGTTGCTGGCATAGACGTCGGCAGCCACAGTTGTTGACGTCGGTGGTGCGGAGCTGATGACGGTCGGCACTGCGGTGTTGACCTTGCCTGTTGGTTGCACGAAAGTCGATGAGTAGGATGACTTCGTGACCAAGGAGAAGCTAGCGGATGACAAGCTCACGGAGGCAGAGCCGGAGCTAACAGGGCCAGTGGCACTACCAAACGTGGATGAAGATGCAATAGACAACGTAGGTGCCGACGTAGGAGCTGATGTAGCCGACGGCTGACTTTGCGAGCTGCTTGATGCGAAGTCGTCCGAGCTAGATGTTGAAAGGACACTCGATGTCTGCACAGCCACACTTGATGAACTTCCTGTTGACAAGAAAGACTCGGTTGTTGAAACGGCGCTTCCAGTCTCAAAAGGTCTGCTTGCGATTTCGCTCGCACTGCTGCTGGAAGGGAGGAAAGGGACACTGCTGTGAGTGCTACTGACTGTCGGCTCCGGAAGAACAGTTTCAGTGCCCAAGAAGATACTTGTAGTTATTTCCGACGCGCTCGTTGTGCCAGACGACGTCGAGGCAGTATCTAAGATTGAGCTAGGCCCGGTGATAGAAGGGGCAAGCGGAAGCTGCACAGAGCTGGCCAAACTAATAGAAGCAGCCAGGCTCCCGCTGGAAGATGAAGACTCCACTGTCGCCGCAGAGCTTGATGCATCCGTCGATGGTACTGATTGAGACACGCTCGTTGGGACAGAAAGAGACTGTGATGTGGTAGTCTCAATCAGTGTAAAGGAGCGAAATACGGATGTCGATGAGATTCCCTCGGATCCACTGAATAACTGGACACTTGAGGAGACAGTACCCAAAACGGAGCTTCTAGCAGTAGCAGTGCCACTTTCGAGTGATGAAGCTGAAGTGACGCCGGCGGGTGCGCTTGTCGAGGCCGAGGCCAAGCTTGCGGAGTTCGATGCTGGAATGGAGGCTTGCGTCTCAGGCTGGGCCGCGGGTGCTGATGTGGCACTTGAACCCGCGGGCAATGGCACTGAGGCAGTCTGCGAGGCCGTCGAGGCCAGTAGTGACGATTCCAATGATCGTATTGACACTGAGCTAGTTGGAGCGGAAGAGGCTAGTACTGTGGACTGTGTGGCACTTGATACTGCTGCCGAGAGCGTTGCTGATGTGGGTGGTGACGAAGCTATCGTGGACGCTTGAAGCGATGTACTAGAGACAGGGTCCTTGAACAACCGAGATGTTGCGTCTGCCAGTTCATCTCGTCTTATCCTATACGATGTCAGCTGAGCCACACCTCGAGATGAGTTGGGATCATACCTTTGTCCGCGCCTAAGTGAGACAGCGGATGAAGCGCCCGAGAGGAGCAGGAGATTTATTAGTACGGATGGCGTATGCATGGTGAAGATCCCTTCGAAGTTTACGAGATGTGAAACGGTAAGAGACTCTCAGAGAAAGGAAAGTTATAGGTATGGTGGGTCAAGCTCGAAGACTGCGATGACGGGCCGGGAGCCTTAGAGATTCATATTACATCAACGCAACTGAAAGAAGGTGGTCGAGTCAAAGAGAAGCCGGTTCTCAATCAGACTGAAACAATGACTTTGGAGCGATCAACGCATGATAGTCAACAATGGGTCACAAAGGAAATGTGGTGTCAGAGAGACATCAAGCAGCCAAGAAAGTAGGAGATACACGCCAGAACAGAGCAAGAGTCTACGGGAGATCGCCGCGAGAGGGCAGAGGATACAGTCTTGTATGAGGAACGAGGCCACGGTCGTGGCTCCGCAATCACTCGATCTTGGCAAGCCTGATCGATGAGAAGCATATAACTTCGTATCGTATGGCCAGAGAATCGGGCGTCCACCGCGAGGTAGCATTGCGATTCAAGAGGGCGGACCCTGGGAGAAGACCGGACATGTTGCCTGAGTTATCCAATCTCATCCGGAGTCAGGACCATTGGGCCTAATTGCACCGGCCAGGTAGCGGGATACCCAAGCGTCCAGCAGTCGTGTACTTAATTGGTATTGGACACGCAGAAGGGTTGGCTAAGCGCTGCTTCATGCTTTGGTCTCTGGCACGATGAGTTTCTGGAGTTTGCAAGATCTGGCGCGCGGCAGAATATAATTGGCAGCCCAAGCTTCTGCGGGCCGCGACCCGGGGCAAGCCTCAGCCAATGATGCCCGCCGCGCTAGGGGGACCTGTGGCAGCCGACAGGGCCCTAGGCTCAATCTGATTGGCCTCCAAGTGCCCCCCGCGGCCGAGGAGTTCTAATGAAATTTGAGGTCGCGTTGGCGCGTGAGAAGATGGGGCCGACACGTCAATTGAAGGTCGCAGGAAGATTCGTGATAAAGAAGCCCTTCGTCCCGGCCTTTCAAGGAGCTGAGTGCCTCGATGTTGGCCCAACCTTGTTTCGCATCCCAGCTGATTCCGGCTGCGTCGTTTACCCGACATTCGGTAGGCGCCTTCGTCGTCGCACAACGGCCGTCTTGGGTCAGCGACGCTTGCATGCTTATCGGTACCTAGGTAGAGCCGATTGCCTCGATAAGGTAACCTGAAAGCCACCGCAGTTGCAGGGGATCTCGTTACGTCTTCCCCAGACTCATCTACGTAGGAACTGCCTCACACTCAAAGGCACAGTTTCATCTATATAGCAAGCTTCGTCGTATCTGCCCCTTTGAAAGGTGGCGATGGGGATTGCTGCAGGTAGGACTGAGGTACAGTCCAAGGATTACCTGTGATAATCTTGTGTTCATTGGCTGAACCGTGTAGGACGCGACGCCATTCGCAAGCTAACGCCTGGATGCATTCACTAAAGCTCGCCCGGCGTCCCTGTCAAAATACTGGTATGAAAGGGGTATCTTTGCTGTATCAGGAGTAGCACAGAATCCGCGTTGGACATCTTGGGAAATTTGTAACCTCTCGATATGTTATCATTAACGGACTACCAGGCCAAGATACCTAGGCTAGGGTAACGTCGTACGCGGGTGGGGGTGCCTCAGCCACAGTGCTGTGGTAGTACTGTAGCATCCCAGCACAGCGGCGTACTAGACCTGCTAGGGTACGAATCTACCTGGGTTAGGTACCTCTGCTGAGTCGTACGGGGACGTTTCGGTCCTATCAGGCCACTGTTAACAGTACCCAGCCAGGCCAGCAGCCTCTGGGTGACACTGATTCGCTACTGGCTGCTCCCGCTCGTACGGATGCTATAGCTCGTACGTCAGTGGCTCTTCCTTCAATTATGCTGTGATTACACTATATGCTGAACTGCATTTGTCGTTAACGACTATATGACTTCTGTGACCAGTAACAAGTACCTCCCGTACGAACAATGCGATGATGATAGCGGCCGAGGCCTCCCTGTCGGATTAGCCGCAAGCCACTGCCGGGTATCTCTCTAGTCCAGCGAAACTAAGACACAGTTCGCTCTGGATTACGTGCTTAGCTCAAGCTCTCCAAGGAATGTGGCTCGGAAGGGAAAGCTTGTCGAGCCAACCATCCCAGGGGCGGGGGAACCGACAGGGATGTAGATAGTCCTGCGCAAATGAGACGCCATGTCTGACGGCAACATGTAAACCTGGGGATTGAAATCTCGTACAAAACAATGTGCTGGTCCCAGAGCGTTGGTAACTCTGTTTCTTGTGGCTCACTTTGTCAAGCTGTTCGGCTGTCCCTGATCGACCTGAGCCGCCTTTCTTTTGGGCATCCGCACCTTGCTACGTTCGCAACTTGCACCTTATGCACATTGATGGACCCGGGTGCATTCCGCTCGCAAGAAATCAATTCCCTCACTCTGGTCGCAGCAGCACTTGTAGGAAGCGACCCGAGCGCATTGCACGATGACCTCGATATCAGGAGGTCGAAATGGAGATAGCCCGATGGGCGAAAAGGACGTTAAGACTGAGAATCTTGGCGGGGAAACTCTGCATGAGGGTCTGATTGAAGTCGCTGGCAATGCGGACCAACTTCAGCGCCATCTTGGCAATCGCCAAATCCAACTGATCGCCGTCGGCGGTACCATTGGCACCGCTTTGTTCGTCAGTATCGGAGGCGGTCTGATGACAGGGGGCCCGGGCAGCCTGTTCATCGCATTTACTCTCTACTCCTGTCTGCTTGGGCTGGTCAATAACTGTATAGCGGAGATGGTCGTCTACATGCCTGTGTCCGGCTCATTCATACGAATGGCTGGCAAGTGGGTGGATGAGTCTTTTGGTTTCATGGCAGGCTGGAACTTCTTTCTCTACGAAGCATGCCTGATCCCCTTTGAGATATCAGCGTTGAACCTGGTTCTCACGTTCTGGAGGGATGACATCCCAGCTGGTGCGGTGTGCGCTGCCTGCATCGTTCTCTACGCGTGTGTTCTGACCCCCAATGCCATCTGTCGCTATACTAACAACTTCAAGGGTTTTCAACGTCATCGCAGTCAAGTACTACGGCGAAGCTGAGTTCTGGCTGTCGACTGGAAAGCTTCTCCTCATCGTTATGCTCTTTCTATTCACATTCATCACGATGGTAGGGGGCAATCCGCAGCATGACGCGTACGGGTTTCGCTATTGGTACAGTCCTGGATCCTTTGCTGAATACGTGACGACGGGGTCTTTGGGTCGATTTCAAGGATTCCTGGGGTCGCTCTTTTCAGCTGCATTCACGATCGTAGGTCCTGAATACCTGGCCATGGTGGCCGGTGAAGCCGAGAGACCGCGCACGTACCTCAAGCAGGGATTCAAGACAATGTACTGGCGATTCGGCACATTCTTCATAGTCGGAGCTCTCTGCGTTGGGATCGTGCTTCCCTACGATGACCCGACCCTCCAGAATGCCGGTACAGGCACTGCCAACGGCAGCCCATATGTTATCGCTATGCAGAACATGGGGATCAGCGTGTTCCCACACATTGTGAATGCTTTGATGGTCACGAGCATCTTCTCCGCCGGCAATGCTTACACATACTGTGCGATGCGCTCGCTGTATGGTTTGTCGCTCGAAGGGCATGCTCCCAAGTTCCTGTCTCGCTGCTCCAAGCAAGGAATCCCGATCTGGGCATTTCTTGTCACGATGTGCTTCCCCTTCCTATCCTTTCTGCAGGTCTCCAACAACACTGCCCAGGTGGTCACGTGGCTCGCCAATTTGACGGAGGCCGCTCAGATCATCGACTTTATCGTCATGAGCGTCACATACATATTCTTTTTCCGCGCTCTCAGGGCGCAGGGCATCGATCGCAAGACACTGCCGTACGTTGGCTGGTGGCAACCTTGGTGCGCCTATATCGGTGCAGCTGGTATGACCGTCATGGTGTGTATCTATGGATATACCACCTTCTTACCAGGCTGGTGGGACATTGGGACATTCTTTTCGTACTACACGATGGTCTTTGTCGCCATCATCACCTATACAGGCTGGAAGGTTATTAAGAAGACCAAGTTTGTACCTGCGGCACAGGCAGACCTCGTTTGGGACAAACCTGTGATTGATGCTTACGAGAACTCATTGAAAGACCCACCGACGAGGTTCAGGGATGAGATTATGCAGATGGCTGGCTTGAAGAAGCGGGAACGACACATTGGGATAGATGTATCAAGTTGAGTCAGCATGGATCGGACCCCAATGGCTATGGCTCTGGTTGCTCCGTGATTCCGGTTTGTGAATCAACTAGAGCGAAATCAAGCAGATACGATCCCTCGTCGTGGTGCCTACTGTCAGCCGGACTCAAACTCGACAGCGTGCCCCGATGTCACCATCACCCATCTAACGGCAGGAAAAGAATACGCAGGGAATCGCAATTGGACGCTTCAGCTACTATCGGTGGTTGCAAGAGATGAGATTTGCAAGGGGAATAATATTGAGGATTAGTGGTTCCTCCCCTAGGGGGGTCACAAGGCAGTCAACTTTGCGCCGCATCCCTAGGCTAGCTTGACCTGTCGTATTGAAAATTGAAGACGGATTTTGCGTGCACATCACCTCTCGGCCATCATTCTGCAACTTCACTTAAAAGGGCAAACCACCAAGCACAACAGACAAATTCCACACCCACACATCCGTTTCTGGTCATCATCACTCTGCAAAACCGTCATGGCAGATAAAGCTGCGATTTACATCGTCCGACCCGGTCATTCGATGCAGCATGGCATCCCTGATTTCCCTCGCGCTGACCCAACTTTGACCAGCCGAGGCATGGAGGAGAACGCCCAGGTCCCTGCCGGTGTTAACAAGGTCCCTACGCTTCTTCTCGTATCCCCACTCACCAGAAGCATTGAGACAGCATTCTCGATGTTCCCTCTCGCCCGCGGTTTCAACCAGTCCAAGATCGAGGTTCAGGTTTGGTCCGACCTCCGAGAAGCAGATGATCAGATCTGCAACCAGACTTCACGACTCAGCCAGCTGATGACCGAGTATCCGAACCTGAACTTCAAAAACTGCCGCGAACACTGGGAGTACGAACAGCACACCCACAATGGTGCTGTTGCTCGAGCAGAGCGCGTCCGAGCCCGCGTTAAGGAGCTCTCCGCCGACTACAACACCATCTGGATTATTACTCACCAGATTTTCATCGGCTACCTCGTCGAGGGCACCCCCTTCAGATCTAGGGACACCCGCAAGTATGAGTTCGCTGCGGAGGAAGACCAGGCCCCGGGTGTTGTGTTCAACAGAGAGACTGGTCAGGAGCAGGACTACGGTCCCACCATGCTGGTGGAGAAGATTGAGCACATCTAGGACAGAACAACAAGAAGGCTTGGCTGAGATGGTTACTGGAGTAGATGATTGTATCTCTCCCGGGAAGAGGAGAGGATGAGAATGAAAACAGTACAATGGGTACTGGACAAATACAAGTCGTGGACCATTATTTCCCCTTTGTGCCCTACGACTCTGTGTGACTCAAGTTTTCCACGACTTCGACAAAACACGATCCCGTTTGTTCAGACGTGTTACTTCTCACCATGACATGTTGTTGCGTGATTTGGTTACCGCCGCCGGGCGACCCTTCTGGGGGGTGGCCGGGCACCTCCGGGCGGCTTCCGTACTAACCGGACCGGACCGGCATTCGGTCCCACTTATCGGAGCTCCAGCCGGAGCTGCTGTCCGCAGAATCCTGGCCTTTGGGCTGCTTCTCCCGCCCTTGAGCATCCTGGAATACGGGCCACAAGAAGTTTGTTCCTGACGTTTGCCATTTTCTTTAGCATCAACGGATCGGAGCGAATAAGTGAGAGCTTTTCTGCTAAGCCTTAGGCTGGTAAGATGCCTGGCAGAGCAGGCTGGCAGCACTCCTCTTAACATGCACATCATCCTGGAATCCCTGGTAGATACTGGCATCCAGATGAGTGGCTATACCAGGATCTCTATGCCTGAATTCGCAGCCAATTGGTGGCCCGTGAGAATCGTGATCTTCTTTACGAACACTCGCTGCAAGATTACAGCGCACATCTGGTGTTCTTAACGAGTCTGCCAACACGGTTACTTTCCTCGAACTTGAACAGTGATTACAACATATTCTACAATGGCATTATATACTCATTGAAATCATGTTTCTCGCAACGTCCAATACAATTGACCCCATTCGTCTAGGAACAAATATTCTATGGTGTTTAAGCGAAAATCTCGGCGAATATCCGGGCTTGGAGGATGTCTTGGAATGATTTGGGAGATGCATTCTCGTTATTATCCCACCCAATGTCACCAGTACCCAGAATGTAAGTCAGCTGGTCAATAGTTGAGTCGAATACCTTTTTACCACCACAGAAGTAAATCATCGCCCCTCTGTTCCACAGCTCCCGGATTTCTTGACTACTTTCGCGCAGCTTTTCCGTTATGTACTGGCCTTTGACAACTTCGCTTCTGTTGCCAGACACATCTACTCCCGCTCCGTGGCTGAAGGCACGGCGTACAGTGACGACGCCGGATTTTTCGAAACTGTCGAACTCAGACCGGTACAGGTCATCCAGTTCGGCACCTCGACAGCCGAAGAAAAGTAGCGCTGGAGTGGTAGGATGCCCAGTGTTTCCTCGGTGGCCGATGAGGCGATCTTGGATGAGCCCACGAAATGGCGCGAGACCTGAGCCGACAGCTATCATGATAATCGGTGTCGATTGGGGGACACTCTGAGCTGCCAATCCTTGATCATGGGCCATCAGTGTAAACGGCTGTCGCTGATCAGTGACGGATATATATACCACGTCGCCGACTTCTAGTGATGCAAGATAGTTAGACGCCAGCCCCTTGAATGGGATCACAGTCTGCTTCTCTACGACTCCATACGTCAAGCTACCGTATCCGGGTTGCCACCTTGGAGAAGATGAGAATGAGTAGGTTCGTGGGCGCATTGGCGGAATCATTGCGAGAAAGCAAGAAAAGGTGATTGGGATTTCCTCACGGGGAAATAACTCCAGGACGTTCAGCAAGCACATGTGCTGGTCTCGGATCTTGGATTGGTACCTTTTTGTCGCCAAATTCTTCAGCATCTGCTTCGTTGATGAGAATCGGGCGATGTCAATAAGGTTGACAATGGCCTTCACACTTGCAACATGGTTTAACTCGAAAAACCCGGACAGAAGGTCCGATGCATTTATCTGTGTATTGAGTGGTAGCTCTGGGGCCGCGGAAGCTGTGCGGGAATTGATTGTAATGGTCTGGTCCCCTTCAAGCCCAAAACGTGATAATGCCCGCTTCACTATGCTGGGGTCGTTTCTAGGGAGGATCTGGACATGAGCGCCCGCCGAATAGCTGACGCTTTCGGGTAATCGAAGCTCCAAGTGCCTTTTCCGAGGGACACCAGGGTAGGATAGCTGGCTCGCATCGGTAATGACCGCTGGTAAAAAGCCCTCCCGCATGGAAATTCGCATGGGAACATTGACCGTCAACCCCAGGGGCAAATTGGCTTGAGAATGATGGTTTATCATTCCAGCGCTACCGCATAGCATCGGCCAAAGCGTGTCCAGAGTCCAACATTGAAATTTTTCAAAAACATTATCATAAGCGGTGTCAACTTTCCCCATCGGCACCAACTGCTGAGAACCAGCCTCCAACATGCGTTTATTAATGATCTGGGGCACTTGGTAAAGCGTGTTTCTCCAGCCGCTATGCCCACACGCAAAGACAGCGAACTTAATACCACTTAGAGCAGCTGGGGGAAGGCCTGTGACCCAAGTATAGAACTCTGCCGCATTTCGGGAAGGTTCGCCATTGTATGATGCAGCAATGATGACAATTGGGCAGTCAGTAGGGAAGAATGACCTGAAATCATTCAGCGGTGCTTTCACTGCTGCGAAGCCCCTTTCGTACGCCTCAAGTGCAATCTTCTGGGCCAAAGCTTCACACGTGCCAGTGTCGGAGCCATAAAGAATCGTTATTGGCTTCGGTGCTGTAGATTCGACGCCAGTTGCTGTTGTTGTTGCGCTGATCCCAGGGGTCACTGGTATAGATGTAGGCAAGAACTTGAGACTCTTGTAGAAGTCTGATGGTTTTCTTCCGTGTCGAAGTGCAACCCGTATTTTGAAACCGTCAGGCTTGATAGTGAGAAGGTGCTTCACTCGAAGCTTGTAATCTGGGTCATATTTCGCCAACGAAAAGTCGCGCAACAGCATCGCCAGTATCAACTGAGCTTCTTGCCAAGCAAACGACCGTCCAACACAGCCACGTAGACCGTTTCCAAAAGGTTTCCAAGAATTTCTTGGTAGCTGATCAAAGTTATTTCGGAGCATCCTTTCCGGTTTGAACTTGTCAGCATCTAGCCCCCACACCTTGGGATCGCGGTGCAGGGGGTCCAGCAGGACACATATCGATTCCCCGGGCTTCACATGATACTTTCCGCCAATAGTCTCGTCATGGAAGGGAGTTACGTAGAATCCCGGTGCGGTGGGCATGAGGCGTAGCGTTTCTCGCAAAACAGCATCGATGTAAGGTATATTCTGGAGGTGGCGGAGAGTCAAGCGACCACCAGCAAGACTCCTGTCAACCTCAGCTTGCGCCATCGACAAGGCTTTGGGGTGCTCCAGGAGATAATAGACGGCAAACGACAACATGCCAGATGTGGTTTCGTGACCTGCAACCAGGAACGTAATGAGGTTGTCCACGATCGCATCGTCGTCGAGTCCATCACCACTCTCTGGGTCTCGGCCATGTATCATGGCATTCAAGAAATCGTCCTTCTCTACAGGGGTTCTTCTCCTTTCATCAACGATTTTGTGACACATGTCTCGCAATACTTTTGTGTGGTTGCGAAACTTCGCCATTGCACGAGGACGAAACCAAGCTGCACATTCAGGGAGCATGGATTGTAAGTCGGCCTCTCCTAATACGGCCATCATGCTTTCAACAAAAGGATGGGTTTTCTCATTGAGATAGAAACTGTTGAATCGATGGTCCATCAGGCACAGAGCGATTGTATCGAGAGTAAGGCGTGTGAAGTCGCTCGCAACATCAATTGCAGTCTTTTCTCCGAAACGCGCCCTATATGTAATGTGTCAGTCCTTGTTAATGTGCATGGGAATCTGCGGGGATTAAGTACCATTTCAAACATAGCTGTTCAGCGATATCGTTCATTTCGTCGAACATCCCTTGAACGCTCAGTGGTCCAAATATCGGTCTGAGAATACGATGGGCAACTGCCCAGGCGTGACTATCGTGATGACCTGTGAAAAGTCCGTCATGAACAACCTGGCGGAGGGTATATACTCCACTTGCCACGAGCTTGTGGAACTTTTTCTCGTTGCATACCTCATTCGCCAATTCATGACTCGTCACCACGATCTCCTTTTGACCTGCGAATGACAGCTGGAATGCTGGACCTTCATTTAGCCCGGAGGCCGGCTACGTCAGTGTGCACTCTGCTGGCAGTCATTGTTATATTGCGCGTGTGACGTACCATGCTCCCGCGCGAGGCGGAAGTAAGAATCAAGGGGGTTTCCTAAATCTATATCGAGAATATTGCCGATAAATGGTATTGCTAGAAATTATGGTTCAACAGAATTGTACCGTGGCATTCACCAACCCATCACTTACCTCGCGGACCAGGAAGACTAGCACTTGATCCCTTGCCATCGTGTATTGATGCGTCTCGAGCCATGATGGATTCGATGCATGAGAGTGTAATCGATGATATCAACTACGCATACAGTGAGTAGCTATTGGCGGTGGAATCCTTATGTACGTCCAGAATAGCAGTTGTCCGGAGGAGGCCTCCGGCATCGAATGGTGGTATACCCATAAGGACTGTTGAATCGTCTGCGTCGAACTTTGAGGGATTTCCACACAGCTCCAACTCTTCTGACTCAATCCACGGGTTTCCTGATTTAGCAAATCGCGTTTTTGTCCAGCACACGGATGGGCGGTGCCGGTGCCAGTGAAGGTCGGCATGTGAGATTTCCTTTTACTCCCACCTCTAAGGCAAACTTTGATCCCCACATTTTGAGTGTCAACAGACCAGGTATCAAATCCCTCACCGCTGCATCATTTCTCAAGAAAGGGGTTCTCTTTACCCATAGGCTTCATTTGAAGTTATCCCGCGAAGTGGCACTAAACGGGCTGCAGTACTAGATCAGCGCTGCGAAAAAGTGAGCTGCCGGACCTTGACCCCATGCAGTATGCATGAAGAGATTGGCCAAGTAAATAGCGGGAATGATAAGCTAGTACATTCTTGGAGAAGCATGCAGTATGTGTATGCACTTCGTGAATAGTAGGTGAAAACTGCGAGGGCCAAGCTTTCAAGTTTCGAGCATCGTGCTTCAGGAACAGGGTCTGGAAAAGCTTGAATTACGGGGCGGTAATCTTTGCAGGCCTAAAGAATTTGGGTGCTTGATATTGAACGAGGCTTTTGATCGGCCATCAATTACCGTAAAAGCAACTCCGGACAATCCTTCGGACAGCGTCCTTCACTGCCCGGAAGTTCGGCAGGGGGCACCCAGTTATGTCTAGGGACTCTGCGGTGTGTTTGACTATTAGGGAAATCCGTAAATGAAACGAGTCCCAAACAAAACGGGGCATGTCAACTGCAAGTTGTATGAGGCTATTATGCATTGAATACTCACAAGTCTCTCGCCTATGGCAATCTCACTCATATCAAGCGGGTAATGGCGGGGCCAAATAAGGAATGTCACTCCAGAGGGACCTGTCGCTGTCTCTATCTAGAGGTATTCAGCGCGAAGAAGCATCTGCTATTTAATACGAGTACAATCCTCAACTATACGCGCAAAGGCAAATTTTGTATCACGTCCTTTTTCCATGCTGTGAATAAAGTACTTCTTAAATTTACACTGCCACTTGGCCGGTTCGAATAGCCATAATGAGTATCTCAAGCACAGATATTGCAAAAGTGGCAGGACACACAGTCACAATCGAGGAGTTCAATGTCGATGACGACGAAGGCCCTCAACTGGTGCCACAGAGTTGTCCTCCTAAAGTCAGTCGTCTTGGTATGTTGCGAGAGGTCGCAACTTTGGCTTTCACTCGACTTCGGGTAAGCTTCAGAGTGAGACCCTGGAACCAAACGGCATCCCCTCGGCCCCTCTCGGAGAAAGGACTGTTCATGTATCATTATGTTGAGCCTTTATTCCAGTGGTGGGGTGCCAATCTTCGAATACTGAAGTCTCAAAGTCTTGGTGTCGTCGCTGTTGCTGATGCATCTGGAGCAACAACAACATTGATCAATGGAGCGTCTCACAACTATGCTGGTCTATACAAGGCCTTTCCAGAATCGGAGGAACTTCAGAGATTGTGCTTAGATCAGTTGCCAGTCTCAGATAGTGATGCGGTTCCTCTGCTCCGCAATGCTGTTCACCGGCCCATTGCTGAGTTTCTCAATACTGCATTTTGCTTCACCACTAGTACCGGCTACGGAGCTAACTATGTTGCTTTACCCGCCCTCATCGAAAATACGAAGACAGCCGTCGTCATGGACCATAACTGCCATAACTCAATGTTTACAGGTGTATTCTTGGGCAAATGCACCTCCGTGTGGAAATTCAAACACAATCATATCGGCCACCTGCAATCAATTCTTGAGGAGCTTGCTGTTACCGAGCACCGCGTTATCGTACTCATCGAGGGTCTTTACAGGTACGATAGGTTCAAAGATCGCTCGTGCATTTTCATAGTGGCTGACCTTCTCCTGTCACAGTATGGACGGCGACATACCCCCACTCGATAAAATTTACCAGCTAAAACAAAAGTTCGGCTTTGTCCTGTATTGCGACGAGGCACATTCTTTCTTATCCTTGGGTAGCAGCGGTCGTGGATGTTTGGAATTTTGGAACGAGGCCCACCCAAACGCAATACTCCCTTGGGAGATGTTCGACATTCCCACCGGCACTCTATCAAAAGCTGTTGGCGGCATTGGGGGATTCATTGTGGGCCAATCGCAGTTTCAGAAATGCATACAACAACGTATATCAAGTATTGACGAGCAGAGCAACATTTCTGTCCTTACATCTACCATGGTACAAACGCTCTGGGTCCTAGGCCACTCGGCCATTCTCAACCAAAACCTCTGCCGTCTCTCTGAGATATCACAGTACTGCCGCAGCGAGTTGGCCCGTGCTGGTGTCTACATCTACGGTCATCCAGGTACACCTGTGCTCCCGGTGTGGGCTGGCAGACCAAGCAAGTCGGCTGAACTGTCCTATTGCCTCAGGAAAGTCGGTCTTCTAGCTAGTCCTGTTTCAGCACCGGCAGTCCCATTCTGGGAGAGCAGGGTGAGGGTAAACCTCTCTGCTGACTATTCTGATGATGACGTCAACAAATTGGTAGGTGCTATCATAAAGGGGGCAGTCAAGACAGGCATATGTCCAAGAAAACCTTTTTTGATACGGCGACCATTCGAATTCTCGGCTCAAGGGCAAGACTATGACAGACCAGCCGTATGTTTGCATACACAGCGGGCGATTCAGGATCTCGTACAGGCGACCGTATCTTCCTGTCCAAATTACCCAGCACTTGATGCAAGTGCTCTGGCTGTTGGCCATAGATCACGAAATATCTACGGTATTGGCGCCGGCTCCGCTCGTTGGATTTCTGGGACTTTTCCGTCCCATCTTACAGTTGAAGCGATGCTGTCTCACGCCACCGGTACGGAGGCAGCAATGGTGTACCCAGATGAGTCCATTGGCCTTACATCAACGATTGCTGCTCTTGCACGACCAATCATTGGTTTCAAAGAGCACTACATACTCGTCCCCCGTCGTTTTAGTGGTCTTGTGCGGGATGGCCTAGCATTAATACCACCCAGCAGAACGAAGGCGGGTAAGTAAATACTGTCATATTCAAACGCTGCTTTGTCACTGCAGAACCGGTACTAACAGTAGAATTGACAGGCTTTGTGGAATCCTACGACATTTATGACGATTTAGCGCTGCAGATTCGGCGATACAAAGGCCAGGCACAGGGTGCAAAAGCCTGTTTTACGGTCTATGTAAGAGTGACTTCCATTCATGACGACGAAGCGGAATATGACGCGATTCCGAAGTCATTGATACCAAAGATCTTGCGAAACCTCTCCGCAACCGTCAGTAAAAAGTGCAATATAACCGTCTTACTGCACACAAGTTCCGATCTCCTCAGCACCGCAGAGCTGGGTCTCCCTGTGCAAGCAGGCCTCAACATCCTAATATACGGCTCATTTGCAAGGATTTCCGCGCTGCCTGGCGGCTATCTAGCTGGTGCAAGGAGTTTGATTGGGGAGTTCAGATACACGAGTAGAGGCTACATGTACACTACTTCGATGCCGCCCTTCATTATGGACATGATGCAAAGTTTGCTTGAGCGCAAGACTTGTCACTACTTAAGTAGCTAAGGAAGGGGCGCTGGAATCGGCTACATAAGAAATTTAGAATTGGTAGTGTGAGCCTGCGCCAAACTCTACCCAGGCTAGAAACCAATCCTCCGCAACCCGCTGACTAATTACGAATGATACTTGGTTTGTATACTGAAGGAATGCTTTAACCTACCCTTGAATCTATCTCCCGCCATTTTCATTACCGGCTTCTACGGGGATTGGCCACAGGAACCTTTGTGAGGGTGACTCACCGTACATCTTTGCCGAGGTTGAGCCGATTTGGGATGACTCTTCCAAGGTTTACACTGTCATAATCGAGACCTCCCTTAAGGTTTTGGGAACCACAATACTAGCAGCCCATACCTATGAGGCAACATGGCCTCTCTCGATAATTATAATGTTCTTGCGAGACTAGAACCGTTTATGAGTCGCGACGCTGGTGACGACCGCCCGCTCGTTGTGATGACATGTGGTCTAGCAGGTAAGCAAGCCGCTAGGATCCGGCAACCCCAATGAGCTTGACGACCTGAGTTCCGTTGCCCCAGCAGCTGATTCCACCTACGTCTAAAGGGGCTGGGAAAACAACAACAGCAAAAGCAATCCTTGGGCATTACCCAAACTTTGAACGGCTATCGATTGATGAGATCGTTTTCGCGAAGCACGGTATCTACGGGGTCGACTATCCAGCAGATGAGATCCTATACGAGGAGTACCTGAATGAAGCAGGTGCTATATACTTAGATCGCTTCCAAAAGCTTTTGAGAGAGCGCAGAGACATCATCTTGGAAAGATCCTTCTACGCCAAGGAGGACAGGGACGAGTTCCGATCGTATATAGAAAACGAAGGGGCACGAATAGTCCTGGTATATCTGCATGCTGGAGACAAGGAGCGGCTTTGGGCTAGAATATGTGAAAGGAGTGCGAAGAAAAAAGATGCAAACTCGGCTTTCGACATTACTCGCGATACTTTCAACAGGTACTGGGATGGGTTTGAGGCGCCAGTTGGGGAGGGAGAAATTGTTATCGAAGTTACGTAGTTTTTGATAGGCACTATGATAAGGACATCTATTTGTATAAGCCTTTTACTCGACGTTGTCTCTGTGCGGCCATATTCGCTCCCGGAATTAAGTGTGAACGGCCATGGACCACATCAACGACAGTCTCTCTAGATTATATCGTCCTCAGATAGTGGGTAATGGCTAGAGTATTACCCCTTTCCAGTATAGTTGAAGCAGCCGGCGGGAAGTCCACTTGCGATATTGAAGAAGGCATCACAGCACATAATAATTCAAATGACAATGGCTTTCCAGTCTACTCAGGGAACGAAATTGCCTCCGCAATCGCCCACATAGAATGGCGGAATCTACCCGTGCCGCTGTAGCAGAATTCCTGCAAAATGTGGCGATTGGCTTAGCCTCGTTAGCTGTGAGGTTGAAGAAGAATGAGCCCGAGGGCGAGACAACGAAATGAGCAGGATACTGCGCAATGTAATCCCGATTAACGTAGTTCCAGTTGTTTCCATAAGCCTTATTCGCAGTCTATAGAAGGCCGTTATCTACGTGAACCTGTGGACGTGTGGATATAGCGCCGACCTTCCAGGAGCAAGGACTATATCTTCGAGGTCCAAGACACGGATCGTTTTGATGATTCGAATGCCTGCCTAGTACTGAAAAAAGGCTGTATTGTTTCTCACACTGTTTATGATTCGGGGAGGGGGTTAACACATCTGTCTCTTGGAGTGCTGTAGTTGAACTCATTGGCATAATAATATGTGAGACCAGTAGGCTGCGGTGGAATTAAGCTGCCGGTAACAGTGTCCGCGTGTCACGGCAGTGCATTAGGTTTACAGAAGGTCCGATGAGATACCGAACAGTATCCGCTATATAATCCCTATCTTGTCCCTCTTCCTTGAAAGAGGACAATATTCAGTCTCTTGATGAATTGAACCATACAATTGGACTTCTGATTATACCTGACCTCACAGCCCTTTTGACACCGCGACACTAGGAATCGATTCAACTAGGGTCGCCGTCGTTACTGGCGTGCTGGACAATATGCGTGGGTAGGTCGACATGGTTATAGACATAACAGTTGAGGAGGAAGTATCTTTTGCGGCTTCCGTTGACATCTTAGTCGTGGTATATTGAGCCAATGATGATGCCTTGCCCGCTGTGTGTAAATGCAATGCTATCGTCTAGTCATACGTCATGATGGGCCAAGATGCTCGACCTTATCTTCGTCTCCTGAACCTGCTCCCGAACCCAGGCCCACCCTTTGCGCCGTTGTTGCGCAACTTGAGCCGCTTGAAGTTGGCATGTGCCATGGCATTCACCTTCTTTGCCGCCTTCTTGATCGGGTTCTCCTTCTCGTCCTTGGTGACCTTCACAGCTTTTTCCGTCTTCTTCGCCGTCTTGGTCTTCTTCTTGGGCTTCTCCTCCTCACCCTCACCGTCAGAGCCTGAAAAGTCTGACCCAGATCCAAGATCCACAGTGTCTGAATCGCCAATCTTCGTAGAGTCGTATTGTGTCTCCGGCACAGTGTCTGAGGTCTCCTCCTCGATGTCGGATGGCATGTCTTCGAGGGACTGTTGTGGCCGCCTTGCACGTGTGGGCCGCATGTTGACCTTTCTCGTAGTTCGCTTCTGTCCTTTCTTCTTAAAGACCCTGAGAGGCTGGCCGTCACGACCCCGTTGTTCCTCGGGGTCACTGTCAAACCGGCCTTCGTCGTCAAATCCACCCAGAAGTTGTGGCGCTTGGCTGTCGGGGACCAGAACATCTTCCTTGGCCTTTGGCTGAACAACCTTGGGAGCCTCTGACGGCTCAGCGTCATTCTCCATCTCACGCAGTGCCTCCAGGTCATCATCCAGCTTCTCCTCTTCCATCTTCCGCAAACTAGCCACCACGCTGCTGAGGCCACGCACAAGAGGCTTCCGCGGCAGTCTGAGAGGCCTGGGCGAGACGTATTTGCCATCCTCATCGACGGGAGGCAAAGGAGCCCTCCTTAGGAAGGCGGGCGTCGAGAACTGCAGCTTGCTGGTCGTACTGGGGGTCCTGGCACCCTGCACGTTGGGGTCTCGCTTCTTCAGCGGCGTCATGAAGGTGTCGAGCATGGCGCGCTTGCTTGCCGACTGCGGTGTTCTCCCCAGTTTGACAGCGCTCTCGGGGTCCATCTCGGCAAACGATCGCTTAGTAGGCGTCGCGTGCACCTGCGGATCCGACACGGTGGTGTCTCCATACCGCGCGCGCGAAGGCGTATTCTCGTCGTTCTCCTCAAGCAGATCGAAGAGTCCCAGTACGCGACCATCCCGCTGGGGGGTAGGCCCGATTGACGTAGGTACAACTGGGCTGAACAGTCGGCGAATCGACGGCGTCTCGAAGCTATCAATGATGTCGATATGTTGCTGGGCCTTGGAGGGCGTGGCAGCAGGTCTTGATCGCTTGGAAGGAGTCTGAACGGGTGCCGCGTCGGTCTCTGACTTGCGCTTCCGCGACTTGTCGTGCTTCTTTGGTGGTTGGACCTTGCCATCCAAGATGTCGCGAACCTGGTTGTACTTTTTGTACTTCTGGGCGATTATGGGGTTCTGCTTGATGTCGGTCCTGCTGGGCTTCTTGCCGTCGTTCTTCTTGGCCCAGTCTCCCTCCCAGCGCTTCAGATCGGCGCGCAGGTCCTGGGACTGGATCTCGTACTGCTGTCTCTCGGCTTCCTCCATGTTTTCGGTTGTTGCGGCAAAATGCAACACATCAATCAGGTTCTGCTAACACACTGGATCCAGAATGCCAGAGTCTCAAGTCAAAATGTACATGTGGCTGGCTGCATGAGTGAGAAGCTTCACGTCATAAGAAAGCCGGGAATTCGCATACGAGTTAGATCCAATGGAACGCGTTGACTTGAGAGAACAGGACGCGACGCGACGTGGGGCAGAAGTACCCATGTCATTACAGCGCTCCAGGCCCCACTAGAGCTGCAAGCATTGAGGCTCGCTGAGGCGCTGCGGCTGGCGGGGCATCACAAGGGGGGTGGGGGGCCTCAGCGTCCTTAGGCTCTTCTTTAGTGAGCAGCCACTCCGTACCTTCAGGCGCGATGTGAATTTCGAGGCCATTTGACTTGCAGATGGCACCAGCGTGAACATGGAGTTTTGGCGCCACGGTATCATACGAATGCTCGATCAATTGAACTACGCATGCCTCGAAAAATAGTGGCTGTCGTTGCGTATGCGCTGGATGATGTAGTGTTCTGAAGGTCTTGAGGTCCTCGCTCCTGTCGACCACATAACATACCGGTACCTCACAGTAGTCTTGGTACTCTGCTGGCTTACCTAATGCTGGCCCGATTGCTTTCGGCTTGTCCGAATCTCACGAGGTCCGCCACCGGCCGACAGTGGAGTGCCTTTGTCTTGCATTCCCAAAATCGCAACACATGGAACCAGAGTCTGCTGAGCCCGTGGATATCAGAGCTCAAGTGCTGCAGAGCACGCTGAATGAAGTAGCAACGAGGCATGAAGGCGGGAAGGCCGACAGCACAACCGCTGAGTGCTGTGTCATCTGCCTCGAGGCCGTGAGTGAGGCATGTGAGGCAAAGCCATGTCGCCACAACAACTTCGACTTCATCTGCCTTGTCAGCTGGCTTGAGCAGCAGTCGAAGTGCCCATTGTGCAAAGCAGTCGTCAGCGAGGTGTGCTATGAGGTCGGAGAATCAGACGAAACATCCTGGAAGACATTTGTGGTTCCTGAGAAGCGGGAACCAGCCGCACCATCGACCCCCCGCAGACCACTCCCACCACGGAGAAACTGGCCATATTACAGACCACACCGGCGGCGTCACTACGAAGCCTCAGCCCAGCCACCGACTGAAGATGAGGAAGTATCACGGCGACGCGATGTCTACCGCAACCAGACATACTCATTACATGTTGGGTCGAATCGCATGTCCCAGTACCGGGACCTGACGCCCCAGCTTTTCGAACACGACGCTGCTCTGGTGTCACGTGCTAGGATGTGGCTCAGGAGAGAACTGAAAGTCTTTGAGTTCCTGCACACCCCGTCCGGTACTGGCGACGACGAGCTGGCCCGACGGCGCGCCAATAACGCCGAGTTCTTACTGGAATACATCATCGCCATCCTCAAGACCGTTGACATCCAGGGGAGTCAGGGCCAGGCGGAAGACATGCTGCAGGAGTTTCTTGGACGTGAGAACACGCGGCTGTTGATGCACGAGCTAAAGAGCTTCCTGAGGAGTCCGTACACCTCACTGAGGGATTGGGATCGGGCTGTGCAGTACGACAGATCAAAGAAGCGACGAATAGATGATGATGAAGATGCTGCGCCGAGCTCATCGCGCTCTTCCCCGCGACCGAGTGACGCAAGCGGCAGACCTAGGATACGGGGCGATTCCTATCGACCGGTCTATTCTGATTCGGACCGCCGTTGAGACTGGCTGTCTCCGTGAATAATACGTAAAAGAACATATCTGCCGTGGGTGGAATCTTACTAAGTAGAGTCTCACTATATCTCGTGCAATATTGAGATACTGCAAAGAAAAGAAGGATACTACGTAGCGTTAGAAGAAGACCCGTATATTTCCGAGGGAACATACCTCATAACACAGTTTAATAGCAGCAGCAGCTAGATGATACACCTATAGCACTTTACATGATTAGGTCGGAGTTGGCCTCCTCCAAGATGTTCGGTGGCCGATACACTTACCCATATCTAGAAAGACTCAAAACCTGGATGGCAAGCGATCCCGCCTTCCCGTTGGCAGGTCTTTTAGTGGAAGCTACAACTTAAGGCTACTAAAGAAAATCTCCATCCTCACATGTTAACACTTGCACTATCTGTGGAGCTTGAGGAGCAGACTTCTAGCACTCGTGGCAACGGTACATTTGAGCATCACCAGGAGTTGAAATCAGTCCCAGCTTTTCAGGAACGAGACTACCTAAGCTAGGTACGTAACGATTCGAGGAGCAAATGATGGTCTTTGGGTCAAGACTAGTGACATGTCCTGGTCAGTCTGACAGTATCTTTAAGTTGACCTACTCAGTGAAGTCCAGTGAATCATCATCAACCGCACCGGAACCTCCTGTATTAATCACCTTCCTATCCGACGCAACTACTTCAGCGCCCCCCCC